CAAACCCAAACCCAAACCCAAACCCAGAGCCCAAACCCAAACCCAAACCCAAACCCAAACCCAAACCCAAACCCAAACCCAAACCCAAACCCAAACCCAAACCCAAACCCAAACCCAACCCAAACCCAAACCCAAACCCAAACCCAAACCCAAACCCAAACCCAAACCCAAACCCAAACCCAAACCCAAACCCAAACCCAAACCCAAACCCAAACCCAAACCCAAACCCAAACCCAAACCCAAACCCAAACCCAAACCCAAACCCAAACCCAAACCCAAACCCAAACCCAAACCCAAACCCAAACCCAACCAAACCCCAAACCCAAACCCAAACCCAAACCCAAACCCAAACCCAAACCCAAACCCAAACCCAAACCCAAACCCAAACCCAAACCCAAACCCAAACCCAACCCAAACCCTAAACCCAAACCCAACCCAAACCCTTCAAGGGAATGGCTGGAAATCTGAAGGTACAGAAACAACTCCATTTTCACTGAAATTGATATCATGATATATAGACACTCTAATTAACATATGGTATCAATTTCATAAATATTGGTTCAGTATGTCGAAATGTCAACTCGATCACTATACTATAGAACTTTGACATGAAATCAAAGCTTATGCTCCAACTCGCTCATTATACATACAATCAATCTAGAATTCATACCACATATAGTATACATCAACTAAATACACTGTATACTGTTTGGAACCAATTCGTATTACTTTCAATTATTAAGTCAGTAAATGTTCAATGTCAATAGTGATTTTATCCAAGTGTACACTCTATCTCAATGAAAGTACATCCAACCATCATGTAACTTTACCAGATACATTTAATCACACTGTTATACATATGGTATCAATTTAAGTCTATTAGAGTTGAATTCAGTATGATAATAATAACAATCTGTCAAATTGTCATAATTCAACATATAGAATATACTCCATCTCATTCATTTTACAAAATATCATACAAGTATCAAATATGAATACACTTCCCTTGATGAGGAGAACAATCTGACAAAGTTTCATATTCGTGGCTCTGTATCTTCAACTCAACTAAGGAACATCTAAGGTAATCAATTAGGAAGAATCTTAATTCCAAAATTAAATTTTACCATCATATCACAATTACTGAATAATGAAATACTTATACAAGAATCATATGATCAATTGTAATGTTCATGTCAATAATCAGTGAAGGTACCATTTCATCAGCCTTAGTATTCACATCTCAATATCTAGACAGTCAATGTGACTGAAACTTGAAATACAACCTATTTAGATGATATAATGATGACTCTCCATTGTAACATGCATGTGTAATTGAATGTTGACACTTTTCATATTGTTATATTTATAGAGATGGTATCCAACAGAGTCAGTTCACAATGTTAAATATTGAAACTCATTCTGTATGGTATATTTGGTGTATAGAGTGGTTTTTTTTATTGATTGTAATCAGTTTGAAATAATTTGATGAAATTGACACTGTCTAGTCACCATTACATAACAAATAGACCATAGTTTACATTCCATCTCAGTCATTTCAACGAGTTATTGATTTATTCCACCACCATTATGTTTCTCATACATTGTAGTTCAGTTAATATTTCAAGAGTGATTTCTATGTAGATTATTATAATCGTAATACCTTGCAATACCAATAAAACTCAATAGAAGAGTTAATTCATCTCATTTTCAAATAGATTATTCAATATAGAACACATCTAGATAGTTTCCAGATCATAAAAGTCAAGCTACTATATATGGTCTTGATTAAATTTAAAAATAGACTGCCGTTAATTACTGGAATCTTGATTCAAAGCTTGATGAGCAAGCTATTGATTGAAATCAAACCGATTATTGAATGTTGATCGTTGAATTGGTGAATAATCACTCTTGATAATGTTACTTATTCATATTGCATGCAAATCAACCTGATTCAATCTACAAAGGTTGGTAGTTGCACCACTTCGTGGCGAAACTACCCATCCACGATCAATCAACATTAGATTCACTTACATTCAACTCAATTTGACCGTTATAATCAATAAATCAATGAAATGTTCCTTTATTAGCAATACCTATTCAATTTAATGAGTAGATTCACGTCCCAAACATTTGACTTCTCAAAGTCCATCATTCAAAAGTTGATACTGACCTGACCTTTAAATATCTATCAATATAAGAAATGAAAACATCAAATTTACATCATTTATAGATGATAAGAAATATAATCAATGATATCAATCTTCACTAAGTAATCTCTTAAATAACCCAAATAAATCAACTCTGAATCCTAACCAAACCCCAAAGTACCTATCACCAATAGGGAAATGTTCGGAAGTGATTTTACCTGATGGAATTGACCATGTTGAACAATACTAGATTGAAAGTTTTCCAAATTATCATATAAATCTGGCAGTGATGATGTTTGAAAAGATAATTATCTGGTAGAGAATGTATTGAATGACATGCTATTCGTGATGTTTCAGTGGATATTATGAAAAACATGAAAATATCAGATATCCATTATTTTCACAAATTATGCTACAAGACTCGAAATTATACATTTAATAACATAATAAACATTATGAATTGTTGTTTTATTGCTGTTTGATTTGTAATTGGGCTATGAATCAACTCTGGTGGCATCAAATATCCAAAATTGATAAGAGAAAATTCTCTTACCTACTATTGACCATTCCGAACAATACTACATTGACAGTTTTCCAACTTGTTCAGTAGATCCAGCAGTGATGATGAATTTAGTGAAAATTTTTACATTTCACCAAAATTATATTACTACAAATTAATATCTACAAATATTATTATTAATGGAAAACAATAATGATGTTGGTGAATGATCCGATGCTGGAACACCAACTTATGATTTTCCATCATGAAAAATAAATTCCAATTTCATGATGATAATCCACCAATAAAAATTACTATTATTACTACTATATAGATCATGTTGAGATGATGATGTGAAAGTTTGGTGGTTTCATGATGTAAAACCACTCCTTTAGTAGTAGAATGTTGAATATTTTTTTGAAGATTGGGTTAAAACTTAGTTTTTGTGAGCGAGGTAAGTTCTAGAATGTGTGTGGGTCTATAACACATTTTGATTTTTCTGTTTTTAATTAAATTTCACATCACCCACATTGTCTATGATGAACGTTTTGAAATTGAAATTGTATCTTGGGGTGAAACATTTTCATTAAATCAACAATTCGGAGTAAACTCAAACACCTATTAATATTTTGCAAGTTTATTGAATAGTGTGAATCTAAAATTGACGAACATTTGGATTGCTTGGTTTGTTATTGTCCCAATTTTCTGAGCTAACACCAATACGATCCAAAACCTTATTACGTTCCTCTTCAATTCTAGCATCAACCTTATCTTGGACCTTTTCATTGACCATGTTCAAAAGACTACCAGTAAATGTGGAAGGTTTCTTGGCATAATCCTTCTTACCACCTTCAAGAGCATTAACAGCATCATTCTTGGATCTTTCAATATCTTCATCAACAACTTTTTGTCTAAGTTTTCCTTCTCTATCACGCATACCATTCAATACACAAGTTAAACCACGTTTAGAGAACATGTAGTTGTTGTAAACAACAACCTTAACACTCAAGTCAAGCAAAATGTTAATCTTACCCTTCTTTAAGAAGCCACCAGTTGATTTTTCAATACCAATATTACCAGAGAAGGTCAAGTTGATTCCACGATGATCTAATACATCATTTCTATTGATGGATTCAGAGACAGCATAGATGGAATATTCAACAGAGGAGGAAAATAATTGAGGCTTGACTTTCTCAGTTTGAACATTCTTAACAATAACCTCAGAGCAACATCTGGCAACTTCATCAAAATATTCTTGAGGATCCATGCTATCTTCAATAGCGTCAATATTCTTCAATAGAATGTTGAAAATTTGGGTTTCACTATAGTCTTTGATAAAGAAAAGCATTTGATCCATCTCATTTTCGCTACTCTTCTTCTTGACAGAGTTTTGGAGCCAATTACCAATCTTTACTTCTTTCAAGCTGTTAATAGTCAAGACAAATCCAGTACATGTATTGAACATCTTCAATGTATCAATAATACCAGGTTCATAAAAGATCATGTCGAGTACATCAGGATGACGATCAATGAATGAATTATTGTTGAGGAGGTCATTAATCGGGAATTGAGACAATGAGAAGGAAATCGTAGTGTCAGGGTCATTAGGATTGATTCTATCTCTAATATTTTGTTCAGTGGCACTCTTCTTCTTAGCCATCTTTGTACTAATGTTGTTTTTAAGGTGTTTTTTTGTTGCCACAGCATGTGTCTCCGCCAAGTTTTTAACTTGAGGAAAGCTAAGGAAGTCTGGAATTTCAATGCTCTTTAAAATAGTTTCTTAACAAAACCTTAGAGTCGCGGCTGCGTAACTATGCTAGTTCTCCCGAGAATTTCTTGTGGTTTGACCCGCTGTGATGTTGAGGAGAGTTTAACAACAGCCCTTAGCAAACACACCTTAAATCATTATGATGACCCCACACGCAAAGGTAAACAAAGTAGAGTTGCACAATAGTATTCAGCTTAATACACACATATTATGAGTCAATAGGGAAATCCTTTTAAGGTGCACCGTAATGTTTGTGAGATCTTTTTTGGACCGAATATTAGGGTGGACTAATTTCAAAAAAGCCTATGTTATGTCCGAATAAAATTGCATCTGTTTCGGATAATTGGTGCGAGGATTTTGTAATTTGCACAGTAACGTATTCATTGTAATACATCCTTGTAGTTTGCACAGTACTAATGCGAAGTGTAAGTGCTAATCGTTGCTATTAGCCTTAGTTCATCTTAACACACCTCAAAAAAATCAACATAACATAATGTTTGTTAACAAGTCAACTCTTATTTTCACTCTCTTGGTTGCTACCATGCTTGTCTGCACCTTTGCTAATGCTCAAACTTGCAAGACAAAGACTCCTAACTTTGAACCAAGCTATTGTCCAAGCTGTACTACTTGTTCTGGTTCTGCTAAAAATTCTTGTTGTGATGCTACTATGGACACCACAATGGCTGCTGTTATTGCCCTTGCAAATAATAATGGTGTTCAAGGTTCTTGTGTTGACGCCTTAAAGGAATACAATTGTGCATTTTGCGATCCAAAGAATCAAGGCTACTTGACTACTGATGCTAGTGGTGTTAGTTATTTGAATGTGTGTAAGAGCAAGTGCAACGCTATGGTTAACGGCTGTGGTAACTATGATTTGAAGATTAAGTGTGATAAATTTCCAGAAACTAATTGTTGGAATAGTGCCAATTCTTTGAGTGCTCATGCTATGGTTGTCCTCATCCTTTCTCTCATTACTTTCTTCATGTTCTAAATGATAGATTATATAAAGGCTTTACATTTGAATAGATTAATGCTGTTTTTTTTGTGTTGACAACCATTCCACAATGGTAGTAATTCAAGGCTTGTTGTATTGATGTCAATAACAAGGAGATGACACTCTTCAAAAGATTCCAATAACAATTCAAGAGACAACATTGGGACTAACTTATATTGCCCTCCACTTTGAGAAAACAATTTAGAACATTTTAGTCAGTCTTCGTATAATTTTTTGAAAGTCCAAAAAAAAATAATCACTTCATCTCATCGTTGTTGATTATCTTCATCATTTCAATACGGAAAACATTGATATTCAATTTATATCATCTTTGGATATCCATCAATAGTAGAATAGTAATTTTTTTTGTGAAATTTTAATGATCATCAAGAAATTTAATATCATCATAAATTGGAAAAATTTCAAACCAATCTCGGATGTTGTTAGAACAGGTTGATTTGCTGTTCTAATAGTATTTAAATAGTATTCCGCAAGTTTCCTCTTTGAAATTATTTTTATTTGGCTCAAAGTCGATTTTTCATCAAAATCGGCACATCTACTTGGTCACCACCTACTTGACCAAATCAAAAACTTTCTATTTGTACTATTTATTTTCCTTCAATATATTGTCATTGCCATGGAGGTTTCATCACCAATTCTTGTATGAACTTGGCAAACAAATTAAAAAAAAATGCAACAATCCAACAGCAACCCATCACCAACACAGGCCACCAATATTCTAAACCATTTCATTCAGAGCCAGACTTCTATTGCCAAATATTTCCAAAATAATGGAAGTGCACAAGAATTGGAATATTACAAAAAACAATTTATTCCTGTTAATATCCCGTATGATTATATTGTTGGATATTGTGAACAGGTCATTACGGGAGGAAGACAATTTGTGGAAGAAATTGTTGAAATATTTGAGAAGGATTTTAAAATTGCAGTGGTGAGAGGAGGGAATAATTTGACATTTAAGAGATTTGCAGTTATTTCGGATAGTCATTGCGGAGAAAGTAAATGGTATACAAAAATTCCAAAGGTAGACGTTGTGTTGCATTGTGGAGATTTCTCACAGAATGATCATGGACCTAATGATGTGCAACAGTTCAATAATCTGGCTGCTAAATTGAAAAATGATGGGAAATGTTCTCAAATAGTTTGTATAGGAGGAAATCATGGTAGGTTAAAATGAATCTATTTCTAATAATGAAAGATTACCATTTGGATTATAGGAGAAATAGTTCACTTTCTAATGAAAAATCAATTGACATGATCATGAACCAAAAGAAACATCCCTTATTGAGCAATGTAGATTATTACTTGCAAAATACTTCCATCATATTGGATGGTTCTATTAGAATATTTGGATGTCCAATTACACCATTTGATATGGCTTTTGGTGCTTCAGATCATGTATCATATGATATCTATACACAATGCATGGACAATGATTGTGACATTGTCATGACTCATAATCCTCCATATAATATCTTGGATTTGGCAGGAATGGGATCAACACAAGGTATCTGTCCAACATGTAAAACAAACCATCCTCATGCTGCTCACTGGGGTAATTTCTGGTTGAGAAATCAATTAATTCATAGAGTCAAGCCAACTGTTTCAGTATTCGGTCACGTGCACGAGTGTTGTGGGTATGTGAAGAAGTCAATTAAGGAATTGAAAGAGGAGGAGCAACAGCAAAAGACACTTTTCAATATTCAAAACTCTGCGAATTTAATTCTTGGAGGTGATGACAGGACACCAATTACCTTCTTGAATGCTGCTGTTGATATGTATTGTAAGGTCTACTTTTTTGATTTTTACTATACTAGAGGATCTAAATTATTAATCTAATAAAATCGTTTCATGTTCTTGCCATTTGTTGAGTGGTTGTTTTGGATCTTCATAGCTCACTATCTGTAAAGCCCACGAAAGCTTTTTAAATTGTTCACCAATAACTTGTTGAATGGATTCCAAATTATTAGAATCCTCCTTAATCATACACTCATACAGAGTTGGAATTATAGATTGATATTGAGATAAATATTTTACAATTTCTTCTCTTCTTGAAAGCTTGACATCCGATAATAATGATCCATGATAATCATTCCTCAATCTTAATCTCCTCTTGTTGTTATCCTCTCTATAAAATTCCATCCTATCATGAATTTGATTCACAACTTGACAAAATCCATCATTCTCAAAACTAATTCTAAAATCCCACAGTGGCTCCTTCTTATCATTACTCATTCGCCAAACCAATTTTACATTTTCCGAATTTAATTTTCCCTTTTCAATTTTTAAACTCTTCAAAACTGACTTTAATTCTTCCAAATTACAATCCATCATTGGCACAAATCCAATAAGAGTAATATGAAATAAATTTCCCCAAATATGCTGTGTTCCGAACTCTAATTTTTCCTCGTATGATTTTCCCTGATGAGTACGATTGATAAATTGATCCATCAATTGCAGAAAATAGGCAACTTCATAATAAATATCGGTGTATTCTTGTTGGTGAGGATGCAAAATGGCATACAATCCGTATCTTCTTTGTTGCAACATTTTTTTATTATTTAAATTTATTAAAATTATTGTTGTCAATAAATTGGCGAGTTTCTAATATTCATACAGACTATTCGATGTTTCTCCTTCCTTATCTATTGAAAATAGTAGTAAAGTTTCACAAATAAAAGTAAATCTTATTTATTTTACTTTTCAATACGAAAAATTTCTTTTTAATCACACAAATACTATCATTATTGATGGAAAACAATAATGATGATGGTTGGTGAAGGATCAGATGATGATACACCAACTTGTGATTTTAATTGATGAAAAATAATTTCCAATTTCATGAATATAATCTTCCAATAAAAATTACTATTAATACTACTATTTAGATAATGATGAGGTGATGCTGTGAAAGTTTGGTGCTTTCATCATGTAAAACCATCCCGAAAATTATCACGTCCATATCAGATAACATTTAAATATTTTTTACGAAGAATTTGAAATTTCGATTTCTGGTGTTCCTTTTCCTTTCTTCCTCACATCAATCGGAACCTACGAAATCATCAAGAATCAATCATCACTAAATATTCAGTTATCAAATAATAATAAAAACACAAAAAGAAAATCCAAAGCTCAAATTTTCCTTTCGTCGTGTTAATTGATTTGCTGTTACTCGAGCAAAATTATCCAATATAAAAGCGATAATTAATTATTTCTGATGCGACCTTCGAAGAGTACACCAGAAGGTTTAGAACATCAGAGCAACAATGGCCGGTTACCTCCAACAGTCTCAAGGAGGAAACAAGCAACAAATCAAACTCTGCAACAAGAACCTCCTCCGCTTCCCTTGCCTTCCTTTACTAGAGTAGAAGATGAGGAAGAAAATAATAGTATAATTAATAATTCGATAATTAGGAATAATCATCATCAACAACAATTATTAGCATCTTCATCATCGGATCAACAACAAGGTGTAGTTCATGTGGATCGATCTTCGTTGAATGTTGTGGTTAATAGAACAGGATTAAACAGCAATAATAACAACAACAAATCCACAACAATTAATCAAGTGAATAATAATAATAATATAATAATAACAAATCGAGAACATACTCATCTCGAATTATCATCAACGGTAACACCTCATGTAATTCCTCCTGTACTTTTAAAATCATCAACGAGTGGTCAACCAAAACCAAGGAGTGTTACATTTGCTGATCCATGTCCACCTGTAGTAACCAACAGCAATCATCATGAAGGAATAGCCATTTCACCAAGTGATGATACAATTACTTCACCAACCTCTCCAACACAAGAACCATCTACAACTTCAACCTCTCCGAAACCAAAACCAAGATCCAGCAGTCATATTGTTGCCAATATGATTAAGAATTTCAATAATGGAACGGTTTCATCATCTCCACCACCTGTTAGAAAACTGTCTGTTGGTGGGAGACCTTTAAAACCTCTTCCTTCTGTTTCATTGTCATCAAGTCCTTCCTCATTATCAACTCCTCTGAATAATTTATCAACACCAAGTCCAACAAGCGAAAAATCATCACCTTCCATAGTTAATACCACTTCCAACCATAACAACACTTCTATTTATTCAACTGTATTTCAACAACCATCTCCGACAAGTTTAGAAAATGTAAATAATACTCAATCGGAAGAGGAAAAAACAAATCCTAGTAGTGAATCAATACTGACCAAGTTCAACTTACCTCCTCTTCCAATAGGAATTCAACCTTCTTCAATAGGAAAATTAGCCGATCCTTCAAGTAGCAGTATCACTAATTCTCCAACCAGCTCTCCATCCCTTGGTGGTCCTAAGAGACCTCTTCCATCCACTCCAACACAACCATCATCTGAGGGAAATAACAGTGCAAGGAAAGTGGAAGGAGAATCACTCACACCACCGCAAAAATCATCATCATCAAGAGGTTTTCATCACAGAAAGCAAACAATTAATTCAACTTCTTCACCTATTGTTTCGGAATTGGAGGAAACTACCAAATTGGAACTGTCTGGTGTGAAATTGGACTCTGAATCTGCTGCTTCACAAGACACAAAGGTTGACCAAGAAGCTGCTGATCTGGAAAGATTTTTAAGAACGTACATTTTTGATATTCTGAAGGATACCAAGTTTACAAACTTGACGCAAGTTGTAAAGTGGATGAAGTTAGAATTATTCTTTGAAGCTTTGATTAGTTGGTGTGTTATTAATATGAATTCAAAAAGGAACATTCAAAAGTTAAATAGATTCCTCATACAGGAGGAACTAATTAAGAAGAGAACAGAAATTTATAGTTTTTTGGAAAAGAAATCAAATTGTCAATTTTTGGTTAAAAATTTAAAACGCAGTCTTGATATGATTGTTGACAATTTGAAAAATGGAACAAGTCATTCTTCAACACTAATGAAGAAGGACATGACGCAAGTAATTTATTCTTTAATGAAAATTGATGAAATTACTAAGGAAATACCAGTCAGTGCTGTTACAAGTATTTCTATAACTGCTTCAACACCGACCACTTTACAACCGGTCAATCCAGTACCTGAGAACAATGTTTCAACCTATGATGGACTGGATGCTATCAACTCATTAATTGAGCAATCTATTGCTCTCTCAACATCATCAATCATTATGAATGCAAATGCTAGGATACAAAAAGCTATGGAGGAAGACGAACAAAATGAAACCTCCAAGAGAGCTCAAATCAATGGTAAAATCAACAATCTTATTACCACTTTCGAGAAGAAGAAAGACCTTATAGAACAGAAAATTATTGATAAAAGTGAAAGGGCAGTAAATTCTATTAGTGAAACCCTCAAAACTACAGTAGAAGCTGGACAAGGAACCATCAAGAATTTCATAGAAACAACAACTATCAAAGTTTTGGAACCAAAATTAGAAAAAACGCCTGAGAAACCTAAAATCAATCCAATCATTAGAAAAGAAAAGGTCTTGTCTGGCTATTTTTCACAACCTCACAACCAAACTGTGCAACCTCCAACTCCACCAAGAAGGAGAAGAGATCATGTGGTTGTTGCCGAGTTTGCCAAGTATAATTTCCTGTTAGAATTCGCTGATAATCATATTTCGCTGCCTCTCATTTCACAACCTCTTGTTCCTGAAGAGATTATTGAACAACCATTACCTACTCCTTCTTCAACAGAGAATGGAGAGCCAGAAAGTATGGCTGTTAATCAAAGAGTTGTTAGCAAAATTAATGCTATCGATATTCTTTCAAAGAGATTGCGCAACACTCTTCTCTATTCAACTGTCTGCACAACAGCTCTTTCCAGTATAGGAGAAAAATCATTGGATTTAGGAACAAGGAATGATTTGACACAATCTATCAACTCATTCTGTGATGATATTTTACAATCTATTACAAGAAGTATATCAACCTCTCAACAGAAAGAAATTTTGAGCAAGCATCTCAAGTTAATGGATCCAAAATTCCAAAAGAAGTTTAAGATTTTAAGAACATTTGTTGCATTGCTTTCAAGAAGTAAAACCTTTAGTTCTAATCAACCTTCTAGACCTTCCCTCAGTTTTAGAAAGAAAAAGTCAGAGGGTATTACATTTAATGGTCAAGAAGCTATTTCAATTCTCTCCAATGTTCTTGTAAAGAAGGTTGTAAGCAAGCGGAGAAGAAAAACACTTATCGAAAATGATGGAGACTTGTCAGCAAGAAGAAATAGATCGACTTCTGTTCCAAATGTAAATGTTAGTGATATTGATCCTGAGAATGTGAAAAATCAAGCCATTATATTCTTGGAAGAATTTCTGGATGATGAAATCATTGAACAAACAAATCCAAGAGTGAAATCTAAAGTGTTTGCTCAAATGCTGGATGATCCACTCTACACGTACAGATTTTCAGAAGATCACATGTTATATAATTTGGTAAATCAAGAGAGAGAAATGGAGGACCAATTGGATGAGACTGAGGATGAATTGAGAACTGTTATTGGTTTATTTAATACTCCATTCACTCCATTGGTTGTAAATACTGATAACTATTCATCCATTACTGACACTCAAACCTATGTTCTATTCAAGTATCGTAAAGTTCTGTGTAGAGAGCCAAAATTATTCCTATTTATGATTAGATCTATCAACTGGAAAGGAGATTACAAGACAGGAGAAGAACTTTTAGATTTACTCATTAAGGAAATGAAAGAGAGTCAAAAACATCCATTTTCACCAATGCACAAGTTGACAACACTCCATATCATGTTTCTCATTCATGAAACGGTTATAGCCTCCAAAATTGATCTTGAATCTGTTCAAATATTCAGTGTTCAAGTGTTAAGGCAAAGAAAAATCACAGAAATTGAAACCCTACTTCCACAAATATTCTACATTATGGGAGCTACAAAATATTACTCTCACTTGATGGAATTTTTATTGGAAGCTTGTGATAAGTCTGAATACATATTCAACAAGTTAAATTGGATGCTCACCAGTATGCTCAACTCAAACACAGTTAGAGGACTCGAAAGAAATACAGATAAAAAAGCAAACACTGCCTACAAGCAACTTCATTTCAAGATGATTAAAAATTGTGCCCAATCAGAACTTGGTAAATATAATTTGGATCAATTCATTAGACAACAAAAGATGGTAGACAATATGTTAGTCATTAGTGAATATATCAAATTTAGATTAGGAAAGGAATTATCAACTCCTAGACCACAAAAGATTGTACAATTGAAGAGTTTGATGGCTGCTCAAAAGTTGCCATATCTTCTAAATTTGAAACAGATATCTATGGCTAATCTGGATAATATTTGTAATGATGATTTGACAATTAATCCTGAAATTGGACAACTCTCTCCTAGAACACAAACAGAAATTAAAGAAGTTGCCAAATTAATTAAGGAAGATTCCAAGCTCAAGTTTATAGATTTCATTGTTGATAAGGAGAAGGATTTCCATGAGTGGAATAGCGAAGTATTCCCAGTAGAAACAATTCCTTGTCTCAGCATTGAAGATAAGTTCCCTGAAATTAAGGAGACTCTTGAAATTTCTGGATTTGCTCCTTCTGATGGTTATATTTTCAAGTCAGCTCAAGAACCTGTGTGCTTCCCTCTCTCTATTAGAACTCTATCTAATGAAAATGCTGCAGAGTACAAGATTATTTTCAAGCAAGGAGACGATCTTCGTCAGGATGAGTACATCCTTCAACTTTTCACGTTGATGAATAGAATTTTAAAGCAAAATGGAATTAATTTAGAGATTGTCACTTATCACTGTGTTAGTACTAGTCAAAGTCCTCTCAATTCAGGATTTGTTGAAATGGTTAGTCAATCGAATGCTGTCTCTGCCATCCTTGCCAAGTACAAGACAATTTTTAACTTTTTAAGAGAAACTTCCAAAAAGGAAAAACCAGCAGACAAGAAGGATGAAATTATTGAAAATCCAGATGAAGACTCGAGTGGATCAACAACTGGTCCAGCCTCTGAATATGAGCCTGTTTCTGGTGAAATTATAGATGTTTTAGTATTTGAGGAGAAAATACACAAGTATATTAGAAGTCTTGCTGGTTACTCTGTACTAACATACGTATTGGCTATTGGTGATAGACACTTGGACAATTTGTTATTGAAGGAAAGTGGAGAGTTGTTCCACATTGATTTTGGATTTGTATTGGGCGAAGATCCAAAGGCATATCTTGGAACTCCACCAATGAGAATTTCTAGAGAAATGGTAGCAGATTTCTCTGAGGAACATTTGAGCGCTTTCAGAATGTATTGCTGCCAAACTTTCAAGGTTTTAAGAAAGTATGCAAGTTTGATTATTTACATGCTATTATGGATTTCAATTACTAATATGGATTATAAGGAACAAGCAACAATTAAGAGATTTGACAAACTTGGAATTCAAGGAAATACGCCTCACCCTGGTTCAATTCATAATCCACTTAAACATTTCACAACCAGAAATGTATTGACAACCCAAAACAACCTTAGACTCGATTTACTGGATAATGAATTGGATGATTTTGTTCTCAAGTTAATTGATCAAAGCTTGAATATGCTTGGACCAAAAGTTAACGAAGAAATCCACAAGATTGCCATGAAACTAAGAGAATAAAGAGTTGCGTTCGAAAGAACAAAAGATTAGTGAGGAATGGATTGCTTCGATCAATCGAACTGGCCCTATTCGTTATTGTGTTTTGATGGCTTTGTTATAACCTTGTTGTTGTTGAAATTAGCCAGGGCTCTCCGTCTGAGCTACATTCCTCAAAGGTTTGAAGATTGAGTTATGGAACTTGGCATAATATATGGTTACAAATTACACTCAAAATTTTACTCATGTTTCAGTACTTGTTTGATATCATCAATGGTGAATGGTTTCCTTAATACCGAGCTAAATCCGTTTTGAGTCAAAGATTGGGAACTCGCCCAAATATTTGCTGTGACAGCAATGATCTGAGATCTGCATCCCCATTCCCTCATAAACTTACAACTATCTTTTCCTCCCATATTCGGCATTAACAAATCCATGAAAATGATATCATAACTGTTTGGTTGTTTCTTGATGAGATCTAACGCTTCAGAGCCATCCGATGCCATATCTGCCGAATATCCAAGCATGTTTAGTGCTTTCTTCAGGAGTTTTCTGTTGATTGCATTATCATCCACTACAAGAATCCTATTATTGTGTGGAAGAGCGAATGCCTTATCAATATCCATGGTGCTTGTTGCAGAGCTGGGTGAGAGAAGCTTCTTGGTAGTGTTAGATAGACAGTGATAAATAGTCTTAATGATACTTTCCACTCTAGATGGCAATACAATTGGTTTTGCTTTGGTTGGAATTTTTTCTCCTCGTCTAAATATTGGAATTATCTTGTTAGAAATGAGTTTTCCAGAAAATCTTTCAATTACATCTTTGTAATCTTTGTGATTGTAGAGAATTAGTGTGTTAGCAGTGATATCAGTTAGAGATTCAACAACATTGTGTTTTTCAATGTGTGAAATGGTTGGTGGTTTGAGAATTTGATTGCACAGTTTTGTTAGAATTGATAAATATTCAGGATCATCTTCTAGAATAACTATCCTAGATATTGCAGAAGATCCCAATTGTTTGAGGCATGAAATTTTCGAAAATATAGTGTTGTGTACCTTGGAACATTCATCTGGAGAGCATTTGATTACTGGAATGTAGAGAGTCAAGGTGGTTCCTTTATCGAGCTCACTCTCGATATTCAATTTTCCCTTCATGAGATGAATGAAATTTAAAGATAAACTGAGACCTATTCCATGTCTATCATTGAATGAATTTTGTCCACCCATTAAGTGTCTATAGACTTTTTCATATTCTACATTATTGAGTCCAGATCCTTCAGTATGATGTATAGTATGGGAAGGTTTACACAACTTTCCAAGCTCTTCTTTTGGAATACCTATTCCAGTATCTTGACAAACAATCTTGATATATTCTAATTGATTGCCAGAAATAATTTCCTTTCCCAAATCAATTTCAATAGCTTGATCATTGAATGGGAAATCCTTGTCTGTACTTTTTATCATGCTCACATCCAAATAAACTTTACCCTTTTTGGTGTATTTCACAGAGTTGGATACAAAGTTGACTAATACCTGTGAGAGCCGAATATGATCACCTTTTACAATTACTGGAACATTTTCAAAATCAAAGAAGGATTGTAGTATCAGTCCTTTTTCCTTAGCTATTGTTGAAAATACTGAAACGAGAGAGTCCACCATTTCCACAACGTTGAATGGAGTATAATTCAAATTTAGTTTTCCTAGTTCCATATTACTGATTTGCAATGATGTTGAGAAAATTTGGAGAAGCATTTGTGCATTACTGTTGATATCCTTAATCATTTCTAAATTTGCTTCACTAGAATTGACAGCTTCTGTTATTTTCTCCTCTGCTCTTTCAGGTTTTGTAAAATCGACTTGTGAAAGTGCACAAATCGTCTTTTTCAGCTCTAATTTCATAATTTCCGAAATGCCTATCATCCCATGAAGTGGATTTCTTTATCAAAATTAAGTATTGAACTATTAAAAAAACACATACCTCATTTCATGACTCAAATTAGAGATGAACCTAGTTTTGGATTCGTTCAAAATTCTTTCATTCTTTGCCTCAATTTGAAAGGTCAGACTATTATTATATTGCCTTTCCACATTCTTTGCAAATATGTAGCCAATTATCAGAACAGTCAATTGCAACATTGTACTCTCCAAAATTCTTCCAATGTAATAATAATAGTCATTTGAATAGTAAACGTAAGGCGACTGAGCTTGCTGATGGAGATTCGTGATGAATTGACCTCTCTCAAAATTCTCCTTTCCAATATATACAGATAGAACTTGTCCCATCACTGATGAAAGAATCAATACAAGACAGGAAACCACCGATACAAAATTCTTAAAGAATGAAACATGTGAAATGACAATTAGTGAATAGGCACTTATCACCCACAGTGGCACATTAAATCCTAGATAGCACTGCGAGCACATCCTCACTGTTCCTAGAAGAATATTCTTAAAGAAGAATAATATTTCCAAAGCTCCCATGTTTTGCCTTGTGGCCAAAACTTTCACCAATACAATGATTGAAATATCAATCAGCAAGTCAAGTAAAGTCATATACAGAAAGGATAAGAGAATATTCCTATTCCACTCCACATAGACTATTGCCAACATGATAATGATGGAAACGTTGGTTGATACCATGAGCGGAAACCCTTGGGCAGCCACTTGTTGTTTTATACAAAATTTCTTCATGTCATCTTCCGTTGATTTGGTAATATACTTGAAAAAGTCTCTTATGATCCTATCAATCCATAGACTTTTCATTATGATGATGATGATAGCACCACAATAAATCCGATGATGGATTCTTGTTATCTTTCGCTAATATTTATAATTGATGCAAAAACGCAAATTACTTGTTCCTTGTGTTGTTGTTGTTGTTTTATAAAACTAATATTTTCTCTCTTCATCAAGAACTCTCAGTTCATCTATTTTTTTTATGTTGTGGAAAGACGCGAAAATGGAAACAACAAAACTTGGCAATTTAAAAGACCAAAATTGGTAGTCCGCACAGCCAAAATTATCAGCGAGAATGTGTAACACAGCATGTGTCGCCATCAAGTATTTAATTTTTGTCTTTTCGCAAAGGGTGCTGTATTTTAAAAAAATGATGCAACAATACGCACACAACATCCACCTCCCACAAACTACATCCCACAACATGACTTCAACACTAACAACAAACAAATAATCAAACATCAACAATGAGCATTCCACATATGTTTAAATGGAATTGGAAGAAGTCTTCTGATATTACCGCTATCAAGAAGAAGAAACCAACAAAACGTGGTAGGTTGTAGTTTTGTATAATAATTAATTAAATAATTAATTAATCGGATAAGTGAACATTGTTAACAACCAGAGAGATAATATAATTCTAGATATGGATGACACTTTAAATACAATGCCAAACGAAGGAACTATTCAACATTGGCCACTTACTTCCAATCAAGCCTCCAATTTTTCATTACCAACCATTAATTTTGTACCATTGGAAGAACCAACACAAAATGAAAGTATGTTTCATAATACTTAATATTTAAATATTTGAAAGCCTTTTCATATTTGGCTCTTCTTACACAACCCTCTCCTCCAAGTAAGTATTTCTTATTTAAATTTAAATTTATAATTTATAATGTAGAAATTAATTATCAATGTGGAAGAGTAATGGTTTCTAATAACAATATGTGGAATACTGATAATGATACAACATACTGTCTTTCTGATAATGAATCTAAAGCCTTAATGGAAAGAATTCAATTTTTTATCACACCAAATGGTGGTGAAGACACATTCAACATTAAATTGTCACCAGCCTCTCCTAAATATAACCACACAAGAGTCAAGGAAGCCAAGACATTAATAGAAAGAAGTGTAGTAGCAAGAATGAATCCTGATTCAGCAAGAAATGTAACTTGGAGACAGAATTTATGTTTTACACTTCCATTTGGTCCAATTTCAGATTTATTCTTCTCTCAGTTAACTCAATCCAAACCATCATCTGTTAAACTTACATCTAAGTATTACTATATGGAAGGCAAATCCTCTAAAGGTTTGAAACTTGATACAAAAGTGTATGTATGGGATGAAGATAATATGCCAAGTTTAAAATCTGAACATTGGTTTTTGAAAAAGTGGAATGGGAAGAATGATACGTTTCGAGCTAGATGTATTCAGTTTACTTTAACTTACAGGCCTCAACTTGACATTATTCGTGTTGAATTTAAATATACAACTCAAAAGTGGAACAATATTCTACAAGCTTGGCAAGATATGTAAGATGTAAGTAATAAATCTTCATACCAAAACTCAAATATCCTTAATTGAAATTTCAAGTTGTCGAATCAAGGATCCAATTAAGATGTTGGCAGCCCGCCAAAAGTTAAACCCGCCAAAATTTGGGCATTTTGAAACTAAAAAAAATAGAGGATGGTACCACCAAGAAGCCGTCCATCAGAATCAATATTAACAAGACGAACAAGACGTTCCACTTGTGAGGCTTTGGAGGCAAATTATGTTAGACCAAACAATAATGCTTACTTCACGGACCAGTATGAGAAAGTTCCGTATGTAGTTAGGACTGAAGTAGACACGCAAATGTTGAATTGTTGGTTTACTGTTTTCTTTCCTTACTTGCTTTCTCTGTTTTGTAGTACATACACATTTAACCAATTGTTATTAATGTGGTTGACTAATACAAGACTTGGAAGGTCATTATTGAATCAAGCAATTAATTCAGTAGAAGACAAACATCTCAAAAAGCATTCACAATTAGGTTATACAATCAGCAAACGAGCCAAAACAAGGATATCGGTTGTTGCAATGGGTACATCTTGGATTAGGACAGGTATATCTATTGGAAAATATATCAAATTCAAGAAATTCATCCATCCATACGATCCAAAAAAAGCTATTCCAAGTGGAGACGACATCAAGGGTTTCTCAGGGAGTATCAGGACTTGGTTAACAAAAACAGCTCCTTTTAAAATAATTTCAGATACCACCAAATCATATTACACTATTTCTAATGGGGTTGCATTTTTGATGGATGCTGTCAGAGTGTTTGTTAAAGAGAACTTGATAGAAAATGCGAGCATATTTCTAAAGTATTCTTGGGATTCAAGAATTGCTGTTCAATCAACGCCTACTGTATTGACGGTTTCATTAGCAGGTAATAATATTTCAATTGAAAATTGTATTACATTATCTGCTTTCAAAACAAATGAGAAAGTTGCACTTCAACATACAGGAGCATGGAAATGCATGCAAGAAATGTTACGAATGTCATCTATGCATTTTGAAAATAAGTTATATTCTGTTACTCACATTGTTTCACCTGATTTGTGTGCATTAAGGGCGTCTGTGAATTTACATGAAGTACAGCAACCAGTTAGAAAGGTGTGGATGTATCAACAAGCTGCATTGGTTTTGGAAATGAGCTTTAATGGCCAAGATTACTCCGAATTGCTTGTAAATCAACAGAATTCTCAACTAAGAGATAGACTGATGTATTGGAGAAATCAAGTTTCAAATTCAACATTTTATTCTCAACTAGATTGTGATACCATTATCCCAATAGAAGTAGTTGATGGTATATACAGGTTGAAACATCTTCCATCAATTCCATCCTGTGCTGACGATTTTTTAAGACATTATTGGGTTGATCAGCAACTTTTCCATTTAATAATCAATAATTTGAATACCAAATTCTATGCCACTAGTGGTGAAACCTTAACGACTTGCCCATTTTGTTTTTATTCATGGAAAATGAGAAAGTTTTATTTCAAATTCCAAGATTTGAAGATTTGGCAGTGGAAAAGAACGGATGATCATTGGAAGAACTGTATTGGGTATAGTTTGAAAAATACTGGTATTTGTATTGCTCACGGATTGAATAGAATCATGTATACAATGTTAGCATTAACTATAGGTTCGAACGAAGATGATATGAGATATTTTGCAGCATTATTCAACACTGGATCTATTGACGACAGATTCCTCAATAAGCAATTGATGAAACCATATATCAGATCAGATTTGTTACTGTATTATGATAACATTGTTTGGACAAATAATGGTATTAAAGTTAAAGAAACCAACCCACAAAATCAAGCACGGAATAATGGAGTTGGATCAACAACAGTTGAATTTAATCAACTACTATTCAAAATGACAGACAAAATCGTTGTCACATTTGATGTATGGTTCCCAATTATGCAGAAATATTTTGAGGAGAGGAATAGAATAAGTTCATTATCCAGAATATCTCAATGTATTGCTCAAATGCAACAAGAACAACAAATTGCTGAAAGGCCGAAATTGGATGATAATATAAAGCGATTATGGAGGAATTTTCAAGATGTATGGAAGTTGTGCTATGATGATAGAGACGTTTGGAACGCTTATAAGGCTAATGATTATATTCTTCCAAAATTAATTCTAGAGATTTTCCACAAATCAATGTACAAGAATGTAGGCGAGTCTGCTAATGGTATTGCCGATTATGTTCATATCATTTGTTTCCATCTAATTGAATTATTTGAGAAATTCGGGCTTGCCCCATGGGAATATCATAATATTGATTCAGAAGCTTTACATTCGCATCAGAAGACTACTGAAAATGCAACAACTTTAAATGGTGGATGCTTTCATGATGAAACAGAGGATTTGCTTGTTATGGATTTGAAGAAATTCTTCTGTAGATTGGGTGATGACTCTTTCTTGTGTGATATCTATGATAATAATAAAGCTGTTTCTTATAGATAATCAAATGTCTTGAATATGTATGATTAGAAATGTCACATGTTGGAAAAATTCCCACTTCGCAAGTAGAACAAATAAGGATGTTGTTGGATTTATTTGATTTTTTATTAAGGAAACGGCTGCGAAACTCATTGAGTTCCCCCGTCGTATTTCTTGTGGTTTGACTCGCTGTGAATAAAATGAAATACTTTCCTTCTCAATTATTTTAAAAGATAGTGAAATAATAAATTGTAGAGAGTGAGAAAATAACACTGGCAAGCTATGTTCTTCTTTTGAGTGTTTCTCATCTCTTATTCATTGAATATAATGTTTTGCAACCATTATAAGTAAAATATTCCATGATTTTCACAAATTACTATACAATACTCGAGATTATATATTTAATAATAATAAACATTATGAATTGTTGTTTTATTGTTGTTTGATTTGTAATTGGGCTATGAATCAACTCTGGTAGCATGAAATATCGGAACTTGGTAAATTGACAACATGATGAAAATCTGATAATAAATATGATGTTTATTATCTATTTAAATAGTAGTACTAAAAGACATGATTCAAATTGGTGAAGTACGTGTTGAGTTATGGTCCATGTACTTTTTCATAATTCACACTATCATAACTTGACCAAAATTGATAAGAGAAAGTTCTCCTACCTACTATTGACCATTCCGAACAATACTACATTGACAGTTTTCCAACTTGTCCAGTAGATCCAGCAGTGATGATGAATTTAGTGAAATTTTGACATTTCAAATCAAAATTAAATTACTAAAAATTAATATCTACAAATATTATTATTAATGGAAAACAATAATGATGATGGTTGGTGAATGATCCGGTGGTCGGATGTTGAAACACCAACTTGTGATTTTCCATGCTGAAAAATAATTTCTAATTTCATGATGATAATCCACCAATAAAAATTACTATTATTATTACTATTTAGATAATGTTGAGATGATGCTGTGAAAGTTTGGTGCTTTCATCATGTAAAACCACTCCGAGAATCATCATGTCCATAGAGGACCATTTGTTGAATTTTTTTCAAATCTTTTTTCATAAATTGTAAAAGATAATTTGTCTCTTCGGAAGCTTGATCTTTTGATTACAGTTTCAAATTGGAAAGCAATATCCCAATCTTCTCGTTCCGTACTGGATCCTTTCACACAGCCAATCATTGAAAAAAATTGTTCCTTTGCCTTCTATCTCTTCATCATTTAAATTTTAATCTTCACAATATTAATAATCATATAGAAAAAATGTCTTTATCACCACCTCTCTTTATTATTGGCATTGATGTTGGTTCCACAACAACAGATTGTGCCCTGATTAATTATTCGGCAGGAAATATCGTGGAACATTCAATTAAAACACAAACTTCTCCTGATATCACAAGTGGCATCATGAAGGCAATTGATCAAGTCATGATGATGAAGAATGATCAACAAGTAAGTGGACAAAGGAAAGGTAAGATATTGTGTGTAATTATTGGAACGACACACTTTGTGAATGCCATTCTTTCCTTCTCTCCTGATTTGGAAAAGGTGGCTGTGTGTAGACTTGGCTCCTCTGCAAATAATTCATTGCCACCGTGTGAATCATTTCCTGAGAGATTGAAAGAGTTGGTTTTGGGAGATTATTATAAAATTGATGGTGGATATCAAGTGGATGGTAGAGAAATATTGCCAGTCAATCAGGATCAAGTGCAGCAAATGTGTCAATCACTCAAGGAAAAGAATTTGAAGAATATTGTCATTTCAGGTATCTTTTCACCAATTAATAGTGAACAAGAGAAACAAGTAGCTGATTGGATTAGAGAATTTTTCAATCATGATTCAGAATTGAAAATTACTTGTTCGAATGAGATTTCAGAGATGGGATTCATGCAACGTGAAAATGCTTCAATTTTGAATGCTTGTTTAAAGGGAGTTTCCAGATCAATTTGTTATGCATTTCAAGAAGCCATTCGATCAAAGTATGCTTGTCCATTCTTCTTGACTCAAAATGATGGTACCTTAATTCCTCCTAATTTGGTAACTGAATTTCCAATTTTCACAATTCAATCAGGTCCAACAAATTCAATGAAAGGAGCAGCCTTCTTATCAGGTGTGGAGAATGCAATTGTGGTGGATATTGGTGGCTTAACAACAGATGTTGGTGTATTGGTGAATGGATTTCCAAGACTCTCGAATAATAATGTCAGCATTGGTAATGTGCCAACTAATTTTAGAGTACCAGATGTTTATTCTGTGGCTATGGGTGGTGGCTCCATTGTATCTTTCAATGAAAATGAGGAAAATTCAAGTATTCAAATTGGTCCAAAGAGTGTTGGATTTAATATTTTCACTGAATCACTTTCATATGGTGGAAACACTGTGACAACGACTGATGCAGCTGTAGCACTTGGATTACTCAAAAATTGTGAATGGGGAGCTTCTCCAGAATTACTTTCTCAAACAACTCAAAGATTGGGAAAGAGAGCACCACAAATTGTCGACAAGATTCATTCCATTGTTGAGGAAGCAATTGACCATGTGAAAATTGCTTCTACCAATGTTCCTGTTCTATTAGTGGGAGGTGGATCATCTCTCATTGATGAGAATAGAAAATTTGAGGGTGTAAGCAAAATCATCAAGCCAAAACACTACCAATGTGCCAATGCTGTAGGTGCAGCTCTTTGTGATGTTTCTGGTAGAGTTGATACAGTGATTAACATTTCTGCTAGTGGTGGAAACAGAGAGAAGGTTATTGAGACGGTCAAAAAGGAGGCCACTGAAAAGGCCATTAAGAATGGAGCCAAACCAGAAAGTGTTGAGATAGTTGACTTTGAATGCATTCCTCTTGCTTATATTCCAGGTGATAGTTGTAGATTTTTGTGTAAGGCTGTTGGTAATTTGGACTTTAATTCCATTTCCAATAATTTGGAATTTCTAATTGAAAAACCTCTCACTTCTTCAAAGAGAGAAGAAAGAAAGGAACAATTCAGTAACGAAAAGACAAATCAATCCATTGTAAATATCAAATCATATCAACCAAATATTTCAGTTTCAGATAAGGATAATCGAAAGGAATGGATTTTAACCAAGACAGATATTGACTGCATTGAAATTGGATCAGGAGTTGTTTCTAGTGGAGGTGGTGGTTCACCAAAACAATCTGCTGTTCTTGCCAGAAGTCTCCTTTCACACGGCAAGGAAATCAAGATCATCTCTCCTGAATCAATCGCAGAAGATGCCTTTGTCTTGCCTGTTGCAATGATGGGAGCACCTCTGGTCATTCAAGAAAAGAGTATTGTTGAAGAATTCTTACCAGCCATTGAGTCCATGTCCAATTTCACAAAAAAGAAGATTGAAGCAATTTTCTGTATTGAAATTGGTGGTTCAAACTCAATTACACCACTCCTCATTGCAGCTACTAGTGGTTTACCAGTTGTTGATTGTGATGGAATGGGAAGAGCTTATCCAGAACTTGATATGGTCACTCACTTTATTGATGGCTGTTCACCTGTTCCTACCATGCTATTGGATGATATGAATAATCAAGTATTGATCACTAGTGTCAATCCTAGAAATCCGTGCAAGGGTTTGGAAAGTATTCTTCGTCCTATTGCAGTTCAAATGGGTTCCATGTCAGGTATCATTTTAAATCCTATCAGTAAGAAGGAATTAATGCAATCTACTGTTCACAACAGTTATTCTGGTGTGTGGTCGATTGGTAAAGGTATTTTAGAAGCTCATTCTCAAAGTTTGGATCCAATTCAAACTATTTTGAACTCGAATAATGGAGATCTTTTCTTTAGTGGTAAAATTTCTGATGTCAATAGAAAAACAACATCAGGATTCAATATTGGAAAATGTGTAATATCAGGATTAGGAAAGGATCAAGGAAAGATATGTATTGTGGAATTCCAAAATGAATTTTTAAGAGCTGTCATTGTCAAAGATTATGACCCATCATTGGAAACCATTCCTCAAGAAAGTATTCAATCTCTTGCCATTGTTCCAAACATTATTTCCATAGTCGATTCTCAAACTGGTTTGGCCATTCAAACAGAAGAGCTCAGATATGGATTCAGAATTTCTGTTCTAGTTTTGGGAGGAACTCCAAAATTCCACACTCCAAAAGGATTGAAAACTGTTGGACCAACAGCTTTTGGTTATCCAGAAATTACTGATCTATCATTCATCAAGACTAATGAATTTAAATCTATTTTTTAATTCATAAGTTTGGATATGTTTAATATTTTACAAGATAATGGTTTCGAATGAAGAGATTTAAACACCTTCGCCTTCTCTGTTGTTTCTATTTTCAATATCTATTGGGTCATTATTGTTTGATGCCAGTTGTTCAGCTGCTGCTATAATAGTTCCAGCTAAAATTGCCTTTTGTAAGAGTTTTTCTTCTTCCTTTTGTTCTCTTTTTCGCTTTCTATAAAGAACTAACAGAATAAAGCTAACAATTCCTACAAAGACAATTACCAAAAGAATCACGAATATTACAACGAAAGCAATAATACCTCCAAAATTGCAATTATTTGGACCTACACATGTTCCTCTACTTTCACAAACACTTGGATTGTCAGGTGCCAAACCAAAACAATCGAAATCGAATTGACAGCTAGATCCATACTTTTTTGAAGGACAGGAGCACGTATTGGCAGATACACAACTGCCAACATTCGAACAATTTCTAACCAATTCACAAGTTGGAATATCACATTGAAATCCTTTCCATCCTTCGTTACATTTACAAATATTTGGACCAATACATGAGCCATGGTGATTAGCACTATTACAATTATTGAGTTTTTCACAGCTAAATACTTCACAATTGATTCCTTTCCATCCGTCTTCACATTCACATTCGTATGGTTTCGAACATTTTCCTCTATTATTGCATGATAATTGACAATCTGGATCTTTACAATTAGATCCAAGCCAACCAACATTACATTTACAAGTATTTGGACCAACACATTCTCCGTTCAGATAACAATTTCCCTGATCTTCACAAGAAGGTTTCGAACAATCTAAACTACCTCTATATCCAGATGGACAATTACATTGATTAGGAGCTGTACACACTCCTCCATTCTGACACGATGGAGAACATGTAAATTGAGAGCAGTCATTACCACTCCATCCCTCCTTACATTTACAAGTATTTGGAGCGACACAAGATCCATGTGAATTGCAATTTCCAACTAGTTCACAAGAAACTGTTGAGCAATCAGGAGATCCCTTGTAACCAGATGGACATTCACATTGATTAGGACCATTACATTGTCCATTATTCTGACACGTAATCTTTTCACATGAAAATTGAGAGCAATCGTCAGAACCTTGCCATCCCGATTGACATTCACAATAATTTGAACCAATACACTTGCCATGACCACTGCAATTCTTAGCCATCGAACAATCAAAATCGTTGCAACTAGGACCAGACCATCCCTTCTTACATTCGCACTGATTAGGTCCAATGCAATGTCCATTCAAGCCACAACCATCAACTTTTTCACATGTAAATTTGGAACAAATTGAATCACCCAACCATCCATCATTGCAACTGCAAATTTGTCCAACACAGGTTCCTTGATTGGAGCAACTGGCAGTGCAACCTTGATTAAGGGAAGTGTAATCTGATTTTGTAATCTTACAATCATCAATAATGAAAAAGAAACCATTATCAAGATTGGAGAATTCAATTCTATTATTGGAATATTTGTTTCTCAATAGGACTAGATATTGATCTGCTATTCCTGCGTATACAGCTTGAAAATTCAAACTAAACGTGAAATTGAAAGTATTTCCATAAGTTTGAATTGAACTAAATATACAGTTAGAGCAATAAATTGATTTGGGAAGAGAAACAAATCCCAAATCCTTGTTGATTTGATAGGCATCATTGTTGTTAGATGTACTCGTAAGTAGAATGGCAGATGATGGATCCATATTGAAACTTCTATATAAGAAACTAAACTGATTTTTGAAAGTTGAATAAATCAATCCACTACTTGAAATTGTAAACGTTGTAATCTTGTTAGATAAAGGCTCAGTATAAAACAGCTCCATCTTCATACTTGCCAAATTAATCTTCCAAATAAACTTATCATGATTAAAGAATAAATACTTTCCATCATCACTCACTACAAACGTCCTCTTTTCATTGTCATTCATTGTTGGAAACCAATAGTCAACTTGCCAAATAGTATTCACTACACCAGAAGATCCAACCACTCTCAGAATTCTTGTACTACTCGTTGGTGTTATAATTCTATCAAAATAAAAGATTTTATCTGAAACTAGTGAGATTCCATCCACGAATGTGAGACCACATTTATCTGCTTGACAATGATCTTCTGTATAACCAAGCTTTCCATTGCCAATGATGGAGGAAACAAGATTGTCTTGTTGTGAAACTTTCATTATACGAAAGTTTGAGGTATCGTAAAAGTACAGGTCACCAACTAGAGATTCGAATAATGAAGTTGCCTTTCCAATGAGTGCTTGGTCCTTTGGAACACCATCTTTGAAGCCACATGTGCCTGTCCCAACAGAACCTTCGAATGCGAGCAGAAAATTCGCTTGAGTAAGGTTCAAGATCAAGCAGAAAATGACAAGACATCTTGTCAAATTATTATGGAGAGACATGTTTGAATTTTTTTGTATTTTACGTAAATTATTAGAAAGATTGAAAGGTCTGTCTAATGAGAATTGTTATTATTCGAAACGTGATTATTTTGAAAGGTGAATATTGCATTGTAAACTTTGAAAATCGCGATCACGTTTCTGAAAAGAAAAATGTAGTGTATTAATTCCTACACGATGCAGTAATCAATTAGATATTTAATGTAATTTCTTATTTTCTCTTCTCAATTCTTCCAACTCCAACTTGAGTTTTTCATTTTCTTTTCTCAGCATGTCCACATCTTTTTGTAAATTGAAATTTTCTTGGATCATTTCAGAATAGTTCAACAAGGGTCTCACTTCACGCAATTCTTTCATTTCATTCTCAATAGCCATGCTCAGGTCTGTAATTTCACCTTTTAAATAATTGATCACAGAATCAATGATTAACTTATAGGTGAAACAGTCCAATCTCTTTTTGGCGTTTCTCTGTATCATTGAAATGAGACACCTTGTTATTATCTCATTGACTCCGAATTGATTGTTAATATGGTTGTCTATCCACAATTTTATGGCATGATGGAGTTTCAATTCTCCCTCCAATGTAACTACTGCTGAGTGAAAATACAATCCATCATAGGTAAAATATCTATGCTTTTCATTGAAGAGTGAGAGGTCTGTTCCATTGATGAATCCTTTGTCCAATCTTAATGGACAATTAGTTAGTAATTCCAAAAAAATACAGCCCATAGAGAAAATATCACACGATGTGGATACCTCTCTATTTTGAATCAGTTTTGAGTCGTATGTTAAATCTTGACGGTTCTCTTCTTCGTAGGTGTTATCTGAAACTTCTGGAGCCATATATGAATACTTTCCAACATTGATTGTTATTGATTTTCCTAGTTCCACAACTCTAGATTGATCAAAATCAATAATTTTAAATGTGTCATTCACTTTAACAATATTATTTGGATCCAAATCTCTATGAGCAATGTTGTGATTGTGTATTGTTTGAACTGAATATAAAATCTTGGAAAATATCTCAAGTATTTCAATTAAGTGACTCTTTTCCATTGTTTTTTGATTAATATTATTCTTTCCTATTATTTTCCTAAGCGATTCATCTCCCATTTCCATTATAGTATACAAATGCTTTGTCTTTAAATGTCCAAACTCTATAATTCCACAATCAAAACATTTGATTTTACCTTCAATATCTTGCTTTAAAAACTCAATTCTCTTTTTTGTGTGATCTAAATCATATTCTGATTCAAATTTGATTTTGATGGCAAAAGTTTCTTTAAGCTCCAAATCGAAAGCTTTGAAAACAACCCCCTCAGCTCCATAACCCAACGTGGACAATAAATGATAGCGCTTGAAGGAAGAGTTTTCTCTAAAAATAATAGCTGCTGTAAGCACTCTATGGGTAGTTCCTGTGGTATTTCTATATTCTGATAAAATTGATTTGATATCTTTCCCGTTCGTTTTGTAAAGCAAATAAATTATTGAGCTATACTCGTGCTCTGAGTAAGCGTGAAACGAAAATTCGTTTGAAATATCATTAATTGTTTCAACTAGTTTGCTTCTTTTGGTGATCTTTTGGATACGATCTTTTAACAAGGTTTCCAAGTTCATACAAAATAGGAAATAGTCAATTGTTTCCGTAATGTTTGCTTCTACCTGCAAGTAGTTCTCACCTATAAGCTTTAAAATCCAAATAACAATACAAGTCTGTACAAACTCTAAAGAACACTCTGAAGGAGGCAATTCAGATGCATTATCAGATTCATCATCATTAAAGCCGATAATATTCGAATCTATTGTCTTGGATAACAAATTATAGAGCCCTTCTTCTTCCAAGTAAACAAAATCTACAACATGTACAATGGAAGTGTGTAATTTGAGTATCTTATCACCCTTTAATTCTTGGGATGCATATTTAAGTGCTTTTTCATTTTGTTTGAAAGCTTCCAAAACAATCTTTCTATCATTTCTGTAGCAAATAGGTGCGTATTCAAGGGACAAGCCATTTTTCTTCAAAATTGAAAGAAGAAATTCCTTTTCCTCCAATAATTTCAGTAATTGCTGTTCCTTTGCATGTAAGTCTTTAGTCTTGCAGAAAAGAACCAACTCTCTAAAGTTTTGGTCATCACATAGAATAAAGCTTAAACTCTCTGAAATATTACAATGATTTGGTTGAGAAATGAATTCCTCTGTGCGAGGATCATTTGTTAAAACAAGTGCCTTTAAGAGTGATGTATCTACTGTCTCAATAAAGTACTTGTCCAAATCTTTTCTTATATTAAGTAAATATTGAACGAGAGCCTGAAGGCCAGTTTTTCGTTGTTCAGTATCTGCAAGGAAGAGCTCAATCTTTTGCTTCTCTTCTGGTGTGTAAGGTAGGAAAAATGAATCCCGATACACGATAGATCTTGGAATTAAATCAGGAAATAGAGAGATAATCATACGTGGATCAACATTGCCCTTGGAGAAGTGGACCATAGCTTTTCCAAAATCACCATTAGTGACAAGGTAGAAACCATACTCTGTGTGAATAGCTTCAATTCTCCAACTCTCCAACTTGTAGATGCTATTTTCAACTGCTTCACAGATTTGAAGAGTCCTTTCGAATTGTTGATTATGTAAGAGTTCTCCAGCTTGGTAATCAAATTGCTTCATGACTATTACATAAATGGCATCCTTAGATGCAAGGAAGCATCTATTTGATGGATCTATTTCATCATCCCTATCAATCTTATCCCTAGAAGTAGATCCAACCCCCATACCTCTGTCAATGTTTTGTGGATTGTCAAAATCTATGAAATTTTGCTGGCTCATTGCAATGATTTCATCCTTGAGTGGAATATTCTGGACCAGAGTCTCACTTGTAAGTTGATCATGTAAAATTCTAACTTCAAGTCCTGCTGATAATACTGCAATGAGAAATGGATTTAAATAAGCCACCATGTTTGGAACCTCACTCCAAGTAATGTATCTACATTTTGAACCAGAAGAGTCGATAAATACCCCTATCTTATTCACAGAGAGAACGGTTTCATTTGGAAGTGACAATCCAAAAGTATTTTGTTGAACTCGATTCACATAATCCATTACCTTTTGATGACCTATGGGAAGCTTTTGTAAATCAATTAATGAATATTCCTTTTTGAGACCAACACAAAGTTTTTCTCGGCTCCAATTCAAGGATTTCACTTCATCTGAAAGTACCACTTCTTGTATAAATTTAAATGTTGATTCTTTGCTATCATACTTTAAAATTGAGATAGTTTTCTTGGAAGCAACTGCCATTGTAAATTCTCCATTGTGTTTTTTAAGAGCAAAGCTTTTCGAATTCTTTAAAATTCAATCAATCATTTCACAACAATTATACAAACCTGTGAATTTTTGATTGTATCAATTTCTCTCATCATACTCAATGTAAATAATTTAATGCACCCATCAGTTAAACAAATTAACATTCCCAATTCAGATACCGAACACATTTGAGTTACGGGTTTCTTGGTAAATTGTTTCTTTTGATTGTACAATGAACAAGAAAACTTCTTTTTATCACTAGAGTACATTATAATATAACGTGATAAAGAACAATCATTTGTTGCCACAAAGAGGGTATTTAAATAGGTACATAATGACTCAACCTTTCCCAATCCATCCAATAATTGGAAATACTCAAAGGCTGTATGTCCCATATTATTATTATTCATTATTAATTTGCTTTCCGATCGTGGTGAGATGAGCACAAATTGTTTTCATATTTTTTTTTATTTTGAGAGCTTTCCCATCACCACTCTATTGATTCTTGGTGTAATTTCACACCTATTAACTCCGAGAATTTAACCACATCATCATGATTTAAATAATACTTATAATTTTTGGAATATAATTAGGTATTTTTATCAGTTTCATTATCATTCACTTTGGAATATTCATGGTCACCACTCATAATCCATGCCATAACCATTAATAACTTTTTTTGGTAGTTATTGTAGATGTACTGTACCTTATCCATTATTTCGTCTTGACATTGAATGTATGGAATTTTTTACGTAATTAAGCAACACCTTTTCGAACCCTTATTTGAAATTCCATTAAGGAAATTACACTCCATTTCCGAATCCTAACTCAATCATATTATTAATAAATTTGCTTTCCTATCAAATCGTATTCAGCTTGTTAATATAATTCTCTATCACCACACAATTAAATGTTAATGATTAATGTGTGATGATGTGGGGATTCCAGATAAAAAAAAACTGCGCCATGTCTTCATCTTCTTCCTTACTAGCCACCCTTCCAAGCGCCTCTCTCTCAACCATTAAGAGGAGAAGGAGCGAGTTGGTAACTCTAGAAAAAATTCTCAAAGGACAAGATGATCAAATCAGAGCAGAGATTAATTTGTTTGAACAAGTTGAACAATTTTTTGAAACTACGACCAATAATAATCGCAGTAGTGGTGTTGTTATGAAGCATTGTGCTAATTTCATCAAAGCAATGCGGAAAGTAATCGAGAATATCAAGGGAAAGGTTGTAATTTCGTTCTTTGCCAAGCCTGGTTATGGCAAATCCTTCATGATCAATAATGTGATTAGTGGATTTGAATGTAGATACGACAGCCCTCTTCCTTCTGGTAGATGTAGTGGCAAAGGACTCACTACCACTGTGATTGATGTAAAGTACGGAGAGCACTATAACCTAACCAAGGTAATGTGTACTCAGGATGAGTACTTGTTGAGAGCAAAGCTTTTCAATAAGAGCAATGTTAAAAATTATGAAGCAAAAGATTATGATTTCAAGAGAGAAACTGTAACTATTGATAAAGATAATACTCTTGTGAGTGAAGATGAAATTTGCAAGCGCGCTCTTCAAAGGATTGCACTTTTCGAAAAGACTAAGGGAGAATTTGATTGTTTGACAGTTAAAAAGTTGATTTTGTATATTCCAAGCCATATCTATTGGCAAACAACATTATAGTAAGAGATATGCCAGGTTATGATGAACATTCCCAATCAGATTTGTATAAGCAGTACATTAAGGAAAGTATGGAAGATACTTGCATTCTTGTTTCAGGAATTGAGAATTTCAGAAGTATTTTTGATGATGGTCTTGTTAAGAAATATTGGGAATATGGCATCTATTCACCAAAACAAGCTTTCGCTCCATCTATTATGATAGGTGTAAATGACAAGGAGCAAGGGGATGCTAAGGAATATGAGCGTACTGACTTGACAAATGATCATGAGACCTTGAAATCCAACTTTAGAGATCAAATAGCAAACTTTTTCGATATTTACATTGAAGGAGCAAAAAAGTTAGATAATTGCAAGAATGAGGAAACCAATTTTATGGAAAACAAGATTGAGTTTGTAACAGACTTGAGCACCAATGTTTCAGTTCTTGCATTTCCACCTAAAAACCACAAATCGGAAATATTCAAAAAGCAGTTTTCTACTCAAATAGAACAAGCAAGATTCAAAATTATTGAAAATAATTGTGGTAGATTAAGAGACATTGCAATTATTATTCTTTCAAATATTCTCTGCAAGACAACTAAAGAGAAAGAAGCTTCAGTTGATCTTAAAAAAAAATTGACAAGCCTTAAAACTAACATTTTAGAAAAATTGAATGCTAAAATAGAGCAAACAAAAACTGTTTCACCAACCTATGAGGTTCTTATGGATGGCAATGAAGCTTTTTCAGCCATTCAATTCATCACCAATTTGTACAATTTTTTCAAAAAGGGAATTGATGAATGTTTTAATATGACAGACATGGAAGAAATGTTAGAAAAAGGCAAAAAATCAAGATTTCAAAAAGAAGAAAAGAAAAAAGAATGGAAAGAAATATATGAAGATTTCCATAAAAACTTTCTTGCAATAATAGAAACAATGAAGGGGAATGCTAATGAGTTGGCAAGTGACTTGAATTCATTTCTGAAATTAAAGCTACCTGCTATTGAAGCCGAGTTGGAAGAAGAATTTGTAAAAAGTTTAGTTAATGCGCTGAACCCTGAAACAGAAGAAGAAATTGAAAACGATTTGATCTTAGAAATTTACAATTATATTTGTGATTACGCTGACAAGCTTTCAGAATTTTTGAGAGATACTGAAAAAATTCAAAGTTTGAAATCATCAGAAAAGGACAAGATTAAGGATCTTCTTGAAATTTACAAGAAAAAGAAACCTCAATCAAGCACTCTTGACATTACCTTGAAATCAAAATTACAAAATCCTCAACTCTCTCCAACCTCTGGTTTGAAATTTCCTATTACTGAGAGCCGTCAGGTCTCAGATTTAAAAACTAAAGAGTATGTCGTTCCCATAGACCCGGTTAGTAAATTCTCCCTTCCAAAGTTGAAAAAGAGCGATCTGATATTGGAAAAGTTGGATATGAGTGATTCAAATAGTAATGAGGCTGTCATTTCCTTTGATTGGGAATCAAAAAAGCTATCTATCTCTTATTCTGAAGATTGGAAACCAAATCTAATGATTACGCCTCTTACTGAATTAGAGAAACAACAATATCTATTTTTCATTGTAACTGAGCGTCGCTATGTTGAAAGATACAAGAAGATATTGAAGGAATCAAATTTTGAATCCAACTATAATTTTTTAATTCTGGATGAAAATGTAAAATTAGGATATGCCAGAGCTGAAACTTGTGTATTCTTAACTTGTGAACATTTTCAAATGGAAACTGCCATTATTATGCATGATGATATTAGACTTTTCTATGAATATTTACACGATCAAAAGATTACAACTCCTCATAAATATGCCATGACAAGAGCTTGTTTACAATTAGAAGATACATTGTATGAAGAATTATTTGCTCCAAAACAAATTAATGAGGTTGTCGACAAGTTAAATAGTATCCTTACGGTAGAAAACTTGTCCTATTCACTGACCAGTTTGATGAAAAAGATTGACAAAAATGAAAAATATGAAAAACTGACTGATGAAATGAAAGAAAAACTATTGGAAACTGTCACAGAATATATTGCCAGCATTAAGAATAATGACTCTAGAGAAATAGCATTGGCTAAAGTTGCAAAAAATCCAAATACCTTTATTGAATATGCTACAATTGCAGGACTTAAAATTGTTGATGACGTTGTGAAACTGTTTGACAGAGCTCAACATGTTGGTAGAGTTTCCTTGTACGATTATCAAATTAATCCTACCACAAGAAACAAAGTTTATGGTCTAAGCAAACCAACACACATTCTTTCTAACTCCAAATCTTCAGTCTACATTTATTATATTAGAGCAATGAAGGGAATTCATTCAATTAGTGATGAAGAGTTTTGGAAGAAACCTGTTGACACCGAAAGAAAGAAGTTTTTAAAGAAATTCACTTCAAAAAACAAGACTGAATCTTATTGGAAACAAGTTGCCGAAAAGGGATACAGATATGCAGATACTTTCTTGAAAACTCAAATGCTCTTGCATGGTGTTGGTAGTTTCCAATTATTCTCTTTTGCCTTCTCATCAAATTCAAATGCTCCATCTTTAAACGACTACAACGATGCAAAGAGAGGTGAAAATTTTGACAGTGATAATGAACAAGAGACTGGAATTGAAGAAATTGCTGCTGTTTCTGATAACAAGAAAAGAAAACGAAACCTCAAAAAATCCTCTTCAAAGAAATCTAAAAAATAACTCAATTGTACTTGTATAATAAATAATAAAATGATTAATATTACAAAATATTAAATATTTAATAATTTACAATTAGTACAAATAAGGCAAGAATAATCATCAAGACATTCAAAGAGATAACATTCACTCCACTTCCCATTGAAGTTCTAGTTGAAGTTGAAACTTTCTTTGAAATTGCTGGATTTCCATTATTATTATTATCATTACTAACACCCAAGGAGGCATATAATTTTCCAACCTCAGTCAAGCTTCCATCCTCATTGAACACAGCACTGAATCCCATGATGGGATCCTTTGGATTAATTGGTGCAAACCATGAAAATCTTTCCACATATGATCTTTCTAATAAACCTCTCACTGTCACATTCATAAAGTTGATGGCATCTTTCTGAGTGTATGGAGCTGGTTTTGAAGCAGTTGCACTCCAATCGGCAGCTGCAAATTCAGTTACCCAAATTGGGAGTTTGTATTTCTTGTAAGTTTCGTCTACCATTTGAAGAAATGATGAGCCATATTGTGGAGTTCCATACCAATGGACAGCAATAAAGTCAACTTGCAATTTAGATGTAGTTGCAAGAGTCATGAATTGAGAAAGCCATGAATCAGTGGAAGGAGCATAACCAGCCATAGCAGGAGAACCCAACTTTCGTTTAGTTTCCATCAATTTCGGCCACAAATTAACTGCTTGTTGTGGAGTCAAATTCGATTGCTCGCTCAAATCAGGTTCATTAAATCCCAACAAGACATTATCCATTCCTTGTTGATTCAAATTTGCCAACTTTGTCATGGTTGCATTATTAATTGAACCACTTCCCCAAATTTGTGGAACATATGAAGTGACAGATGGCAGTCCAGTGGAAGGAGCAGAATTTCCCCAATTATAACACCAAGCAACATTCAACGATTGCGCCAAATCTTTGTAAGAATTAGTTTGTGGAGCTCCAGAGTTTGGAAATGCCATTCCCTTTTTTGGAGATATCACTAAACAGTTGATAGAGTGGAGGAAGAGAAATAATGTGAAACAGAGAGTGCAGAGGACACTCAGTGGTAGTTTAGTCATTTTTTTTTAGAGTTTGATTTTTGGACTGTTTACATGTGAAGAATCGAATAACGATGTGATTGGTGAATATGGGTTTCCTTTTATGTTTTATTGGGAATATTGTAAAGCAACATTAGTGCTCCCTTAATTCTATCAACTTCGGTTAACAATTTCCATTAGAACAGAGTTTCGAATTGTTTACAAATTTACAGTTCACAATCTTTGTGCAAGGAGCAAGATCAAAGTTGATTGTAAAAAATATTTAAAAACCACAATTCCTGACTATGCAACAATCTGAACTATTTATTGTATCGTAAAGAATCGAATAGTGGTGGGAATGAAAGATTTGTTAGTGATCATTCAAGCAAATACGCCTCGTTATTTAATTAGTAACGCGCAAGGTGGAACTGAACATGATTGCTGTGTGTAGGACTCATTCCTGTGGTTCTGCTTTTAGTTTAGAGGAAGGATGGTACGAGTTGACTTTAGTTGGGAACCTTGTTTTAACATATCTAATTTTGTTACTTCAGTATTTCTCAAATTTTCACTGTATTTTCTCTCCAATATTTTATCCGATTTGATTTCAAATAATCTTATCATTCCTTGCAATCCTTTAAGCTTGAATTCTCCAAGATCGTTTGCATGGTATTTCAACTTTCTATCTTCTGATTTAGTTGATTCTGTATTTTCACTATATTTGATAGATCTTCCTTTTGTGCTGAATATTGCCTGGAAATCCTTGGATTTTTTGCTTTCTCCTATACCATTCACACTTTTAAATGAAGGACTAATGGTTTCCAAATAAGTTGCTTGATTATCTTCCTTTAAAGTGATGGATTTGAATAAATTAGTTCCATGAATTTTCCACAACTCTGAGAACATATCTTCACTAATTAAAACTTGACCACCTTGGGTAGAAGCCTCAATTCTAGCAGCTGCATTGATAGTATTACCAAAGTAGTCTGGTCTGTTCACTACCTTGTCAAAGATCTTCTCTGCATAACCAAAATGCAAGCCCATTCTAACTCTAATTCCATTCCAAACTATCTCCTTGGTTTCATTATTAAACTCTGTTCTACAATCATACATTTGTAATAGTTCGGATGGCCAAGCAATGGACATTAATTCGTGTTGACAGCTCATTGCCCAATCTATTCCATCCAGTGGATCCTTGAATACGACATAGAAACAGTCTCCTTGAGTCTTGACCTCAAAACCTTTGAATAAGTTGAGTTGATTACGCAGAACATCATTGTGCAATTTGAGACCTTCTCTCATTCCCTTTTCACACTTTTCCCATAAAACGGTCGAGTTCTGAATATCTGTAAAGCAGCAGCAAATGTTACCAGTTTTAGGTGCATTCTTGGTATTACTTTCTGATCTTGAAATACAAACATAAGCGATTGATATGGCAATAATAACGAGCAGAATGACAAAGAACCCAGCCAATGAAATCAAAACAATTGCAGTAGTCGATAGCACAGGTTTGACAACACTCACACCACATGAACTGCTGAAATCGAATGCATAATCAATATCAGTGAAAGTGTAATAATTTTCTGTTGGAACGATATTGACTCTGCTCAAGTAGACTTTTCTTGGGGCTTGGTTGCAATCACAAGTTGTTGTACTTTTCTGATTACAAGAAGAAGAAGTTTGATTTGTTGTTAATTGACTTGATTGACTGGAGCATTCCAACCCAAATGGTCCAAAAGTATTCAATCCAGAAATATCAAATGTTTGAGCAGAATAAATTCCTGAAAATAGATCATCAGTACTCAGTTTCGTAATTCCCATTTCTTGGTAAATTCTATTAAGGAGTGTTTCAATGAAAAATCCTGTAGAGTAACCTTCCAATGTCATGTGTGTTGCTGTACTATTGTAATTGTAGTTAGACATGAATAGTGAGATAAAAGAATTCTGTTTGTCAGTATGTAGAGAACTGGTTGACAATGAACAAATATCAGAGCTGTAAATCTTTGGAGCAAAGGTAATTGTGGACAAATAGAGGAAGTTATGAGCAAATAGAGCAGACTTGTAATTGTTAACAGTGAAGGTCTTTGAAACAAAGTCATTATTATATGCTTCCGATAGAATTCCAATATTAGGCGTATATGTTGTTTGATACATAATCAAGGAAGATATGAATGAAGCTGACATTGATGACCCAGATATCAAAACAATTGATTGAATATTTCCTTCTTGAAGTTTAACTCCCAATGAACTAAAATCACTGCTGCCACTAAAGCCTTGTATTAAAGATATTGAAATACTATTATATTCCAAATACTCTGCTATTAATGGAATTGATTGGTTGGTCCAGTAAGGAATATTGTGATAAATAATTGCAATAGATCCATAATTCTTGAAATAAGAAATTTGAGATGCAACTTCATCTAACACAGAGGATTTCATATTGATAAAATATTTGGAGAATGGTTTTCGCAATTCTAAAGAATTGGAAGTTGTAAGCATTGGCGTATCATATGTTGTAAGAATTTGTTTGATATTGTCAATTGTCGCAAAATCTTCATCACTAGAAAAACCAGTTACAAATGCAAATACCTTCTGTCTAGTTATCATATTTTTCACCTTAGTTTCAAGACTCCATCTACTATCTGTAAACCCGAAATATTCTGTTCTTATTTGAATTTTCTGGTTAGTAGTTTTGGTATTGTATACGTTTATGTAAGATGAAAGTCCTTTCGAGTAGTCATCTGCATCGATTACGTCATTTAGTAAACTTAGTTTTGAAGAACTCAATGATTCATCACCAGAGAAAGGTATTAATCTGGCAAACACCAAAGGTTGTTCTAATGAGGAAATATCTATTGTAGGAGCAGCACGCTTTTTGCTATTCTTATATTTAACAAGACCACACCCATTCATATCATAGTTTCGAATATTGAATTCAGAAAAAGTCTGTGATTTTTGATTGTAAGCATAGATATAGTTTGTTCTTAATCCTAATGAACAAGGGCTGGATCCAACAGACAGCTTTCCAAAGCTTACACCAGCAGAAGTTACTTGCTGTACAGTATACATGTAGTTCAATAGCCCTTTAGCGTCTAAATTACCTCCACTACTATCGATAAATGCAGAGATCATTGCTCCAATAATATAGCCCTCAAGATAAGCAGTATTATTTCTATAATTAATTGAAGGAAAATATGTATCCATTGAATTTTCAAAATCTGTTATTACTTGAAGAGTAGAGTTGTAGGATCCTGGAAGATGGCTCACATACTTTACACTCAAGTTTTCATCGACAATCAAAGAAAGTGGTGTTGAAAAAATAGCTTCAACACTCGAATCAAATAGTGAATTGATCAAATAAACAGATAATCCCTTTCTAAATAGTGGGCTAGAATTCGAATAGGTCTTTTTGATTTGTGAGATGATACTGAGAATTTGGTCTGGATTACTCAAAGTAAGAAAGATGGAGTGAGGGTTAGCAGTGTTAGAACTGAGTTGATTAATAATTGAGTCTAATGAAATTGTTTCAGTGGCATCAACCTCGCTATCGGTCTCTATACCAATCGAATCCAGAATAGACTTTAACAATTGTCTAACCTCGACTGAATTTGAATTTGAACTGCTATAGACGATACTTATTCTATTCTCTCCATTTTTCATGCTATAATCTATTACGGTACCCAATTGATCCATTATTGATGGAAATACATGAATAAAAGATGAAACAAATGTATTTCTCAATACCATACTATTTGTTGAACGCACCCCAAATAAAGGAATATTTGAAAATTCTGAATATCCTCTAATATCTATGGTTGAATTGGTATTTGAACTGTCCAAATTAATACTCTCAGCAGAAACCCCTACAAATGCAACACTTTCATGGAGAGTTTTCAGTTCTACAACATTTTTCAACATTGATGCTGAATCATCGTGATATAGTGTTTTGAGTTCAATATTTCTTGTATAATTACTATTTCTTTTTGAAAGAGCAGCATTAATACCCACAGTAATAAATTGATCTCTCAAAGAGGTTGATAAAATAGATTGACCTATTATAATTTGTTTTTGAATTTGAGCAGTGTCTGAAATACATTTTTGGGTGTCATACCACGAAAAGTCCCTGAAAATATTAAATCTAATGTTAGTATTGTTCTTGAGCTCTATATTACTGAGGTAAATAATTTTAAGTCCTTGATTACAATTATCAGAACATGAACCAGATACTACTGTTTGATTGCTAGGTGAAAGGAAATGATCGTACAAATTGACAGCATTGCAATATTTGTATCTACCAACTTGAACCGATTCAAAATTGAAATAACCACCAGCATTTGTTACATCACTAACACCAGATGTAAAGTCGAAATATATACTAGCAATAAAGTTAGACCTTGTTAATGATCCTATCATGTTTTTGAGCACAGTAAACACAAGTTTTCCTACTAAATAACCCTCTAGCTCAATAAAAGTAAACGACACAAGTGATGGATCAAGTCCCAAATTTTTAGCATACTCCTTTCTAGAACGTTGATAGGATGAAACAATGGGATAGCTGGTATCCATTGGACTTGGAACCACTTGAGAAATTACAACATTGTCCGTATAATAGGTCTTTCCATAGGCAAGAGAAGGAGGTTGATAGGAGGATAAATCTTCTGTCAATGCTGATGATCCAACAAAACTCACAGTAAGGAAAGTAATCTGATTGGCCTTGCTGTATCCAAGTGTTGAATTATAAGGGGAGAAGGCTACATCCTTAACCAATCTTATATATTTCGAAAGAGGAGCATAGGTTCCAATCAAAACTATTGCCTCTGGATTGCATTTACCAATTGTATTGAAAGCATCCTCAACCTGCAGAGTATTTCTTGGGAAGGTACCACTAGAACAGAGCGAAATGTTCAATCTCTTCACCAATGATCTATTAATTCCTGACAAGCCAGCATTACCAAAAGCATCATTCTGATACATGATACTAATCCTTCTTATCAATTTGACATTTACCAGCCACTCAACCATAGCAGCAGTTTCGTCATCATACGAAGCACGAATATTAATAATATTTGGATAGAAAGGTGTTCGAAGCCAACCAACTCCAGTGAATGATCCAATCAGAGGCCAAACCTGACTCAGCACATCAGTAAAAACATTCTGCACTGTTGGAGTACCAACAAAACCAATCAAGCCAAAGTATTTTCTTCCTTTTACCTCATCCAATGCGATACTATTATTGAAAATAGCCTGATTCAATGTTGACGTATTCGGAGGAGTAATATTATAGAGAAGCAAATTGGTATTCACCTTTGTGTTGGTTGGTTCGTAGGCATCATCTAGAGTTAAGAGTTTCAACTTTTTACCTCCAAAAACACCTCCAAGTGCATTGAATTCATTAAAGGCAGTCAAAATACCATCCCGCATTTCAATTCCAAGTCTATGAACCACCAAACAAGAACATGTTGTTTTTATGTGGTCATCACGATGTTAATATTTTTTTTAAATATTTGAATTTAAAATTGGGCGGGAAATTTCCAATTAATGAAATTTGTATGAAATTCCAATACTTACCTCTTGGAAGGACCTGTTAGTGGTGCGGATTGAGCAAACCAAATTTCATTGTCCAGATCCCATGTTGTTGTATCAGAAGATGGATTTGAGGGATTTATTAGAGCGTTGGTTGTGATGAATAGAAACAGGACGAAACAGCTAATGATTGAAATTAGTTGTAAGGGTGAGAGAACCTTCATCATTGAAATGAGATTGAAAGGTTTTTTTGATGTTGGTAGAGTTTGAAAATACACAAGTATGAACATCTTTTACTGATTGACCTGCAAGAGTACAAGAGATTGAAATATATTGATGGGCGTAAATAAATTTGGAATACATTTAATGGCGCTCAATATTAGAGTTACTTCTGTTACAAGTTGAGATAAAAATATGATTCTTACTGAGATAGCCTTTTCGGATTGACTTGATTTGTCAAATAATTCACCAAAGATTCTGTCTCTTTATTTCATGCAAAAGATTGTCGTTACATGTCGTTCACATCTTCCGAGATAAGAATTAGGACACATGTTCCCCTTAAACTCTAAACATGTGTCAGAACATGTATTCTATAAATTTAAGATTGAATTTGCTACTTGAGAATTACTTACAAATAACTTGTCGTGATCCTTAATATAGGTAGTTGCAGAACCTCCACCATCAACATTTATAGCATTCTTAAATCCAAGGGAGAGCAATAAATCAGTAAATTGATACAAATTCAAACCCCATTTGAGTGGTTCATATCCATCCATTTGAAGAATCAGCAAATTTCCATTCGCATCGTTTCCAATGGCAACACGAGGAGCAGCCTCTTCTATAAATCCAGTTGAAGTTTTTTCAATTTTAACTGATTCATTAATGTAGGACTTTCCTTCTCTCACCAACCATACAACTCCCTTTGTTTTAAAGATTGTAAAATAAATTACTAGTTAACATTGAAGAATTACCTACTTGAACTAGTTGAGTGATTTTCAATTTTTCATAATCAGTTTGATTCAAATATCCAAAAACATATTGAGCATTTCCTTTGCCATCATCAATTAATCCAAAGGCAGCATTTGGATGAACTCTCCCATAATCATTTAAAACTTTTCCATTTGAAATAACCTTTCCCAAACAATAGCCATTGGCCACATCAAAAAATCCTGCATTGGTTGCTACAATACAATCATTGAGCTTGGCTGTATCACTTGTTCTTTCCTTACAAGGTGTGTCTGTGAAAGAATTCGTAGTAGAAGGCTGACAACATCTTCCATGTGGTGCCAACACATGAAAATGAGAACTGACACTTGTCACTCTAATTAAATTTCCACTCAATTTCTGATTCGGAGCAAATGGCAAACTTTCATTCTTCAAATGTACATGTGAATATTGCAAATCCTTTTCAAAATTCTTTGAAGCTGTTACTATTAAATAATTCGAAATCAATCCACTTCTTTCTTTAAATTGTTCCGATTCGAAAAATCCATACGGATGACTAGAATGATCCATCAATTTAATATTTTTCATATTTTCTCCTCCTTTGATTTTATCTTTGATAATAGAACGATGACAATTTACCATCACTACCACTACTAATAAAACGGATAAAACAAGTGGTAACCTGAATTTATGATGATTTGATTTCGTCATTTTTTTTAAAGATTTTTTAAAACTATTTTACGCGGGAAAACTTTCTTCACTTGTTTCACTGTAGTTTCAGCAAGTTTCAATCACAGCAAGAGAATTTGATTTCTCGTTTGCAAATTTGTTATCCAATCATTTCACGTTTCCGGAAAACTTTACAAAATGAAAATGGAATTGAAAATAAAAACCGCGTAATTTCATGATTTTAATATTTTTAAAAAAATCAAAAGCCTCTTAGTCTTTTCAAGCACCTAACGCTTTGCCCGTTACCAAGCACATCAAACAGCACCATCTATCCACCTTTGACCAACAAGATGTTTGCCCAACACGTTAATTTCTTTACCACTAATAATAATAATAATAACAACAATGACACTGATTTCTTAAGCCATGAGGATGCCATGCATGGTTGGAATGAATACCAAGCAGCACAACGACAACAATTCACCTCATCTGTTGCTTCAGTTGGCTCTGAAGTAATGGATGAATTTGCCACTTTATTTAAAACCATGGATGAATTCATCTTTCCAGTAGTAGTTGAAAAGGTTGGATTGGAAGAACATCTCCCTGCAGCTGAAGATCAACAAATGATGTCCTTGGATGACATTTATCAACAATTGAGAAATTCTGCTCTTTCCCCAACAAGCTCAACCTCTTCTGCTTCCTATCAAAGTCAGGATGTGATTAGCACTGGTGCTGCTAGTTCTAGTAGTAACAAAGAAAGCACCTTTGATCAATCCACATTCGTCCAAAAGAAGAAGAAGAGCAGTAAGAAGGCAAAGCAAGACGAAGAAAAGACAGTGAACAAGAGAGCCAAGAAGAATAGTGCTGATGATTGGCAGTACACCAAATTCTCTGAAAGCAATTCCTACTTGGAAATTAACACCAACACACCTGAAGTCACCATTGCTTTTGAAGTTTACCAGACAAAAAGAAGACAAACTGTTGCTTTAAAGTCTGATAAAGATACAATGACAAGGGTTTGTGAAATCTCGTTCCAAATATCAAACTTGGATACCACCAAGACAAATTATGTATCACTGAAGAAGCGTTTCGATAAGGAGGCAATCTATGGCAATGCAAAGCCAACCAAGCTCTCCACCTGGATTAGATTGAAGGGTACTGAAGAGTATCTTTTCTTCTACTGCCAAACAGGTAAATCTTGTGGTGTACATAATGTTGTTAACTATGAATTTGGAAAATTAGAAACCAGATCCACTCATCTTTCAAAATACTCCACCAAGTGTTCAAACGGTTTTCACATCATTAGGTCCAAAACAGACTAAGTATTCACCTACTTGGTTTGCTATGAACCTAGCAAGAGAACACTTTACTTTCAGATCATTCTTGCATCAATATCACAAGAATTCCAACATATGGATCTTGTATATTAATGCAGCAAGGATTTGAAAGTGAAGGTTTAACTTGCTTGCATGTAAAGAACAATTAATCAATTTTCAAACAAACACTTATATATTTTCATAATTACTGCTTCACTAAAATTCGTAGTTTCCACAAACTGCACATCTGATATTAAGGATTTTATTCAATAAGATCTTTTCCATTTTTTGCTGCATCGAATTGTTGCTGATTAGAATATAAATATGTTGCCTTATGGTAGACGTTTTTCGCAATATTGCACACTGGCAATGTTTCAACAGTTTGAGAATGATCTGTTGATTTAATATGTAAAGATCCATGAATGGCCCAGCACAATGCACCTCCAAATGGACCGTTAGGATCTTGAATGTAGGCAACCTGGAAATCGAATTCTTTAGGTTCATAAACAATTGAATATTCTCCACTAGCCAACTTTTCCTCAAATTTCTTAATAAATTCTTCCACTTTAATTCCTCTTTGTAATTGTAAAATCCATTCCCAAATTTCCCTCTCTTCCTCATTACTCTTATCCAACACAATTTCATACCTTCTCAATTTTACTCTACACACAGCATCCAAATGTTTATAGTACCACTGATAACCCATTTGAGTTTCATCCCTCGTCTTTTCAACACTAATTGTTTTGTTGGCATCAAAGACAACACACTTCTTCAATAAACTAGGTAAAATCCACGAATTAATCATTTCATCATAACCAAGTGGAATTGTAAATCCTACCTGAGCTCTCTCAGCAACTGATGGCAATTCACTCAATAAATCCAACATGTTAATTTCATCATTCACAGGTAAAGCTCGGGAGGGATCTTTCTTTGCTTCCTCGATTCGTTTCTTCAAAATCGACTTGGTCAAACATTTAAGAGGCGAATCCATAAATTTACGAAAATACTTCTCCTCTTTTAAATTATCAACTGAAATTCCCATGCCCATTTTCTGCTATTATTGCTATTTTTCTATTATTACAATTATAATAATTATTAATATTTATACAGTTGTGTTGAAGATGATAAAATACAATTTTCCCCGAGGTGTGTGATGAAAGCTGTTGATGTTAAGGCAATTTTTTCTATTTATTTGAATTTCCAGAGATGAATTTGGGGATGACATTACAATAATCTTACAACATTGAATTAAGTCACCTCGGTTTAGATTTGTTCCTTAATAAATAGCAACTGTAATCGCGTTGTTAAAACAGACAAGTATTAAGAATGTACTATAATGGGCGAATAGATTTATAAGTAGGCTTTTGATACAATTAATGTAACCGATGATAGCTCAGCTGGTAGAGCATGGGACTGTAGTTGTAATTGTTATCCTGTGGTCGGCGGTTCGATTCCGTCTCATCGGATCTTTTTACCTGTTCGTTAAAACAAGTTTATTGATTTAGATTTGCCCTTCTAAAATTTGGTCTATAGAAAATAATGCACTTCGAGGAAGTTTTCTTTTGAGCCAACCTAATCTTCTCCAAGAACTCTCCTCTCTTAATTCTCCAATTATTCTTTGGTTTGTTTACAATTTGAGCTGATTTTTGATTCTTTCTAATTGATTGTAAAGTTTTCAAATCCTTTTCAGAGAGCAAACGTTCGAGCTGAGTATTTCCACAAATTCTACTGTGATATTTAAAGTATTTGGAGGAAAGACACTTGTTGCATTTGGAGCATTGAATAATTGAATCCTTCTTGTTGTTAGATTCCTTTTTTGGTTGAGTTGACTCTTTAATTGATTGGCAGCTTTGATTTTTGAATGAAATCTTTTCTGATTTCTTAGAAGAAACCCCTTTCAATTGTTGAAGAATAAATTCCATTTGCAAAATTCTTCCTTTCAATGTTAAATTTTCAGTTTCTAACACATTATTTTCATTTCTCAATGTTTCTAATAATTTCTTGTGATTCTTCTTTTGTTGTTCGAGTTTTTGCTGTTTCAGAACCCAATCAACTCTAATGGACTTTCTTTTTAAATATGGGAATGGAATTGTTCTCTTTGCAATTGGAATTTCAAATGTGGAAGTACTATTCGAAAGTGAACGATTGCTAATTGGTTGATTTTCAACATTTGTGAATGTTTTTGGAGATGAAATTCTTCTTCTTGGTTCAAATTCTTGCATGATCATTTTGTTTCTTTTTTTAATGTTTTGATTATTGTTGGAAGTTTAGTTCGAAAGTTGTTTAAATAGCTTTCGAATAGTTGCAGCATTGCCATTAACAATTTTCAAGGAAACAGACATCAACACTAGTCATTGACTTATTTTGAATATTAGAAACCTATATCTCCAATCAAAAATAAACTTTCACTTACCAAAACTTTCACTACCTGTTTTCAACTATTTCATTAAATAGTTTACAAAAAATTAAACATTTTGCGAGGGAAATTAAAAAAAAAATTAAGAAAAAAAAATGTCGCCACCCCAAGATCACGAAACAGATCAATTCCCGCACGCGCCAGAAATTTCATCAATTCCTAATGATGATCATCATCAGGAAATTAAATTATGGTCGGAATTTATGAATCGTGTCGGTTTGGATGTTTTCCAATTTATTCTCTCGTTTCTTCCACCAATTCCCTATTTATTTCAACTCAAGAGGGTTTCATCACACTGGAAGGAATTATGTGAGGAGTGTATGAAGGAGGATTGTACTGAATTGTTTTGGGATCAGAATTCATCTTTGGTTGTTCTCAATATGTTGAAATTTAATTTGAAAGATTATGCGAGTAGAGTGGGACTTCCGGAACAGTATGAAGATGAATTATTTGTGAAAAATTACGGTAGCAATGCCATGAGTTATGTCATGTTTGGATTTTTGAGGAATGTCTTGATGAATTTTAACAAATTGAGATCAATTACTTTTAGGAATTTAGAATTGAATGCTGCATTGTTGTATTTGATTTTTGTGGAATGGGGAAAAGAGGTGGAGAGTATCAAGTTTGTTCAGTGTACTGTTGATTTTTCAAATATGTCAAGAAAGATTCTGTATAGTGAAAATGCGGATGTTATTACACATCAGCAATATTTATATTTTATGGATCCTGCACGGATTTTGAATGTGAAATTCGAATCCAAATCAAAACTTGAATCTTCCTTTACAATTTTGCTTGAAAAAATGAAAGAATCAAAATTGAAGAATATTAGTTGTTACGAATGCACATGTCTTACAGGTTTTAATACTATGAGTATTGATCTAATACTACCTTTTGAATTGATGGGTCTGATTTCATCCATTGAAAATTTGGAGTCTGCCTATTACGATACTCTAATTCCTTTGACATCCTTTGATAATCTGCCAATATTCAAAAAGCTGGTACCTAATGTCAAGTTTAATTTGCCTTGCTCGGTGATTGCCTCCAAAATGTTGGTTTATTCGAAATATGAGGAAGTTGTAGATTATTATTTTTCCTACTTGTCAAGTAATTTTTCATTGAGGAAAACCAGATTGAAAGCTTATCAACAGAGAAAGATCAAAAATATGCAAGAATTTGAGCATTTTCACAACAATATAATTCCTTCACTTGTCAAATTCTTTCAAGTATATTCACCTTTTGGACTAGATACAGATCTAAAGGACATTCAAGGGTTTAATATTCTTCACATGGCGATCAGTGGTGATATGCGTCATGTAATTGATTTCATATTTGATTATTTTACGTTTTACAATCAGGATACTAACAATGTGGAGGATACAACTCGCATTTTGAATCATTTGTTTGCAGCAAATAACAGATTGGATGGCAGAAACTCAACATTTATAATAGTTACAAAAGAAAAGACATCAATAATCACCAAGATGATGGAACATTTGGTTCATTTCAATGCTCAAGACCGAGATGGATTAACGGTAGCTCACTACTATGCTCAATTCGGACAAATTTCAAAATTGAAATCGATTATAGCAATACTAGACAAATTACCAACTGTTGCCGAAAGGAAATACTTTTTAAATTTCAACATTACAAATAATCAAGGAGAAACAGCAGTGGACATTTGTTACAGGTACAAAATGTTCGCCCTATTGAGATATTTGGCTGAAATTGCTCCAAGATATGATATTCAGAATATTCCTGAAAAGCTTCCAGAGGAAATTGTTCTCACAACTGAAGATTTTGCCAAAGCGTTTGTTCAGAAAACACCACCAAAGGTTCCAACCAAAAAGTCTTGTCTATTCATGTAATTGGTGAACTTTATTTGATTAGTCAATAATCTCATCTACAACCTCATTACATGTACCAATATTAAGGGTGATGAGGAATAACTGCAAGTCAATGTAAATTTCTGTAAATTCACCTAATACCCAAATCTCACAGATAATAACAATCCGCTAGTAGAAGATTCGAATAACAGTGTGGATAGTACTAGTGTACGAAACATGGGATAATAGAAACATTTATTGACAACTTGCACACTAGAAAGTAATTTTTTGAAAGATGGTTTCCATGACCATTTATGATGATTGCAACATTCAACATGTTTTGTAGCTCTCTATCAACTTATTGAAGAGTTTAAAAATTTAATGACCAAAACGAAATTCTATGGTTTAGGTTATACAGCATCAATACGAAGGCCGCATGACTGAAATTAAGATGGACTAATTGAGACAAAACTGAATCAATGACAAATTGCAACCCGAAAACATTATTCGAAACCTTGCTAAACTTTTGGAAAGTATTCGAATAATCTCAATTAGTAGATATTTCCCAATGTTGAATTTCAACTGTTCAATCAACTACCCACCTAGTAATTCATTTAATTTGACTATCAGATAGCAACCTTGTTACTCCTTTCTTATTTGAAACGAAACCATAAACAATGCATCGTTACTCGACACCATTTCCAACAACATAATGAGGACAAACCCTTACCATTGCCATTACTAGCCAATCTTACCATATTTCTTCCTCACTTTCGGTCACTGATTACGAAACCTTCCCATTAACCGTTTCATTATATTCGAAATTTCACGTTTCTACCAGTTGATTCCCATCATTCTCTTAATTTTAAAAACGAAATCACATTTGAATTTGGAAAATCACAACTCGCAAAAATTGAGGAGCCTTCACAAGCCCGGGTTTAATCACTAAACTTGACAATTGACCTTGACTTGGTGATTGGGATTTGCTAAATAGATAGCCCCTAAAATTATCTTACATTATCTTAGACGTACCAGTTACCGAAAATCAAGCTCATTTCGCAATCATAGAATGTCACTAATCATACCTTTTAATAAGTGCGCTTACAAGTCGGACAGAATATTAAGTGAATTGAATATGCAAACTGAAGACAAGAAGTGGTACTGTTACCAGAAACATTCTTCAGTGTTACTTTCATGTTAGCCAATAAGTTTAGTTTAGTTTCTTTATTCTAGTGTGGGAAATAAACAATTGTTTGGAGATTTTGTTTGAGTTTGAACGTTCTATTGAAGTTAAAAATTAAAAAACAGGTCAATCGAATAGTAAGATTGTGCACACGGATAAGAATTGCCTTCTATTGAACAGTTATTCGAAAGAAAGAGAACTAGAAAGTGTTGCCTTGACTTTTCAGAAGGAAATAAGTTTCGGAAAGATTGATAATAGGGAATGAATAACAATTCTTCATCCTTACCATCAAATAACACTTCAACATTGACAACTGACAGTAATAATTCTATCAACATGTTGAAAAATAATAAGACTGGTATGTTTTCCATTCTACAACACATGTAGTAGTAGTAACACTTACTTTTCAATCCATGCATTCCAAACTAATCTCTATTCGAAATAATTCGAATTCACTTAGATTTAAACATTGTTTTAACATCAACTACATCATCACAATCACTTTCAAACAATCAACAACATGAACTCCCGATTTCTTCTGATGTCCAACCACAATTTTCCACATCAGAATTGGAAGGAAACATTCCTTTGATTGATGACAGCAATATCTCAAATTTGTTTCTTTCACAAAATGCTCAACAAGCTATTTATTCCTCTTCTTTCAATTGTAATCAGCAAGATCATGTAGGAGATGAGGAAGAAATGGTTTCGTCTGAATTATCAGAAAGAAAAAGTGGAGCATCTGTTTCTAATACTTCAAGCTTATTGAATTTAATTCTTTCCAGTAATAATAATAACAATACTCGTCATTCATCAGCAGGAATGAATTCTTCACAAGCTCAGCAACATGTGTTAAATTCAGTTTCGAATAATCAAAATTCGAATCCTTCTCAAACTTCTTCCTTTCTCCAACACTTAATTCAACAACAATTAATTCACAATTCCTCTTCATCCAATAATCCAACGAGCTTTGAACTTTACACATTAGTCAATCCAGCTACAGTTTCTTCCAATTCCATTTCTACAGATCTCGATTCTGTCCTATTAACAACCTCAACCAATTATATTCGAAACAATGACGAAATAGATTCAGATAGCAACATGATATTCATGAGCAGCGCTGCTACATTACCTTCAACTTCATGTGATAGTTTGTTAATTGGTGGTGGTCATAACATCATCAAGCATGTCCAACCACAACAACCACCACAACAACAACTTTTCAAAACAAATATCATCACTTCATCATCTTTGACCAATTGTAGCGGCAATCATAGAGGAAGTGTCGCAGTGATTCCCGACAATAATAATCACAATCACAATTATCAGCATCTGGAAGAAGCAAACAACAACTCTCTCAAGATAAGTGTTGGTGGTGCAACGGAAATTGATTTAGCTACAGTAAATAATAAGAGCGCGGGAAACAGTAATACTGGTATTAGCGATTTAAATTTTCATAATAATAATAATACATCGGCATCGCCTGGATCATCATTGTTATCGTTGATGGCTGGTGATGGTTCATCGAATATGAATATCAATACGAATACGAATAATAATCAAATAGTGATGAATAATAATAATAATAATATTACTGGTATGAATTCAACAGTAGGAGGAGGGACAAGGTCATCACCTTCCGAAGCAAATAATTATATTATGAATAGTTTAAATTCAAATTCTTTTAATAGTGGTCAACATCATAATAATAGCAGTAGCACCATTAGTAATAATAATACATCATTATCATCAAATAATAATAATAACATGAATTCTCATCATCAACCTCCTCTCCATCATAATCACTCTTCACAACATTCCCTGATGCAAAGCAATAATTACAACAATGGAAATGTTCAAAATCTCCCACAACATAACACTTCATCTCCACCTCTCGTTCCGAATACTCATCATCATATGTTATCTTTGAATCCATTATCTTCTCAAACAAACAAAGCAAGCAACATGATGATGGTTGGCTCTACTCCTCCTCAACAATCCTCAGCTGCTGCAGCAACATCCATTCATCCATCCTCCGCAGGAACATTGTCATCATCTCCACCTCTGTTGTATAATGGCAGCAGCAATAACAATTTGTATCCACAACAGCAACAACAACAACAACACTTTAATTATAGTGCAACAATGATGATGAATAATCAGAGTACTAGTAATAACAATACAACAACAACAGCTGGTCCGTATGGTTTAAAGCAAAATTCTACCAACATGGGATTATCTGGCATGATGATGAAACCAGATCCTCACACAACACCATCTCCTTCCAATCATTCATCTAGTACTAATGGGTTCAATTATAATAGTCAACAAACACAATATAATAATGGTGGTGTGATAGATAATGGATATCAACATCAACAGCAGCCACATCAACAGAATAATGTAATGTATAGCAATCAACCAATGAGCTCATCAAATCATCACAATGTGACGAGTGCTTCTCCTAATCTTTCAATGGATCATCAACAGGGAAATATTCAATTCCAATTCCATCAACATACTCCTAATCAAAAGAAGCGAGGAAGACAATCTAATAGTAATACTCCACAAACTTATCAATTCCAATATTATAATGGTAATACATTTACTAGTAATGGCACCAAAGTCACGAATACTCCTCAATCAACATTCCAACAAAGTTCCTATCAACCTCAACCAATAATGAATAATCAACAACAAATCATACATAATTTTACACCAGCTCCACAACAAAATTTCAGTAATAGTAATAGCAGTTCTGGAAATGCTCCATCATTAATGTATAATACTAATAACAACAACACCAATGGTAATATGAACAGCCCTGCTAGTGGAATACCTAGAGAAATCGAACCATTCTCATCAGCGGAAACATTTAATGATGAAGAGGATGAAGATGATGACGATGAAGAGGAAAATGAAGATGACGATTGTGAATATCACCCAATTGCCTGTGTGCAATGTAGATCTCTACACAAAAAGGTTTGTTTCAGCTTAATAATTGTTTAATTTCTAATGAATTAATTAGTGTGACAAGAAATTGCCAGCTTGTACCAAATGTGTTTCCAGAGGTGTGGAATGTACCTATAGAACACCAAAGAGAAACACTTCTCAACCATTACCAAAGAAGAAGAAAAAGAAGAAGAATAAGAGTGTTAGCAACAAAAGTTCACAACCATCACAATCTGTTAATTTATTGGTCAAGACAAAAGTTTTGGATTTGTACTTTACATATTTATGTCCAGATTTTCCATTAATTGATAGATCTGAAATGGAATTTTACTTGAGTGATGCCTGTCCTGTAGGAACACCAAATAAGAAGGAAATGGAAGTTCTCTTTATGGCAATTAGAGCATTGTGTGAATATAGAGTTGGTTCTGTGGAGAGTGGAGTCAAAGCTGTTCAGGAAGCAAGGCAAGCTTTATCAACAGTTTTTACTGATTATTCTAATTTCTATGTTGCTTGTTCGTATTGCTTTATGTCCTATGTGGAGTCTTTGAATCATGACATTAAGACTGCTAACTTTTTCCTCAAACTTGTTGATTATCACTTACAAGATATTCCAACTGACCAGCTCGATGAAAAACAACAAATTCTTAAAAGATATCATGCCTTTGCTAAAACTAGTGTCAGTAACAGATTATTGAACGATTTTACAGGAAATGTAATGGACGTAATCAAGCAAATTCCACAATTATATTCCCTTTCTACTGGTCAAAGTCTTCCACCAGAGTTCCAAAATATTGTAAATCAAGAAATTACATCTAGTAATTATCAAGAAACACTAGATGTTGTAGAGACACTCTTCAAACTGTTACACGTCCAAACAGACAATCTTGCCAAACCAGTTGATATTAAGGACTTGAGAAGAATTGACCTTGTTTATATTCTCATGACTAACGGATTAAAGATTGCAATTTTGACTAAAGCTGGAGAAAGAAAGGATCTCATAGAAGAATCAGCGCTTAAAATTACCTATACAACCTACTCCCAACTCTATGCGTAAGTATTTTCAAAACATTTAAAGAAATATTAACATGTTTATATAGATTTTCATCTGTTGACATGATGGGATATGTTGCACTTGGTGCCAGAGTCCACTATCATATTGTCAGAGCTATTGAGGCAGGACAGAGATCAAACTTTACAAATGGAATAATTTCACTCGATGGTAAAATAGGACCAATTGATTATTATGAAATTTTGGCTAGTGATTTGCGAGCAATCAATTTACTGAAAAGATACTTGAGGACACCTTCTCCTTATTTTGAAAACTTATGCTCTGATATTCAAACATTACTGCAAAATAGAGGTAAAGGAGTAATACAATCATCACCACCAACAACACTCAACACTGAATTTCCTAATTCACAACCTGTTTATAATCTAGATTCAACAATAACTCAAAACTAAATTGATTTTAAAATTATGTAATTAAATATCCTACATTATCGATTTACTGAACCTGATCAGCCAACCTAAGAACTTTATTGTCTCCTTTCGCACAAATAAGGCACTTTTTAAACATTTCAATTTTCTAGTTATCCTGTTAATTCCTCGCTTGTTTAACACGGTATGAATTTGAAATCTCTCCTTGCAATAGTCTAATAACAACTGCTTCTTAGTTCAGTAACTTCCGAGATAATTATCGCATCAAATATTTCAGATTATTGTGAGTTTCCAGAAACAACTCAGTTTGGAGTTCAAGAGGCTGATTTAATTAAAAACATTATATATTGAAGAAAATCAAATTGGTGAAACAATTTAATGAGGGAAAGGACTTGGTTTTCTCATAGTCTTTAAATTATTTCTATAAGTCCTCAAACCTCTATTCAAATCTTCCATACTCTTTGAGGTTTCAATAAATTTTTTATACAACAATTGATTAGCAATAGAATTCAAGGAATAGAACCAATACATGCTCATCATTGGATTAATATACAAGGTTGATCCAGAGGTACGTGACTTGATTTCTGGAGGATGATAATTTCCATATTGACCTTCAATAGCAGCAATGATACAACTACTAACAATGGAGGGAGCTTTCTTCATAATATTGAAAGTATATTGGCATGACTTTTTAAATTGTTTGAAACAATTCCACTCTCTCACCACAGAACATACTCCTAAAAATCCATTATCAAACTTGGTAATTATTTCACTAGTATTTTCAAAGAATAAGCAACTATTCACTCCATGATAATGATCCACTCCAAATCCAATGCAAGTTACAATTCTTCTCTCCATTGGGAGCACACTAGTGGAAATTCCATAAGCTCCAACAACACTCATTGAATCTTCCTGTGGAGATCCTAATCCAGTTTCATTTCCCTATAATTTCACATTAGTTTCAACATTGAATTCAATAGACATACCCTCATCATGACATCATTTCCTCCGTCCACAATAATCATCATATCGATATCATGTCTCTTGATGATAATTTCATATCCTTCAGTTATTCCAACAACACCAGTTTCTCTTGAAAAGGTATAAACAATTGGATTCTCTTCAATATGCTCCTTTTTCAAATATTCACACAAATACTTTTCAGGGAAGTATTCCAAATCATGATTATCTGACTCTGCATTCACTGCAAACAATGTATTCTTTCCTTTATAAGAAGGAAGTTCAATATTTTCAGTCTTTTTATCCATTCCTTCGAAGTTTGACATTTAAGAGAAATCATAAATACCTACTTGATACATCAGTAAACGCCAAATTAGCCAAATAAACATTCTTTCCCATGGCCTTGAAATCAAAATACAATGGCAATCCTATTTGTCAAAATCAAACACCCGATCATCAAGATTCCAAATTAAATACAATTAAATACAATTAAATACAATCACGATTAATAATCAGAATGATGATCAGCAAAATACAAACCCGAATAAACATCAAAGCCTCCACCACATCCACAAATTAAAATATTCTTACACGATGCGGCAACAAATTGATGAATGGGACTATACATTTCCCCAGCAGCTCCCGAAGAAGCTGGTGCATAATAGGAAGATGCTGACGATTTTGATGATTTTGATGATGACTTGGAGGATGACAACAAGTTTAACATTTTTTTTTAATATTATTTTGTAATTTTCTCAGAGTATAAGGATAACAAAGTTCATGAGTTCACATTTCCAAAGGTTTGATGCACGAAACAAACTAATCTATGGTCTACTCCTGTAGTGATGTTATAATAATGATCAATTAACTCCTTCAGCACCAATTTGATTACTACCAATTCATGAATTGACTTTTCGCTTGTTTTTATTAAGGAAACCATTCCTGTTTCTCAATTTGACCTTTGCCATTGCATTAATTTCAGTCCTTGTGTTGGAGTTTATGTTTTATGTTGATTGTTTGCATCATTATGAAAAGAAACAAAAAGAAATAAGGAGGACAACTAGGAAATCACAAGTTGCTGTTGGAAGATGGTACAGTAATATGAAAAGAAATAAAAACATTGAAACCAATATATACTAAAGTCAGTTCTCAAACACTTGGGGGTGTAGTAACAGTATGTTAATTACAATTTTTCATTCTTAACAAGAAGATTATAATGCATTTAAAATGTTGTTAATTTCAATGCTTTAATTCACGATTCAGGAGTTTCGTCTTCCATTAATGTTAATCCCCACAAGTTCCTGGAAACATGCAAAAATTATTACATTTTTCCCAACCCCGCAAAACATTCCAAACAAATATAAATGGAGATTGATAACTAACCTGTTGTGGAGGATTCGAATAACAAAAAAATGCACAAACTCTTTCCTCTCTTGCTATTAATTCTTATTGTTGCTGCATGTTCACATGTGGTCAACTGTAGCGTTTGTCCAAAAGGTTATTTTGCAACTCAAAACATTGAACAAATATGTCATGTTTGTGACTATGGCACCTATTGTCCAGGTGATGACCATAGTTATGTTTGTCAAGATGGAGCCATTGCTCCACAACAAGGTCAATCCACTTGTAATACATGTGATTCTGGCAGATCCAATTCTGCACGTATTTTGTGTTTATTGAAGGGAACTCCAAGTGATGCCATTGAAATATTCACCGATAGATATGGTTCTCCAACTCCATTCATTGTTTCCAAGTCAACTTTTGTTTACACGACACTTTCCATGCCCTATTCCACTAATTTGAATTACACTCTACAAATAACATTTAATGGACCAGATATGGACTCACAATTGTTGCTTTATGCCAGTACAAAGACGGGATCACCATCTGCTGCAAATTATGAATTCTTTGGAAATGGATTGAATGCAACTCTTTCATTACCTCAATCCATTGGAAGTCAATTCATCATTTACTTTAATTTGCAAGCTCCTTCTTCTCAATTCAGACTCAAATACTATGCAAAGAGTTTCCTTTCTTATCCATATGTTAATGATATTAACAGTGGCCACTTTGAAATGTATCATCCTTTCATTTTCCAAAATTGGATGACTTTCAAAAAGGATAATGTTCCAGAAGGTACAACCATTGGTGTCAAGGTCAGATTGTTAAATGATCCTTCACTTGGTAATAATAATCAACCTGTTGACATTTTGTACTCTTCCAATCCATTTATTGTTAATCTCAATCCAAATAATGCAAATTTGGTTGTGAGAGGAACAGATAATCAATACATTACTGCTGTATTCAAGCAAACCAAAAGTGGTCCTTTTGTGTTTGGAATTGTTGCTGAATTTTATTTGAGAACTGTTCAAGTTGACTTGTATTAAATAAATATTGAAATGTTACAGTCGTTGTAATTACCTCTGACAAAATCTATCTCATTTAAATACAGTTTCATTTCATAATTGATATCAAGATTGAAAAAGCAACTTTTCCATCTCAATCTCACAATTTAACACTTTAAAAATTGTTATAAATTTTGCAATTTCCAATTCTAAAAATAAAAAACAAAAAAATCAAGAACTGAAGTTAGAATAATAATTGAAATCAACAACAAAATGGCCAAGACTCACGGATCATTGACTAGAGCAGGAAAAGTTAAGCATCAAACTCCAGCTGCTAACGTAACTGATAAGCACTTGCTTGGAAAGGAAAAGACTGGTCGTTCCAAGATGAGATTAATCTCCAATAAGAGATTTGTTGCCTCATCAATTTCCAATCCAATGAATAAGGTGAACAGTGTTGAAATGCAAGAACAAGTGAAGGCTCAAAGAAAGGCCCAAGCTGCATTGATCGCTGAAAGAAAGTCTCTCAAGTAAATCATCATTGCTGTGATGAGATAGAGGAAGAGTGAAGAGAGGGAATTGAAATTTTACATTCCGAAAATTTCATCATCAAATTATTTTAATTTTGTGATGATGATTTTTCAGAGTGGTGAAATTTGTTAGAGCAATTCAACTCGAAGCAAATAGAAAAAGGAGTGTTGTTTTTGAACTTTTTGTACAATCACTCTTCCTAAGGTTTACTACAAAATAAATATTATTTGTATTAAATTAAACCTTAAATGGTCAAAATTAACTCTAGTCAATTGTGACATCTCTTCTAATGCAATGTTGCAAAGTGAAGAATCGTTTCTACCAATGAGAAATGAAATAGTCCTCAATGTTTTACTTCTTTTTGGATTTCTTTTTTTTGGGTTCAATCGTTTCCTTTGATTCGATTACATTCCATCCCTTAACTACCACGTCCATAATGTCTTTCAGATTAATATCTTGATTTTTCCAATCTGGCAACTTTTTTAATATCATTGCATTCAATGGACCAATACACTCGGTAAGATCACTTTTTGATGGAATAACTAGGTAGAAATCTGTAAGATACTCCAATATATGATCATTACTAACAAGAAATGGATACTGTTTAGAAATTTGATAAATATGTGAAATGTCCAAGTCATTATCCTCAATATAGCTATCAATGATACATTTAGGAAACACGAACTGAAACCTTCCTTTTTGGTCAGCTACCTCTTCCACGTAACAATTACAAAAGATGGATAGATGGAGTATGCTAATATTTTCTAGTCCACTAAATTCAGGAATCTCTGAAACAGTAATTGAATCCTTTGTTGAAAAAGTTTTCTTCAATATACTTGCCCAAACCAATACTTTGTACATATCTTTCAAAATTCGGGAAAAGTTAGCATTGCCGTATGGCTTAATGGTTTGTGGGGGTGCGTGTGATATGTTGTTGTCCAAAGTTTGTTTAATTCCTTCAAATGAGGCTTGAATGTCAGGATTTGAATACATAAACGCATAATGTACAAGGATTGGAACACCTCCTGTCATTTCATGAACATGATTGGCAAGTTTTGTTGTAACTTCATCAGGAAGTGATTTAAAATGCTGAAAATGTGTCATTATTGTTTTAATGTCACCAATGTCAAGAGAGGACAAATTGACAGAATAAACAGCAGTTGGGCTTCTGTAACTTGACTCTTCTCTAAACTGTCCTTTTTCAATCAGATCAAACAATAAACCTTTCCCACAAATGTACAAAAACACATTAGAAAGCTTCTGTAACTTGACTAAGCTAGAATTCCATATTATATGGTAACTTTTAACGGTATTTTGATCTATTGCAGTCTGTTTAAGAAATATTTGGAATTCGTCCAAGATAATATAAATTGGGCCAAGTGAGGCTATCCACTCCTCAAATGGTTTCGAATCATTTGGAGGAGGTACTTTCAATGTATTTACAATACAAGAACTGAGAATTATGTCAAATGTGACATTTTCAGTTATTTCAACAAAATTAATATAAACCATTTTTGCATTTAGCAAACTGTGAATTTGATCAGTACTAAACTGATCCATTAAATATTGTGAGAAAGATTTACCATCAATGTACACAGATTCGTCAGAGATTGCATTTCGTAGTAACTTTAGAAATTGAACACCAAATCTTGTCTTACCAAATCCAAAATGGGAAAAATTACAAACCAGAGATTTACATCTAATTTCTTCTGTGTTGAGATTGTGTAAAAATTCAACAGCCATATTCTGAACACATTTCTTGTTATTTTGATAAGGCATTGAATTATCGAAAACTGGCATAGTGATGGAGATATTCATCAAATTGAAACCTATTAAGGGAACAAGTAGCTCTGTTTCTCTCAATGAAAATATCCAACTCTTCAAAGATTCATACAGTTCTAAATCTATCAAACAATTGTTTTGACAAAAGGAATGACTAATTAGAGACTCTATTGCTTTCCCATCTAGGTTATAAAAGTTTTGTGCAACATCCTCGCTTAAACCCATTCCTCCATCATTCTTTGATTTTGTTAACATTTCTCTGGTCTTTGCTTTTGTCCAATACAAGTAGGAACATGGAAGCAAATCATTCTCAACCCAATATTCCAAGAGAGCAACAGAATTGGGTCCCATAAAAGAAAGTTTGTTACCAGTTCGCAACAACACTTCCAATCCTCTGCCACTAAAACTATGGAGATAGTACTCGGTTGCTTCCTTCAAACTAAACCCTGCTTTGTAAACAAGAGCAGAACAAGTTTCTTGTATTGTCCAATCCCTGAATGCATATGTTGACAGTCTTACCATTGCTTGATATTCTATTGGATTCAGCCTAAGGAAACGATGGAATATATTTGATTAATATGATTATTTAAAAAACTAACACTTCCTTTCGTTTCAAACAAGTTGTAATGTATTGATAATCCACACTTTTACCATCCCTTTTATTCACATCAACTATTAAGATGGCTTCGTTAGGATCACCTTTCACCTTTCCACCATTACTTGTTATTAAATGAATAATTTCTTCCTCTGTGCATTTGTTGGTAAGCGAAACAACAAAATTACGATTTTTAAAAAGCATTTTTTTAAACTTATTTTTAGATTAAGCGGAAAAAGTATGTTTTGAAAAACTTGTCATCAAAAAAAAATGTCAGAACAACAATCAAGCAGTTCCACATCATTGTCATCACCTGGTGATGAATTAATTGATCAGAAAATAGGGTATATTTCCTTTCTCATGTCTCGACTTGTTTCTTGCTTTGATAAATCGAGTACTCTTCCGACTGCCCAAAATTATGAATCGATGAGAAGTGCCCTTTTTAAGAATTTTAATCAATTTGATGGAAGTGAGAGAATGCAATCGGAATGGGTCGATATGATCTATTCGCATGCTGTTGAGAGAGGATTGTACAATACGATGGGAAATTTAATGAAAGAACAATTGAAGGAAAATGTTGGAAATTTGAATGAAAATGTTATAATTGCATTGAAGAAAAAGCTCTTGACCAAGTGCCAGATCGGATTTAAGGAAGAGTTGGTCATTGATGAAGGAAAGGATGTGAAACTTCAAAAATTTGAATATATGAGAAAGAGATCAAATAATATCAAATTCATTGCCAAGTTACTTTCCAATGATTTGATTTCTTCCAAAATTGGAGCCATCATAATAGAGAGCTTGTTCAAACCACCTAGTCCAACCAACTTGAAACTCCTTACCATGTTCGTTCCACTCTATGAGAATATGGAAGAAAAGCTAGTTAATCTTCTCATTTCTAAAATCAATTTGATTGTCAAAGCAGATGATTCCAATCAAGTGACAGATGAATTAAGATTTGATTTAATGAACTTGATTGATCATACCAATCCAAAGAAATTAAACACCTTAGATAGACAACTCGAGACCCTTCAATTGGAACTTCCAATCATTTCTCTGAATCAACAAATCATCGAATGGGAGGCATTATATGCTCATGATGATGAAGAATTTGAACAAGAATTATTAGAAAAAGCTCTAGAAGAGGATGATCAACATTAAAACCCATATAATTTTACCCATACGGCTAAGGTGCATCCTTAGAATATTGTGGATTCTTACAATATGATGCTCGGCTAAATTTGTATTCTCCCTCCTTCGAGACCTTAATAGTCGCGTCATTTGGACGTTCCATACCAGACAGACCCTTAATAGTTTGTTTCCTCCTTTGTAACTGCTCATGGAGGCCTTATTTTGGTTGTGCACAACCTACAGTAATTAAGGTCAAGCCAATTCACACATTCAACAACGGTTGTCAACAGTTTTTGAAAAAAATACCCCACCAGCGCACACAACCAACACAACTCGAGAGAACGAACTCATCTGTGCGTGTAAAGATATTTTCTTCACCCTCTCTGTTAATAATTATATTTTAGCAAATAGCAACAATAATTAGCTGCTTAATAGTAGAAATTGCTATAACACCATATTGTTAATAATAACAAAGAACAAAGAACAAATAACAAATATATAGAGAGAATGTCCTCATTCAAAATTAGTAAGGTAGTTCCTCAGGATTCAGAATTACACACTCCAAATCATCCAGAGGCCCAACAGCATCAAGATGATGAAGAGAGTTATCAAGAATCGGAAGGAGATATTTCTAAAAAGATTAGATTTTGTGGTTCCATCAAATTTTGGCTCATCCTTATTATTTCCCTGATAGTAACCATTACAGTTCTGTTACTGGTGGCTATTTCATTGAGTAGTTTTGTTCCGTCCATTGTAGAGATGAGTCAGAATCTAAGAACATCCGAATTTAAGGAAATTATAACATTTACAGAACAAACATTTCGAGAAGTATCCATAGCATCCGATAGTATAACGTATCAATTGGTAAAAACATTGGATTTTAATAATTATGATGAGGCAGAATTGCTCACTTTTCAGGGGTTCAAGACAGAGTGGAAATACCATCAGGGGTTGATTGTTACGAGTTATATTGGTGATAATTTGGGAAGATGTTTTGGTGTTATAAATTGGGGAGGACAACCAACATTACTGAACATTACAACAGCGAACCAACAGCTGTATACTTGCCATAATTTTGATCAATTGGATTATTGTAATAGATCTTCCACTCCAGATGAAGTTTTGGGCTTTTTTGATTTGTCAAACTTGGTAGAAGCTTGTGATTCATCCCCAGGTGCTCAGATTTATACAAAGAGCTATATTGATGCCACTATGCCTCAATTTACTTTCATTTCATTGCTTAATTGCTTGAAACCTAGTGGTCCTGTAAATGGTGGACACCAATTTGAACACTATTTTGGTTTTGACTTGTCTGTTGAAACAGTGTCCAAATTCTTATCTAAGAAAACCAAGGAAGTGAGCGGTTCTAAGAGTTTTATTGTAGAAATAGACACTTCCTTTTTAGTTGCCAGTATGTTATCATAATAGTTTGCTTAATTATTTAAACAATTTCAGTTGATGACCCAGCAGTGAGTTTAGCTGACATTGAAGGAAGTAATATCAAAAGAGTTGAATACCTCCAATTAACAAATCCTAGATTCAGCCCAATCACCACCGAAATGGTGGCCAGAGGAATGACCAATCTCAAGACTGTTATTCCAAAATGTAACTCTAGAGCTTTATTCGATTTTAATGATGATTACGTGTCAATGTATCGTCTTTGTACAGAATCCAAGTTGGATTGGATGAGTAAGTTTTTGATATTGACTTCAATTTCTAATATTTTTTCACAGTTATATTTGCTGTTCCAAAGTGGAATTATATCAGATCGATTATCATTTCATTCATCGCCTCTGTTGGTGGTGCAATTATCATTATGGGTATTGGTTTGATAGTCTCTGTTCTTGTCTCTATAAAAATTGTCAAACCATTCTACAATTTAATTGAACTCTTTGAAAGTGTTGCCCACATGGACTTGGATGATTTGAATATTTTAAGCAGTAGCTTTACCGAGGTGAAACACTTGCAAGGTCAATTCACACAAATGGTTGGACGTATAAAACTTTACAGAGCTTTCATTCCAGCCCACTTACTTTCACAATTAGAGCACAGAAATGAGAACGCTTTGGAGCCAGGTGATAAGCAAAAGTCTGTTTCCACAATAAGACCTGACAAGAGCAATAGAGGATTTGGAGAAAAACAACAGAGCAGCCACTTTTCATTCAGTAAGAGTGATCATTCGAGCTCCTATCATTCCCATTCACATAACACAAGTAGCATGAAAAATACCTCCTCTAGAAGAAAGAAATACTCTCAAAATGTTGATATGTTCTCATTGCACTTGGTCAAGAAGAAGATTACCATTTTGTGTTGTCACTTGGAGGGATTATCAGAATTATTGAAAATGTCAGACACAACCATTGGATCGGATATTATTGTAAGGATGTTGTCTGATGTCTTTGACCACGTGAATGCTTTGTGTAGAACATCTGGAGGACATGTTGGTGCCTTTGAAAACGATTGCATTACCATTTCTTACAATGCCAGCTCCAACCAAGATAAACACCAAGAAAAGGCAGCTCAGGGTTGTCTATTCCTTATAGAAAAGTTGAATACAACCAAACAAGGCAAATGGCCAAGCGTATTAGGATCTTCCCATCAAACTAAGGAAATTATGAGTCTTTTGAACTTTAGATTCGCAATCCTTTACAATGAAGTTTGTTGTGGTAATATTGGAACAAATGAAATGAAAAACTTTGCTATCATTTCAAGTGCCAGAACCAACTTTGAAATCATGTTGGAAACAACCAAGAGGCTTGGTCTCTCGGTAGTTATTACAGAAAGACTCCAAAAGGCAATTAAGGGCTCTTTCAATACCAGATTGGTGGATGAAAAGTCACTTCTTCATGAGGAAGTCTACACTTCACCAATACTGAGCGATATTAACGGAAATAATGAGTACGAAGAGATGAGAATCTATGAATTGGGAGAAAACATTGCAAATAATATGATGGATGAATGGATGTATGAATTGCAAGAGAAAGAACGAAAGGAAAGATGGAATGTTTACAATCAAGCTTCATCTTATTATATTCAAGGTGAATATGAATCAGCCATTGATAGATATCGTCAATTCCAAATAAAGAATGAAAATGATAGAGCTGTGGAGGAGATGATTGCCAGGTGTGAAAAGTTTGCACCTTCCAAGTAAATTAATTTATTTATCCTATTTTGTTTCTTCAGCTCATTTCTTATTCATTGATAGTTCTGTTCATATGGACTCCTGCATCAATGGCTAAATCATAACCTTGTCTATTCAATCCATCGATAATTGAAATTCTTTCTTCCTTTGACAAATTTTGAGAGAGTTTGAACTTTCCCTTCAATTCCTTAACATTGAGAGTGAATCCAACAATTGCCTTCAACATTTGCTCAGTATACTTCTCATCAGTCTTTGAGAAATCGTACTTGTAATCATCCAATTCCTTTACTGGATTTCTGAAATGTTCCATCAACCAATCCTCATTAAAAACTGTCAAATCACTGACAATCTTGTTCTTTTCATCATGTGAATTGTAAACTTGGCAGGAATCACAATGAGCATGAACTGTTGTGAAATTCCATGTTGGAACTTTCTTCTTTTGACCTTCCAATCCACCCAAAAACCATTTTGGTGAAATGTAGAAATGAGGTCCAACAAAGATAATCTTACAATTCCATCCGTTGGCAGTTGGAGATTTGGCAAATTCTTCCAATGCCTTGCAATGAGGATTTTGCTTGGCTAAATGGAAGTGCAGCTTGAGAGAATTTGGATTCGTTTCGTCCATCAAGAATGGAACATGAGAGGTGTGTAATTCAGATCCTTTCCAAGTGAGAAGAATGCCAAATGAGTTGTCTTTCATTAGTTGAATGGAATCTTCATCTCTTTCAACTTTAAAATGATGAGGAGTGAATAACGAGTATTTTTGAATATTGTGGAAAGGACATGGACTTTCGTCTGCTTTCAACTTGTTATTCTTGTTGTGTTGTCTTAAATAAACAAAAGCCAAACACAACAAGGCACCAACACCAACAGCAAGAATGAATTCAATCATTTTTCTTTCAATAATACTTTCCACTAGATACTCCAATTCTATTCTTTTTATACCTTCACCAAAATGCAAGTCTCAAATTAAAGATCTTGAAAACTCATCTGAATAACAGGATAATAGGGTGGGGAAATGGGTCTATTGGAGGGTATAGATGTCCTGTTAATACGTTGAAAGATTTTTGAAATTTCTCCTTTTAGTAGTTTGCACATTTGAAGATATTAATTTATCAACGAGTATGACCAATTATAATGGCTTTCATTATCTCACCATGTTTACAATAATGAGCTTCCATTTCAAGACCGGTTTACACTACCCCAACTTAAATATCTCAGAGGTTCTTAAAAAAAAAGCAAAAACAGCGTAACAGCAAATAATCTGAGCAAAAGATAAAAGCAACCGCCCCACGTGGGGCTCGAACCCACGACCGTTGGATTAAAAGTCCAACGCTCTACCGACTGAGCTAGCGGGGCTGCTCGAAAGCAATTAAACTAATGTGCACTTCAGTGTGAATACAAAATCTTCCTATTCGTTCACTGGATTAATCAACAAGAATAGAGCAACAACCAGAAATTGTGCTGCAGCTTTATCGCAACAGAGCCGAAGCAAGTGCCTGCTCAAATCTTTATTAAGGAAACGGAGAAATATCACAATTACAATCGTGCACTTTTTTCTGTCCATTCTACAATGAAAATTTCGGAAATCACGACAATCCACCTAGAACCATCCATGTCCTCTCCCCATTGTCTTCTCCACACTCTGTGAAAATCTCCCCTCCTCACACCAATCATCAACTCCTTAAACATACTAACATTTTACAATAACAACCTCTATTAATAAAATTTTCCATCAACAAACAAAAAAAAATACAAAAAAAACATCGAAACGATTTTTTCTTCATCAATTCACTAATACTACACATTTTCACACCAACAAGATGAGAAAGAATTTAACTGTTAATACAAGTCCTTCCAACAATTCGTCATCATCGAATCTTGATGTCCCTGCTGGAACTTCACCTACTCATTCTCCTTCACTTTTTAAATCACAAATGACTCGTTCCGAATCACAATCCTTTTTGACTATATCTGCTACAAATGAAGGAGAGATTGTGAGTACAAACTTTAATGTTCAACCTTTTGGAGCAACTGTTGCTTGGGTTGTTTATGGATTGGTTATAGCTTTGGCTTATTGGGCAATTCACTTTGCTCTTGTATTATATGGAAAAGCCTTCGGAGACTTGCAAGGTTTGTTTTATTCATCATTATTTGATATCTAATCATATTAATCAACTATTACTTTTTAAATCTATTTAACTCATCATCTTTATATTCCTTCATCATTTCCTCTTACATATATTAACAATCTACTATTATTAATAATATATAAATTAGATACTACAAGAAAAGTATACACTTGGACTATTTTGAATCTTCTTCACTCTTTGATTACTTTTGTTCTTTTCCATTGGAAGAAGGGTTCTCCATATGATTACTCGATGGGCTACAATGACCACAGTAGATTAACATTGTGGGAACAATTGGATGATCAAAAACAATTCACACCAACACGTAAATTCATGTTTGTTGTGCCTTGTGTGTTGTTATTGCTCACTTCCTACTTTGTCGGAGATAATATGCTCTTGCTCTTTGTCAATGTGGTAGCTACCGTTGTTGTTGTCTTGGCTAAATTGCCAAGTTTCCACAAGAGGAGAATTTTCGGAATTAACAAGTAATCTTTTTCACACACTTTTTAACACTCTCACAAGGTGTTGCTGAACATACAAGGCGTGTGTGTTCATATTTACTAATACTTCCTGTTTGTAAATATATTATATTAATTGGCGGACTTAATACACATTTGATTTTTCTATTAATTGGAGTATCTTTTTATTCATCTCTATCTTCACACACTAAATAAGAAAGAATATTCGGAATATTTTCATGCATTTATGCAAGACTATTCATCTCTTCTAAGAATTAAGACTATTTATTATTATAATAGTTTCGAATAATGGCACTCTTCAAATTCATTTCCATCAAATTTAATTGATTAGAAAGATCCTTTTCCAATTTTGCTGATTTAAACTCTGGGAAATTAGAAATTGATTCTTCAACTTGACAATAACTTTCCCATACATATTGGAAATTGGTAGAATTGAGTCCTGCCATCAAATTCTTAACTTCTACAAATAGCATTGTTAATCTCTTTCCATTTTCATTGCACTTTCGTATAAATTCGTCTCGACTATCTGGATTCTTAATCATTCTCTCAAATTCAATTAAGAGTTGAATTTCTCTAACTTTCTCCTCATCCAATTCAACCTCCTTAACCAATTCCAAATCTTTTCTCTTATCTTGAATGGAAATTACAAAAGCAGATACTACCTTATTCCTTTTATAGAATTTGGCATCTTGTACTGAGATAATTACTGGAATAATCATTCCATTAACTGTGCTCATACTCATTGCTTTCGATCCTGAATTCAAGGTCAATTCTTTAAATTCATCCATTAATTGATCTGTGCTTGGCTTGTTGAATAATTTGGCAACTGACAAGTTTCCAACTTTGATCATACTTTCAGAGTATCCTGTGCATTCATAGAATGGTTCATTTGAACCAACCACTTCACCATTTGTCTTATCGACCATGATTACAGAATTTGGTAAGCTATTCATGATTGATTTTGTCTTGTATTCTTCTAATGAAATTCTTTGCAAGAGTTGTCTCATTTCGTCTTGTTTCTGCTTCAATTGAACTTGAGAATTTTCGATAATTGTCAAGATTTGATCTACATTGGAACCAATTTTTGCAATCTCATCATTTCCTTTCATAGAAACTCTATTAGAAATGTCACTTGTTTCATAAATCTTAGTGACACGATCAGTCAATTGTAAAATTCCTCTAATAATACCAACTTCAGTAAATAAAATGACAGCAATGCCAAGAATAATCATAATCGCAAGCAACAAACAAACAGCAATCACAAAAGCATTAATTCCCAAATTTAGAATAAATCTTTCAGTGTCAGCTCTCAAAACCACAGCAGGATTTCCATAAATATCTGCATACAATTGAAATGTTGCTACTCTACCCTTTGCTTCCAATCCAACACTCACAGAATCACAAACTCTTCCACTCAAATATCTCAAATCAATTTCTTCATAGGCAAAAGCTTGATTATTCTCCCAATTCATGTCGTATCCATTAATGATAGTTGGTTTATCGAGTTTCATACGTTTTCTAACTGAATCGAGTGCTGCATCATTGACACTGAATTGGGTGATGCACATTTGAGCTCTGGATGCAATGGAAGAGGTCACTTGTTCAGTTTGAATTCTTGCAAAAATGAGAATTCCATTTGGTGGATTGTTTTTTAGAGGGCTGAAGTGGATTGGATAGGCAGAAACGAGGAGAGCACCATATTTGGAAGTAAGGAGGTATCCATTTACTCTGGTTGTGCTTTTGTCCATATCCTTTCTCAGTGGATTGTCAGAACCCAAGTTGGCTAGCTCAGCAGGAGTCTCTAGAATATCTCCTGTTTCTAGATTGAAGCCTTTTGCAGCAGCCAGTGTTCCATTCTTAAAGTAAATTAATGCAAAATTCGATTTAATTGCATCTCTCACTATTAAAATAATCTAGTCAACCCAACATATTCGAAACTACTTACTCATTCCATACGGATAATTAATATCCACCCAATCCAAGAAGGTTTTATATCCATCACTATACGCAGCATCCATCACATTATAAAAATCCAACTATTCTCCAATTAACTTTCGAATATTTCATCAACGAAACTTACCCAATTTCCAAACGAAGCCAACAAGGCAAGAGCATTTTTAAAATCATCATAAATTGCTCGTTGGATTCGTAAATTGGCCTCAGTCGTTACGTGCTCTTCCAATTGTTGGAAACCAGTAAAGAATATCGAGAAGAGAATTCCTGCCACGATGAGTAACATGATGAAATTGGTAACGATTTGAATCGAATAGGAAATTGTTCGAATGTTGACGAAAGAACCTCGATCGCTGATAGATGTCGATTCCAGCTCTTCGAATTTGGGTAATTGTTGATCGGTGAGGTCAACCATTCCACCACTCGAAGTAGTTTCCTCCAAAACATTGGTCATCACAATTTCATTTCCCTCGTGAACATGTTGTTGTTTCGAATAGTCTTTATTTTCAAACGAATCACCCACCAGATTCTTTTCACTATCTGCTGTTTGCAACTCTACATCTGTTGACATTTTTTCTTGCTATATATCAACAAGCAGGATTCTCAATTTCATGGCATCTGACATTTTAGGCAGTTGATGACAGGAATGGCTGCTTTATTATCGAACTGGTTACAACAACAAAAGACCTTTCCAGCACCTAGTAGGAAAGTATTCAAAGTAATGCGGCAAGTCTAACACAATCCATCGAAGTTAACAAATGTCACTTTCGAATAAGAAATTGAAAATGAACACGAGTTTCTCAATTAGCTAAGTGCTGACCTTACTGGATACCAATTTTTATATACAGAAGGCATTGATACAAAAGTTCCCTCAATCACATCTTCTCTCTGTCAAAATAGCTCTTTTTTAGAGTATTAAGTTGTTGACAGTTTGACAGTTGTTTGAAATAAGAAGAAAAAAATGAAAGATGTTTGCAGTTTGAGAGTTAAGAATGTTATCGTGTTGGCTGTTTTGTTTCTGGTGGTAATGACATTGTTTATGGCTGTTTTGTTGGGAGTTTTGCTTTCGAGTTTCGAATATGCTGAGAGAAGTGATATATCGGAAACTACTACAAGAGTGACGAGGGCTATTATGGATGATTTCAAGAATCAGATGGATATTCTGTTGACTTATTCTAATTGGGTAAGTATTTTGATGTTATATAATATTTTGTAAATATTTAATATTGTAAATTGTTAATATTTAAAAATATTTAATGGAATATTTCGCATGGTGATGAAATGTAATTATTCTATGGAATGTCTACTTTCTGAAAATTGATAGGATTCTTCATATTACCTCATGAAAACTTATTCTGTAGACCAAATGAACAAGAGACTAAACGTTTCGTATGGAAATATAGACCACGTTGAAGAATTAACAGGTGCCAACTTTATTGGATACTATTTTCTGAATGGAACCGTTGCAGGAAAAGTGGGATATGATTTTGAAAGTAGAATGGCTGTTCCAATGCCAACAGAAATGTATCAATTACCCTCCTTTCTAATGGAAAACATTCAGATACTTTCGACTATGAATATTGGATATTGGACATTGAAAGATGGAACTTTGTTTTTGGTAATGGCAGCTCCTGTGCAGTGTAGTGGTTGTGGATTTACGGATACACCTGGAATTATGATGTGGGCTCGGTATATTCGCTCAGTTTATGTTAGTCAGGTTTCGAATAGAGCTCAAGTGTGTATTACAATGTATAATTTGCAATCTGGTAAGGAATTGGATTCAGAATTCACTGCTGTGTGGAACCAAATCAAATCCAAGCCATACATTTATCCTAATTCAAGCAGCATCATTAGTGAATGGAAAAATACAGACCCAACACTTATTCGAATGGGAAATGTAGCCGAAAGTGCAAAGAATCAAAGAATTTGCTTTGGAAATGATTCATCCTCCACAGGAGAACGAATTATTACTTATCAAACCTATCAGGATATTTATGGACAACCTTCTTTCGTATTGAGAACTGATTTCTCTCGTTCTGTAAGAGAATTGGGACTTCAGAGTTTTGGTTGGTCGTATGGATTTACTTGTTTGGTTGTTATTTTGTCATCACTGATTATTTTCGTCTTGAATGAAGTAATTGTTGTGACTCCACTTGTGAATTTAGGTTACCATTTGAGGAAAATTATGAAAAATACTGAAAATTTGGCAGATTCTACAATTCCAGTGAAGGGGATTACAGAAATTTCAACACTCACTCAGAGAATTAATACCATGTTGAGAGTGGTGGCTGCTTCGAGTGAACAAATAGCCAAGAGAGGAAACTTGTTAGAACAATTGCTGGAAAAGGCATCTTTGGAAGAGCAAAAAACAAGAATTCTACTGAACAGTATTTCAGATATGGTATTGGCAGTGGATAGAAAAACAGCAAATGTAACAATGGCCAACACTGCCTTTTTTAACAAAACCAGATATTCCCAAAAAGATCTTGGTTCCATTTCTAGATATTTGAAGGAATTTTCACAAGAATCTGAGCTATTATCCAAGATTAATCAATTGGTACAATCCTCAAGAGACTCATGGGAAACACATCTCACCAAACCAACAAGTGAAAAGATACCAGTCAAGATTTCTGCCAAATTAATTCAATTTCCAAACAGTGAAAAGTCAGAATGTGAATCTTTACGAGATACCTATCTTCTCGTATGTAAAGATTTGAGTGAGGAAAAGAAATTGAAAGAAAAGAAACAACAAAATCAACAACTTCTCGAATCTATCAAGCTCATCATGGAATTTGATAAAATGTTCAACAATACTCAACTGAGACAGGAATTTAAAAAGCAGTGCGAAAAGGAAAGATCAGTGGAAAACTTTCTCTTCTTGGAAACTGTTGAGCAGTACAGAAGAATTCCCAATGCACAAGATCGTGTCGAGAAACAACAGCAAGTTCTCAAACAATTCATTGATCCTAGTGGAGATAATCATTTAAATATTTCAGGACAAGTTTTGCAACAATCAAAAGTGGAAATTGAGAATGGTTTGGGAAGATACGATGCCTTGGATAAATTGGAAACCTTTGTGCGAGATATGGTCATAAATGACACTTGGTTCAGATATTGTCAACAGAGAAAGTAGAAGATTCTAATAATGAATACGAAATTATTGTGAAATATTAATCTTTTAATTTAAAGGTTTTGATTTGACTTGGCAAATCCAACTCTAGAACCTTCATAATCAAAGACAGTGTAATAAGTGGAGATGAAAACATCACCAAGGATGACGAATCCATTAGTACCCATATCCATAGTTTGGAAACCTGGGAAACATTGAGTTTGTCCTTGAGAGGTAATCTTAATGACATAGTCTCTTGGAGTCAAAAGATATTGCTTTCCACCAATGACAAATGAAACATTTGGATTAGAATCAATATTAGAACAATCTTCAGCAACATTAAGTTGATTAATAATTGGTTGCATAACATCTGGTGTTCCAGCAATCAAACTAGTACCAGTATCAACAATGGCCATACATCCAAATCCACACAAACTTTGTCCTTGTCCATTCATTGCAATATCATCCAAAGCAATACTCCAATAATTATGTTGAATCAATGGAACATAGCTAAAAGAACCAGTATAATATTTAGAATTGATTCCACCCAAAATCATTGCAGAAGCACCACTTCCAGCCTTCTTAGACATGTAGAAGGAGAAAATGTTCTTATCAACGAGACGTTGCTTCATCAAGTTGTTGAAAACTGGAGTAACACCATCAACAGCAATATTTGGGAAAGCCTATTTAAATTATTCCGATAATAAATTGTTGAATTAATTAATTAGAATATTAATATTAATATTATTAGATTAATATTAAGGATAAAAGAAAGATTAAATACTTACAAATCCACAAATACCATCAATCTTGGCATTCAAGAAAGTATCAGTATATTCATTGGTAGTTTCACCAAAAACTTGACCCTTAATAGCCAATCCACCAACAACAACGGTATCACTTGACAAAATCTAATATTCCGAATATATTGTATACAATATTATATAAATTAATTTAAACATTATGCATTTCAATATAATTAATTTTCAATAATAATAATTATAATAATAATAATTAATAAATTCATCATCCAATTCAAAAAAACTTACACCCTTAACAGCACCAGTACCATAAGTAATATTGAATGATTGTCCATTTGGAACATAGGTAGAAGACTTGGTATGATTATATCTAGCATGTCTAACACAACTCAAATCCTTACAGGCAACACTAGGAACCCACAAGTTGGAGCTTCCAGTATCAAAAACAACTTTGAAAGTTTGAGCAGGAGTACCAATGGTAATTTCTCCATAATATTCGACATCATCATAGTCCTTCAATGGAACAATTGGAGTGGCACCAACCTTGAGGGATGGCTTTGTGGTGGCCAATCGTGTGGCAGAGTACAACAAGGAACGAAGTTTGTTTTGTGTTTGAATGCTTCTCATCTTGGAGAGTTTGACAGAGGCAGCACGAGCATCATCGTAGGCTCTCTTTCTCAAAGGAATTTCAAAGGTCTTTTCGGCATGAATGTTCATGGCCATCATCATCATGGCAAAGATGACAGCAACAAGTAACAATGAGACTTTCATCTTTTAATTTTTTGTTTTTTTTTCAATTCACAAATTTTCTCAACGTGAATTTATGGTGAACGGAGTAGATTGCAAACTCCTAAAGGTTTTCAACATGTTTTGAAGGAGTTGTAGGTAGTTACGGGAGCTGAAATGAGCTGATTAAGGAAGGATGACAGGTGGTATGAGAAATTGGCGCTTTGGAGTTGGGTAATATATAGGACAAGAAGGGTAATAATTTACAATAGACAAATAAACTGTTGCGTGTGCCACATTACTTTTTAATGCAGAGTGAAATTAATTCCAAGCTCAACTCCCACAAATCATCTTGCATTTGGTGATCGTTGGTAAGCGGATTACTCTTTGAAATGGCACAATCTTTAAAGTATTCCCCTCCCTTAATTTCGCTCCTATCAATCAAGGCACAATGAATGGAAGTTTGAGCTCCGTGTACCTTATCCTTACTGATTAATGCTAAGAATTTATACAACAAGATAGTTCTAAAACTCCCATGAGTTGCAATGCTAGTAGTTACTAACCCAGGATGCAAACTCACACAGCAAGCTCTATCATTGGATGTATCCTTCTCTTGGAAAATTCTATCCAATTTCTTACAATACAGAATATTGGCAAATTTGGAGCGAGAATATAAATCATTCTTTGATTTAGATCCATCGTTTTGATAGAATTCTTCCTTCGTTGTGAATAGCTTTTCGCTTGGTGTGTAATATTCATGAAGTTTAGACGAAACTACAATTACTCTAGTCTTGCTTTTAACGAGAACATCCATCAATAATTCAGTCAAATAGAAATGTCCAAGATGATTGACTCCAAAATGAGATTCAATGTTGTCACTAGTCAATTTGGCAAGTGGATTATACAATCCTGCATTATTAATCAAAACATGACATGTTGAATTGAACTTGGTTTTGAAAACCTCAACAAATCTTTCCACATTCCTCAAATCGGCCAAATCCAAACTCAAAACATGAGCTTGTTCTTCCAAACATTTTGACTCCTTAATTAATTCTCTTCTAGTTTCTTCTCCACTCTTCACATTTCTCATAGTCATCACAACAACAGCTCCAAGAGATAATAAAACTCTGCATGTCTCATAGGAAATTCCACCCTTAGCCACTCCAGTAATCAGCACAATTTTTCCCTTCATTGATGTATTATCTTTAATCAAAGCTTCGGAAACCATCGGACCGTTACAATATCTTCTCAGAGTCGAATAGGAAACCCACAATCCACCAGCGATCATGAAGAATTTCCTCAACACACGATCACGAAATTGTGCATCATTCAGAAAATCGGAAAATAACTTTATCATTGCAACTTTGTATTTTTTTTTAAAATTGAAAAAAGAATAAAACTTTCTTTTTGATTGAAATTTACTTAGTAACAAACAATTCCAATCAATTTCAAAGAGTACAACAACTTGTTCTCTACAGTTTACTGAAATGATTGAAAATAATAATTTTACAATATTAAAATTTGAGATCTTTCAAAATTTAAAGAAAAAATTCCATACTTTTTCAAATGGTAATGGGAGATGTTGTTGTATTCTCGATGCTGACTATCTATCCGAGAGGCTTTTTTGCAAAATCTCTGATATTTCCTATCGGAGGAAGGTAGAAATTCGTATGATGGTACAAACAAATCCCGAATGCTTACGAGAATTGGTATTTTCAGAGCAATTGATTGATTTGAAAAGGGATCGACAATTTCTCATCTCTTTGGCACTGATGGATTGGAAGATTATTCGTTTCCTTCCAGAAATTCAATTCGAGAAGCAAGTTGCTCTTCATGTGTTTAGATATTGCAATGATCACTTTGAATTGCATACGAGATATATTGAAAATCATTTTAAAAAGCACAACTTATTCTCAGATAAGGAGTGGATTAAGCAAGTGGCCACTAAATATTGTACTCGTGATTATATTCTTTCGGCCATTTCATCATGTCTTTCAGATGGATTGAGGAAAGATAAGGAGATTGCCTGTATTTTAGGAAAGGTCTTACGATCACTTATGGCATTTGATGATTCGATCAAATCTGATAGAGACGTGGTTTTAAAAGTTGTAAGACATAATGCAACGGCTCTGACATGTGCAGATGGAAAATTCATGAATGATTTTGAAATTCTTTGTGCTGCTGTGAGGAATAATTCTTCAATTCTTTATGCGATTAGTAATATTGAGTTTTTAAAGTATTGGATTAAGAAAAGGCCCTTGGATTACAAAAAATTATCTTCAGAAATGCAAGCAAATCCAGATCTAGCTCTTATGGTTGTCAAGGAAGGCTTTTTCAAATTAAATAGCATTCCACAAAATATCATCAGTCAGGAAATGGTACTTGAAGCACTGAAAATAGATCCAACCAATTTGCAATATGCTCGAAACTTTCTTAAGGACAAAACAGTTTTCATTGAAGCTGTGAAACAATCTCCATCCAATATTGTATATGCTGATTCGAGTTTGAGAACAGACAAGGATTTCATTCTCCAATTGATAGAAATTAACCCCAATGTAATGAGAAACATTGATTATCCATTGAACGATGATGTTGATATTGCTCGACAGGTTGTCCAAAGAAATGGCCTTCTATTACACTATTTCTCAGCATCAATTAGGGAAAATATTGAGATTGTTAAAATGGCTATAGGGCAGAACCCAAATTCAATTCAATCCAGTTTGATTCAGACCTTGGACATTGTGATGGATGCTGTACAAACTGATGGAACGTCTTTACAATATATTTACTCTAAATTCAAGGACCAAAGAGAAGTTGTATTGACAGCTGTCAGACAAAATGGCATAGCTCTCAAGTTTGTCCAAAATTCTTGGAAAATGGATCGTGAAATTATTATCAAAGCTCTCAATAATGGCTGTCCTTTCATGTATGTCGATCCAAGCTGGAGAAGAGACAAAGAGATTGCTTTGGTGGCCTTGAGTCATGATTCAAGAGCATTCAAACTAATAGATTTATCCATTAGAAATGATGAAGAAATTCAAAAATCCCACACAAAGTCTACCAGTTTTTGGACTTTGCCATTTTACCAAGAAAAGACATGTTGAAAGCGTTTGAAGAAGTGTTTGGAGGAGGTGAGGAGCTAACTTATTGGTAGTTACGGAGTCACTTCTGCCACCAAGCTTGTGTTGTATGGAATTTTTTTTGATGTGAAAGATTAAAGATTACAATTGTGAAACGGTAACATTTAGCGTTTGACAACTAAATGACTGTACAATTTTACAATAGTGAAAATCCATTACAAATTCGCCAATCATCTTAAAATTAAAGGAGTATTAGAAAGTACCCAAACTTGGAAAAATTTATGTTGGACCATTTTTGGACAATTTCTAAAACAACGCCATAAAATTTCTGCTCGTTTTTTCAACTACGAAAAAAACAATCAACAACATCAAGCCTTTGAGAAAGTTCACTTTGCCATACAACAATAACTGAAATGAATAACAGAGAAAATTCAATGCTATTTAGCTTACTTCATCCATCTCATGATTCGTACGATCTACTTGGTCGAACCTCTAAGAGTGGAAGGCAAATTCCTGATGATCAACAAGTTATTGAGCAGATGGGATTGAATTTTGTGATTGGATCGTCGGCTTCGGTTTTGGGAAAGATGATTTCTACACCAATTCAATGTTTATCCGTTTTGGGAAGACAAAATTATTGGAATACTTGTGTGATGAATGCTAAAATGTTTGGCTCGATATTGTTCAAGTTTGCTCCTTCACAGGCTTTGGCTTTAAGTTTGAAGGATGGCTTTAGCGAATTGTTGATGAATAGAGTGAATGTTAGGTTTGCAAGTCCATTTGTGGATGAATCGAATCGAATCGAATATTTAAAGTTTGTGGGTGTTCAGTTTAGCTCTGGAGCTTTGGCTGGTGCAGTTTCACATTGTATTTTACATCCTATGGAGATGGCTCAATTGAAATATCATCACTACTTGAGCAATCATCAAGTGATGAGTCAATTTAAAGGTCCTATGGATTTTGCTCTTAAAACAAATGGATTTTTCAAATTATTTAATGGATTTGGAATGTTTTCAATGCACTCCATCATTTACAGAGCTTTCCTATTCGGAACATTTGATAGCTTGAAAGTTATTAATCCTTACCAAGATGAAACTAATTCACTAGGAATTTTGAGTAAGATTTTACTGGCCCAGGCTGCAACTTGTATTTCTACCTTCTTCTCAATCCCATTCCTTAATGCTAGGAGAGAAATGATCACTCTTCAGCAATCTAACCTGCCAATCACTACCCGCTCATGTTTAAAATCACTGTACAGTAATTCTGGATTCAGAGGTCTTTTCAATGGATTTGTTTCCCAAAGTTTATTACACAGATCTAGTGGAACTGCAATTCTAGTGTGCTATGATTTGCTGCAACAATATTTATCGAGTAGAGTTTAATTTATTAAACATTCTTCAATCCATGCATTTCAGTATCTTGATTTTGTCCCTCCTTCTTCTTTCTAATGACACAAAACACAATTATCAAACAAACAACAGGATTATGCATCAGTTGGTGTTGGTATTGGCTTAACAATTTGAATATTACTTCCTGCTGATGGTTGGATTTGGAGTAGGGGTTGGTACATCATATAAAATACCAAAGATATCATACGCGCCAGCATCAATTCCATAATCACAACAATACCTTGGCTTCGTCCATTAAAGCACCAGGACCACAGCTATTGGGTGAGATCTCCCTAGGTTCACTAGGTCATCTGTGATTTATATTCAACTCCTTCTATTGAGGAAGCCTCCACTATGAGAAGGGAGGCAATTCCCAATAGAAGAATCATAATAATTGTTTGACAATTCATTCTGTTTTTTTTGATTAAGCACCGAGTACAAAAGTACGAGCACTTTGACCTAGAGTGATCGAGGTACACTTTCCGGACAAAGTCTAGTAAGGGATCAAGGTTGATTCTCTATTTTGGAATGTTAGCTTAATGGTATACTCTTTTTCTTATTCTTATTGTGATTTCGGAAAACCCTTTTGTCTATGGATTAAAATCAAATATCAATTGTTTCAGTACATAGGCACAACTTGTATTATTGAATTTTTTGGTTTTTTTAATTCAATAAAAAGGAAATACTGAATTATTAATTGAGAGCATTGAGATATGCTTGATTAACAAAAAAACAACCAACATATTAATAAAATGTAAAAGAAAACAATCAAAAACAATTTCAATCAAATTGGTCTATTTTTGCTTGGTGCTGAACAATAGTGTTTACAATAATAGTATTCGCAACAGGAGGAACACTCCTTCATCAAATCAAAAAATGTTAAAACAGCAAATCAAGAAGAGACTGCTTCACCAATCCAATAGTAGTATTATTCTAATGCCCAACCCTCTCAAGTCTAAATCCATCTTGACTGACACAGGAAAAAGATACTTTTCAGTGAAGGAAAATGTTGCTGGCATTCCAGGGCTCTACAAAGTGAATAATTTCATATCGGAGAAGGAACATGATCGATATTTGGTCAGCTTGAAGGATATTCATGAGCAAATCGATGACTTTATCAAGAATTCTCCAAAGGATCTTCAAATCTCTCAATATCACAATCTTACCAGTCAGGAATCATTTCAGAAAGTTAAAGTTGATCAAGATGGTAAGCCAATTTATGTTGAGGTATTTGAAAAGTATGGAGAAGAAGGTCACATGTTGGTCTATTGTAAAAATTCAAACATTCCTCCATTTATTTCTAATGAATTATATGACAAGTTCAATCAAGATCTTCTCAAACAAATTGTACTGCAAAATGTGAAAAATCCAAATAGTATTGATTGGAGAATTACATTGAATTATTACACTCCCATTGAGAATGGAGATTCAAAACAATATTCTGGATTTCCATTCCATAGAGATATTGCTTCAAATGGAAATTTAACAGCTATTCTATCATTGGGTGATTATGGACTACTCCAATTTAAGGAGTCATCAGTTGAATACGAAGGATTCAGTCCTAGGAAAAACAATTATGAAACAACATCATTATTGAATGAAAATCCACAATCTAATGATCCAGATCAGGTGAAAACCATTCTCGTCGAACCAAATTCTCTCATAATCATGACTGGTCCATCGAGATGGAACTATCTTCACAGAGTGGTTCCAACTGGATATGAATTTGAGTTTGAAAATCAGATTTACAAGAGAAGTCACCAAAGATTATCCATAGTTTTAGGATGTAAATAAAACAACACAATCACAATTACTCACATTCATCCTCTGTCAAACAAATTTTTTCCTTGTAGGAAGTTTGTTGAAATTTTACATGAACTTTGCATCACGTTTCTTGTAAATTGCAAAGCAAAAAATGTCTTCATCATCAGAACAGGAAGATTCAGCGGGAAGATCTCATCTGATCAATGATACATCATCAGTGTTAAGCTACTCTACTGGTAATAATAATAATAATTTAGAGGAGCAAGTTATACAACAACCAACCCGAATAGATTATGGTGCTTTTATGAGTACAACAACAACAAATAATAATAGAAATACAACGAGTATGGAAAAGGGAGAGGACCATCAAAATGTTATAATAGAAGAGCATGATGTACAATTTGATAATAATTCAAAGGCTTCTTCATCGGGAGTAACTCCAAGAAATTTAACATCACCTAATTCAGCATCTCTTCGGGATAGAGTTTCTAACATCACTGGAATGTTTACGAATAGGATTGCTTCATTCAAGAGGAAGAATGTTGTACCACAATCGGATCATGAAGACAATAGCTTGTTACCATCGAGTAATGTAAATAATGGAAATGCTTATTATTTGGCCCCATTGCCCAAGTGTGATTGGGAGGTGAACACACCAACAAAACTTGGAGATATGTATGATGATGTATTCAATTACATGTTCATGTTTATGCCTCCTAATCAACTGGTAAAAGTTGGATCAATTAGTAAGAGATTTAGAGATTTGTCGAGTAAGGATGACATTTGGTCACCAATTTACAATTCCTTTGATTTTGAGGTTGTGGAGAAAGATCCCTCCATAAACACTGGCTTTAGAACGGAATTTATCAAGAAACTTCATGAAAAGAACACTCTCACAAAGAGAAGAAAATATGCAGAGGAAGAATTACCATACAGCACTATCAAACAAGCGTGTTTTCAAGTTTCGTACGGATTTATTGCTCCTCAACTATTTCTGACCAGTTTCTTAATATTCTTAATATTGGTTCCATTAATAATGGATGATTTTATTAATATTTCTATGGTTGGATATTGTACTTTACCATTCTTCTTTGCATTGGGATGTTTTGCCTTTTTAACTTATTGCCTCATTATGGATCCTTTTTATTTGCATCCAAAGAGGAAGAAACTCATTGATATTATTCCAAATAATACTAATAGTAAGTTTTGGGCCCTCAATCCAGAAGAAAAGCACGCTGATGATGGAATCAGAGATAGTATTAATCTGTATGTTTGGCACTTGTGGATATGGTTACTGTTTATTCTGATGTTCATTACAAAGTATATTTGGTTTGCAACACTTTCAGCTCCCTTCACAGCCTTATTCGTTCCATGCTATATTTTCAGTATATCTTATTGCATTTTCCCATTAACTTTTTATTGTTGCAGAAAATCCGATGACATCTCCTCAGAATCAAAATACTTATTCAAATGTTCCTACTTTACAAATTCCGTTACTGTCACAGTATCAGCAATTCAAATATTGCTCATAGGATTGAAATTGGATAATATTATAACAACCTATTGGAATGTTGTCCTCATACCAGCTTGGATATTCCTTCTATTTGTTAATTGTATGTGTTGCTGGTATGTTGGATGTGCTGCATTCAGCGACTCATCTCTCAATATTTGCTACTCAACATTTGGAGTTGCTTCACAGTGTGCATTTGGTTTATTCTATCAGGTTTGGTTTATAATATTTGCTCTAAGATTGGATAGCATTTTCATTGCCTTGTACACTCCATTATTTGTACCTTTATGGTTATTTATTTTGGTGGTTGGTGGATGTCACTGTTTATGTGGTGGTGGAGCTTTGGTTTATAGATTTTTTGATCTTGCTACAGGACCTCAGGTGCATAACTAAAATTAAGGCACCAACATAAAGCTACAAAATCCTTCCATTTAATTAAACTGGCTTTTGAGCTTATTATTTTCAAAGGTTAAAATTGAACAATAGATTAGGTATTGAGAAGAGTTTGAAATTGAGAGCAACATATTCGCATTGTTCAATTTTTATCACAGATGAAACAATTTCAAATATATTGATAAAATACTCGCCTCAATCGCCCCAAATAAACCGCCTAAATTCAACTCCTTAAAAAAAATTGTCTGAGGGAAGAAATAAAACAATGCTTGTGCAAATGTTTCAAACAGAGGAACAATATATGCATGTAATGGATCTTCTTGATATCTTTGAAAAGTGGAGTTTGATTGATTTTTCATCAGTTTAAACTATGAGAAAGACATTTGAAGAAGTGGACAAGGACGATAAGATAAGACTTTATCTTTGGTGCTGTTTCAAAGTATTGGAAAGTATTTAATGATAACAAGAACATTCCGATTTCTAAGCATTGCAACCAATTGAACAAAACCAGTTGATAGTATTATTGAAGAAACGAAAGATGAATCCCATTTAAAAGCCAACACATTTAATACTTCTAAATATTGAAATAAGCCAGAATTGATCCAAAACCTTCATTGACAATAAATTGTGATTACAACAACGAATTTGGAAAATTGTGATATTGTAAGGAATTTAATAATTTATCTTCTTCCTCCTTTGCTACCACCTGATGATCGACTTCCGCCAGAGGACCCTCTTGAAGAGCTGCTACTTCTACTGCTTGATTGTCTTCCACTTGGTGATGATGTTCTTCTACTGGTTGAGCTAGTTCTACTAGTTGTTTGTCTTCCTCTATTGTTAGTACTGTTTCTTGTAGGTGAGCTTCTTGAAGATGAAGTACTTCTTCTACTACTATTAGTTCTAGTGGAAGAGTTTCTGGTATTTCCTCTTTGATTATTTGCAGTTCTTCTGTTGGCAGTTTGATTGTTGGCAGTTCTTCTGTTATTAGTTTGATTATTTGTTGTTCTTCTATTATTGGCAGTTTGTTTCTTGTTGTTAGTTTGAGATTTCTTTGGTTTTCCTTCTCCAAACAAGCCACTCTTCATATCACCAAAACCATCCTTAACATCCTTAACAGCTTTAGCTTTTCCAAAGGCCTTTGCCAATTTTCCTGGTTGCTTAGCAGTCTTGGCAGCTTTCTTGGCGGCCTTGGTAGCTTTCTTAGCATCTTTTGCAGCTTTGGCAGCTTTCTTGGCACTGTTGGCCTTCTTGACGGCAGCTCCAGATTTAGTGACCTTTTTAATCAAGGAAGCTGCTTTAGTCTTAATTGGTGCAGCTGCCTTGGTAAGTGTGGATTTCAACTTGTTGAAAGCTTTTGGTAATTGTTTAGGTAACATTCCAAGATGTTTCAAACCATTCTTGATACTGATTGCACCACCAACAACATTGACAACTCTCTTGATGGATTGGAAAGTTTTCGATTTAACAACAGGAGCAATTGCTTTGGCCAATTTTTGTTCATATGGAGCTACTTTCTTAGCTAATCCATCAATGGATTTACCAGTGTTTTTAGCGAATTGAGCTACAGATTTTAATCCCCAGGAATCCAACTTGGTTGCAAGCTTTCCACTAATCCAATTACCAACACTTGACATTTTGGTGGAATATGTTCCAATTCCATCAACAAAATTCATGGCATCGTTCAATACACTAATACCAGCTTGAATAAAGAGAGATTGAGCTCCAGAGGATACTGAACCAGGTTCAGCTTGTTGTTGCTCTGTTTTCTTCTTCTTGGCATCAGCAACCATTTCAAGGGAAGATTTCAAGATGAAGGCAGAAGGTTTCTCAGATTCCTTTGTGAATTCATTAATAATGGCCAAAAGTTCTTGTTTAACAAGTTTTTGCTCAGAGTTTGATCCTGGAATTAGTTTTTCCATCTAATGACAATAGAAATAATCTTGTTGATCTAGTGCAGTTGTTGCCAACTACTTACCTGTCTAATTTCATTAGCAAATGTCAACAAGGATTCGGCAATTTGCTTCTCTTCACTACTACTGATCACATCTTGGACTTTGTCAATAACTTTCTTTGTAGTTTCGTCCACTGCTGGTAATTCTTGTTTTTTCTTTTCAGATGATGAAGAAGATGAATCTTTTCCCTTTCCAAAATCAATTACAAGTGTCAAATCTCCTCCAGCTCTATTCTTGATGGCAATGGAACGTGCACTTGTGTTTCCAATAAAACAAAGACACAAAACCATCAAACAGATGGCTAAAGTCAAGGAAACAGTAGAGACCTTGATCATTTTTTTCGCATGATGTTTTTTCCTAATATCCCATTGGTCGAGAAAAGGTGAGAAAAGAACTTGCAGTGACACATGTAAACGTCTAAAATATTTCAGTGGTGGTTGTGACCTGCTGCTTATTGTGAACACGAATGGACATGAGAATCAGTTGCCTTCCAAATTGGGACTAGAGGGAGGATTTGGCTGCCATTCGAAACTCTGTCTGGAGTTGTCTGAGTTTTGGTTGAAATTCCTCACGTAGTGTGAGCCAAATCTTTTCATAATCTATTGGTTCAACATTCAATTGAGATTCAATCTTTTCCCTGTAGAACAATTCAAATTCTTTCCAATATTCGTTTGCTTTGGAGAAATCAATGACTTGGTTGTGTTTTGCAATTTGAATGCCAAATACTACAGTTCTCAATGAATGAAACATGGCTTTGATTCCCTTATAAACTTTGAATTCCTTTACAATCTTGTTCTTTCCTTTCACAAATGAGTGATCTGATTCTCTGGAAATTGCCTTTCTTAGATTGAGAGCTCTCTCAGCAGAATTCACAACATTATTCTCCACATATTCCTTAATTTGCTGAGCAAACTCTTCATTCACATGAACCATCCACTCTCTTCTCATCATTAAAATCGAGTAAAATTCAAAACTATCCAAAATAAATCTCATCAATAATTCTCTAAATAACTTTTCCGAATAAATTGAAAAATCAACTTGTTTTCCATTAATTTGCAATTCAGTTACTTGATATGAATAATCCTGCTTGTTCGGAATCAACTCTCTCAACTTGGCCAATTCACCATCCAACCCTTCCGATGCAATTATGAAAATATCCAAGTCTGATTGTTCAGTTGCCAATCCATAAATATGTGATCCGTAAACTCCTACAAGTAGAATATCATCTTGTTGAACAATTCGTGGATTTTCATATTGTTCCAATTTCGGTGATGATTCATAGGCTTTTTGAAGGTGTTCATTCAAGTGATGAACAATTTCCTCGACAGAGATGTTGAGCATTTTTTTTTAAATACTTTTTAATTTTTTAAAATAAATTTTTAAAATAAATTTTTTTGAAATTGCAGTATTTCCATAATTAGAAGCAGGTGCTTTTTTGATTTTTTTGATGCGAACAAATCATTTATTTTCTTCCGCCGCCAGTTCTTTTACTTGATATAGTTTGTTTTCTGGTAGGAGCAGTTCTTCTAGAAGAACCACTTGAAGACTTTCTTGAGCTAATGTTTGATCTAGTTGACTTGGTGGAAGAAGTTCTAGTTGTTGAACTATTTGATCTTTTAACATTTCCTCTAGTATTGCTTGCATTTTGTCTACGAGTAGTATTGGATGATGATCTACTTCTTCCATTACTGGAATTTCTGGTATTTCTACTATTTCCAGTATTTCTGGTATTTCTGGTATTTTTGGTATTTCTAGAATTGGATCTATTATTACCAGTTGGTGCCTTTCTTGGTGTATTGTTTTTCAACTTATTTGTAACTCTATTCTTGACATTCTTCAAATCACCCTTCAAACCCTTAGCAGCATCATAACCAGTATAGATACCATCAACGTGTCTAATCTTATTCCATGTTGACATTCTCTTGAATTGAGCAGCATTCAATTTGGTTAATCTTCCAGCAGTGGTTAAGGCCTTCTTGGAAGCACCAACAATTTTAGTGACCTTTCCACTAGATGTGATAAAAGTCTTTCCATTCTTAATTAAAGTATTAGATTTGGCAACAACCTTGGAGAGAGTAGTCTTCAAAGCAGCATAACTGGTTGGCAATTTAACACCACCTCCCTTAATCAAATTCAATGCCTTCAAACCTCCATGAACACTCAAAACACCAGAAACAACATTCACCGACTTGGTAATAACTTGGAAGGTCTTTGATTTCACAACTGGTGCAATAAATTTGGCAGCTTTTTGCTCATACGGTTCCAATTTCTTTGAATATGAACTAATTGATGAGCCAGCATTTCTCGAAACTGATGCCAATGACTTCATATTCCATTTTTCCAATTTATCAGCAACTTTTCCTTTCATAAATTCTCCAACCTTGTTGAATTTTTGACTGTAAGTTCCAATTCCATCTACGAAATTCAAACCTAATGCTGCCCAATCCCAAGGATTTGATGGAATAATGAGAGTTTTGGCTCCCTTGCTAGATTTCTTTGAATTTCCAAGGAGATCTTCAACAGAAACCTTGTCATAGTCAACTGGGGAAGATTGTTCTGCTTTCTTTTGTTGAGCAGCAAGTACGAGTGAAGATTCCAATAACAATGCTTTTGGAGTTTCTGCTTGTTGAACAAGATTTGAAACAATAACTGTCAATTGATCTTTCAAATCTTTCTTTTCTTTTTCTTGATCACCTGGGATGAGTTTTTCAACCTATTTGTTCAATTTTGATATTGTATGTGAATGGAATAGATAACAGATCAATGAGAAATGTCAGTGTTAGTGAAATTGTTAGTTGGCATGTGACAACTTACGTTTCTAATTTCATTGGCGAGTGTTAACAAATCTTGCGCAATTTGAGTAGCCTCCTTTGATGATATAGATGTTTCAATAATAGCAGCAGCTTGTTTAGAAAGTGAATCTACCTTTAATTTACTTTCGTCTACTTTCGCCACCTTCTCTGCTTTCTTTTCTACCTTCTTCTTTTTACTTCCACTCATATCAATAACAACAGTCAACACACCATCCTTATCATGTTTAGTTACAACATGTGGTTCTTCCTTTGCTTGTGAAAGTGAAGCGACCAATGCCAATACTAAAACTAATACGAAACACAATAAGATTCGTCTAGACATTTTTTTCTCATGATAGTTTTTGATTGTTTATTGAAATGGAACATCTAGTAACTATTAGATTAGCGTGTCACATCTTTAGTCAACGTTCAACTTCTTATTATGACATTAAGTTTCGTATACTGTGAAATGGAGCTTTTGCCAAAGGTTTTGTTTAGAATAATACAATACGAAAGTATTTAATGTGAAATAATCTGATAGTAACATAAAATATAGAAGTTAATAAGATATTGGCTAACTGCTGACTTCGCATGTCGTCAAATGTCATCGATGCGCAACATTCAACTATTTTTAAATGTTTTTGTAATACTGACATGCTCTTCCACTACACAATATTATCTCTAATAAAATCTTAATATACTACTTTCGGTAGTACTTTATTCTCCTCATATTAATCTTAAAGATTGCTCAAAGATTAGTTTACTTTCTTCTATCAATTCTTTCAAAAATCCATTCAATTATTCGAATCAATGCAAGATAACAAGTTCATTCAATAGTGTAAATGTCAATCCTCATCATTGATAAGCTCACTTTAACTCCTTCCAAATTTTATCACTCGCTACAATTTTACTGAAACCTCACAAGACATTAAAATACAATGAAAATTCCAAAAAGCGCAACAACTCGCATTACGTATTCATCTCCCCTTTTTTGGGCGGGAAAGTGTTTGCAAGGATATATTAAGGAGGCATCAAGGCAAATTGAAGAATTCGTCCTTAGTTATAAAAGTCCAGCAAGGACACTAAAAATAATTCAAGTTTTCAGAGAAGGTGAAGAGATTGATGTTTGCTGGCAACTTTGACATCTTTGACAGTTTTTGAAAATGTTTACAGATTTATATCATTAAAAAAAAGTTTGCCAAACAGCAACAAGTCATAGAGAAACATTTGGTTTTCATCAAGCTTCTTCATCTTGTATTAGAAAAACTTTAAACTTGAAAAAAATGGGAATTGGCGTTTCGGCAATTTCGTCTGACGATGCCTCACACATTTCAAAATCAAAATCACAACCCAACTCACCCAAATCACCAACCTCACCTACCTCTCCATTCATGAACCAAGCTTCCTTCAATAATCTTCAAAATTCGACTAATAATAATTCCTTTTCGAAACAAACAGCAAATTTAGCTGCAAAATTAAAAAAGTCAGGTTCGTTCAATAATAATTTGAATGGTTCGAATCATCCACTTGTTTCGGTTGGAAGTGGTGGCTCATTGCTTAATCCTTCGATAGGTTTTCATTCATCACCAACTCTTGGAGTGGGAGATAGTAAATTGAGAGTTTCGTCTAATGATTTGACAAAAGACATTTCGAATAATAATTTGAATGGATCAAGTGTTAATGGAAATGTTAATGCCATACTCTTAAAAGATAATCCACCACCTCCAAACCTTCTTTCTGTCAATACTTCTCCAAGGCGTCGTTACAGCTCTCAAATGTCAGTCAAGAATCACACTCAAATTGAACCTGACAAGCTGAACATTTTACTTTTAGGTGCAGGAGAAGTTGGAAAATCTCTTCTCTTTAAACTAATGAAATATCTATGTGAAGGACCTGCTCAGAGATCAACTAGTCTCATTGACATTGACGTTTCTACATTTTACAATGAGAATGATTTGAAAGGTTTCGTTCAAGTTATTAGAGAGAATGTTCTCCATAATATGAGATGGGTCATTGAGGGAAGTGAAGATTTAGCAATTGATATTCGAGGTGGAGAAGAATTGAAAGCAAAAGCTTTTGATTTTGCTGATAAAGTTAGTGAGATGGATGGAGTTGAGAGTTTGTATACTGTGAGTGGAAATTGTAAAGTTTCAAAGGAATTTTGTGAGTTTTTTGTCAAGTTATGGAATGATGAAGGAATTCAAGAGTCATTTAAGAGAAGAAATGAATTTAGAGTCTACGATAACGCAGAATAGTAAGTAATCTCAGTAACTGAATAATTCCTGATTGACCTTGATTAGTTTTTTTACCAATTTTGATAGAGTTTTCAATGATGATTATGTTCCAACATTGAGAGATGTCTTACTTTTGAGAGAAAAGACTCTTGGAGTACAAGAATTAAAGTACAGAGTTGAAGATGCTGTCACTGTCTCAATGATTGACATGGGAGGATCCAGACATGAAAGAAAAAAGTGGATTCACCAATTTAATTCAGCAGATGTCATTCTATTTGTTGTTTCCTTATCAGAATTTGATACGAATTGTTTTGAAGATGGAGAAACTCCAAGATGGAAAGAAAGTTTCGATATTTTCATGAACTTGCTCTATAATCCTTCATTTGCCAAACTTCCTTTCGTCCTACTTTTCAATAAGAAAGACGTTTTGGAACAAAAACTAGTCAACCAATCATTTGCATCTCACTTTGATGACTTTCCTTCTGATAAGAATGGACAGAACATTGATGATTGCATTCAATTCATTGTTGATAAGTATTCCTCAAGTGTAAAGACTCGACAATTACTACTCAATCCAGGAGAATGTTGTGTCGATCCAAATGATGAGAATGCTGGACCATCCATGTTAGTGAGAGTGTTGAATGCCTTTGATGAGAATAATTTGTTGACTGTCTTTAAGGATATTACAGAGTATTCAATTAGGGAACACCAGAGAAGATATTTACAAGCTTTGGTTCAATCAAAATAAATTGTAATTCTAAATTTTCGAATATTATAAGAAGAAGATTATATTGAGGAGAATGGATTGACTAAATTGATAATAAATTAGAGAGGATTAATACTCCATATAAAGTGGAGTTTATTGTATACACTACAAGTAGGAAGAGATCATTCCAGTTTGATGATAATTATTCTTCTTTCTGTTCTTTTACTCTCACTATGATGATGAGGTTATAATACACAATTATTATACAATAATAATATTAATCATTCTAAATTACAAAATACATGAACAAGGTCTAGGTAGCTACCTATAATATATAAGCAAGCTGATCAGAGAATAGGAATTGGTGTAGTCTGATGTAGTCTCATATATATGTATTAACAAATTCATCATCATCAACAACAATTCTTCCTATCTTTTAAAATTAATTTGCAAAGTAATACGTGTGCCGACAATGCTCTTGACTGTATAGAATGTAGTATCCATATTGTTGATTATGTTCTGTTGTATACTAAATGGTGAAATTCTTATTGTTCTTCTCTTTGTTTTTGTTTTACTTGAAATCTTTTGATTGTTTTCTGTCTTTATCAACTTGAGGCAATAAGAATAGCACACAAATCCTCAACTCTTCTTCTCTATCATGATGGAATGTTGGATGATGATGCGTGAAAGAAGCCTCCCAACTTGTTCATTGGTTGTTAATGGTGATGACTTCGAATATTTGGTCAAATTATTGTTTTTACTCATTTGCCTCTTTAGAGAAGGTTTAATTTAGGGAATTGTTGGCCAATGCATCGTTGTATAGTATGTTGATGAAGGTCCAGTTAACTACAATTCACGAAGGAGTGATTTGCTTTTTAACTTAATTTTTTTGTGAAGAAGATTTTTAATTGTGTAACGGTTTCTTTTTTAAAAATGGCGCGTTTCTAGCAATCTGAAATCAAACTGCTTTTAAATGTTTTAAATGTCTAACTTGCTTTGGACTTGAATTGGTTTATCAGAATGAGCCACAATTTGCAAAGAACCATTTCGAAACGTTGAAATCATCAACTTTCAATTTACATTCAGTTTAGTTTCGTTTCCAATCGAATATGATATACAAATCTCAAAAAAAACAAAGATTGAGGAAAATGAATCTGAGCGAGCAAGCACTTCAACTCTACCAATCAATTTCCAACAAGTATGATAAGAACAGACATCACCCTCATCGTCTCTATATTGTCAACCCAAATATGATTCATCATTGGGAAAGAATATTTACTGTGGAGAAGGAGAGAAACGAAACTAACCGAAACTCTGAAAAGTTGATGGTGTTGAATTTGGGTTGTGGATCTGGAAATGATACTTGGGTTTTGTACAATCAATTCGAATCTCATATTAAATCAGTGATTGGTGTGGACCTTTCGAATGATATGATTCAGTTGGCTAATAATTCGAAAGAGCAAGTGGAAAACTCTCTTTCAAAGAAAATTCCTCTCGAATTCATAGTCGGTGATGTTATTAAATTGAATGAAAATGAGCAATTGAAGAAACTGTATTACAAACATTCGAATAAGAACGAAACTAAACAAGAAAGTCCAGTATTTGATTTCGTAACTGCTTGCCACTTACTCCACTACTCATCCGATTATGAAGAATTATGCAAAATGTGCAAATCAATTTCTGGAATGTTAAAACCTGGTGGAACTTTCCTCACCCTTAATTCGAATCCTTTCCTCAATCAAGCACAAATCAATCAAGATCAGAAAAAACTCGGAGTTTACAGAAGTAACTTCATGATAGATTCAAAGGAACGAAACTATCTCATCGATGGTGATCAATTCGAAATTTCCATCGATTTGAATTTCAATGAATTCGATCAGAATGAGAATTTCATTGTAAAGATTCAAAATCGATACTTTTCACCTCAAAGTTATGAGAAGGCACTCAAATTGGCAGGTTTCTCCAAAGTTGTCTTTCACAAATTAAGACTCGATGAAAAGGAATTAGGCGCCAAAGAATACGGAAGAAATTCGATCGATGTTTGCACTGCCATTGTAATTGAGGCAACCAAACAAGCAAATTAAGACAAAGTTTGCCGCCAAAATTTGCCACAAATAAAGCACAAAAAAATTACTCAACTCAATCTGTGTAAGAACCTTTTGGAATTTTTTGATCATTAAGCTAGATACAATACAAGCAAGAAGAATGGAGGAGCAAAAGAAGGGAGAGGAGCAAGTTACTATTCGATTTTTGAAGGCCATTCTTTTGAGAAGACACGTCGACTGCTACGTTTTTGTTCCTTATAAATTGGATGAACATCATTGTGCAGATTGTTTGGTATTTGTTCAGAATGAACACAATGATGAGGTAACAATCTATTGCAACAAGAGACTCTATGAAAAGGTTTCTAGAGAGTCAATGTCCTGGGAACGCTTCCACAAGTTTCGAAAAAGCATCGAGGAGAGAATCCAATAAAAATTTATAATCAAGTGATGATAACAAGCCTTTCTGAATGACATGAATTGAAAGAGATTTTCGAGTCATCTCCTACATCAAACCTCCGTAGAAAGAACAGCAACAACATGAGAGTATTATAATAATCATCACAGAACAAAATATGCCAATTCTCAATGTGCCTTCTTTGAAAATATTCTCGAGTAAGGTAAAGACAACTCATCTTGTAATGGAAGTTGATTCGATTAGCCTCAAGAATTGGACAGTTGATAATTTTAGACAATGGCTTATTGAATCGGGTTATGATAAATCATCAGTTGTTGATGGTAAGTAAATCTGTTCAATTAGAATTAATAGTATTTAAATATATTTAAAGTAATTATTAAACACAGATTTGATGGAGGTTCCATTCTCAATATTAAAATTGAAGATTGGTTAGAGATTGGCATTCCGAAGGGAGCTTGCCTTTCTTTAATAAGCAGAATTGATGAATTGAAAACGAAACAAATTCAGCTTGGAATTTTACAGCTTTGTAATCAACAGTCAACTAGCGTGACACTTCCTCCATCTGTAAATCCACCTTCAGCAAGAAGGCTCTCCAATGCAACAAAACCAAATAATTATCCATCAGCAGAGGCCAATAAGACAGATAATGATTCGAAAGGAATAGAACAAGCAAGACGAAATTCAAATGTTGGAAAGCCACTTCCAATTCCACCTCCAAAATCTGAAACAACTCTTCAAATTCAAACATTATTGGTTCAGAAATCGAGTCAATAATACATACTATTATAGCTCATCTTTATATTCTCAATAACTCTTCTAAATCAATTTACTTCCTTCTTTTTCATTGTAATGCTCCTTGCCAAAAAAAATGAGTAAACAAAGACAAGATTTTGAAAAGCAACTAATTTCGGAAGAGCTATTCATGATCAATAATAATAATACTAACATGGAAGGGAAAGTAAAAGTTGTCAAGCTTGAACAAGAAATATTTTCAGATGATGTTTGTTTTGAAATAATTTCCATGATTGATGATTCGTGGTTTATTTTGAATAATTGTTCCTTGATTTCAAAACAATTCTTTAATGTGATCAAGGAACGTTCAAAACTTGTTATTAAATTTAAACAAAAATTTACAGAAACAAGGATTGAATTATGCATGAAAAGCCAATTTATGAATAGTATTGTTAATCTTAAATTTTCTAGAAGGTTGCTTGACTCTATACAAGTCAAATTCATAACTGAAATGAAACAATTAAAATCACTTGATATTAGCGAAAATCGAATAGGTGATGAAGGAGCCAAATTTATAAGTGAAATGAAACAATTAACATCACTTGATATAGGTTACAATCGAATTGGTGTTGTAGGAGTCAAATTCATAAATGAAATGAAACATTTAACATCACTTGATATTAGTGGAAATGGAATTGGTGATGAAGGAGTAAAATCAATCAGTGAACTGAAACAATTAACATCACTTGATTTTAATAACAATAGAATTGGTGATAAAGGAGCCAAATCTATAAGTGAAATGAAACATTTAACATTACTTAGTATTAATAACAATCATATTGGCGCCGAAGGAGCCAGATTCATAAGTGAAATGAAACAATTAAAATCACTTAGTATTTATAACAATCAAATTGGTGATGAAGGAGCCAAATTTATAAATGAAATGAAACAATTAACATCACTTGATATTAGTGGAAATGAAATTGGTGTTGAAGGAGTCATACCAATAAGTGAAATGAAACAATTAACATCACTTGAAATTGGTGGAAATCAAATTGGTGATGAAGGAGCCAAATTGATAAGTGAAATGAAACAATTAATATCACTTAATATTTATAACAATCAAATTGGTATTGAAGGAGCCAAATTCATAAGTGAAATGAAACAATTAAAATCACTTTATATTGGTGGAAATCAAATTGGTGATGAAGGAGTCAAATTCATTAGTGAAATGAAACAGTTAACATCACTTGATATAGGTTACAATGAAATTGTGAAGGATAAGTGAAATGAAACATTTAAATTAACATCACTTAATTTTCATTTGGTCACGATTTACCTTACAGCAATTATTGAATATTTTGGAATATAGAATTGAAAATATTCCAATACTTTTCAAACAAGGATTCTTCACACATGTGAATTCACAACAAGATATTTCTATCAAGAGAAAAAACTGGTTAATAATTCAACAAATAAATGTTGTTTGTATTGATGCACTATTTTGTTATATTTACAAGCAAATGTATTCTAGAGAAGATTCTCAACAACATTACCACACTCATTATTAAAAACATTTTCCAAAAGCAATAGCAAACTGAGTGTAGTTGTAGAAATAGGTTTCTCTCTTCTCACCTGGTGTAGTAAAGCAGCAGCAGGAGAGGTAGGTGATTATGATGATGATGAACGCGTTGTGGAAATAGTCCAACATTTTCACAATGTTTAGTTATATCCATATTTCCAAGCCGAAATTTCATCAATGATAGTTGTGTGTCTATTTACTTCTTTTGCAAAATTTGCAAGGTAATTCTGGTACCAACAATGCTCTTGACAGTGTATGAGGCTTCCATCTTACTATTGTGTATTATTAATTGTTTTTTTCTTATTGTTTAATAATAGTTTCCGAATCATGATGAAGATTTTTGAAGCAAATTATCTTTGAAATCTATTTTTAATATGAATTCACGAGTTGGTAGATGAAGATGAAGATATGGTGATACATGTTCAAAGTTAAAATTCACATCATGTTCAAGAGTGAAATAGAATCATCTCTTTGAAAGATATTAATAAAAATCATTTTCACTCTATTTGCTCATTATCTACAGTTTTAATGTTCTCCGAGAATTGGTAATTATAATTTAATAAATTCATGATGATGATGAATTTTTGAATGAACTATTGACAAGAAGAACACTTGACAAAATAAAAATGAAAATAACAATTGCACGTCTTGATAATTTCAATCAGTTTCCTAACAAGTTCCTTCGTGTGCCACCATTAGTTCTCTAAGAAGTGTTATCACATCCCCAACAAGTCCAAACAGTTGACACTGCAAAATCCAATAAAATCTTCCCGCTTTCACCTATTTTTATCTTTTTTCAACCTGAAAAAAAGGACTGAAAATCTACGGCTAGAAAAGCGCCAAACTCAAACTCACTCTCAAATGAAACGTAAATCAAGCGATTACCAGCACTCGGGGACAATGAATAGAATTTACAATGTTTCCTCTTCCTATTCGGGTTCATCTGTGGTGGCGGGAAATTTACAAAATCAAATATTATCGAATGGTCAACATGAAGAGAATTTAAACATGATGAGGTTGGATGGAGAGGAACAGTTTCAATTCACAATGAATCATGCAATTTTGAATATGAATGAAGGAGTTGGTAGGAGTTGTTCCTTAATGAATACTCCGGTGGTCAACTCAAAGTCCTCTTCGAGATCTTCATCGTTTGAGGATATACAGGAGGAGATTGTGCAGAGAAATTGTGGAATGACCACGTTGTGGAATGTGGACGATTCGATTGGTTCGATATCGCCTCAACACAATGAAGATTTTCTATTCGAAACTAGTCACAATTCAAGCTCTGGGTCTACCACTGACTCTATAGAATCAGAATTGAATAGATCTTATTGTAAATCACCATGTAAATATCAACATACAGTCTACACCATCACTCTCAAGTGGAATAATGAAAAGAAGAAATTCTGCTTTGATACTGACATTTCGTATTACCAACAACCAACTAGAGCTTCCCTCTTTACAATGATGCAATACCACCATGTCAAGAATCAGATTCAAAAACCATGCACTGCCATCTATAGACAATTATTTTCCACTTGGTTCAACAAATCGAGCAAGCTTGAATCGACTGTTAAGGAAATTAAAACAATGTTGAAAAGAGAGGAAATGGCAATGAATTCAAATGAAAATTCTGTGTTCGTTGCCACTTCAAAATCAAGGGAAACTTCACTTCCAGGCAATTTTTACCATTCAGTACGATTGGGTTTGCATGGAGTGAAGAAAAATGTACAACTTTCAGATCTTGAACCAACCATTTGTATTCAATTGATTGATTTTGAAGATGAAGCACTAATACATTAAAATAATTTATCTCTTTCTTTTTTATTAAGTTCAGAATCTTATGTTGTAACTACAATAATCATGCACTCTCTCTGATCATATGGACCAAATTGTAGAAGAGTTGATCACATAAGAATAGCAGGTGCCAAATTTTTCTTTTCTCTAAAGTTGAGACACTTCTAAATCATAGGTATCAGTAGATTTCAAAAACAGGAATGAAATACAGAAACAACAACAACTTGGCCTCACCCTATAGGTATTTCCTATTTTTTTCAATTTCATCAATTTGTTTCTTACAATCCATCCAAACATGTCTCTCTTACAAGTAAACCCGATAAATAAAGTGAAAAGCAAACTAATAAACACTAAATCAATCAAGAAAAGGAACAATAAAACTAAACCACTGGGTAATAATCTTATAAACAGTGGATAATCAATTTCTGGCTTGTATACATATAGTTGATAAAATGATCCACGCTTAGTATTATATGAGGTTATTTTACATTTGAGAGTTCCATCTTGATAATTTTCCTTAATGCATTCAGTGACATTGCATTCATATGAAAAAACTGAAGAATAATGCATTTCTTTGTAATCTTTAACTGTAAAATTAAAGAAATATTTCACTCTTGTTGGAATACTATCAAACATACATCCAATACTTGTTGAGCTATTATTCGGTTGACAACATGGAAGAATATTAAAATTATTACAACTTGAATTCCAGTTAGTGTTGCATTCCACACATTCTGGATACGAAACCCTTCCAATAGTACTGTTCAAAACTTGAATAGATGAAACATTTCTCTCACAATCCTTAAACCAACTCTCTGCATGACTCATAGAACTAAAAGACAAGGCAAGACCTCCTGCCAATAACGACATCCCCAGAATCGTAACTATTAATAAAGGCAAAACCATGTAAAAAAGGTTGCACTCAGCAGCATGTCTCATAGTGTTGACAATTCTGTGCATGTTTTGCTCCTCGAGGTTTCGTTTGATTTCAACTTTTTCTTCATATTCAATCCATTTCTGATTCCAAAATTTTGGCTTTTCCGTCTCAAAAATTGAATAACATTGCCTATTGATATGTGAAAATGATGAATAACTACTCGGAGGAATAAATTCAAGAATAATTGTCAGCTCATCATTTAATTTGTGAAAATTTCCCTTCGCTTGCTTTCTTGTCATTTTTTTTTCACACCAAGTTTGAACCAACACAACACCATGAGTTTGAACTTAATAGACCATGCTAGGAGATTGACAATCTTCTTCACTTCAAGAGTCAAAGAGAGAATTTCTTGTTTTGTTAGGGTAGTGGTATGAAGATTTTAACAGAAATCTAGCCACGTGAAAATCTTCCTATGCATTGAATATTTCCATTTCCAAATTTTAAAATCAACGGTAACTATATAATTCAATGTTTCAAGATATATTTGATCCACTCTATTAAATTGGAAATTTTTTTGGTTTATGAAAATCTTCCGAACCAATCTTTAATAAATTCCAATAAATCTTTGAATCATTTAACATTTCCTTATTATTCTTATTAGCCTTTGGTTGTATTTGAATATTGACCAACAAATTCTAACATATAAAAAATACAATCCAACGGAAGCCTTGATAACTTATTAAGATTATTTTTTTGAATGGATTGTTTTGAATATTGTTTTGTATGAAGATTTGATGAAGAAGTTTTAGATTTTTCTCTTATTCATAAAGGAGTGGGAGATGGAGCAGTGGTTGTTGTTGTGGTACTTGATTTTGAAGGACATATATTATTAATGGTTGAAGTGGCACCTTTTGATAGTGTATTATTATTATTAGTAGCCTAACTTGTTGATTTTTTCATGTTGTTATTGTTGTGAGAGTGTTAAATCCGTATGATGATCTATTATCACGCATCATTTCAACTGAATTTGAGGGATTGGATTTAAAATAAGGATTGTAAAATGATTGGGAACAATTTATGGATGAGTTCGAAACATTCAAAATTCGAATAATCAAAGAATAGTTTGAGTCAAGGAGTAAATTGAGCATGTGACAATCAGTAATTTTATTATGATAATTCAAAAATTACAACTACATTAATCAAAACAAGAAATTCTCTCTTTGACTGTTGAAGTGAAGATCTCCTGTCATGGTCTGTAGAGTTCAAACTTGTGAAAAAAAATGACAAGAAAGCAAGTGAAGGGAAATTTTCACAAATTAAATGATGATGAGCTGACAATTATTCTTGAATTTATTACTCCGAGTAGTTATTCATCATTTTCACATATCAATAGGCAATGTTATTCAATTTTTGAGACGGAAAAGCCAAAATTTTGGAATCAGAAAAGGATTGAATATGAAGAAAAAGTTGAAATCAAACGAAACCGCGAGGAACAAAACACGGACAGACTTGTCAACAGTATGAGATATGCTACTGAGTGCAACTGTTTTTATACAGCTTGTTTACTATTTGTTGTGATTCTGGGGATGTTGTTATTGGTTGGAGGTCTTGGCTTGGCTTTAGGTTCTGCGAGTCATGTAGAGAGTTCGTTCAATGATTGTGAGAGGATTGTTTCTTCTGTTCAAGTTTTGAACAGTACTATTGGAAGGGTTTCGTATCCAGAATGTGTGGAATGCAACACTAATTGGAATTCGAGTTGTAATAATTTTAATACTCTTCCATGTTGTCAACCGAATAATAGCTCAACAAGTATTGGATGTATGTTTGATAGTATCCCAACAAGACTGAAATATTTCTATTATGTTAAACTTAGAGAAAGCAAAATACAATATCCCACTGTATTTTCATATGAATGCAATGTCCCTGAATGTATTAAGGAAAAAAATCAAGATGGAGCTCTCAAATGTAAAATGACATCATATAGCTCTAAGAGTGGAGTTGAAATTTATCAACTCTATCTTTACAAACCAGAAATTGATTATCCACTATTCATAGGATTATTACCAAGTGGTTTAGTGTTATTGTTCCTCTTCTTGATTGATGCAGTGTTTATTGGTTTGCTTTTCAGTTTATTATGTTGTAATAGAGATGTTTCTGAGTGGATTGTAAGAAACAAATTGGTGAAACTGAAAAAAACAGGAAATACCTATCGGGTGAGACCAAATTATAACTGTTGTTTCTGTATTTCATTCCTGTTATTGAAATCTACTGATACCTATGATTTGGAAGTGTCTCAACTTTAGAGAAAAGAAAAATTGATCTTTGTAAAGATTAAATACTTTACAATACACTATTTAATATTAAAAAAAAATATCACAACATTAAATGCTCTCCAATATTCAAGTTTTTGATCTTTCTCGCCTCTATCCTGGTCCTCTATGGCCAACTCTTGTCCGATCTCGGAGCACTTGTCATTAAAATTGAAGATGAATCCAATGGTGGTGATCCAACAAGATATTATCCTCCACTAATTAATAATTCTACAACTATTACTACTAATACAATGATGATGAAGAAGAAGGCTGAAATTTCCAATAAGAAGCCTTCTTCTTCTTCCGATCGTCATAATTTAAATAATAATTTAAATAATAATTTAAATAATGATGAAATTGGGAAATCATCATCATCGGGATTAATTTATCATTGTTTTAATAGAGGAAAACAGGCCATTTCGTTGAATTTTAAAAAGAAGCAACACGTAGAAGAGTTGAAACGATTAATTTGTTGTTATTCCAATGATAATGATGATGGCGATCAGAGGAGAAAGGCTGTGAAGGTTTTGATTGATAGTTCAAGACCTGGAAAGTTGGAAAGCTTATTGGGTGTTGGAAAGATTGAGGAATTGTTGGAGGAGAATTTGCAATTGATAATTTGTAGGATTTCTGCTTTCGGACAAGATATTGGAAAGTATTCGGATATTCCAGCTCATGATATGAATGCTGTTGGATCTGCTGGTGTATTTGATGTTGCTGGAGATGTGAGTGAAAAGAACAAGCAATTGAAACCACTGCCTATTCAATTGTCTGATGTATTGACAGGTTACAGCTCTGCTTTGCAAGTTGTGGCCATGGTTAGAAAAATTGAAGCTTTAAATTATTCTGTAAAATCTACAGAAGAAAGAGAACGAATCTTGAGAGGAATGAATCGAGTTATTGATATTTCCATGTTTGATAATGCCATTTCTGCAATTCAAATGCCACTTTCCTTGACATTGAATGGTTTTGACAAGATGGCAAGTGAAGGACGAAGTGTTTTAAGTGGATCCATTCTTGGATATAATATCTATCCAACAAAATCTGGACAATTAGCTGTTGGATGTTTGGAACCACATTTTTGGAGTGGATTTATTCAAGCTTTGAGTGTTCACGATAAGGAAAATCCAAAAGATTCATGGAAACAATTTACAACTGTTGAATTTCTCTTTTCCAATGATTCGAAATTGAAACAGAGAATTGTTAAAGTGCTCGAGCAAAAGAGCGCCGAGGAGTGGGAGAAGATTTTTGCTTTTGATTTGAAATTGCCAATTACAAAAGTGAGAAAATTGAAAGAGGTCGATAGAGAATTATTACAACAACGAAACATGTTGACTTCCAGCAATTTGGTGAAGAATGCACTCGATTACAAATCAATTCAACTGACTGTCAGTGGAAATCAATCAGAGGAGTTACAACCTATGAATGAATTTGGACCATTACTTGGAGAACACAATCAACTTTATTTGTCAAAACTCTAAATGGAAAATTCCCAAAAAATTATTAATAATTATTAATCAAATCTACAAAGAAAAATGTCGAACGTATCCAACATTTCAAACATATCCAACAAACAGCATCAGCATAAGGAAACGACTTTGGAAAAGCCACAAACACCTCCTTCAATATCTGAAGAAACCAATCTCGAGTCTATGCAACACGAACTGGAAGAAGAGTTTGCAGTTGGAACGAGAGCAAGAACAACAAGAGAAGAGGATTTGGAGAGGAAAACTCGATCAGCAGTTGGAATGGATGAGGATACCACTCAACCTGTTAATCCTTACAATTTATAACATTAATTAGTACTCAACTCACGTAACATCTTATCAACCAAGGCACGAACAGTAGCTGCCTCCACATTCAAATAAACACAATAACTTGTTTGATTTGCCACTCTAATCTTGACATTATCATCATCTACTTGTTCAATAGCTTCCACTTGATTCAATTCAACAACCTGAAGTGCATTAGAGTTGGTTGATTGTGGAATGAGCAAATGTCTGTTGGTGATTGCCAAGGTCTTTCCTAAAGGAATTAAAATATTAAACTCTATTGATTGTTGGGATTTGTGGATTAATCTCAAAAACAATTCCATATTTTCCTTGTATGGTTTAATCACTCCGTTAAATAACATTCTTGGATTTTCTCTAATTTTGTGAAGTGATGATTGATTAAAGTTTCGAATACCTTGCATTTGCTTGATACTAAAATCAATCATACCAACTACTGGCTTTGTAGGAATTCCAACAATTCCAAGAACAACTCCTTTAGCCAATCCCAAAGCTCCCTCTTTTCTAGCTCCCTTAATTGGTTGAGCAATAATTCCAACACCTCCATCAATGAGTCCTGTGAAGAGAACTTGCATACCTTGTCCAATACCTTGGAAAATATTGGCAGGTTTCCTTTCCATAATCCTGTCTCTCTTCTCGACGAAATCTCTGTCAAGTGTAAAGATTGAAAGCGTATTTCCAACTGTTCCTGTAATTGTTGATGTGAAACCAGTTACTCCCTTGACAGAATTTGAAATAAATCCAACAGATCCCTTACCAACACCCAATAAGAACATATGTGGGCCTTCAGTGATGGCATTTGCAGGTTCATAAAATAGAGAAGTAACTCCTGAAGCCAAATCACCAAATAATTGAATAGGACTTCCAAAAGTATTCAACGATCCAATAATTGACAATAAATTGTACTTGATTTGACGTTTGTAGTGTTTTCCAACTCTTTCCATAACATCTTGCATGGTAACGAATGAGGATTGAGGAAGTTTGAAATCGTAAATTCTAATTATGGCATTTTCAATGTGTGTAAATTTAGTTCCATAAGAGGAAAGAATATAAACCAAATCGTATTTCAAATCATTGGAAGGTTTCACCTTGAAAGAAGCATCGACTTTCAATGGATTGAGTTCAAACTTTCCAAAGAACATTTTCTCACTTTCCTCTACTTCAAAATATTGCAAGAATTGATTTAGTTTTGTTTCTTGGACTGCTTTCATTTGTTTCATGGCACTTGCGAATACGTCACTCATCTTTTGAATGAAAATATTGTTAGAGCTAAATAACATTTCTCTGATAGTTACTGAAACAGTTTCAAAATAGTTTCCATTCTTTTCTATTGTAAATTCAATGAAACTCTGCTCTGAAGAATTGATATTCACAAATTGAACTGGGTTGACCTCTTGTTCATTGTGATCGTCAACTTGGAGTCCACGCAATTTAGTATAAACGCAAAATTGAGTATTGAGCATTCCAAATTTAGTAAATAATTGATCAAAATGAATAAAAGCCAATTCCTGACTTTCACCAATAATCGAAATTCCAATAGAATAGAAAGTAACATCTACTGCCAGTTCATAATCCTTCTCCTCAGTCTTTTTCTTTTTGTGAATGTGGAGAATGATTACTTGTTGATATGGAATGAGTGTGTAATAAATTTCTTCATCTCCAACCTTTTTCATTGTTTCCTTATTCATTGTAATCTTATTAAGGGTGATAATCTCTGAAATGGTGTCAATTATAACAGATTGGGGCATGTTGAGATAGGGTTTGATATTTTTTGGAGCTAATCCTTCCTTATCAATTACAATTTCCAAATCTGTAGAGTTGACCACGTAAAATTCAGGCAATAGTATTTCATTAATCACCACAAACATTGAACCTTCCTGTTCCTTAAGTAAAAGCTTGGCATTTAGGAATTTTCCAAATTTGAGTGACAATTCCTGTTGACATTTAGTTTCCACAATATTTTCCTCTTCTCCCAAAGTGATTTTCATTTTAGGAAGTGAATCATTGTAATGTGAATAAGGTTGTGTCTTTCCTGCAGCGACTGAGAATGAATTCTTCTCGAAAGTAATGTTTAAATCAAATTTGGTATTGTTTCTAATGTAATATCTTTCTCTGAGGTACATGTATTTACTCTCATCAGTTTCTCTCAAATAGTAAACCATTCTTTTATCTCCTAATTTCCACAAATCCATGGTATCATGTGGAATTTTATCCAAATTAGGTGTAAATTTGTTTTTATCATCTCTACAAATGGTCAAATTATTGATGTTCATAGTAGTATAATTGAATGGTAGAATATTAATTCCATTAATATTGATAGGTAATTCCAAATCATTGAAAATCCAAAAAGGTGCACGAATGACAATCTCAGCAAATGATTTTGATTTTTTAGGTTCTTGCTTTTGAGGAATAGTTTTACCATTCGTACAAATTTGCATGGTTTTGCTGGTTGTGGCACTGAATGATTGATCACTAAATGAAGGATTATTCGTCAGAATGTTCACAGAGAAATCCTTATTGGCATAGTAGTAATAGAGTGAGGATTCTTTTTGTAAGGAAAATTTCTTTCCATTAATTTCCATGTCCAATTCAATAGGAGTTCTATTTTCTAGTTTGAGAGGTGGAGAAATTGTGAAATTTTTCATGTTTCGTCCAATATCTTCCACGTACTCACAATAGAAACTGGAAGTCTTATTCATAAAGATGAATTGAGATGAATTTTGATCTTCGAATGTTGGACTCATGTACTCGTCACTATAGGATGGTCTAATTTTCAAATTGGTCTTGTCAAATGGAGCATTTGGAAGATATTTCACTTGATTAGGTGAAAGTTTTCCACATCGTTTCGAATTGTACAACACTTCAAAGGTGACATCTGTTTGATTCTCAATGGAATACAAAGAATGAATGGTAAAATAACTTGTTCCATCAACAATTTCCACAGTGAGTAAACATTCAGAGGATAGAATATGTGTTCCTGGTTTCTTCTTTAAGGAGAATACGAAAGTTTGATTATTAATAATGAAACTAATAGAAGAAACTTCTCCCTGCACAATATATTCCTGACCATCTTCCAGTAATTGATCATTAATAGTAATTGGTGTTGGATGCATGTTTCTGACAATTGTTGGATAGAAAGTTCTCGTAATGACACTTCTTTCCTTACTTTCCATTATAGATTTGAATATTTCGAATGTATTCTTATTGAAATTCAATAAACATTTTGGAATATCAAGAATGTAATTGCTTCCTTTTCTAGATCCAGAAACTGTGAATGGTTCCACAAGTGATTCCCAAACTCCATAGTTTAAATTGAAGCACAATAGTTGAATGTTGGATATTCTAATGAAATCAGAAATGATCGCTTGTTCAATATCGAGTTGTAGAGCTGGCAAGTCAATTTCATTTCGATCAGTGACAAGTAGAATGGAAATTCCTGACACTAGATATGCTTCAAATTTAAAGGTTTCAGATCTGGTTTCTTGGTTGAAACTTGCAAAAAAGTTAGCGAAATACGAAAGATCTACCTTATTATTAGGCAAGTTGTTAATTTGATAAGGTGGCAATTTGGTTTCAGTTGTCTTTTTGATTTTGGAAAGTTCAGAAGTAAACATGTCCATAACTTGTCTAATTTGGTGAATAATACTTGTTGAAATACGAATATTAATTGCCCTAGTTGTCTGAATAATTAAAGTATCCGTATAGCTCACATTCAAACTAATTGGATGAAGAATATAGTTGGTGTACTCATCATATTTGTTTCTATTCTTTTGGAATGAAAGATCCAAATCATGAATATTGAAATTGTGAATATCTTCCATTGAGAATTGTTTGCATCTCATTACGAATGCTAATTGATTGAAATTATTGGCAGGAAGAGCTACACGAATATCGTTACATTTGACAGATATCATTAAATCATCTTCCTTAATTTCCTTTTCTGGTTTCTTTTCCTCTTGAGGTTCTGTAGCAAGTTTCATTGTGGAGAAGAACTCTTGCAGCTCCTTAAATACTTGAGGAATAATTGTAACAATTGGATTATTGATCTGGAGGGAAATTTCATTCTTCTTTCCTCTTGTAATCATTGAACCTGACAAGCACTTGGTAGTTTTGGAATGAGTGGTGATAAATTGTGTGAAATATTCATTCTTTTCAGCTCTTAGATCAGTTCCAATTATTGATTTGACAAGGAATTGCATATTGTCTCCAGATTGTTCTTTGAAATATCTCATTTGGAAATCTTCAACTTCCAACTTGGCCAGATCAGTATTCTCAGCTACTGATTTTACATCCAACTCAAAGGACTTGATTCTAATAAAAGCAATTAGTGTTAGACTATCCTTCTTTTCCAAATCTTCTGCTTGTTTCTTTTCGTTACTTTCGCTTGGTTTCTTATTGAAAGAATCAATAAGTTGAAACAAGAGTAAATACTGAGCATGTTCCAAAGTGAATAAAACCTTTGGTACAATTTCAATATCCAAATACATGCTTGGAAAGTGATCCTTCTTGAGAACTCTTTTCAATCCAAGAGCAACATTGAATGGAGAAGTCACTGTCTTTTCAATTCCATTAATTTTAGTTTGTAAATTCATCCTATTGAAAATCATTGAATAGCTATCACATGGAATTCCATTCTCAACCCAGTCTCCCTTATTGGTTAATCTGATATTTCCCAAGTGAACTGTGAAAGTATTGTCTTGTATTGGAGCAATAACAACTGGATCTTCCACCTTAATGTCCATAGAAATAATTTCCAATTTCTTATCCTGTTGAGAAATCAATTCTTTTGAATAGTCACTAATCATTTTTCCACCATTTTCCAAAGCTTCCCATAGTGGACCATCTTGGAAATAACTCTGAATGTCCTCAATAAATTGGCTGATGAATATGAATTGAATTGAAGCCATTGCAAGCTTTAGTGATTTCTTTTCGGTGAAACCTCTTACAACACGGGTTGAATTTTCTATATTCATTACTGGCTCATCATCTGTTTGACTGTATGCAAATCTAATAAGTGAGCGATCGCCCAAATATTTTGGAGAAAGAATATATGGATAAGTAGATGTAGAATTAGGTTGTGAAAGATAGGCAGTACCAATATCTCCTTCACACGATAAACTATTCTTTCCCATATAAAGATTTACATTCAAACTGGAAAGCGAGAAATTGGCCAACTTGGAACTATCTTCTCTTTCCAAATCGACAAGGATTTTAGAAATTTCTCCTTGTAATTTCATTTCATGTTTGAAAATATCCTCTGAATCATCTTCTGTAATCATTACAATAGGACTTTCCTTTTCAAAATTAATCTTCTTTGAAAATAGGAATAATTTTGTGATAATTCCAGTATTGAAAATCAAATTCATATCTGAAAGCTTGATATTCAGGAACATTTTAGAAGAATGTTGGCTTGCAAATTCAGATTCCTTATTTGAGCACAGAATAATACTAATCTCAATAATATTCGTACTGTGATCTGAGAAGAATATTTTTCTTTGATTTCCATCGTGGAGTGTGATTTCTCGGAGTGTTACCTTGACCTGGTTATCATTTGGTCTCGCGAGTACATTTGTGTGAAGCCCATTAGCTTGTGCCATGGCAACAACTTCACTCGATGAAGAATCATTCAGAGCTCTCAGTACGATACTATCCAGACTGAAATTTACAATTGTTTCTATGGCAGGTGGAAGTGGGGCTTTAGAAATGCTCTTGTTCAATAGAGATTCCAAGTTTTTCTTCCATTCTTCAAATGTTTTTGCATTTGAAAGCACAAATTCAAAATCCACAACTTTGAAACTATTAGTTTCCGTATGGAATTGGACAGTGTTGAAATAGATATTGTGTGAAGGAGCTAAACTGGATTCTTCCTTGAAAACTAACAATCTACCATCGTCATGTAATTGGATATGAGCTGACGAAAGTTCCTCTTGTTTTGGTAATTTCATTTGCACATTATTTACAATGAGAATACTCTCCTTTGAAGAACCGAATGGATTGTTGGTGAAATGAGAAACAGTATCTCCTAACCGAACCAATTGAGTCACCACTTGAGGATTAACATCAACCATTAATGGAGTGGACTTGACATCTATTAAATTTTGATCAATTGTCTGTACCATAGAAATTGAGAAATCAGTTGGCTGAATAATGGTGAAATCCTCTGCTTCTCCAATGTGTAACAATTTGATAGGTGTCAATGAAATATCAATCTTTTCATTAATTTTGGTCAATTTAGAATGTCCTAAATGAGCTTGAAAGTATTCTTTACCTGAAAGAGTATCAGGAATGATTACACTAATACTATCTAGCTCAGCATTGAGTATCTTTTTTGTAATTTTCAAAGTATCTGGTAATGAAGGTGCTGTAAATTGACTTCTTTGTAAATATTTTGGTAGAATGAAAATAGACAACATCTTTTGAATGAGAGAAAGATTCAACACCACATTCAAATTGCCAACCTTGCAATCCATCTGCTCCACTCCGTTCATAGGATTAGAGTCCATTTTAAACTCGACAAAATTTCCAACAGAATTGGTTTTGACAAAGTTGTAATATTCTGAAATGCTCTGTTCGTTTCTTGTAGAGAAATTGTCAACTCCGGATACACCTCCAAGACTCACCTCTACATTAAAACCCTCCACTCTTAACTTGAAATCGACCAATAATTGAGTCAATTCAAATACTGCAACCGAATCAGGTGCTGCAGTTCTGGTTGATGCATTCCTTAGCTTGACTCCAATAGTGTTAATCTTAACTTTAAGAGCAAAATTCACAAAATGTGGAGGAAGAATAAAAGATGGCCCCTTATCTTCTTCCAATCCAAATAGCTTGGAAAATTCCACTCGATCCTCTTCGGTAACTTCAATAGTCTTATCAATTGAACCGAACCACTTGGACCAATAGCTTGATTCCTTCTTCTTTTGTTTGTACTTTTGTTCCTCAATTTGAATTTCAAGATAAGCTGCCTCTCTCAGTTTCATAATGTCATCAACATGGATGAAATCTTCCAATTCCAATAATTTTTCAGCTTCATCTTTTGTTAATGGTTGTAGCCAGGCCACTTTCTTACTCCTCTTGAACATGAGCATGTAATTTTTGAATTGGGTAACTTTCTCATCCGTTGATTGAGATAAATATTGTTGACATTCGTTTTGAGAATTAAACATTGGTCTATCGAATGGTTTTTCCATAAACTGAGTAATATAATCCAGAGTTGACTGAATATTTCTGTACTGCCTTTCGTCCAGTGTTGCATTCACCGATTCTAACCTCAACTCGGCACTAATTCTTGGCCTTTCTAAATCCAAAGCTTCATCCTTCTGCATACATAACAATAACTCTCCATTCACTGGACTCAAAACAAATCTCCTATAATTCTTCTTCTCCACAATGATATTTCTCATGTGTTCAATGAATTTTCTATTATCCAAATCATTCTTCATCAATGAAAACAATTCAGTTTCATTATTATTCATGTAAACTGATAAGTTTCTCAATGTAAGCTTTTTAAAAAAGGTTTTTGCTGTTGTGGCCAAGAAAGATTCCTGCCAATTGACATCACAACTTGACATGGAAAGAGATTCAAGTGTTGCTCCCATAACCACTTTGAATCTTTCATCAGAATCATCTTCATATCTAACGTGAATATTATTAATCTCAATCTGAAGATTATTAATAATGGTTTCAGTCAACCTTGACACAAATCCTTCTTGTTTCTTTTCGTTCTTTTCATTCTTTTCATTGGTTTCTTCTGTTTGATTTGTTGTTGTTGCTTGGCTTGCAGCATTCGAAACTTCATTCTCTGATTTTCTTCTCAATTCATATTGTGTTAACTTTCTCTGTTTCACCATTCGTTGTCTCTTCCTTTCACTTGTCTCATCAATTTTTTCACACCTCCTCGGTTGAACCACCAACATGATATCACTCAATCGAACTTTAATTGATGAAGTTGAAATACTCTTCCATGGTATATCAGCTTCAATCAAACCAACAGTTCCATTCACAACAGAAAAAGGTAAATCCAACAAATCAAGTGCCGATCTTTTAACAATCAAATCTGTCAGTTTAAATTTACCATTCCACACACCAACCGACAATGATTGTTTATCTAAATTTTCAATGTAATCACCAAGAGTTGCTGTCAATACTTTGGCAACAACACTTTCAAACATTTTTTGATGATATTTGTTTAGCGTCCTGTTGACATCGTGTATCTTCAAAAACTTGTGTGCGATTGATGTGTTGATAAATATCCAAGCAACACTTTATATCTTCGGAATGAGGTAAAATAGTAATCGTGCTATGTTTGTTGGTAACATCCGGAATTGGAGGTGGTGGTCATGAATTGTTGTTATCCTTCTTGTGGGGTTACATGATGAAAATTGAAAAATAATATTAAACTTAAAATTAGTTGGAAATAATAATAATACTCATGATGAACTGGAAGTAATTAATTTTGTTGAGATTTTTATTAATTTTTTTTTAAACGGTTAATAAGCGAGGTGATTTCTTGGCACTTTAGAAAACCGTTACATATATTTCAAATTTAAACAAATAACAATAATTGAACCATGTCTTTTCTTGTTTTATTCCACACCAAACTAGAAAACTAGTAAATACTGGATACTAATAACAACAACATTAAAAAAAATATCATGAAGAGATTAGAACAATCATCCGATTCTTCTATCCAACAAAAGAAGAGAAAAACATCATCACCAACAACAACAACACAACAACATCATGCTCCAGCACTGAATATCATCCTTCCATGTTTATTGGAGATTATCAAATATTTATCCTTTCAAGATTTATTCAATTTCATGATGGTTTCTTCATCGTGTCTAGAAACTTGTCAACAACAAGAAGAGGCTCTTGAGGAAGAGAGGGAAATTGACGATATTTGCCAAGATTGGAAGTATTCCATCACCTTTTGATATTTATCTTCGATCAGATGAGGCCAATGATATCCAATCGATTATTTCTAGAATTTGGCAGCCATTGGAATATCCACCAATTGTGGAACAATTACAGGAGAGAATTAAGGATCTCTATGTGGTCTGTATGAATGGAAATTGGATATTATTATATGTAGCTCAATTTGAGGAAAAGATAGAGTTATGGAGAGGCAAGTTTTGTAATCCTCAAACATTTGGTATGCAAGTGAAGAGTGATTACCAAGGAGAATGGACACTACCACACTCATTATCCAAGTTTTATTGTGTTCATGATGGATTTTCAAGAATGGTTGATCAATTCAATTTTGACTCTTTCAAGTACTGTTCTATTGCTTCAAGTTCTGAGCTAGAGGGTTTTGCCATTGACAAGGAAAAGGTGTATTTACTTTTGAAGATATTTTCAGATTCGTGTGGTCAGGGTGCATCCTATTGTAAATGTTTAGATCCTAATGTTTCTTTACCAAACGATCAAGTATTTGATCATTATGGTCAACTGCCAATTGCCTCAGATTTCCAACCATTTGTTTACTATTTGGATGGTTATTTAGAACAGGAACCTGATGAATACTAATTTACCTACTTTCTTATGCTAGTTATCAAGTATTGTAAGTCAATAATTTCGCCGCTTACAATGAAAACCAATCATCAATTAAGATTCCTAAAATAGATCTCAAAAACATCTTTAAAAAAAATGTCACAAAGTGCCACTTCCAACACTTTTCAAGAGGATGATGATTTATTCAAGTCATTTCCTCTTGTTCTCGTCCGATATGGACGAACTGCTTGCTGAGGTACGAATATCAAAAATTCATTAATTTGTTTAAATATTTAAACATGTGATTATTTAATATATATATATATTAATATTATATAATTAATGTGAATAGGTGGGCCACCGGTGTACAAAACTAACAAACTTGAAGGATTTGTACGTCGGTGCAAGGATGCTCATCCCGAGTATCACATTCAATATGTAAAAATTGATAGAGGTGGAGCTTTGGAAATTTACATCATTCCCGAAGGTCAAATGAATGAAATTCCATCATGGATGAGGGATACTGTTCATTCGTCATCTTCTTCATCATACAAGGCAATGGATAAATACAAAGCCTATGAAGGATACTTGTTTGAATTTTATGCTTCAGGAGAAAGTCAATCAGAGAAGAAAACAAGAATGAAAATGGATAGCATTATGAATGCTGCTACTTTAACTGTTGTTTCTTCTGAAATTGAGAAGAAATAGTTGAATTTATTTGAGTGTGGATTTTGGAAATTATTGGATGAATATTGCGTGACAGATATTTGGAAGAAAACAAAATCCTTTTTGAAAAGGAAAATTCCAACATCTTGAAAAGATATTATCAACCAATAATAACCAGATCAATAATCAAGACATTGTTTAATTCCAATAAAAAATTAAAATTAAAAAATGGACGAAACCATCTTGTTTCTGGACATGAGTTTCAGATCCAAGTTACTGCTGGGAAAATACACTCGGCAAACAAGTGCCTTCACTAAATATTGTCGGAAACGGGAAGAAATATTGAGTGGAAAATATTCGAATATTTATCTGATTCCAGTGGAGTTTCTGAGGGATTGTCATGTCTTGATGAAATATCCTCCTCTGTTAAAACATTTATTGTTAAAAGAAGGTGCCGATGAAGAGTTTGTTTTCTTTTTTTTGAGAGGAAAGAGTGATCATGAATTTGATTATTTATTCTCGAGTTTGGACGAAACTTGGAAATGTAAAATTTCATTTATTGAGCGAGCGATTCAAGAAAATTATCAAACTTTTCGATTTTTACAACGAGAAAAACAAGAGGAGAAGGAATATATACCCAAAGATTTAAAATTGAATCGGTTGGTAGAGTTGAATCCAGAAATTATTCGATACTTGATAAAAATTGATGGATTTGACATTGAATTGCTTAAGAAAGCTTGTAAAAAGAATATTTCACTATTAAGGTTTATTCCTTGTGATAGAGATTTTCATATTTCTGTAATTGAGCATAATCCCCAAGCTCTGAAATATTCGAAAGATTTATTTAGGAATGATGAAGAGATTGTTTTGAGAGCCATTACAAAAGATAAGACAACACTACAGTATGCAAGTGATTCAATAATTGAAAGAGTTCTTGTTAGAAAAGAACTCTTAAAATATTCTGTGGAAGATATTAAGAGTTTAGTTTTGAGTGGTGTGAAAACGAAACCTTCCTTATTTAAATATTTACCTGATTCGGTAAAAATAGATCAAGAATTTGTTTTGAAATTGTTACCTAATGTAAGGGTATTCATACCACAATCTTTGAAGCAAAGTAGAGAGTTTCGAATGGAATGGGTTAAATATGATGCAAAAGCATTCGAAACTTGCAAAGATTTGGAGTTACGATCGGAAAGACAATTTTTATTGAATTCTTTAACAACTTACAGACATACCCTTAGAGATGCACCACCAATTCTCAAAGACGACAAGGAATTTGTTTTGGAATGTCTGAAATTTCCCTCGAATAGATTATCCGAAACTTCTGAAAGATTAAGGGATGACGAACAGGTCGTTTCGTGTGCCTTAATGCAACAGTCATCAATTAATTTTGAGTATGCTTCCGATAGATTAAGAGACGACAAGGAATTCGTTATGAAAAATATTGAACTTTTTCCAGGAATGTTTTCTCACATTAGTGAAAGACTAAAAAAGGATAAGGAGATAATTGTAAAATATGCAAGCACTGGAAAGTTGAAATCTTTGGAAAATGAATTTATGGAGGATGAAGGGTTTGTTCTTGATATTGTGGAGAAAAATCCTCAATTAGTACTTTCGTTCATTCCTCCAATCGATTCACTTTTTATTCGAAAGTGTGTGGAACGAAATGGTCATTGTCTGTACTATTGGGAATCTGGAAAATCAACAATCAAGGAAGATTTATCAGAAGTGGCAGCTCTTTCCTCTGGTTATCTTTCAGATAGACATGCCAACAAGGGGAAACAAAATGTCGCATGGCAAGATAGAGGAATTGTAAATATTTGGATTCAGAGAAGATTTGAGTTAGAATATGATGGATTATATATTTCATCTTCTTCTCCAATGTTTGTAAATGGAAATTTTGTGAGAAAAGTATTCGCCTCCTTGTAAATATTCTTTTTTATAAATCTATAACAGGTTTAAATATTGAAAACTTCTAGGAAAGTTGATGTTTCGTTTCCTTCACTTACTCTACTAATTTGAGTTCTCAAAGATTTTCCATTATTTCTCAAATAGGTCACAGCAAAGTCATTGGCATATTTTCTTTCATTTTGACTCGAGCCCTTTCCAATCCATGTGAAAACCTTATATCCTGCATCGACAATGAAGGCATCCTGACTCTTCAAATCAGAAAATATGAAATTTCCTTGCATTTTAGTGAATTCCATCTTGCCACTGCTGTCGCTCAATTTATAAACGACAGGTTTGGAGAGTTTGGCTGATTGCTTTTCTTCATCGTTTCCACCTTCAAGAGCTGTCTTGATATCCTTTTCATCACCCTTGAGTAATGAATATAGGAATGTCAATTCAGAAGTATTGGAACTGGCCTTATCCTTTGCAATAATGAGCACTGGTTTCTCTCCTCTTTCAGATTGAATCGATTGGGCCAATTGATTAACCTTGAATCTTTCCATATTCGAGCAAGAACTTCCTTCCCATAGCAATAATTTTAATCCAGCATCCAATAAGAAACAATCACCTTGATTGAGTGAGGAAAATAAGAGAGGAACTTCAGTGACCTTAATGTTTTTCTTTCCCTTAACTTGTAAGAGACGTGGTTCATATTCTTCTGGTTTCACATTACGGAATCCAGTTTCCATACCTCCAGACAAGATACGAATGCCCTTTGGGAATAAGGCCAAGAATTCATCACTCTCATTTCCTTGAACTTCTCTGAACTCAACTGGAGATCCACCCAATAAATCATCCAATTCAACAGTTTTATAGGCAGCAACACCCATCTCATCAATACTAGTATTTAATCCTAACCAAAAGTGAATATTCCAATAGAGTGCATTTTCCTTCTTGTATGTATGAAGAATAATATAACTATCACCTATAAATTTTCAATTATCAGAATCTCCTCAAACTATTCGAAACATACCATCATAAAATTGACCATAGGTTTCTTTTGGAACTGGAACAACTTTGAATTTTTCAATTCTCCAAATCTCCAAACCAGGTGATAGACCAACCTTATTTCCACACTTGAACCAAGCATCTTCCTTCTTAGCTGCCTCAATTCGTTGTTGAATATCCTCTCTGGATCCAATGAATTGAATATTACTGTCCTCAAATTTAGCTTGAATTGCTTCAATTTTCTTCTCCATGATCACTTGATAATGATTGGCAATGATTGGTTTGTTGGCATTTGCAATTTGATTGAAATTTTGACAAGTAATTGAGAAATCAAGTGTGCTATTCTTTTTTTGACATTCTGTTCCAGGTAATGAAACAATCTTTTCTAATGGGAGACCTTCACTTTTGAATTCTTTGAATGAGAGAGTGAATTCTGAGATTAAATCATTCTTGGTGAGTAAATCCTTGTCAAAAACTTGAACTTTTAGAACTAATTGATCAAAACTCTGTACTGAATTAATATACGAAACATTTGACGAAACTTACTGTCAATTTATCACCATTTGGAATACCCAATAACATTCTATCACTCCAAACTGGATTTAAATTAGCCTCCACAACTGTTGATTTTACCTAATTGTCAAACGTCATCACACAAGGAATCTAATTAAAACCTACACTTTCGTTTCCAATAGAAAAGACAACGAAACCATCACTCTTTCCACCAATATCCATGGCTGGTAAATTCTTTGCACACCTAAGATGAATCTCCAAGTGTGGAAGCAGAGATTGATTGATGGACTTTTTCATCAGTGGCGAAACTAACTTCATCTTGGTGTATTTTTTTTGCTATTTGGAAACCACACATTGACAGTCGACATCTTTCTGTTTTCAGTTTAGCATCATGAACTTGGTTTGTAGCATGTTGTCTTTTACAATATGTACAGTCAGGGTTCTTAATAATTGTTAATATGATTTTACAATAGTTTACAATATTTTACAATGTTCCACAAAGTTTGCGCGCGAAAAACTCAAAAAAAATGAGCCAACTAGAAAGACAAGAAAACGATGACCAATTAATTAATACGGCTGCAGATCACCAGTAATACTTTGAAAGAGGCACCAAATCAGAAAAATCTTGTGCAAAAATTGCAAAAACTCCAACGACAAGTATTTTCCAATGATGTTATATTTTCGGATGATGTTTGTTTTGAAATCATTTCCATGATTGATGATTCGTGTTTTATTTTGCAAAATTGTTCTCTAATTTCAAAACAATTCTTTCATGTGATCAAGGAACGAGCAAAACTTGTCATTCAATTTAAAAAGAATCTTACAGAAAAAAGAATTGAATTATGCATGAAAAGTCAATTCGTGAATAGTATTGTCAATGTTAAATTTTCTTGTTGGTTGCTTCAACCCATAGAAAAACTCAAATTTATAAGTGAAATGAAACAATTAACATTACTTGATATTTATTGTAATCAAGTTGGTGTAGAGGGAGCTAAATCAATTAGTGAAATGAAGCAATTAACATCACTTAATATTTCTAACAATGAAATTGGTGATAAAGGAGCCAATTTCATAAGTGGAATGAAACAATTAACATCACTTAATATTGGTAGCAACAAATTTGGTAACGAAGGAGCCAAATCAATAAGTGAAATGAAACAATTAACAGTACTTTATATTGGTCTAAATCAAATTGGTGATGAAGGAGTCAAATTCATAAGTGAAATGAAGCGATTAACATCAGTTGATATATGCTATAATGGAATTGGTGTAAAAGGAGCTAATTCAATAAGTGAAATGAAACAATTAACATCACTTGATATTTGTCTAAATCAAATTGGTGATGAAGGAGCCAAATCAATAAGTGAACTGGAACAATTAACATTACTCTATATTTCTGCGAATCAAATCGGTGATGAAGGAGCCAAATCAATAAGTGAACTTAAACAATTAACATCACTTGCTATTTCTGCGAATCAAATTGGTGTAAAAGGAGCTGAATCAATAAGTGAACTTAAACAATTAACATCACTTGCTGCTTCTGCAAATCAAATTGGTGCTGAAGGAGTCAAATTCATAAGTGAAATGAAACAATTGACATCACTTGATATTGGTAACAATAGAATTGGTGCTGAAGGAGTCACATTATTAACATCACTAACCTCTTTAAAATTTCTTGTTTGCATTGATGTTTGAGAGAATGCTGCCACTCTGGAGATACCATTCGAAGAGTATATCCTATCAGATGAATATTTTTCAATTCCACATTATCCTAGTGTATCCATTAATCAAGATTATTCGAAAGTGGAATGAATCAGTTCACAAGTTTCAATAATATTATTGATTTTTGGAAATGAATAAACTATGATTCGGATAACAATTCTAGTTCATCAACACCATAGTCCCAATCACTTCCATGATTAACGATGGCTCCTAACAATTTTGGACCTTCTTCCACTTGATAATTTTGATAATCTCTCTCAATATCAATAATGCCACCTACATGAACATAATATTCATATGCTTCATATAGAGATTTCTTCATTTTCTTTGAATTCTTTAGTATTGCCTTTGCAGAAACAGTGGTCAAAAAGTAAGAATTGTTATTTTCTGCACTCAACATGACAAATAATAATTCCAAATTTTGCATAAATTCATATTCCATAATTTTCTCAAATGATTCATCTCCAAGTTGGCCCATTCGCAAATCCAATGATTGAAGATTAGGAAGTGTCTGACATCCTCTCTCAGCAATTAGTTTAATACAATCACTGTCCATATAAGATTGATACAATTTTAAAATCCTCAAATTTTTCAAGCATTTAGAGTTGGCAATTGCAAGTACTCCATCTAAATTATGAATAGATGAATTGCTGTATACAAAGCACAAGTAGCTCAAGTCCAAGATTTGTAAATTTGATAGAATCTCACAATTAAGAAGATGTTTAAGCAAATTTCCAGAGATTTGACTTTCTGCAAGGACCAGCTTTTCTAGCTCTGGTTTGAATCCACAGGGAACAATTTCAACGTCTTTGATTAATGGCACTTTTTTCTCTTTCACTATTAATGCAAGCAAGTTTAGTGATTTCAATTTTTTCCAATTAGTATTTGCAAACATTGCAAGTATTGGTTCACAACTATCGGCAGAACTATATTGAATGTTCAATCTAGTCAAATGTTTCAATTGAATCAATTTATCTATGCCTTCCATATCTAAATTTGTTTCGTACAGGTCAAGATCAGTCAAATTAGAGAGATTAGAATTAAAGATCTTTAAATCTTGCAGACCAATAATTAATCGTTTCATTCTGGAGCAATGTGGATGTGAAAATATTTGCATCTTCTCCTCATTCATCTCTCCTAATAAATATCAATCAATTAAATCAATTATACATGTCCTGCATAAATATATTAAAATTTATGTGATTACTTACCCCAATGATGCGAACAACAAATAATTGATGCAATATTTGTAAATTCATTTTGATGGGTAAGATGTTCACAGAGAGCCAATGTATCCAAATCATAATCGGGAGGAGATGAATGAAAATAGAGAGGAACCTTTGTAGATAATTGATACCACTCTTTACACACCAATCTTATTTGTATTAATATTTCCGATCCAAAGAAAAACTCAAATACACTAATCATTAAATCATCTTGCTGATTCAGCAAGCTTAAAGCAACTTTTTGATCACAAGATGATGGATCAAATGATAGGACGGTTGGGCTTGTTTCTTCTTCATTCATTTTTTAAATAATTGCTGCCTTATTTTGTAAATTGTAAACTGATTCCCATTTGGCAAATTGTGGTGTTAATTGTAATCTTCCGTAGGTATCTTTCATATTTCCGATAATGTCCATATAGACTGCATCTTTCAATTGCTTTAGAGTGATATTAGATGATTTCTTAGATTCTGTAATACTCAATTGAGACATGTCTGATGTTGATAATTTCATAGAAGCTCTACCACTCAATAAATTCATTTCTGAACTTGATACTTCCATTTTGTCTACTTTGAATTCCATTGTATCAAACAATTCGTAAAACTTTCTCCTAGAAGAAAAGGAAATATTCACCTCATATTTGGAATAATTTCTCATAAAGTTTTCCTCAATGTGTTTCATAGTTTCCACTGTTACATATTCGGTTTTGATTTCGTGAATAATATCAAAGAACATGATATTCTCCAAACTAAACTCTTTCGATGCATATTCTTGGAATAGCTCAAAAAAGTCGCTGCTTTGAGAAAGATGTTTTTCCAAATCTGAATCATTCTCTGTTATCTTTCTATTTCTATATACGAATCTTCTTATCATTTCTGCTATAATTGCTGTTCCTCCACTTATCATTAGAGCCATTATTGTAACTAGAGTTCTAACAACTCCCACCAAATATAGCAATTCGAATAATTGGAAGACAATTGTGAGTAGAATGATAATAATGATAATACCAGTCAAAAACAAGTCAATTCTCACATAAAGAGGATCATCTGCAAATAAATAATAGAGTATTCCATTTTTGGAAATCTTTTTTCTGTTCAAAATTGCATCAACAACACTAGCAGCCAACGCAAATGCACTTCCAATGACCACATAACTTGCATTTGTCACATTTTGAGAAATATAAATAATGTTAGTCTCAAAGCTCAATGTTGCAAATACAGGAACCATGAAAATGATTGTTAAGAGAGCTGACATTATGAGTGTGAAACCAATTCCAAATGATGTAGAGGTTAAATATTTGTGAACTTTGTAAAATTTAGAATCTGATACAATTTTGTAAAGGTTTCTCAAATAATAGAATCGAATAACTGTTATCATGTAAAGGAAAATCATGATAATTCCAAAGAATACAGAAATCAACAAATATTTCGGTTCACAATTGTAAACCAGAACCAATAGAGAATCCACTGATAGAGCCTCAAATAGTAAATTACAAATAGGCAACAGGTAAGGTACTACCAATCTTCTTTGAAGATAAGGTTTCGAATAACTCTTTGTAGCAAATAATAAAATAAAATACACCAATGTAAGCACAGCTATTGGAATAATCCACAAATCAGTCAATGTTTCTCTCGGATCTCCAAAAGATCCAAAATTACAATAATAGCAATCAGAAGAAAGTAAACTTTGTGAAATTTCAATACTATTTGTTAAATTTTGTAAATTATTTCGATTCACAAATCTCTGAAATAAATATTCATATAATGATCTATCATAATTCAACTCCTTCACACCAGCCACATTTTTCATCCATTCCAAATCAAAATTGGTGAAATTTGAAATTCCACGAGTGAGTGAAATTCTCAGTGCATCAAATTTTTGAGGATTGCTCTTGCAACCACTTTTTTCATAATCCAATGTCAATGGGAGTATGCTCACTTCAAGAGAATTCAAATCACTTTCCGAATATTGACTAATTTCACTACTAGTTGAAACATTTCTTCCAATAATTACCTTATTTGGGAATAAAGGTATTGGAATGAAATCTCTCGAATTGATATATCGAGTAGATTCTTGAGTATTCACTCTATCTCGGTAGCATCTAACTTGTTCTGCAAAGCTGCTTTCACTTGTAATGATTCCACTTAATATTTCGAATGGATTTCTAGTTCTGCAAATTAGTGGAGCAAATGAAATGAAAGAAATCGAATAGGATGAGATGTTTTGATAGTAAAAGTATGTTTCCACTAATTGAGTTAAACTTCTTTCCATTCCGAATTGTAGAGGTGCTGAATTTCTAATAGTTCTATCTGTTGTATTCATATACGAAAGTAACATTTCCAGATTAGTTATATTTAAAGATTTGCTAATGAATACATAGTTATATTCCGCAACTCCATAAATTACATTCCCTTCCTTTAAATTCTCTATTGGAATAACTTGAAAATTATTAGAAATGCTTTGGACTTTCGTCTCAAAATTTTGAAGAGCCACCACCGAATAAACATGATGATACAAAAGAATGATGGAAAGCATTATGAAATAACAGCATCCCATTCGCAATTGTGATGACATTATTGATGAACGATGGTGTCAGGTCTTTTTTTTTGAAGTTTGAATGTCACGTGTCCAAATGAGATATCTGCCTTCTCGGATATCCACATTGACATTCTTAGTATGCTATTTCCCTTCCAATTTCTCTTGCTTTCCTATTCATTCTTCTCATTTACAATGAAATTAATTCACACATTAATAATATTTACATTATTCAATAGAAATTTGCAATTTCATCAAAGATGTTATCCAAATTTCCATAAAAATGCTCAAAAACCATCACTTTAATCAAATTCTCTAATCCATTATATTATGGTAACACTACTTAATGTCATCTCTACGTTGTTGTTATCTTCATCACGGAGAGGAGTAATAAAAATTTAAGAAAAAACAATAAAAACAATTTATTGGATTTTTGAAACAAAAAAAATACAAACACCATCATCTTCTCGGCGGCGTCGTAAGAAAACCTCGGAGCAGTGCTGTTTTTTTCAGAGAGAATATATTCGTCGTCATCATCATCATCATTTAATTGTTGTGTTAATAGTGCAATAAACAGTTATAATACAAATGGAGGAATCAAAAAAACAAGCTGCTGAAGAATTTAAAGCTAAAGGAAATCAATTTTTCAAAGAGAAAAAGTATGAGGAGAGTATTGATTATTATACAAAGGCTATAGAACTTTATGAAGATGCTGTTTTCTATTGTAATCGTGCTCTTTCCAATACTCACTTGGAAAATTACGGAGCAGCTCTTGATGATGCTGCAAAGGCTATCAGCCTTGATCCACAAAACACAAAGGCTTACTATAGACGCGGAATGGCCCATATTGGTTTATCCAAATTGGAAGATGCTTTAACAGATTTTAATGATGCTCTTAAACTTCATCCTAATGATAAATTAATTAAAGAAAGAGTTGCTCAATGTAAAAAGGAGTTGAAACATCAGAAATTTATGGAAGCTATTGGTGGTACAAAAACTCATATTTCCGAAGAAATTAACTATAACGTAATTGATGTTGAAGAATCATATGATGGTGTAAGATTAGGTGAAGTTATTACAAAGGAATTTGTTGAAGATATGGTTGAAAGATTTAAGAATCAAAAGAAAATTCACATCAAGTATGCTATGGAAATTCTTGTCATGGCTAGCAAATTATTGAAGAATGAAAAATCACTCTTCCGTATTAATGTTCCAGAAGATAGACATATTACAGTTTGTGGTGATACTCATGGTCAATATTATGATCTTTTAAAGATTTTCGAATTGAATGGAAGACCATCAAAGGAAAATCCATTTTTATTCAATGGTGATTTTGTTGATAGAGGTTCATTCTCATGTGAAGTTATTTTCACTTTATTGGCATACAAGTTACATGATCCTGAATGCATGTATTTGACTAGAGGTAATCACGAAAGTCGTCATCTTAACCAAATTTATGGATTTGAAGCTGAAACTGTCAAGAAGTACAATGGTGAAGTTTATGAACTCTTCCAAGAAGTTTTCAATTATCTTCCATTGGCTTGTGTTATTAATAGTAAGGTACTTGTTTTACACGGTGGTATAGGATTTAAGGAACCAGGTGTTACACTTCAAGATATTGAAAATATTGATAGAATGAGAGATATTCCAGAAGATGGTTTAATGTGCGACATTCTTTGGTCTGATCCACAAAAACTCAATGGGCTCGGACTCAATAAGAGAGGTGTTTCAAGAGTATTTGGTCCTGATGTCACAAAGAAATTTTTGGATGACAATGGTCTCGAATTATTGATTAGATCTCACGAAGTCAAGATGGCAGGTTATGAAGTTGAAGCAAACAATAGACTGATAACTATCTTCTCTGCACCAAATTATTGTGACTCTGTTGGTAACAAGGGTGCTTTCATTAGATTCAATGGTTCAGATATGAAACCAAACTTTACTCAATTTACACATGCTCCTCATCCACCACTTGGTCCAATGCATTACGTTTCCAGTCTGTACAACCAATTAATGTAATTAAACATTACAAATTTCCATTTCTATTCTGAAGAATTGTATTTAAAATGTTTGCTTGTTCGTGAAGGAATGGAAGTGTTGATTCTAAATGTTGTGTTGATAGTTCCATTGGATTATTGTGTCCTTTCATTTCTATAATTCCCATACTTCCATGATAGTTATTATTATTAGTATTAACTCGAGTGTTGTGTTGATGATTATTATGTTGTCTTGTTCTATTATTTACATTGTTTTGATGATTATCAATTGATAATGATTTAATGATATTAGGCTTTCGGAAAGGCTTGGCAGCACACTCAACAAACGGCTGAACATCAGTATTATTGCTGTTCATGATCATCTTTCCCGATAACAATGAATCAACAGTTGAAGATGAAGTTGTTGTAGTAGCCTGTGCCACTTGAGAAGTATGAGCATTCATAACAAACTGAGCCACCGAGGACAATAAAAACGTTAAAAAACCACTACTACTTGTCATTGCTTTTAATATAAAATTGAAGAATAAAAAGTCGGTAACAATTTTTCTTCATCAAATAATTTCTTCCGTCATCACGAATTTTAATTTTAATTTTAAAAAAAAAATGCCAAGAAAAAAGAAATCAGTATTAGAGGAGGAAGAAGAGGAAGACGCATTTGGTGATAATGAAGATGTGGACGCAGAAGAGAGGGATAAATTCTATAGGGAGGTTAACGAATTTATGGAAAAGAGAGGTACTCCGATCCCTCACGATAACTTGCCACAACTTGGAGGTCGTCGATTGAATGTTTATAAATTATGGCTTCAGGTGTGGGGAAGAGGAGGCTATGAGGCTGTTTGTGAGAATAAACAATGGACTGAAGTGAGAGATTCCTATCAAGTACCTAAGACTTGTACCAGTGCATCATACAGTTTAAAGATGTACTATCAAAAGTGGTTGTACTCTTTTGAACAAGTGATGAAGTTAGGAAAGGCTGATCCGATTCAAAAACAAACACCACACGTACTTGAACAACAAAAACAACAAGCATCTGGAACAACCACTGTCAAGAAAATAGCTGCACCAAAAAAGAGACCTCCACCATCAACATCTTCAATGGCACCAAAATCTAGAAAGATTGAAAGAGAAGTTAGAAAGAAACCTTCAAATTCAATTTTAAATTTCCACTCATTACTTCAATCTAACCAGCATGCTTTAAATAATCGAAAGCAAGCTGAACATGATCATAGCGTTCTGACTATACAGTCTCTTGCTGGTGCTTTTGAGCATTATAGCGACGGGTTCTTTAATAGAGCAGATGTCACTGATGAAAATATACTGAAGGAAATAGAATATGCCAGAAGAATTGATTGTGGATTCAAATCTGAGGATCAAAATTTGAAGGAATGGGCTCTTTATCAAGTTCTTAGATTGTCTCAATTTGAAACATTCAGATGTCATCATATTCCTACTTTGGTTGATGTTTGTGAAGAATATTTATTGGACTACGCAACTCAAGTCGAAAAACAAAATGCTATGGAGGATGGAGATATCTTCAATTTAAAAAATCAAGAATATTTGGAATCTCAACACAAGGCCTTCATGGTTATAACCCTATTAAGAAATGCCTCTTTTCTCCCTGACAATCAACCTTCTATTGGAAAATCAAATTCTCTTATGGACATACTTGTATTCTTTTTGAGAAACAATATTAATGATATTTTACATATGGAATGGAGATTAAGATTAGTAGACATTATCATCAATGTATCAGAGTTTGTAGACTTTTCTGCAAATGATATTCTTGCAAGATTTATTTCTAATACATTGGACTCTAAGGAAAACGATTCCATGCTACTTTCTGCCAGTTGCTTGGAGACTTTAAATTATGTTTTAAAGGGCAAGAATAATTTATCTACTATTGAAAATGTTTTACAAAACAACCCTAAAATTATTGAAACTATTATTGGGTTTTTACAATCTCCAGCATTTATCAAGTCTGAAAACCAAATTGATTATGAAGAGGAAAAAGTTGAAGGCGAACCTGAAGACGAGGATGAAACTAATGAAAACAAGGAAGAAATTCAAACTGTTGAGAAACAAAAACAAAAATCACTTACTTCTAGGCTCACAGATATTGAACTTCTCTGTAGAATGAGTTCAATCAACTTTTTATCTAAATTAGTCGAGTTTACAAACAATACACAATTATTGGAAACTATTAGTGCTTGTAATGGATGTATAGATAAATTAATTACACTGATAGTTTGGAAATCAAACTTGTACAATAGAATAGAGCAATATCCTTATTTAATTTTACAACAAGTGAAAGAGAATGAAAAAGATAAGAATGTAGAAGGAGGTGAATTGAACATATTTATGAAACAATCAGAAAGTTTATTCGAAGATGCTGAAGATTATGATGAAAAGAATGATATTGAAGAAATATATGATGGCTATGATGGCTGTTTCTCAACGGAGACTCCAACTGATGATAGTAATATGGTGGACGAAAGCAAGAAGGGTTGCGATTCTCTCAAATTCCAAAAGAAGTGTGCCTCCATTTTACAATCACTTGCAAAGAAAGTTGGCACTCGTTTACCTCAATTCACAAGTGGAAATAGAGAATTTATGTATTTGATTTTATTAGGTCATCCAACAGTTTCGAAAATACTTTCTTCACTACAAATTTAAGCATAATAAACTGGTGAATATAAAAGTTGATTAACAGTGTAGAGCTCATCTTCTGTGAATTGTTTTTTGTGTTCTTCCCATTGTTCGTGGTGAGTCTTCATGAATTGAGTAAAAGTATTCTTAATAGTATCACTCAAGAATTGAATATCAACAGTTTCTTGTTCCGATTTTTGATAAGAACTGAATCTTGATAATTTCACAAGTACTTGTGGAACAAATGGTGGAATGCTGTATGGGAAAGCTTTAGCCAAAGCACTCAAACCAACAGAAACATAGTTTGCGTCCAACTTTTGAATTTGTTCAACGTTGCCTGACTTTTTAGTGGCAAAATGCTTTTGATGTTCGGCAGAGAAATGAGCATTGATAATTTCAACTCTATCATCGGATGCAATTTTGATGAAACCAGCCAATGTGTTGCATGCCATATCCTTAACTTCAACAGTCTTATCCTTGAGCAACAAGAGTAAATGGTTATAGAAATCATTCTCAGCTGAGGTTCCTAAAATAAAGAATTGATGTTTAAAGGCAAACTTTTGAAGGAAGAAACAAAGAACTAATCTGGCCTTTCTACTTGAGGTGTTGGCTTGATTGGTCATGAGCAACTTTTGAATAAACATTAAACTGTACAATAATTCCTTGACCATAAAGGCAGGAATTAAGAATGCACCAATTCTTGCAATAATTCCTGAAGCACTAATAGTAATGTCAGTATCATTTGAGCATGTGAAGCATTGCAAGAAAAGTGGGAGAATTGAATTAAAGTAAGGTAGGGTGACAGTAATTCCAAACATCATCGAAGTTCCAATGGATTCAATAATTGTCTTACAAAGTGATTTGAATGTCATTTCTTCTTGAGATGGTTTTGTCTTGTGTGATTGTTCGGCAGATTTTTCAGACAATTTTTGAGTATATTCTTGATAGAGTTTGCTGAATTCTGTTTGCAATTTTGGAATGAGTTTGTTTTGGATAAATTCTGATCTGTTCATATCTGTTTGTACAATATTGAAAATATTACTTGGAAGAGAAAGCAATCCATTCTCATCCATATTGAATTTAGTAGCATTGTTGGAGATTAATTCATTCAAGAATTGGGCAAATAGACTTTGTTGACCTCCACTGGATGGTGACTTTGGCAAATAGTTTTCATCTCTAACAGGATTCCAAGACTTCAAAAATACAAGAGATACATTTCTTGCAATAAGCTCTCTGATTTGTTGGTATGGATGTGAGAGATGGTTAAAAAGCTTTTCTTCAATGAAATTTTCCAAAAGTTTAACAAGTCTCCAATCAAGTTCGGCGAGGGTGAAGAATACCAACTGTAATACCTTCATTTGAACAGCAGCAAGACCATAATCCAAGTTAACTTTTCCAGTTAGGAAGTCTACCAATGGCTTGGTTCTTCTGCCGTCAGCATCAAACATGCAGAAATGGAAGGATGATCTCAAACCACTTTCAATACATTGAGGTGAACAAGAATCAATTACAGTTGAAATCTTTTCGAACAAGTAGTCTTGAGCTTGTTTTCTGTCATTAAATTTCCAATGTTTGCTTCCTCTGCAAACACCTGCAAATATTTCAGAAGCAAAACAAATCTTTGAAAATTCGTCAGCATTACCAGTGCCAGAAGCTGAAAGCAAATGTTCAAAATGTTTTTCAATAACCTTCAAACCTTCAATTCCCATAATTTGGAAGAAACCTTTGAACATTTGAGCGTGAGCTTTAGTGAATGCTCTATTGTTAGATTGTCCATTTGTATCATCTGAGAAGTATGAAAACACTTTGGAAAGATATTCTTCTTGGAACATGGTGTTACGAATCAGTTGTTGTAATTGCACAGTTTCATCTTTGAAAATTCTTTCCTTAGTGTAATCATAGGTGACCATACTCTTTGGCATAGCATTCCAGCCAATATAATACTTGTCAAGGAACAAGGTCTTTTCAAATTCTTCTTGGGTAGCAATATCTTGAATGGTAGCACTAGCTTTGTGATGTCTAGCAACCTTTTCGATTTGTGTTGAATCAGTAATTTCAATTCTAGGTTGAATAGGCTTATATTGAGTGAAAATAAAATCTAATGCCTTCATACACAGTAATCTGAGCGGTACATGATCACTGACAAGATTATTCATGAAACATTTGATTGCTTCAATAGGTAAAATAATTGACTTATCAGAACGAATCAATAAATTCAAGCATGAAATAGTAATCAATTGATAGTTCCAGAATAATGATTGTGATAGTTGGTATGATAAATTAACCAAGCTGTTCACTGTATCATTATAGTATTGCAATGTCTTTTGATTATTAATTGGTAACTCTTTGAATGCTGTGCTATATTGCATATAGAGTCCATACAATCTCTTCTGGATTGATGATTTGTCGACATGGTAACAATTACAGATCGATGGAAGGAGTTTAGAAATTAAAACCCAACTATCTGTTACTCTTCTAATAACTGAAGACTTTTCCAAAAGGAAAATGGAACCATTAATCATAGCATGTGTAGAATCCCTATTTGAAAGTGTTTCAATAATTGGTGTAACAAACTTTTCGAATGTAGAATTGTTAAACAACTTCAAAATTCCAATGAAAGATGTTTGTGCTCTTGATCTTACTTTGGCATATTCACAACTGGTAGAGAGAATTTTCAAGCTTTCCAAGGCATCCAAGTGAACTTGTGTACATGGAATAGTTCTTTGGAAAACTCTTGAAATGAATAACATTTGGCATCTATCCAAGATGAAACATCTTGGGAACAACTTCTTGACAGTACTCTTAAAGAAGTGAAGCTTCAAAAGTGACCAAATCTTTGCCATATTCACCATTTTAGTAAAGCTCAAACTTCTATAGGCAGCACAAATATGAATAGCCTTGGTTAACGCAATCAAGACTCTAACATCATTCTTCTTTGAGTCGTCACTGGTAACTGATTGATTTTGAACAAAGTCAGCCAATAATTTTTGTAATAATACAAGTATGTCGTTTCTGGTGAATTCCAACTTGTCATTCGGAATAACAATACAACCAGCATTGGTGTTTGAGAAATCTTTGACAATTTGTTTGGTATATTCTGGAAGTTGACCATCTCTAATTTCATCTAACATTAAAGAGGCACCCTTGAGAATATATTTAGCCTTCAACAAGGCATTGAGCAATTGATCTCTAGTAACCTGATTGGTTGTAGCATTCTTGATAGTGGTAAAGCACTCCCTTGAATAATCATTGAAAATAGTGGTTGCCTTTTCAAGTTCAGATTCATTCGGAACGTGCCATTGAGCATCAACATTCTTGGAATTGTAGAGCTGACCCCAATATTTAAAGTGGTTCTTTTGGAAATCTTCACTACGCCAAACATTTGGAGGTACACTTCTCTTTTCTAAAATGTAAACTGTTGTTAAACTTTGCAAAATATTCTTCAAAAGTTTGCCAGATGATTTAACAATGGATTTGGATTCAGAATTCCAAGTGAGCTTCAAGATTTGCAAAAGCTTATCGCAATGTTTGAATGTTTGATTATTTCCCTTAACAACTTTAGCTAACAAGTGAACATAGTAATCCATTTCATTATCATGTAAATCCTTCAATTCACCTTTTTGATTAGTGATTCTGGAAATAAGAGAGTTCATCATCAATCCAAATGGATCATAGGTATCATCTCCATTATTGAAATAATTAACGGAACAATTAGCAATTTCACCAATTTGCTTTACAGCAGCAGGTTTAAACTCGTCTTGTAAATAGGAAATTATCTTGTTGAGACATTGCTTGTGCAAGTTTGGAGACAATTGTTGGAAGAATAATACAATTGATTTAGACAAGTGATTGTAAACTTCCTTTTGTTCCTTACTTTCTTCCTTGTGTGTCGTCATTTCGCCCATAACATGCAAAACTCTTCTCACAAACTCTAAAGCAAAATCTTGATACAATTCAACTACGTATGGAGTTCCTTCAACAAATTGGTTGTTGGAAATAATAGGCATAATTGAGAATAGAGTGTTCAAGAAGGAAATTGTGAGAGAGGTTTTTTGGCTATCGTTTGTATCGATACCCAAAAGTGCCATATTCAACAAATCAGCCATATAATCTTTAACTTCTGGAATAGAATGGTACAATAATGGTATAATAATGGTATTTAACAGTTCCAAAGCAACTGAGATTTGGTGAACTTCAGTCAAAGTTTGCAAAGCATGGAAAACAATTTCAAACAATTCCTGTACAATACATGATGGTCTAATAAAACAAATATGTTTGATAGCTTGAATAGCATTCTTTGAAACCTTAACTGACTTGGAGAAGAGAGCCATTTTACATGAAGGGAAAACTATTCTAATTAATTCTTCAATAGTGTCGTCACTGACCACTAGATCTTTGCTACTTTCTTTAGTGTTCAAAGAAACATTACGGAATAGTTCTGAAATGAAAATACTCAATGGTCTAGACCATTCACCATTATTACTTGGGTAATAGTATTGGTCAATAGATTGGAATAATCTTCTTAAATAAGTTAAAGTTTCAGTAGGGAATGATAGTAATAAATATGAAATTAGTTGAGAGTTATATTGCATTAGCAAGTTCTTCAAATCGGACAATTTCCAGAAGATTGAACAATTATTATTTGGATAGCTATGATATGAATATCCACTGGCAGCTGTTAAAACTTGAATCATGCCAGCTGTTGAGTTTTGTGATCCTCCTTGCACATTTTTAGCAAGTTTAGAAGTTGCAACACCAGATGCAACACTGCTACTTGTAATATTAGACCCAATGTTTAAATCCATTGATCGTAACATTCTAGTAAATATTAAATCTAAATGAGGTTTGAAATCAATTTTACCATCTTGGTCTTTTACCAATCTGTACAATAAAGAAACAATATTTAAATCATAGAATGGTGAATTTGATCTCCAATCCCACATGGCCAATACTTGATTGAACCACTTGTCAATAACTTCAACAGAAGTATTGGAAGGCAAGAATAAGCATAAAAATGCTTGAGAAATAAAGAACTCTGAGTCACTAGTATTAAAGGTAAACTATTGGACATAAAATTTGATTTACATACCTGAAATAGAGTCTTGGGGTAAATTCATTCAAAACTTCCTCAGTAGTTTCACTTGCAAAATTATTTCTCAATTTACAAACAAGTTTGACAATAGACTTTCCGAAAGATCCTGATGGATTATAACTAATACATCTATTCTTGGTAAAATAAACACTTCTTAACATTTCGTATAATCTCTTCCAACAAGTGATTGGTTTTATATTTTGTTGTAATAATTTATGGTACTTGTTTTTCATCAAAATAATGATTAAATTAGCTAACTTTGCTTTTAATTCCAAATATAAATCTAATTGCTTGTTGATGAGAATATTAAGAGCAAGTTCAAATATGACTACTCTTTCAGAAACATTTAGTGGATACTTTGTATTAGTTATATATCTATGAAATAATTTGATAGATGAATTTAAAATAGTAAACCATTTAGGCTTGATCGTATTTTCATCTTTTTCATCCGAACTCAACAATAATCCATCAACTTTTTTAAAGCCTTCAATAATTTCATTCTTCCAATTAGAAATTTCCTCCTTGATACCGTCCCTAACAAAAGATGGAAGTTGAGAGTTGTATCCAAGCTCTACCTCCTGTCCTGTTGTTGCTATTGCTGTTGAAGTTTCCATCATTTTGAAGCAAGAGACGAGATTAAGTTGTTGTTGGTGATGAAAATTTTTTTAAATTTGATTTTTTAAATTTCTGTTGCTGTGGTTATTAATAATTTTTCAAACCCGAGCACAGAAAGAAGGAAGAATTGCGCATAATTGAGAGGACCTTCAATTAGATCAGAAAAATCATAAGCATCTCAATTGAGTGATCAGTTAACCTGGAATCAAACCAATCAATCCAGCACCAGGTTCACTTCAATCAAATAGATTGAATTAGTTTAAATTTCTCACAAATAATAAGGAAACTGGATGTTATTAACACAACCAATTGCTTATCGAATACTGCAAAACAAAATGCAATTGTTGTTTGCATAATCTAGTTGTTAAATTGAGCCCTGTATCAAATATATGTTTATCGAAATTAGAGATCACAGCATGAACATGAAGAATAATCTGAATTCTTCGAATCATTTCTTATCTCTCATCTTATTCAGTTCATAATCTTTTCCATTGTTGACATCCAAACAACAAACTTTCATGAGTAACATACTATTATCCAAACAGTATCCATAACCATTCCAAATAAACAATATTCGAGAATCACAAGATTCTTAATGTGACTCTTTGCTTTTCACATAAACTAATTGACTTTCACGAGGGAATTTTAATGCCATGCACAATGGCCACTAATCTCAATTATAAAAAACCTTATCAAGTATATAGCGATAAATCTCAAAACATTTGATAAGAATCCTCATTTAGACTATCCTACCTTCCTAAATAACAAGAAGAGGTCATTTGATGAATGAATTCAATTTAAAAAAACAAACACAACTCTAACCGTCAGAATATTCTTCAAACCTTGTTGTTCTTTATGCTTAAAGTTTTGCAGTTGTGCATTGTTCATCATCAAAATGAGTCAATTAATAGAAAGAATGAATGAATCAGATTTTGAATCATTCTCAGTGGATGGAAAGGATTTGAATCGTTTCTTACCAGATCCATTAAATACCTTCATAAAGGATAAGAAAATTGTACTCCTCTCGAATGAGTATCAAGAATTATTAATAGAGTATTTGAATAGGAATGAAATATTTAAAGATTTGATTACAAAAGTTGATGACAAGAATAGAGAAGAGTTTTATATAATCTTGCCATTTAAATCCAAATCTGAGACTTTTTATTTACTATTCAAAGTGAATACTATCAAACAAGAAATTACATCGACTATATTCAAATAAATTGTTGTGGTATTGTACTACATCATCATCATCATTAAGATCAATGTAAAATCTTAATAATTAGTTGAACAACGATGGAGTAACTCAACCAATTAAAGTGCATTTATGATTTTGATTTGAGTATGGTATCAATTTCAAGAATGAATCTCCAATAAATTGATGAAATCCAGATTTTCAAATTAACAACTTTTCATCATGAAAAAAATAAGCAAAATTGGTCATCAATCATTGAAGAATCTTACTTTCTCTCCGATCAATTATTCTTGTAATTTTGCAACACAAAAATTCTATTCAACACAACAATCCTCAACAATGCCATCATACTTTGATCAATTACCAAAAGAAAGCTTTGAAAATTCAACACGACACTATTTTAAATCTCCACTCACTTTTTCATCGACACAACCATCTTCTGCCGATGAATCATCAACTTTGGGTATCATGATTACACAACAAGTTACTGGATCAATTATTACAATCGACGATGAAGAATGTATTGTATTTTATCAGGCCTATAATTCGGGAATTGCTGATTGGGTGGTTAAAAATCAAACATTTGATGAATGTCCAAATTTTGATAAGAAACGAATGAGTTGGATTAAACCAAATTATTTGTGGATGATGTACAGATCTGAATATGCCACTGCTAAAAATCAAACTAATATTTTGGCTCTATTCATCACTAGAAAATCATTTGAAGAAGAATTACTGAAACATGCTGTGTGTGCAATGTATTATCCTGAATTGGAAGGTTATTACAAATCACAAAAAGAATGGAAAGTCAATTGTTCTCAAATGAAAGAAAAAGTAGCTCAATTAATGAATAAGAATGATACTGATACCATTATGACAGATAATGTTTGCTTTGCAAGAGTGCAGGTATGTTTCCGTATTATATTTAATTTTAATATTCTTTTAATTGAATTTTAATTCTAAATTAATTTTAAATAATAGTGGGATCCATATCATACACCTGCATTCGGAAATATTAATGGAGGTTTAACCAGAGCAATTCAAATAGGAGTCAAAGGATCATTTTTAAGATCAATGTGTAAATCTGGTGCCTGTAAGAAAATAGAGGATATTACTAAATACGTCCACGAACAACATGCAGAATATTTGAAAACCAAAGATTTGTTAATTCCAGTCGAAAGATACATCCACATTAATGATAAAGATATCAAAGGAAGACTGGCCATCACTGATTTGTAATTTATCAAATATTATTAACAAAAATTACAAATTAAAGAAACATTTTGTCCGAAAAGTTCCAATTTCAAGCATTTTTTTTGTTTTTTAAAAAATTATAAAAAATTCCCTTCTTTTGCTGCAGCGAAAATTTCCATTCTCTTGGGCAAAGTCAGCAAACAAGCGGAATCAACAAACAACAATTTAATAATAATAATTAATAGGATTATACAATTCTTTTTTGAACCTATTTGTAATATATTAACGAGTAACAACAGACGAGAGAGAAAATATGAATTTTTCATCATCATCTGGTAATATTTCTCATCACTTGTTAGGACACAGTCCTACAACATCATCCAGCACTACATCGTTAAGTTCTCTGACTGGATCGAGTAGTCCTGTTGGGCTTCCTTCATCGTCATCTCCTCATCACCACCACACCAATAGTTTTTCAACACTTCCAAATAATATTTCCTCTACATCATCATTGATCAGCACAGCATCGATCAGTAGTTATTTATCCAATCAATCCAATACAATAATTAATAGAAGACAACATAATTTATATACGAGTAAGAAGAAGGCTACCAATAATAATATTCTTGTTCCACACATTGAAATTTATCTCAAGCAAGGATCACACATCTATGAACGTTCGGTACAATCTAATACATCAACTATTACAGTTCAACAAACACAACAACAACAACAACAATTATCACCATGTAATACCTATGTTGTTTTTATTTGTTCTATTGCTTGTTCTAAATTGAGTGAATTTGATTCTTCCAATTATAATAGCAGTGGTTCTAATAATATTAGAGGTTATAATAGAAGAACATTAAAATCCAATGCAATTAGATCTACAAGTCCTGTTTGGAATGAATTGTTTATTTTTGATATTCATGTTACTAACAATAATGATCAGAAATATGTAATACACGAGAATATAATTATGCAAGTTTGGGCTAAACACACTTTCAAGACTGATGAATTGTTAGGTGTTAAAAATATTAATTTACAGGTATGTGTTTTCACTTTAAATGTTTAAATATTTATTATAATGTTAATTTAATACATGACCATTAAATACTTGGATAAAATAGACATTGTTAAGAAATAGAGAAAATCCATTATCAATACATTTAACAGGAAATACTACTGGACAAGTGGATTTGTCAATAATTATTCACGATTCTACTGATGCACAATTAAATATGAATCAAATAGGAAATGAAGAAAGTACATTAAATACACCTAACACAACAACACCAAATTTAAGCTCACCATCATCTTCATCAGGAATATTCAATGTATTTGATGTATTCAATGAACAAACATCTTTAATATTACCAAATGATACACTCATTCAAAATGGAAGATACAAAATTGTACAATACATTTCAAATCAAGCATCAAAATCAGGTGAATCAATGTTGTATAAAATTATGGATTTGAAGTTTAACAAGGCAAAGATATTGAAAAAAATTAAATGTGAAACTATTATGAATGCCAATGATGCAATTAAAGAAAGTTGGCCGCTATTAGAATTACAATTTGACCATTTAATTAGTTATGAGGATATGTTTATTGATATTACAACCAATGAAATACTAGGCAGCATTTTCTTTGTTTGCTATGTCACACCTTTCTATGATGAAGGTTCTCTATATGATTTTATGTGCAAGGTTAAGAAAAAGAATATTCACTTGACTTTACGTAGAATCAGTGATTATGCTTTACAAATTGCTAAAGGTGTACAATTTTTACATGATCACTCGATTATGCACAGAAGTTTAAAACCAAATAATATCTATTTTGGTCTCAGTAATACAAGTACAAGTACTAGTAATGGCACAACCACAACAAGTAGTGGAGAAAAAGTATTAAAAATTGGAGATTTTGGATTTGCTAAAGCCATCAATAACACACTTTCAATTATTGGAGGTATTACAAAGATTGTGAATTTCGGATATACTGCACCTGAAATTGCACTTGTCAATGATGTTAGTGTTTACGGATTTGAAGTTGACATTTGGTCTTTTGGTATTATTTTGTACGAGTTGTTAACTTTAAAAATTGATAAAGACCAATTGAATCATGCTTATTTGGCAAGTTACAATCGTGACACTTACATGAAAAATGTAATTGAAGGAGAAATCAGAAAAATTTACAAGAATGATGCTGCCGAAGAGTTTATTCAATTATTGAGGAAGATCCTAGTTATAGATCCAAAGTCTAGAATTATTGCTTCTGATCTTGTTCAAGAATTAACAAGAATTAAAGAAATTTATTCAAAGAAAGAATAAAAGGAGAATCTAATCGAGATTATTTAGCAATGCTTCTGGAACATCTAAGATGGAATCTTGTAAAAGAACTTTGCATGTTTCCAGCGAAATCTTATACTTTTCTGAAAGATTGTCCTTGGCAAATTGTTTCACCTTTTCACTTGCAGAGCATAGGTGAGCCAAAACAAAGCATATTCTCTGTAAAACTTCCAAACCAATATCTAATCTTTTAAGTGCAATGTCCTGTTCTGTAATTTCCTCTAATGTTTGGTCTGGGAACATTTCTTGTAATAAATCCTCATTTTCAATTTGTTGATCGAAAATATAAACCTTTTTGTAATATTTGTACAATAACTGGTTTAGGATTTTGAGTTTTTCAAATTGGTTTTCCTCAAATTTAGCAGAAAGTCTTTGAGAAAGATCATCCTTTGAGTTTAGTAAATTTACAAAAATATTAATTAAATTAGTTTCCATAACATCGTCATCTGAATCTTTCAATCTACTGAACAGAGCAAATAATGTCTTTAATCCTCCACTTTGCACAAATTGTGAAATGTTTAATTGACAATTATCCATAGAATTATTTAATACTTTAATACTTCCTAATCTATATTTCTTTTTATCTTTAATTATTGCTATCATTAGTTCAATTCCTTCAAATTCATTTAAGTATTCCTTAAACTTTTCATTCTTAATTAAAATTCCACTTAGAATATTGAATAAATTTTCTACCATTTCATCAACTTCCATATTAGTATCATTCTTGATATTTCTGAATTCATTTAATAATATTAATAATTTATCCATATATTCCTTGTTTTCTACTAATGTAGCTTCAATATTTGGATTACTAGTTGATATTAATAAAAACAGAATTTCATAAAAATATAATTGTGTATAGCTTGAGTATTCATTATTATTCAAATTATTAACTAAAAAGTCGAGCAATAATTTAATATTATCTTTAGAAATAAATTTTAGAGTTTCATCATCATATTCAATCATATTTTCTAAAAATGGGAATATTTCATTAATAAAATCTTCATCTTTCAAATATTTCAATATAAAATCAATAAATAAACTAATAAAATATTCATCTTGAGATAAAGTATCCATAAATACAATATATTGATTATATTCCTCTTGATTTGATTCCTCTTGTGTTATTTCTTTAAATAATTTAAATATATTCAAATACAAGTCCAAATCAGCATTGAAAATATAATCATATTCAATAATTTTAATAAATATTTGCAATCCATTCAAATCTTTAACAAAATTAATCAACAAATCTATTTGTGTTGACAAATTTTCATTCAAAGTTATTATAAACTCGTTCAATTGTACTAGTAAATCTTTAATATCAACATTCTTTTCATATTGTTGTATGCACAAGTCTATTTGTTTCTTAACAAGTTGAAAATGTTGTTTTAAATTAAATGTTGATGATCCGACAACACCCAATGATGATGATGATGAAGCAACCGATGGTGTTTTAGGCTTCTTTGTTGGAGGTAACATTGATCCAACATTTCCTGATGATGAGGATGATGATGGATTGCTTCGTTTATTGTTCAACATTTTTTTTTAAATTTAAAATTCCAAATTACTTCACCTTCAATTATTAGTAATTTTGTAATTGGATTAAAACTACTCTTCAGAATTTAGCGTTGTTTTTTGTGATTAATAAGCAAAAGAGGACGAAGAATTGAGAAAAATTGTAATTAGAATAAAAAAGCAAAGATTATTCTTTATATCTGAACAATTCTATTCTCATTCCATATGATTTTTCTACAACATAAATATACTGAAATAACTTAGTTCCAACCCAATTTAGGTTAATATTAAGGTAAAGGTTCTTCCTTATCACCAAGACAATGAAGATAAATGTAGGCATCTGTACCATATCCTTCCAAAGATTGAATAGTCAAATCTCCTCCCCAATATTTAGCATACAATCTAGATAATGGCAAACCATAGCCCAATCCAGCCAATGGTGCATGACTGTCTGAGAATTCTTCAATCTTACTGACATCATCCATTACATCTTGAAGAATTGTTAAAATAATTGATTATTAAATAAATACATACTTGCAGTAGTATACAAATAAGACCAAATCTTGTGCAAATCCTTTCTGGGGATACCCATTCCTTCATCACTAATTTTGATAGAAATATGCTCCTTATCGGCAGAATCAGCAATAACCATTCGAACTTTCGGTAAATGTTTGGCCTTTTGGTGATTTTCAACTACAGCTCTCATTGAATTCTTTAATAATTCAAAGAAGATATAATACAAATGGGAAGGTACATATGGGAATTGTAAATCTAACTTTCCAATTAGTTCAATACTTGGAGCATCTCCATATGTCATTCTACATAATTCAGCAGCATCCTCAGCAGCATCTTTGGCTACCTTGTAAGGATTGGTATTCATACAAATTAACCCAGAATAATCTTTAACTGGCTTGGTCAATTGCTCATGTAATGCCAAATGTTGTCCAATTAACATTCTCATTCCGATTCTGTTAATATAAAAGGCATCCAAAGCTTGATGAAGTTCAGAAAATTCTGCCAAATCAAAGTTAGCATCACTCAGATAAATAGATTCCTTCATTTTGCTTTTCAATTCGTTTACACCTTTAGCAACGCTAATTAATGTTGGATTGTGTCTTGTATAAACTCCTTCAAGCATTTTGGTAAATTGCAATTCTTCTTCAAATGTTTTAGGTTTCTTACTATAGTATAAATCATTAAATGATGCCATATACCAATCCTAAATTGATAGCACAACAATATTAACAAACATATAATTCACATTAAAAAACATACTCTTACAAGTCTGACAGATGGCATTAAATTCAAACCTTTCGGCAAATTGTCCAATTGTCTTATCTGTCTTCCCAATCTTTTCGGCAATTCTTCTTTCAACCAATCTGATGATGTTAAAAGTGTTTGCTTGTTCAATTTCATTCCAAAATTCATAATCATCTAAAATGTTAAATATTCGAATTATTTTTGAAAATCACATACTTTCAATGAAATTGAAGATGGAGGCTGTTTGGCAAAATCATAAACAGTCGACAAATCAACACTACCCTGTGTTTTCTTTGAAGAACCTTCTTGACTTCCATGATACGTTGGATTAAAGGTTATCAGATTCTTTATCATGTGCTCCTTATGATCAGCACCTTTAATTGTGTGAGTTGTTACATTACCAGCAGAAGAGGAAGAATGATGATGTTTATCGGAGGTGGGAGATCTATCAATCATACAAGTATTATAACTTCTCCATGATCCTTGATATTTACCAATGGATTGTATTTGTTTACTAATTCTCTTCATATTTTACAAGTTTAAAATCTTTGCAATATTTACTAATTATTATTGATGGTTTTTATATACAAAAGTATCTACAAAATCTATTCAAAATCTATTAAACAAAATCTTCTCAATTTGTGATCAGTTTATGGTTCTCTCTTGATCGGGGAAAAAAAGGTCAAGTGATGTTGAGGTGTTTTTTTTGTTGTAGTAATCAAAGGAAAATTATATTAATAGTCAGTCGCTCAATGATGATGATCTACTTATCAAGGCCAAATTAGTTCTCCTTGCAATTGTGTGTGAGTGGAGAGTTTTGGAGAGATTTTCGCGAATTTTAGACCAAAGTTGTGAATGCTTTGGAGAATTTATTGTAAAATTTCGCTCTATTTTTCAAAAGTGAGAAGGAGATTACAATGGAAAGAGTGAACAGTGGTGAAAGAGGTAGGTGGAATAATTGGACAATTGACTGTGCTAAGGAAAATTGAATGGTTTGAGAGAGGAGAAAACAAATAATTCCCATCAAATTCAATTACAGTAGATTGCAATATATATTTCATTGTAATCTTTTAATTGTTCATTAAAATAAAAAGAAGAACCATTAATAGACACCAATTCGAATAAGAATAAACAAGTGGATGAGGTGTTAATGTATGGCTTATTATTGATTAATTCAGAAAATTTACAAATATTCACAATTAGATAAATTATTCAAAGATTAAAATATGGTTGGTTGTTCTATTGCAAATATATAACAATCCAGTTTTGCTATCAACTATAATGCCATAATTCCAATTAAACAAACTATTTTCACACTTTTTCACAAGTGAAAGATGTTCCAAATCTGCAATTACTACATGTCCTTCTGTGGTATTTGATGTATAAATTAAACCTGACTCCTTTTCATAAAACATAGAGTACAGGCAACTAGTTTCAAGACTTGTTCCTTTTTTCAATGAAACCCATTGATTCTCTTTCTTTTCTAAAATTTCCAAACAATTTCCATGAGAGGTTAGTATCTTATTTTCACTCAAAAACTGCAAACCATAACCCATTGTAAGGTCTTTAAGTTTTTCTTCTTCCACTTCAGTACCAGTATTTCTATTCAATGAGAAGAGAGATGAATTGTTAAAATCCAAATAGTAAACTCTCGTTCCAATAACATCCAATCCCCAAATATTACAATAACTATTCTTTTTAAAAACCCATTCCACTTTCGACTTGTTATTCATTAAATCTTGTACTCTAATCTTGATTAATCCCTTATTAGTCGTTGCATAGATAAACTCGTGTCCATTCTCATTCACCACTCGCAAACAATGAAACTCTCCATGATGTTCATACGAAACTGAAAACAGAGGAGAGAAATCACTTGGTTGATTCCGATAATATTCTGCTCCTCCTCTTTCAAAAACCTCTAAATAATGCTGATTTCCAACAATAATCTTATTAAAACAATCGGATAAGCCCAAATCATACATGTACTCGCCTTTAGTTCCTTTCAATTTTCCTATCAAATTAAAATTCATGGAAAATTTCTTGTATTGTTTAGCTCGGAGCGAATATTTCAGGAAATTTAATAATTCGTGATTTGGAATCGATGAAGATGGAACAAAGTCGATCAGGGTCACAGTTGTTTTTGACATTTTTTTTTAAAGCTGAACTTCCTTTTTTTTTTTTAAAGCTGAACTTGTGATCAATTTTGCAAGTTTACAATGAACTGTTCAAATACATCAAGAGCAAACAATGATAGATTTAAATAATGATCTTCCGTCTAAAGTCACTGTTATCAAATCAAATCAGTGTAAACGATTGTGAATTATTCCAGTTTTGGTTGTTTTGTTATTCTTTCTTCGGATCGATCATCATCATCATACTCAGATTCTTCAGAATACTGAAAATACCTATCATCATCTGATGAATTATAGGAAACATATCGCCTTCTATAGGGAACAGAAAATAATACAAGAGAAGGAAAGGTAAATCTTTCCTCAATGAAAATCTTTTCATAAAATGATTTACAAGTTAGTGCCAGATTGACTGATGATAATGGATCCAGATATTCAAACATATTTTGAAAAACAACCATTTCACTAATCACATGAATGGATTCTCCATCAAATAATATTACATTTTGATCCATTTCACAATTACATCTTTCAAAGAGATAGTCCAATAACTGTTTATAAATTGTCCGATAACCTTCTAGACAGGACAAGCAGAACGTAATCTCTCTTCATTGAATTGCTTAAATCCTAACTTTCCATTAATTTCCAATACCATAGTTGAAAGATTCAATTTTACTTCCGAACGGAGTTAGAGGACCAATCTCCAATGAAATATCAATCAATGCCTCTCTTGATTGTCTTTCATTATTTTCTGAATCTAATTTGTTATCAAATAATTATTTACAACATAATTAAATTATTAATTGTTCAAAAATTACTTTTACAAATTGGAAATTTCATCAATTCAGAAAGTTGAACAATAAAAAAGGAACGACTATACATTGGTCTTTTACCACCTGTTGATTTTCGGCCCGTATATTTGGTTCTTGCCATTTGACAGTGTCAACAACGTTTTGATATTTTTTTTTAAATCAAAATCATTGGAAAGAGTGAGAAAATTATTGAAATATCAATATTCCACATTTACAAAAGCACCAGTTGAATTGATCAATCTCTGTTCTTCTTATTAAGAATAGGAATAGAGTGTCACTGTTTTCGATACTTGAAAAATATTCCAACCAAATTGCAAAATTATTTTCATTCTTTGCTTAAATAAATAAAAACCTTACTTCCTCTTAATATTTCAAGGTTTTGAGAACAGTTAATTTTGACAAGAATGTCATGGCCAATGATGCATTGTTTCAAATTGAAGGTAATATTTTGATTATTAAATCTGATCTTGGTTGAATTGTTGTTTGAGCTTTTATATACCATTCAAATGATTTGACATAATCCTTTTCAACTCCCCAACCAAGATCATAAAAACATCCAATTTCAAATTGTGCCTCGGCAATGATGATAGATCTATCATCTTTAAAAGCAACCTTCATAAAACATTCCATTGCTTTTAAACAATCTTGTTCATCCTCTCCATCTTTAAAGTTATATCCAATCTGCATCATCTCTTCCTATCTCTTCCACATTAAATTCCTCTTCCTCTTCCTCTTCCGAAGTGGGGTTGTACTCATGATTGTTTGAGAATTGCGAAAGTTTGTTCTTGCTGATCCAAATAGACACCCTTCTGGAGGTTTTTCTTCTTCTTCTTTGATTTATCAGCATTGTGAATTGTTGAGCCTGATGCTTGCAATTTTCGTTTCATTTTTATCAGAGAATACTAAACTCTATGCGTACTACTAGAATCATATTGAACTCTCCCCACCATAGTGTATTTTGGTCAAAGTGTTACTTCTCCAAATTAAACCATTTTCTTGAACTCACATTCCATAATTGTAACTTTTTCATTTGTTTAAGGTTTGCGAGCGACTTTTTACCAGGCTTCATCTTTAGTTAGCTCCTTATTTGCTAAGAAATACCAGTTTCATTGTATTGATTCGTTTAGCTCCATAATTTCCAATACAATTGTGGCTAATATCAAGATGAGTTAATTGTTTCATTTGGCTTACGTGTTCTGCGCCTATTCCACCAATGTTATTATCACTAATATCTAGAATACGCAATTGATTCATTTTGCTAATGGCAATTGCTCCTTCACCACCAATATTGTTCTCACCAATGTTAAGATCAGTCAATTGTTTCAATTCACTAATGTGCTTAGCCCCTTCTGTAGAAATATCACTTCTTACAACCTCAAGTTTAGTCAATTGTTTCATATCACTAATATATTTAGCTCCTTCATCTCCAACATAATTCCATGAAATATTAAGGTTTGTTACTTGTTTCATTTCACTGATCTTTTGAAGTTCAGTAGGGTACATATTAGTTCCATAAATATACAGGAAAAGTAATTGTTTCATTCCACTAATATATTCAACTCCGTTGCATCCAATATCATTGTTACTAATATCGAGGTCAGTTAATTGGTTCAACTCAGAAATATATTTGCATCCTTCTTCACTAATATTACAGTCACAAAGAGTAAGAACTGTCAGTTGTTTCAATTCAGTTAAATATTTTGATCCTAAATTACTAATATTATTGTAAGAAATATTGAGATGGGTCAATTGCTTCAATTCGCTTATAGATTTAGCCCCTTCGTCACAAATCCTACAAGCTTCAATTTCAAGTAAGGTCAAATTTTTCAATTCACTGATAAATTCAACCCCCTCTTTACCAATACCGTTCCATCCAACGTTGAGCTCAGTTAATTGTTTCATTTTGCTAATGTACTTGGCTCCTTCTTCACCAATTTCATTTCTCTCGATATTCAGTTTTGTTAAATTGTTCATTTTACAAATATGCTTGACCCCTTCTGTACCAATACAATTTTCAGCACTGAGAACTGTCAATCCTTTCATCAATCCAATTATTTGACAATCAAAGAATCTATTATTTCTTTCCAATCGCAAATTTTCAATATTCTCCAAAAATTCACCTTGTAATTTCTTAATACTTTTACATAGCAGTGAAAGTTTCGATCGTTCCTTCACAACAGAAAACCATTGCTTTGAAACCAATGCACAAGTCATCACTCCGAATTTAAAATCATTATTAAAAGATACAATTTCTGAAAGAACATCATTGGAGAATATTTCTTGGAGTTTTTTCTTTTTTGCTTTCTCTTCTGTTCTGTTATTATTGAGAGTGAATATTTCCTCCGAATCAATTAATTTATAAATTGTCTGCTTCGTTTGCTCATTTTTTTTTGTTAATTTTTCAAACAAACAGTGGAAATTGAATAAACAACAGTTTACAATAATAATTGAATACATGATCAATTTCAAAGACATGTTGTTTCAAAGAGGATGTAATGCAAACCATTTATTGCGACATTTCCTAAGATCATTAAAATTAGTGCTCACGATAGCGCTTTGGTTTCGGATACAGAATCCACCATAAATGGCATTTCAATAGCATGCATTTCTAATCACAAAAAAAACAACTTTACATTACTACAACAAAATGGTCTACAAAATTTATGGTGCTGCTCAATCTACTTGTGTTCAACGTGTTTTGACAACAATTAAAGAGAAAGGTTTAGAATTCGAACTTGTACCAGTTGATTTGATGAAGGGAGAACATAAATCACCATCCTACTTGGAAAAGCACCCATTTGGTGTCATTCCAGTCTTGGAAGATGATGGTTTCTTGATTTATGAATCACGAGCCATCTGTCGTTATTTGGAAGCCAAACACAAGAGTAAAGGAACTGAACTTATTCCAACTGAGCTCAAAGCTTTGGGTTTATTTGAACAAGGAGCTTCCATTGAAACTGCTTACTTTGATTCTAACGCATCTGGTTTAGTCTTTGAAAAGTTATTTAAGGGAATGATGGGATATGGAGCTGCCGACGAAGCTCGTGTCAAGCAATTGAGTGAAAAGTTGTCTCTCAATTTGGATGCCTATGAAAGAGTATTGGCCAAACAAGAATTCATTGGTGGAAATCAATTTACCTTAGCCGATTTGTATCATTTGCCATACGGAAACTTGTTGTTTGCCATTGGATTGGGTAATTTGTTATTGGATCGTCCACATGTTAAAGCTTGGTGGGAAAAGATTTCATCAAGACCTTCATGGAAAGCTGTTTCAGGACAACATTAACAATGAAATAATTATATTTCAACATTTTTGAATTGTAATTTGAATTCAATAAATAATCATAAAAAGACTACAGCACCACAGGTTCCCAAGTTGTCTCCAACCTCAGTACTGATGTGGCTCTACGATGCTTAACTTCTCAAATCGGACGGGATGAGGTGCATTCATCGTGATATGGCCGTAGCCATTCACTTTCTTAACTTTATGTTTATCAATATTATTCGCTGCGTTAACTATCTAGAACGCTACAAACTGCAGCAACATGGTGTTTCCTTAATAAAAAAATGTTCAAATTCAAAGCTATCAAAGCAAAAGAAAAAGGAGGCTTGTTTGTATTTTCCAAACGTAAAACATCAGCTTCAATGTTTGTAGCTGAGTTTGCATTGCTATTTGTCGATCATAAATTAGCAAAGCCATCACAACAGTTGGATGATAATATCGGAAACATTAGGAAGAACTTGAGCATAAGAAATGATGCGGGAGAAGAAAGAAGAGCATTTCATATTGAATGGAACGAAAGGGATGAATGTTTTTGTGTCTTGTTCGAAACATTTCCTAATTACCGTTATCAGCTTGTTTGGAAAACTTATACTTCCAAGCAAGTGTTGTGCCAATTTATTGTAGATGGAGGTGAATTTCAACATGAACTAAGCAAACATTCAATGAAGGAACTTGTTGGAAAGTTGTTCGTTTTAACAGAGGAATATCCAGAAATGCTCTATCACTCGGATACTATCAGTTGTAAATCTTCACCAACTGTTCTTTCATGTTATCAAAAATTGTTTCATGAAGCAAGGAATAATTGCAATCAATATGCTTGTGATTTATCAAATTTTAAAATTGAAGGAAGTTTTAAAACAATTCCTTCCATTGAAGAGACAGTTTCCAAGATATTGGAAATTGAAATTTCACAACGAGACTATTCGAAACAAATTCAAGGAATATGTGAACAATATATGAAAAAGTTAAAGAAATCGGTGAGATTTCCAATTTATGACTACATTAGATCGGTAAGCACTGGTTTCTTGGACATGTGTCGATTAGCTCGAAATGGAAATGAATCTGCCAGAGAATTATGCAACATTTTCTTATCATCAGTTATTGGAAGAAGGGATGACAAGATTATTACTTTTATTGGGGCCTGTTATTTCACAGTATCTCGTGGATTGACAGAAATCATTTCAGATTTCCTTTCAGAGTTTAGTATTGTCGATCATGAAGGAGATTTTAGTGATGATAGTAGAGAATGTTTAATTAATAATATTAATGGTTTAAAATCAACTCCAATTCGAATGTACTGGTGTCGGTCATTATTTTCAAATGAATCTGAAGAGAGCAACTATAACACTGACATCCTTAATATAGTTTATAATGAAATTTATGAGTATGAACAAAATAGCAAGAAAATCGAAGAAATCAAGTTTGGATGTGGAATTCCTCAACAAGTATTTTTTAATGCCTTTATATCAGCAAGAAAAGGAAACAAAGAGTGTTTGAACTTTTTCAAATATATCAGTAATCACTTGGATGAATCAAATATCAAGGCATTGTTGTGGGCTTCAGGTTTAGAAATTGACATGATTGATTCCTTCCAAGTTTTCAGTCAATTGAAAAACAAATATGAATATCCTTTAGCAATTATTTGGATTGCAAGAAAACAAATTATTGGAATTCCTGGCCTTTTAGAATCCAATCTACTACTGGGATATGAAGAACTTGTCAACCAATATTTAACTGGCAAAGATAAGGAACTTGCTGCAACAAGTCTGGGCTTGATTTTTATTAGTAACGTACCTGGCATTGAACAAGACTTGGAAAAGACATTATTTTGGATTCCAAAAAAATCTTACCCCAGTGTTTACAATTATATTACTGTTGAGAAGGGAATCAAAATAGAACACTCCAAAGACTATTTCATTAATTACAGACCTTCAATCCAAAACCATTGAACCATTCCATCACACTGATCAAGATCAGACTAATATGAAATATACCATACATCGGTATTCATAATTTCCATAGTTGTTTTTTGCATTTATCTGAGCTACCTAAAAAAAGTGTTGCTTCTTGCTATAAATATTTGAAATGCACTGAGAAAATCGTCACCACCTAATGCTTTGTTTCTGTGTTGGTTGCATAAACCTTTCTCTTTAATTATAGTCAACAATCCAAACTAATTCAATAACTGCCTATCCTAAAAAATTGAAAATTTGATAAATCAAAGAGATTACTTTATAAAATCAATTACCAATTCAATGGAGTTCCATCATGTTGAATGAAAGTACCATTTTGTTCATCCTTAAAGTTATCAAGAATTTTAACAATTCCTGAAACACCAACATCAACGGTCAATGGTGCATTTTGTCCACCCTTTTTTAGATAAAAAACACAATAAGTTAAATTAATATAATACTAAATAACAAACCCATCACGTACCCCATAATAGATTCATGAATATTTCCTGTGATGATTTTCAGAATATTTGCTCCACCATTTATCTGGATAATTGTAATGTATTGTTTCAATTGTGATTGAATAAACACATTATGTGAGTTGTTTATACATTCACATACAGTATATGTGAATCATTCACATGTACTCTATTAGCCAATTTTATCATTCACATATGACTCAACATGTGACATGTCAATCACTCGCATAAATTCAAAATGTGATACATGTTTTCATTTATCATTCACACAATGAAATATCTATCATACAAATAAATACTTTTAATAAGAATCAACAAGAAAACAATATTAAAATAATCCAAACATTCTGGAAACTTGGAAATTATCAGAAAACATTCTTCCGCATTCAAAATAATTGATTTTCTTCTTCCAATTTTTCTTAGAGAATACTAAGGAAATAAATTGGTTATTCAACTTAACCAATCAATTAATTTGCCAAAACAAAATTACCTCCAAAAACTGACCTTGAAAAAAACAGTTTCAAATTTGAATTTAAACTTATTGTCGGTGTTGCAAAAATCTCATCTCCAATCGCAATTAGAACCATTGGTCAATCATAATCCACTCAGAAACAAAGCACATTGACCGGAGTGACGATTTTCTCAGTGCACTTGCTCTTCCATTTCAACTTTATATAAAAACAGCATGAATGCCAAGCCAAATGGACAAAAGAAAGAAAATGATTAGATATCAGATCCCTTGCTCTGCATTGAAGAGATTATCAGTTACAAAACATGCATGTCTTAGTGGTAATGTTGTAAGATTTTACAGTAATACAGCAGCAAAATTAGATGGTCAACTAGAACAACATGAAGGAGCATGTCCCTTTGCAGGAAATCATTCCAAAGAGAAGAAAGAGGTAAAACCATATAGTAGTATTCCAGGACCTAAAGGATATCCATTAATTGGTGATGCTTTGGAATTCTTCAAACATTCACAGAATTCACAAGCTTACTTTGAAAAATTGGTAAAGGAATACGGAGAAGTTGTAAAGTTTGAATTGTTAGGAGCTAACAATGTCATTCTATCAAATCCAATCTATGTGAAAGAGGTTGCCCAACAAGATGAAGGTAGATTCTATGTGAAAGGTTTCAGACAAGTTAAATTGGATGAAAATATGATCATGGCCCCAGTTGAGATGAAACCAGACGAAAACTGGCAAGATGTTAGAAGTTTATTTAACATTGCCATGCGTCCTGATTTGTCAGAAAGCATTTCTTTACCACAGTTGACTCAATTGAATTCTGGTTTTATGAATTGTTTGATTGAACATTTGAAAAAAACTGAAAACATTCAGTCAACCATGAATCAAATCCAAGATGAAGATTTCAAAAAGTCAATTGCCAATTCTCCTGTTTTTCAAATTGTAAATCCAACTCAATTCATCTCCAGATATACCTTTAACGCAGTTTCAAAGGTCTTTTTAGGTGCCAATTTCTATGATAAATCTCTAATCTTACCATTCGATAGAGATCTATTCGTGAAGGATGCACTGAGATTTTTAGATATTGGTACACGTACAGTTTTTGATATTCCATTCTTCAAGTATTTACGTAGAAAGGACTATTTAGAATTGAAAACACTCTATGTTTCCATTATAGAGAGATGTAAAATGTGTATTAATTTATTTACTGAATCTAATCCTTCTGGAATGCCTCGATTGAAAGAATTGATTGAAGAAAAGGCGAAGGAATATGAACGTGGTAATGAGATGGCAACCATCACACTCAGTTCCTTCCTTTTAGCTGGTGTCGATATCACAGCCAGAGTTATGGCCATTACCATGTATAGAATAGCTCACGAAACTAAATATCAGGAGAAACTCTATGAGGAATTAGTCAAAGTTTTCGGAGAGCCATCAATTGATGAAATTACGAATGGAAATCTGCTTATCACAGCAGAGCAATTCAAGAAGCTTAAATTTTGTAGAAACTTTATTGATGAATCAATGAGATTGAATCACGTCATAGACACTTCAAGTTTGAGAGTTTTAAGTAAGGATTTGGAGATTGCTGGATATAAGATTCCTAAAGGTTCATTCGTGCACTTTTTTGAGAGTCCAAAGTATTCTGAAAAGTTTATTCCACATTCGATGGAGTTTATTCCAGAAAGATATGAAAAGAGTCATGAATGTCGCCCAATCAATAACTATGTACACAATCCATTTGGTTTGGGAGCTAGAAAATGTCCTGGATCTAGAGTGGCCACTACTGAAATTCTATTTTCATTGATTAATATTGTTAGACATTTCAGATTAGTTCACGAAAATCCAAATGAATTTCCAAAGATGGAAACTGATCAATCCATGTTCTATATTGATATGAATAAGAATCCAGTCTATTTCATCCCAAGAGATCATGTTAAACCACTCTTATCAAATCAATAAACACCAAAGAACATTTCGAATAAAGAAAGGAGGAAAAAATTCATGCCCAAACACACATTCTTTCCGCAACCAATGACATTGGAGCATAAACAGAACGATTAAGCACATCACGATGATTCTTGATAAATTCATTGGCCTTATCAAGAGTTTCCTTAGAAACAACTTCAACTCTCTGGAGCAGTAGGGGGAATTCAAGAGAATGAATATCCTTCTTCATGTCATTCCATTCATAACATCCCTCACTTGTGAATGTTCCTTCCCTTCCCAACAAGATCATCACAAGAGTGAAAATAATTTGAACCCTAGCAGGAGGTTTTAAAAACGACACCATTTCACAATAATCACTTCTTTTCAGAGAATTCAGTTCCGATTGGCCTCTTTTCAAACTTTCAAGAGTGATGATGGTGTTTGAACCAGTAATAATAATGGAGGAGGACATTCCAAAGATCGAGTTGTGATTTTTTTTTTCTTAAATTGATTATTAAGGCGTTGAACTTGAACCACCATTCGCATGTTCTGGTTTTAAAATTTCTATTTTAATGGATTTTTTAATGGATTTTACACAAAGATTGGATCTTGATCAGTGAATTGTTTCCTCGGTGGTGAGCTGGCAACTCTTTGAAAAACCTTCAAATTATTTTACAAAAAAAAATGAGAAGAAATAGATTAGAGCAAATCTATCATCATCTAGTTCCGATCATTGCACATAATTTCACATCTTCCGAAATTCCAGAATCGATTGATGATTATTCAAGTCGCATTGTGAGTAATGTTCATGTGTTGAAAAATGCTCCTCATGATGTACGAAACAATAGACAAATTATTTCACAAGCTGTTAAAAGAAATGGATATTCACTATCCTATGCTTCTGATAGATTGAAAAATGATAAAGAAATTGTCAAGTTGGCTGTTTCTCAATATGGAAGTGCTCTTCAATTTGCATCTGACAGTTTGAGAAATGACAGGGATATTGTTTTGGCAGCTGTAAAGCAAAATTATCATGCGTTTGAATATGCTTCACCTATTTTACGAAATGATAAGTATTTCGTGTTGAAACTCGTTGTATTACTAATTCTTTCAGATATGCTTCAAGTGAATTGAAAAATGATTTGGAATTGGTTTTAAAAGTTGTAAAAATTAATGGAAATAATCTGGAGTTTGCTTCAAAGAAATTGAGAAAGGACAGACGTGTTGTTTTGGAAGCAGTTTCGAATAAGGGAAGTGCTTTAAAATTTGCTTCAAATGATATGAGAAATAATAGAGAGATAGTTCTGAAAGCAATTTTACAAGATGGAAATGCACTTAAATTTGCTTCTGATAGTTTGAAATCTGATAAGAAATTAATTGAAATTGCAGAGAAAGTAAAGGAAGATATCAGATTCGAATTGGATTATTCCTTGAGAAAGAATCCACTTAACAAGGTTGTAAAGAATATTGTTTCCAAAAATGTTGCCCGAGTTTTACAATATATCAATCCATACGATAATGACTAATCATTTCAAATAATTGATTTCATTTCTTTCTGAGAGATTAATTTGTTTATAAAATTACATTGAATTAAAGTACATTAATTATTAACTTTCAATATTTCCAATAAAGTTTCAAATGTTTTTTCTTCATAAATAATTCCAGTATGACTTGCATTGAAGAAACGATGAATATAAACTGGTTGTTTCTGATATTTAGCAAATTCATCACAAATTTGAAGAGAATAGGATGGAACAACTCCATCTCCATCTTCCACTTTCAAAATATTCATTCCATGAACTAGGTCATTGAAATTCAATTCACTCATTTCCTTTGGACCTGAATATTCAACGTGAGTGATAGTTGGGATGCCATATCCATACAAACAATGAGTGGTGACATTTGGAGCAGCAATCTTATTATACTTATAAGCAGAGTATTCATGTTGATACAATTCGAAACCATTCTTAATTTTGGCATCTGTCATGAATTTTTCAATGTCTGCCAATGAAGAAGATTCATAATTCTTGACCACTTTAGTATTGTTATATGTGAAAAATGGATACTGGAATGGTGAATAATTTGGAGACATGTACAATGGTGATGGATATTGGTGAAGAATCTTTCTGGCATTTTCCAATTCGAATATTGGAAGTCCCCAATTGGTTCCTGTCATGTACAATATCAATGCAATTGGACTACCATCAAAAGCACCAGATAGTGGAATGAAATTTGAAATATATTGATCTTTCCACACTTGGTTGACAAAGTTTGCCAAAAAATATTGTAAGAAAGGACCTCCCATACTATGCCCAAGAAGGGAAACTTTCAAATTTCCATTCTTGTAATAGGTATCCTCAACCAATGATTTCAATGTGTAAAAATCACCTCCAATTGTGTTATTATTATTGGACCATTCTTTAACACCCAATCTCCAATCAATTGTGAGACCTCTCAAACTCTTTCCAATTTGAAAATTTCCATACTTGACCAAATAATCAGATAAATATTTCATATAGTAGGCCTTACTTTCCAATTGAGCAAAAACTGATTCCAAACCACCCATTCCACCAATGTCCTTTCCAAAAATTCTCACTCCACTATCTTTCTGTCTCAACAATCCATCTTTCAACTCAATAGACATGTCATGAACGAAACAATCCTCAGTAAAGAATGGAACTAACTCTTCCAAAGACATCCAAATTTGAAATGGATCTCTGGTTGTCTTTTCACACCACCAATGAGGTTCATTCACAGCATGATCTCTCTTGGACATGAGTGCAGATCCACCCAACCCTCCTACAGCAATCAATGGTGAAAACTTGGCATCAGTTGCCTTCTTATTATTACTATTAACAAATTTGATATCCTTTCTTCCTTGATACATGTTGAATAATTGGCCAATTTCAATCCGATCTCTGTTCAATAACTTTCTCAATTTTTCATCTTTAATTTTGATGGTTGGTTGTTGGGAGGATAATTCACAATTTGTTGATATAACAGACACCAAGATGATGATGATGAGTGCAAGGAGCAATAAATGATGGCTTTTGGGAAGAGAGGTCGTCATCTTATTTTTTTAGAATTGAATTTGAAGCATAAAAGAAATGGAGTTCTATTGAAATTTACACAAAAGCAAACAGGTACCATCAAACCCATTGGTATCATCATTACTTTTCAAACTACAAATAGCTGCCAAAGTAATGAATTGTAATATTGATATTCACATTTCCAGGTATTTCGGAAACTCTTGACCTAGCTCCAAAATGATGCATCATAAAAAATCAAAGTGTGTTTAATTCTATTCGAAATAATTGAGAAATAATTTATAAGGTAATGGTAGTACCTAACAAATCCAAGAATGCTCTCAACCACTTTGGATGTCCAGGCCAAGCAACACCAGTGACAATATTATCACTAACTACGGCATCTTCAGCTCCACATTGAACATATTCAGCACCAGTATTTTGAATATCATGTTTACAAGCAAAATAGGCACTAATTCTCTTTCCCTTCAAATGTTCTGGGAATGGTGTCAAAATCAAAGGTCCATGACAAATGGCAGCAATTGGCTTTTTCTTTTCAAGGAAATGCTTGACAATTGTCAAAACATTATCATGCAATCTCAAATATTCAGAACATCTACCTCCAGGAAGAATCAACCCTCCAAAATTATCCAAATTTGAGAGAACATCATCAAAATCAGCAGTAATAGCAAAATTATGTCCCTTCAATTCAGTGTAAGTTTGTTCACCAGGTAAGAAATCATGAATTGCAGTGACAACCTTATCACCCTTCTTCTTTCCTGGAGAAATGACACTAACAGAGTGACCAACCATGGTCAAGGCTTGATAAGGAACCATAGCTTCATAGTCCTCAACTATTTGATCCGATCATCATCATCATTAATTAAATTAATTGATTAATCCGATAATGAATTAATTGTCAATTCATCCATTAAATTTATTCAATAATAAATAATATTAAAATTTAATAAATCATCATCATCAGCAAGGAATGAACACTCACCATAATCACCAACAATGAGAATCAAGTTTTGTGCAACCATTTTTTTTGTCTTGGAAATGATTCTAAAATTGGATGAAATGAATTAAAATAGCTAGCGCTTAAATTAATTTAAATAAGCGACAAAGAGAACTGAAAATTTTACAATGAAAAGTTTTGTTTGGCTTCAATGGTTTGTTTTCAATTTTCATTGAACGTGTAATAAATTGAATTTTTACAAATTTTCACAACAATTTTAAATAATTTGTATTTTATTTGAATCATAACTTGATTGGAATTCTTTTTAATTTTTGTAGAGGAGGGTTGTCTGTTGGGATCATACTTTACAACGTGCACTCACAAGGTGTGTCATCTATTACAGTAGACAACAATAATGGCACGTACAATGAGTGCTATATTCAATATATTTGGATTTGAATTTGTCCTAAAATTTAATAATTACAAAATGATTATTGAACCTCATCTACTTCTTCGTCAATTAAATCTTCCTCTACAGCATAGAAACCAGTATTTTGATCTTCTTCATTACCAGTGTAGAATACTCTAGCTGTTGCCTTGAAGGTAATTCTTCGGCTTTGACCTTTTTCCTCATCCTCCTTAGTGATAATGACACCAGTCGGTGTGTAACCTGTAGTTGCTGGTGCTCTAAAGTTTGGATTGAAACTAATTCTTTGTTCTTCTTGTCTGATTTTAAGAATTGGTTTGGTATGTTGTTGTTTGTCAACTGGAAGTGGTTGTTTCTTTGTGACGAATTCTCCAGAAGTTGTTGAAGTTTGTCCTTCTTCTTCATCTTCTTTTGTTGGATCAGTATGTCCAGATTTTCCGTGATCCTTACGGGCAATCTTCTTCTCCTTGGTGGTAGTTGTTGTTGATGTTTTCTTAGGACTCTTAAACATGTTAACAAATGGAGAGAACCACTTTGATTTTGGAACTGTAAAATCTTTGATTGAGAAGAATGGCTCGATGACCTTATAGTTAGGGTGAATTCTCTTAGAGTTTGCATTGGCAACAGCAAACAAACACCAAGAAATTTCCGTCAGAATACTCTTAATATCCTCAACATCAAACTCCTTTTCCTCACTGTGAGGTAAGAATAAACTAGCATATTCAGTTACATCCTTATTTCTTTCTGGTCGTGCTCTTTCGGCCTTCTTCTTTTTCACACGAGTTCTAGGAATGCCACTGTCCTGCAATAATTGATAACTCAATGTTTGCAAGAAGGCAAATTGTTGACCTGCAGCAGAGGTTGTAAACTTCATAGAGGCACGAACACTGATAGAACCCTTTCTTCCATTGCCTACAATGGCAGCAGATTCTTCAGCAGAAATCATGCCCTTCTTTCTCTTTTCATGCAAGTAAACTTTAAGAGCTTGAATGGCACCATTCTTTGTATTTTCAATATCACCTTGTTCTGTGAAATAGAAATTGCAAATATCGTGTCTCTTGAAGTGTTTTGGATCAAAACCTGTCTTGGCATCATATTTTAATGTCCAATATGCCTTGTCAGTCAAAATTAAATAACGATCTTGATTGATTTGATGTTTGTTAACTTTGATAACATGCCATCCCTTAATAATTTCTTCATGATATGGATTATTCATATTTTCATCGTCATCATAACCTTCATCCTCTCCCATACCATCATCTTCATAATTATTCATGATATTTTCATCGTTGGAATGTTGTGAACCACTCTTCTTTGAGTCACGTCTACGAATATTTTCATTGATAAAGACACGTGCCTTATCAATGATTGATTTTTCAACTTCAGTTGGAGTCCACCAATTCAAATCTGGTCTAGAAAGTAATCTCTTCATACCACTCAAATCAGCATATTCGCGTACTTTATACAATTGAGCTGCAGAAGCTAAAATTTCAAATTTGAAAAGTGGTGTAATATCTGTACTGTACAAACCAGCCAATTTGATAATTGGCTTTAATTCATCTCTAAAGAACATGCCATTCATATCATGTCCTTCTAAAACCAAACGTAATGTAAGTGTTCTAGTTGCTTCATGAATGTCAAAATCCTTCTTTGGTCTTTCTCCTGTGCCAGAGTGTGGACTTGGTTGAAGAGTAATAGCAATTGTTGTTAAACCAAGTGAAAGAGCATCAACTAGATCATCCTCCTCATATGCACAAATATCACTCATTGCTAAATAAACTTGTTCTAGAACACATTGTGATTGTTCCTTGTAAATTCTCTCAACTGCACGTGGATAATCAAAGGCAGCATATTTCATGTGATCCCAATTCACTTGTAATTTGAGTGGATGCAAAAATTCATTCAAAATTCTTCTCTCAAACTCTGGAATATAATACTTTTCAATGATAAATTGTTGAATATCTGTACATCTGTCAAGGTTTTTAGTTATATCTCTAAATATCCATTGAATAGTTTCATCTTGAGTAACTTCAATTTCAACCACATCAACAATAACACCATCTTTATAATATCCAACATCACGTGGATCATCACTGTATTTAATCACGTACTTTTTCAAGTTTTGTTGAAGAAAATCTCTAATATATACGTGTTTTGATTTTTCATTATCTATTATAATTTGTTGTTATTTGTTGTTATTATTATTATTATTCACAATATTATTAGTATTAATTTAATATTGTCATTTTGATATTATTGTTGTATTATCATGATTAACGAGAGATACAATTAGTATGTGGATGAATACAATTTAATAATATATACGAGATCAATAGTGGTCGTTTTGTCGTTTTGTATTCATATACAATATTGTTAATTAATTAAACATATAATTATTATTATATACATCACATGAACCAATTATTAGAAAATAACTTACGATTTTGTGGTGGTTTACAGTATTGTGATATTAAAGTACCAATCAGAGAGGCAGCACAAGACTTTGAAAGGAATGAATTCAAAATTGTATCAATCACCTCAGGAGCTCCCTCATTAAACAATGTATTAAACAATTCGTTAAAACTCTCCCAATCAACTTCGACCTCAATTTTTCTAGCCTCAAATTTATCTTCTTCTTCTTCAACAATATTTGCTGCTGTTGTTGTTGTTGTTGTTGTAGTAGTAATAGAAGGAGTTGTTGTTGCAGAGGCCTCTACTGTGGTGGTACCACCATTCAAACTATTCTCAACTAACTTTTCATCACTATTTGCTACAACTTCTGTTGTTGTTGATGCTGATGCTGATGTTGTTGTTGTAGAAGGTTGCAAATTATTTGTTGTTGTTGTAGAAGATGAAGATGAAGGTGATGTTGCCGAATTATTATTAGAAGAAGCACCATCATCACCACTAGTAATATTCAACGTGGAAACACCAACAATCAATGGAGAGGTACCAGCCAACACTGGAGAACTCACACTTCCACCTGATAAACCTGATGGTGTCGATAAAAGATTAGTGGTTGGTGTTGGTGAGGAGGCAGAAACCAATTGTACCTGATTCTCAGACTCGACTGTTCTCTCCACCTCAGCAGCTTGTCTAAGTTTTTGTTTATATATCTGACAATGAATTGGAGCTGTGAATAGGGCAGCTGTAATCATTTCAGAAAACTTTTGAAGTTTGTCAAAAGTTGGGGCTAATAATTCACCCTTCTTCTTTGGATCCATTTTGAAAAGGTTCGTTTTCTATTGTGTAGATGCTCACTGTGTTATGTGTTTTAAATACAATATCTTTTCAGTGTAATTTTTAATTAAAATTGATGAGTGACAGCTTTTTTTTTATTGCTCTTGACGTTTGTGATGTTGGATGATGACATATTCACATCACCGATTTTGTTATTTTCAAATTACGACCATTAACAGTCGTATGAGTGCATTAATTGTTGATTTATTTGATAAGAATGTGGATATTGGTCAATTCGTTTAGTTAAGTTAAGTTTCTAATGTAATTGAGAAGAAAGTTATTGAAGAAGAATTAAATTGATAATCATCCCGAGATAGGTTCAATATCTAAAACTATTCAAATTTTTAACATCTAAATTGTCATTGCAATAAATTGTAAACTCTATTAAATATTATATTTAATACTATGAATTACAATTTATTCAAAGGTAATGGAGTTAATGGCTTCACAGCTGGTCCATGAATTACTTCTCCATCAGTTGCCTTAAATCTACTTCCATGACAACTACAGTCAAATGTCTTTTCAGCATTATTATAATCCAAATGACATCCCAAATGAGTACATGTTGGATGGAAGAGATGATATTCACCCTTACCATCTCTATATGCAGCTATTGTTTCTAATCCTTGTTTACAAATTCCACCATCTTCAATTCCCAATTCATCTATTGTTCTTGCCTTAATAACATCACGAATTCTGGTGGCGACGAAATGTTTGGCAACATTGGATTGGAATTTGACCATTGAGAGGGTTGATTTGGTGAGATCCCATCTTCTGGCATCGAATGTTTGAGACCACAGGCCAGTTGTGTCTGGATCAAGAGTTTCGCATATCATATCTGAAACGATTAATGAGGCAGCACTCAAATTGGAGAAACCCCACTTTCTACAACCAGTTGCCGTATAAACAGTATTAATACCATGATGCAATAATCCAAAGTATGGAATCGTATCTGCAGTAAAGTAATCAAGAGCTGACCAACCACAAATTGCCTTTTCAACTTTGAAATTATTAAAACCAAATTCGATTAAATTATCGTAAATATCTTGGCTGTTTCCTGTTGGATGGAATTCACCACACTTGTTGCTATTACCAGCAATAATGAGGATTTTACCATTTTCTGCACTTCTGATTGACTTGATTCCAAATTCGTCGCACTTTCCAATAGTTATATAGTTTCCAATAGGTGCTTTGACTCCTTCTTTCATTTTGAATGCAACACAATAGGAAGATTGTGCTTCAATCACTGAGAAGTGTCCAGATCTATCTAAAATTGGTAAATGTGTTGCAATGACAACTTTATCTGCCATTACATTTCCTTCATTGGTTGAAATAATGTGCGGAGAGGCATATTCTACACCATGCACACGAGAATTCTCATAAATAAAGACACCACTCTTTTCTAATGCTTTGGCTAAACCTTGGCAATAGGCAAATGAGTTGAAGACATATTGATCTTTTAGACGAATGGCTCCCTTATTTGGAAATGGTATTTCTTTTAAATGATCTGGATAGATGTAATCTACTCCGTATAGACCAGCATGATTGGCAGCGTCAATTTCATCTTGAACAATTCTCAATTCGCTATCTGAAAGGGCAACAGTATACGAATCTGATTTAGTCCAATCACATTCGATACCATACTTCTTGATAGTATTTCCCATTTCTCTCACGCCTGCCATGTTCATTTGGGCATATTGGGAGGAAACACTTCTATTAAATTTCTTTTCAATTTTCGAATAAATAATGGAATGAAGTGCAGAAACCTTAGCTGTTGTGTTATTCGAAACTCCAGAACCAACTTGTCCACTTTCAACAATTGCAACCTTCTTACCCTTCTCCACTAATTTCAATGCTGTTTGTAAGCCAAATACACCTCCTCCCACAACACAAACATCCTTAAATAACAAAAAACATTATTTCGAATAATTTAAAATGAATGAAATTTACCACCTCTGGACCTAATCCACTGAGTTTGGGAAATTGAGTTTGAGACTGTTTGAAAGATTGTTTCCAAATTGATTCGATGGGGATCTTCATTTTCTTTTTGAGTTTAATTTCTGAGTTTAGAATGATTCGGTTGGAAATATTCTAAAGTATTAAAGTGTTAAAAATGTAGAATTAACAAATTTGGATTAGGCTTAGAAGAGGAATTATAAGTTTTTGAAATTGATTCAATTAGTGTTTACTAATTTCAATGATCCTAATTCTGATGAATCATTTTCTCCAAATATTAAATTGCATTCGAATGCAATTTCCACTATTTCGAATAACACAATTTCATATCCAAAGCACTCTAAAATCTCCATTATATTTCTCCAATTCCACATTTTACATTTCACTCTTCTTTCTTCCACCAATCTCAAAATGTTTACATCTTTTCAAACATCTCTGATTACATCTTTTACAATCTTTACAATACAATTTCAAAACAATCTTTTTGGTGGTTTTTGCCTTCTTGTGAAAGATTGGCATTGTCTGTCCACCATATCCTTTCTGTTTAATGACATAAAATCTTTGACCTTTAGCTGTACGTCTTGTTTTACCTGCCTTGTATTGTGAAACTTTGTGTTCTTTATGTGTTTTACACTTGACACAATAGGCATTGATCGTCTTGGGGCAGTTGACCATTTTTTTAGATAGGTGGGAGGGAAATTGAAGTAAACTATTTCAATTCTGAAATAGAAATTTGAAAATAGTTTAAGGATGAACTTTGAACAACTTGTTAAAATTCAAAGTTGAAAGTTAAAAGGAAGCATATGAGAATGATGCAATTATTTGAATCATGATCAGATGTGAGGAGTTGTTTTTGATCTCCAATGTGTAGAATAGTCTAGAATTGACTTGTTGGAATATTTCAATCTTTCGTATAATCCAAGAATTGTAAGTAATGTTTCCACTTGAGCAGAATCAAATAAATCGACGGGATAAGGTGAATGGTTATGTTCCAATTCTGCTAGTTTAGCATTAATGTCATTCCTCAATATTTTGACATTTGGCAAATTCAATTCATTGACACTTCCTTCAGCCAAGTAGCTTTTCACAATATTCGAAACTAACTTTTGCACATTTGATCGATGTTTCTTGATTGTTTCTGTGTTATGAAATGCTGTATTGAATTCATGATCTTGATACTTGATTACCAATTTTTTGTAATGTTGCACATCTTTGTAAAATAGAATTCCTTCAGGACAAAAACTTCTCCTTGCAAAATCCAACAAAACCTTCAAAGTTTCCTTGTTGTTGAGCACGGATTCAATTTCACTTTCCAACACTTTATGCTCACCTCGTTTCTGCATTGATTCTCTGAAAACAGGCCACAGAATTGAAATAATAATCTCAACGAAAGCATACGAAAGAAAAATGTGATTGTTTGGAATAATTCTTGCCAGATATTTGAAAAACTGAACTTGGGTAGCTATGAAATAAATCACAACAAGAAACAATCTCGAAACTGACAGGATGATCAACTCTGATTTGATTCTAAATGTATCTTTTTCTGTTGTAAAGAATAAGACAATAATTACAATCAAATCAATTGCCAGATAAAACGCAACAAAGGAAGTGATTATAATTCCAGAAGGTCCACTTGAGTAACACCCCTTATAATTAAACATACTACTATTTGTGGTGATGAATCTATTAGAGGAATAGTATTGATCCTCAATCAGTCCAATAGTCATCCAAATAAGAATATGCAAAAAAAGCATCAAGGTTGTAAATACTATTGTAAACAAATGGCTTTGTAATAATCGATTGGCAAGATTAAGATATTTCAGTTGCTTGGAATCTCTCTTTTCCACTTCGTCTGACCAATTAGTAACTGTTGTTTCTCCACAATTAAAATTCTCAACCTTATTCATGGAAGAGGTGTCCGTGTTATTGAAAGTCTTTGTTCTTTCCAATGTAGTCCTGTATAATATAATTAATCGAATTCCTCTGACAATTGAAGGAATGGAAAATAAAGGTCCAATAAGGAAGGTCGACAATGACATTAAAAAACAAGGAAAATCATCCTTTCCAATCAAGCATCTCATTGAAACCATGCCATAAATCAACGTGTTTGACAAAATGGTCATTAGCAATGAAGAGAATGACCTAGCTCTAATGTAGGCAGAATTTCTCTTCCAAAATAAACAAATTAAACCAGTTACAGTGAATATAATAAAACAGAATAAAACAACTCCAGCAAATATAGGAACAACTATAGTATCAGGACATTCCATATTCAAAGAATTACTTGAATTTAAATTCAGTGCTAAATGATAAGGAAACCAATCGGGACATGCACTGTAGCTATTGATCGTTGTTGAATTTGATGAAGAATTTGATGATTGATCTACAGAGTGGTAGATCATTTTGCTTTCGAATAGTCGTAGAGACATTGTTTTCAATATTAGTTGACCAAAAATGATAAGCCTTGATTGAGAGATATTTAGTTAAAATAATTGCGAACCATTCCATCTATTTGTCCTATAATTTCCTTATATTTTTCGAATAACTTTTCTTCAATTCAACCTTTTTCTCTCAATTTCCTTGTTCTCTCCCAGTTTTTATTAAGAAATAATGAAATTTAAAAATAGAAAAAAAAATGTCGACAAACTTGATAACTAACCTTGGATGTGTTGTGGTGCAACTTGTCGATTTTGTTACTTCTGATCGGATGTATCTTCTTGATCACGTTTCAAAAATTGACGATTCGGAGCAGGATTTAGAGCACACACGACCATTATTTAGATTTCTTCAATCAAAGATGAGAAAATATGCAAAATATGTTGGATTTGATTATCAACGTTTTGATGCAAATGTTGGAAAATTGAATGGAGACAACATGTCCTATCCATTGGATGTTAAAATTTCAACTGATTATCAGTGTATTTTGGTTTGTGATCAATTGAAGAATAGAATTGTTGTATTTGATTATAATACCTTAAAACAAAAGAAAGTAATTGATTGGCATTCTGATTCTGTTCGACCAAGATATATGGCCATTGAGATTATTGATTCTAGAGAATTGTACTTGTATTTTACCAACACAAAATTTGGAGTTGTAAAATGTAAATTGTCTACATTGTTGTGTGATTCGAAAGATAAATTTGCAGTTCCAGATATAAAGGAATGGACAAGAAAAGTAACTGATCCACAGGGATTAACCATAAAATATAGACCATACAATCAGAATCTGATATTGGTTTGTGAGAAGACTGAGAAACAAATTCAATTTTTGGATTCGAATACTGGTTCAGTTTTGAGAAGCATAAGCCTTGCCTCGGATTTACTTGGTCCTTGGTCAATATCATTCAATAGCTTGGGAGATTTAATTATTGGAGATTGTGATAAAAGAAAGATATTTGTGTTGAGACAAGATGGTGACTCTTACACAGTAGTGAATTCGTTTGGAACATTTAAGGATATTTATGGCTTGTCAATCGACTACTCTAATGATTATATATATGCATCTGATTTTGCCAATGCCATTCAAGTGTTCACCCCAACAGGAGAACTCGTCAAGAAAATTACTCATGGCTCAATAATTAATCCAATTGGTATTCATATAGACAATAAGGGAGGAAGATTACTCTTTTCTGATTACTCCTCGATGCATTTGGTTTGCCTAGCTAGTCCTGGCTCCTTTGATACTACTAATCAATAGGACAAGCCAATGCACCATCAACTATCACTAACTTATTCATTGAACCGAACATGTTGTTGTTACAGACCGTTACGCATAAAATTTTTATCATTTTAAAAAAAGCGCCAACAATAATATGCCAGTTAAATCCTTAGAAGAGGCAAACTACCGAATCCAAGAGTTGGAAGGAGAGTTAATCAGCAGGAAGAAGGATCTATCGGTCTTAGTAGAAGAGGTACTTTTTGCAGAGAAGGAGGTAGGTATTAAGGCAAATACAATTTAATGCTGATCATCATTAAAGGCCGAAGCCTTAAGAACCATCAATTCTAGAAGAGAAAATGATATTAAAAAGTTGAAGGAGGAAATACAAAAACAAAAGGAATCAATATCAAGACTCTCTAATAATGAATCTCAACTCTCTGATATTAATCAAATTAAGTTAGAATATAATAAGGAAATTAAAATTCTCTCTGATAGGAATAAAACCATAGAGGAGCATATGAACCTTGTAGGAGAAGAGAATGAAACCCTGAGAGGTCAAGTTGTTGAAATTTCAAAGGTTTTGGACATTTCTGAGAAGGAACTCGTCAATCAAAGGTATGTAAATATCATCACTCTTCTAATTTACATTAATCAGGAATATTATATCAGTTCAAGAAAAGGAAAGAGAACAAAGACAAGCAGAAATTGAAAAACTCCAACTCAATGTAAAAGATATGGAAGATGAATTCAAGGTACTGCAAGAAAAGAAGGAGAAATACAGAAAGGAGGCAGAGATTGCAACTTTGAAACGACAAGAATTAATGGACGAATTAACATCACTCAGATCCAAGTATGATGATCTTCTTTCTCAATATGATAATGAAAAATCAAAACCTAAGAATGAAGGAAGGGATGAAGCTGCACTCTTGAGAGAAAACAAGGAATTGAGAGATTTATACTCCAAGACCATTCTAGAAATGGAAGAAACTAATCAAGCATTTGCAGAAATCAAGAGACAATTACTTGAAAAGCAAGACTTGTTGAATGCTAGAGAAGTCGAAAAGAGACAAATTGAGGAAGAAAATCACAACCTAACAGCAGAATTATCAGCTTTCTATGCAAAGGAAGCCGAAAAAGAAAGAGAACCAATTGTTGAAAATAGTACAAATCTCAGTCAACTGTTGACTAATGCAGATAATGTGAACAAGACTGTTTCAATCATTCAAGAGCACCTCAAGGAAAACTCTAACGAAGAAGAGTATCTCACATTGCTTAACTCACAACAGCAACAAATAGAATCACTATTGGCAGAAAATGACGAACTGAAGAAGTCTGTCAGAACACCAAGAGTTTCTATCGATACTGATGATAAGTTAAGAATATTACAAGATGAAGTGTCAAGATTAAAGAAATTATCTGAGAATACTCAATTTTTAGAGGAAGAATTTAAGGTAAATAAGGAACAACTCAACGAGAAGGAGGAGCAAATTCAAGAGTTAGAGAGTAAAATTCTCGACTTGAATCTGCAAATAGAGGAATTTAAATCCTCTCAAGCCGACTCCTCTCCAGTTAACGAAATGATTGAAAAGTTAGAAAAGGAAAAGACTGATATTCAAAACCAATGTGAAATGTACCAATACGAGCTCAATACTCTCACCACCGATTACAACCAACTCTTGGAAAAGACGGAAGACTTGGCAAGGGATTTTGATACTGAAAAAGAAGCACACAAATTGGTTTCAGAAAAGTATGCGAAATTATTGCAAGATCCATCATCAGGGGTTGACGAAGAAGAGGTAAAATTACTTCAAAATGAAAATGACGAATTAAAGAATATGAATCTCCAATTGCAAGACCAAGCTGACGAGCTTGTTGCAAAGCTTAAGAAAAAGTACGAAGAAGAGGAATCTGCCAAGTTAAGCAAGGCTGGATCTGAGAGGTTACTCAAAGAAAAGATTTCAAACTTGGAAATGGAAGTTGAGGTGTTGAAAGAAGAAAATTCTTTATTCAAGGAAAGAATTGAGGAGCTTGAACTCGATTCCAACTTGAGACAACTAGTTGCAAAGAAGCAAGAATTAATTGATGCACTTGAAAAGAAATTAGAAGCTACACAACAAAACTTGAACGATTCAAACATGGCTCATAAGAAAGAGCTCCAAGATGCCATCAATAAGGAAAGATCTGAACACATTGCAGTAATTGAAGAGATGAAGAAAGAAATTGAATTATTGTTAGAGGAAAGAAAGGACCTCATCGAACCAAACCCACAAACAGGTATTGAAAAAGAGATTAAACAAGCCTCTTCTAGAATTGCATTGCACAACGAGGTTGTAAAAGAAATGCAAAGAGAGCTAGGATCCACAAGAAATGAACTTTCTGAAATTCATATGGGATTAGACAGAGTTTTGGAACTACTGAAGAGCGAAGATATGGAATCAAGTCAAGAAGTATTGAAACAATTGCATGATATTGCTCTTGCTATGGATGCTAAGACTAAACTCCTAGATACTAGAATTCAACTCAACATTTCAGTAGAATTTAACAGAAAGATGTCAACTAGATTAGAAGAAAAAGAAACCCTTTTGCAACAAGCTGTTGAATATGTAAATAACCTTCAAAAAGAATATAACCAATGTAAAGAAAGCCTTAAACGATTAATTGAAGAAAGAAGTCAGTTAAAGTCAATGGTTGCAAATAGTCAAGTTGCCAACAATGAATCCAAATCAATTCTTTCCTCTAAAGCTACTGCACCTGGCCACAGAGCTAAATCAACAGAGAGAGGAGTGCCAGCCTCAAGATCGGGAAGAGGTTACGTTGGTTCGTATTTCAAACAATAAATATCTAATAGAATTTTAAAATCTTGCTGTTGTGTTGGTTGTCTATCATCAGAACCAAATTCGGACTTGGAAATTTTAATTTTAAATTAAAATAAAAATACCCAAGATGTGGTCATCATCGCCATCGACGGGAAGCAACAATATTAGTATCAACACGAGTAATATCAACACATCTTCAACAACATCGAATAGTATGTTGAAAGATGTAAAGAACATGAAAGAGGAGGAGATCGCTTCTTTAGAACAAGAAACAATGATGAAGGAGCTTCGACACCTTCTCTACGATATTGTTCCACAACAATGGAGTAAAATTATCAATGAAATTCAACAAGCTGTTGGTCTTTTAGGAGGTGAAGTTAAACACCTTCAATCTATGGAAAATAATAGTAATAATAATTCCAATAATAATAATCAACAACCAACAAGTACAATAGCCTCATCATCGGATCAACAACAAGATAATCCAAAAGACGAACCTCAAACACCTTCAACACCAGGAATACCCGCTACCCCAACTAAATTTAATGCTACTAATAGTTTTAGAGCAAAAAACAATGCCGAACGTATACAATTACATATTAATGACCAAAATCACGCTATTTTAAAAGGATATTTACTAGTGGACGGATATCGTATCTTGGGAGGTAAAATTAATTTTAAGCTTCACAAAATGAAACAATCATGTGAAGCCGAAATCAGACCAAATGATCCGTATACTTTAAGCCAAATTCAAAGGGCTCACCACATGGCTGATTATGCTTTAAATAAGATGAAAAACATTGACATTGAGAAATATTCTGAAAATTCAAATATTGTGTTGGAAGGAGATGATGAAGTTGATCTTATGAACAGTACATATTTATCGAAAACAACATCTAAAATTGAACGAGATGTCACTACTATTTTAACAATTTTGGAACGTGTAATGATATTGGTGCAACAAGGAAGAGAACAATTGACAACATATGGTGGATTGAGATTTTTGACTGATGAATATAGACTATCAAGCTCAATATCCGAAAAAGCTAATATTGAACTTCTTCAACAATCATTCCATCCTCGTTTACCTAAGGAAACATTAATTGAATTTTCAATTACAAATGCTCAACTTCATGTAGGAGTTTATGGTTTGAGTTATACTTCTATTGCTACATCCTCTGTAACACAACTAAAGAACTCAAATTTAAGTAGCGACTCTCGACATAGACATTTTATCACTGAAGATAATGAAATTGGATATTTTAGTGAGGAGTATATTTCAAAAATTACTGTTGCCAGTTTCTCATCTGGTTTGGATCATCTCACCAATGCTTTCAAAATGTGTTCTCGTTTAAGAAATCTATTAACTACACATGGACTCTATTAAATTATTAAGATTTTCCAATCAGCAAGTAACAACCATTAAAAACAATCAATTTTTATATTGAAACAACATCTACTTGCCATTCTAAGAGTTGGATAGGGATTTAAGTCTTTTTTAGCAATTTACCAAAACTGAACTAGCCGGTGCTTGCATCCAATTAAGTTTATTAATCCCACTAACCGACTAACAAAAAATGATTCCAAACAATAGTGAGGATCTTTTGGTTTCTAGGAAGGTACCTCCCTCATCATCAATTCAAGAGGAAATCACAATTGAGGAGTCGAAAACATCTACACCCATCGAAATTGTTGATGAAGATCCATTTGAGAGAACAATACATGTCGAAAGAAACACACCACCCCCTCTGCATAGAAGACCTTCCCATGGTAACAGTACCACCTCATCCATTATTCATCCAACCACCAAACCAGATCCAATCTATGGAAGGAGAAATACTGTTTTCACATTCGAGGAGTCACGTCATGGGGAAGAACATTTACGTCACATGCCAGAAACACAAGAAAACAAAAAACCAAGAATGTATAATTGTTCGAGAGGATTGAGAATTAGTCATGTCCTGTTGGTTCTCTTCATTATTCAGGGACTCATTGGATTGATTCCTTCTTTCATACTAATGTACACGTCTGGAAATAGTGTTCTTTTGCGAGTTTCGAGATTTCAAGCTCAACAAACTCAAAGTTATGTAACATTTGAAATTGGAAAAATCATCAACACTTCAAATCTGATAATCCAACAGGTAAAAATGGAAGTAGAGAATGGATTTCCATTGAAAAATATTACCGAGTGGGCAATTTTTCTCAAATATCTCAGATCAGTCTATATTCACAAATCACCACTCACAACAATTCAATACGGAAATTATTTGAGGAATTATGCTGGAACACTGGATATTTCTACACCATATGTTCTACTGATAAATGGAACAGGAACTGCGATGTACTATTACCATATTTCAGAAAATCCATTTGAGAATCCACTCAAAGACAACCTCTTTTTGTTTGTTGAGCCTTTTAGTAAGTATTCCCAATACTAATTGAGTATATTAAATGAGAGTAGCCTTTGATTTACATTTAAGACCGTGGTACTATCCTTTCAAGGAAGGATTAGCAACTGGGCAGAGATGGACTGAGCTTTACATTTCAACTATTGGTGAGCCATCCATTAGTATTGCTTATCCTATCTATGTAAAAGAGAATATCACACAAGCTTGTAAGACAGGAAAGAGCATTGATTCTATTGATATAAGCATAACGAATTTTAAACATAAGGATCATTTATTTGGAGCTGTTGCTGAGGTGTTTGCACTGAAAGGATTGAATTCCTTCCTGAATTCTACTTCAAGATCTTACAATTTCATTAGCTATAGTTTCATCATGGAAACGAATGGAAATGTTATTGCCTCAAGTAGATATAACACAACCAAGTTCACTGTCCATACTGGAGATGGTGAAATTTTTGAAATTGCTAATTATATACAAGATAAGGAGTTACTGAAAAACATTACCTCTAACGTACCAATCAGTTTGAAATATCGTGGAAAGAATGTTGTGATAACTCCAGTAGTTGATCCATATGGATTGAGTTTGGCATTGGTTATTGGATCAGTAGATGCAGATATATTTGCAGAAATTCTCTCAAGTGGTATGACATCTGTAGTGGTATTCATTGTTATTCTCGTTGCTGGAACGTTGTGTCTTTTTGTAATTGTTCAACTTTTCACACAACCCTTAAATCATGTTCACAAGAAACTCTCCAAGATATTGAGTGATAAGAGTCTTGCGAGCGAAAGTGATAATACCAAAATCACAACTGCTGGTCAAATATTCTATGATATTGGAGAGATGGAGAATGGAATTAATTCTCTAAAGAGAGGAGTTTCAGCATTTTCTAAATTTGTTTCACCTACAATAATGAAAAAAGTGATTAGTGACGAACATTATTTAGATGTTGGATTGACACTTCAAAATATGACAATTCTTGTTTCTAGTATTAAGGATTTTACTCAATTGGCAGAGTTAACTGAAACATCAATATTTGTATCTGTGATGACTGATTATTTTGGAAGTTTAACAAAGGCAATGGAAGATCATAGAGGATTAATTGATATGATAAATGGAGATAGATTACAAGCTGTTTGGAATGATTCGTCAATGCCAGTTGAGGAGCATGAAGTGAGAGCTTGCAAAGCTGCAATGGAAGCTTTGGAGATTATCGATGAATTAAATATAATGTGGAGGAATGAAAGACAAATTGATATTGATCTCTCAATTTACGTTAGTGTCAGCAGTGGAAATATGATGTATGGCAGTATGGGAAGTGAGAATCGATTGAATTTCACAGCTATTGGAGATGATGTTAATATTGGATCCAAGCTTCAATCTTTGAATAGATATTATGGTTCCAATATTCTAATCAGTGAGAATACCTATCAACATGTGAAGAATGAATTTGTTTGCTATTTTGCTGATTACATTTTACTAAAGGGAAAAGAAACACCAACAAGAATATACAGTTTAGAAAGTGCAAGAACTGATGCAACTGATTTACAAATCAAAGTTTCTAAAGATTTGGAACTGGCTCAAGATTACATGTTTCAAAACAATTACAGAGCCATGTATGACATTTGTGAAAGATTATCGCTCATCACTCCATGTAAAATTGTTAGCAATTTACTTCGAAAATCCAAACGAAAAATAGATGCAAAATAAACCCTTCACTGTCATCTTTGCATTCTCAATAGCTTGACTTTAAACATTTTGTTAATCCATTACTAATCATCACAGTTTCATGAACGACAGAATTGCATATTCTATTCGGGATCATCAATTTTTAAAAACTAAAAAATCTTTTCATCAAAAAAAAATGTGGAAGAAATTCAACTTCTTTGACAAGCATACAGTGAGTGATGAGAAATCATCAAAATTTTTCTCTCAGACCAATGTAACTTGTTGTACTAGCGGAAGAAGTAATATTATATTCGGAGATAATCGTGGTACTTTTCATGTTATGGATAAAAATTTAAATACACGTCAATGTAAAGCCTTTGAAGCAAGAGTTAATCACATCAAACATATTGCTAAATCTAATTGTTTAGTTGTTGTTGGTGATGATGGTGGAGAAGCCTATCAGGATGTATTGAAAATTTATTCTCTTGACAAGTATAAAGAACACACAAAGGAAGGTCACACAAGTTTTGGTCAATATCAATTAGTAAGAGATATCAAGATATTTAGTCAGATCAAAGATATGGAACCTTATCCGGTGTGTTGTTTTGAAGCAAATCAAGATTTTAATTGTATTGCACTTGGTTTAGGAAATGGTAAAATTATTATATTTGAAGGTGATTTTACAAAACAAGGAGGAAAGTCATCACACAAAGTGTTTTTATTGGATGGTGCTCCAAATGAGAGAATAACAGGATTAGGATTTAAGAGATATGGTAATTCACCTAATGATTATACTTTATTCTGTTGTTCACTTACTCAAGTTTTTAAATATTCTATTAATACTAATAGCAGTACATCACAAAGAGCACTTGAACAATCAAAAGTAATTTTAGATGACACTATTGGATGTGAAGTTGGATGTAGTACTTTGAGTAATGATGGAGATTTTGTGGTTTCTTCTAAATCTGCTGTTTGGTTCTTTAAACCTGAAGGAAAAGGATCTTGTTTTGCTTTTGAAGGTAAAAAGATCTTGTCACATTGGTTCAGAAATTATTTAATTGTTATTAGTTCAGATATTAACACAACCAGTAGCAAATCTCAACAAGTTATTACTATTTATGATTTGAAAAACAAGTATATTGCCTTTAGATATTCGAGTGACAAATTACACATTACACATATTCTTCAAGAATGGGGTAATGTCTTTTTATTGTCGAATATTGATGAAAACAAATCTGAACAACAAATGTTCCTTTTGGAAGAAAAAGATACCCAATCCAAGTTGGAATTGCTTTTACAAAAGAACTTTTATTCGATTGCCATCAGTTTAGTTGATAGTGAACAACTTGACAGTAATTACTTGTTTGAAATTTCAAAACAATATGGTGATCACTTGTATTCAAAGAAAGATTATGATGGAGCTATGAAACAATTTTGTAGAACTATTGGTAGATTGGAACCATCCTATGTTATCAGAAAATTCTTGGATGCAAACAGAATTCGTAACCTTACAGAATATCTTGAAACCCTTCACGAAAAACGTCTTGCCACCTCTGATCACACAACCCTCTTGTTAAACTGTTACACCAAATTGAAGGATGAAAGAAAGGAAAAACTCGACAAGTTTATCAGTATGCAAGATAAGCTTATGTACGATGTAGAGACAGCTATTAGAGTTTGTAGAAAAGCCGGCTACAAGGAACATGCCCTCATTTTGGCCATGAAACACAAACAACACGATTGGTACATTAAGATTCACTTGGAGGACTTTGATACAGATAATTTGGACAAGGATAATGGCGAGAAGGTTGATTCTAAAGAGAACTTTAGAAGAGCGCTCAAATATATTGAATCTCTTGCCTTACCTGAAGCTGAAAGTTATCTGAAAACCTATGGTAAAACACTCATTTCACATTTACCAAAAGAGACTACTAACGCTCTCATAAGATTGTGTACAGAATATTTCCCAATTCACCCTGCTGAAACAAATAGAGTTTTGGATAGTGATATCAAGTTAACTCAAAAGAGAATCATTGATAATTACAAGCTTAGAATTATACCAAACTCCAATGATTCAAGCAACCAAGCAGAAAAGAAGAAAGAAGGGGGTATTCTGAATGTACTTCTAGGTTTGAAACAATCATCTGCTAATCTTGAATCTCAAATTGTTAAAACTACCGGATATGAAGATATGTATAATAATCAACACATTGAACATGCTAAACCAAAACCAGAGTCATATATTCATTGCTTCCCAAGTAAGGATCAATACTGGTTAATGATATTTTTGGAAAATGTTATTTGGAGAACTCTTCGACCAGATACATCACATTCCAAGGTTGTGTACAATACGCTCATTGAACTTTATCTTAAATATTTGGATACTGATTCTAAGAAAAGACCAGAACTTGAGCAAACTCAAGGCATTTCTGATAGATATGAAATTCAGCCACCAAGCACAGATATTGCCAATTTGAGCTTTAAAGATAGATTGCTTTATACACTCGACCATCCACAATCTAACTATGATAAGGAGCACGTTCTTGTTCTTGTCCAATCACAAAACTTTAAAGAAGGTGTACTCAAGATTTATGATACTTTGGGTCTTCACTATTATATTATCCAATATTATATGGAGCAACGTGATTACAAGAATGTAATCGCCTCTGTTAATCAATATGGTGACAAGGATCCAAATTTGTGGGTTCAAGTTCTCACATATTTTGCCACATTGGATGATAATGTTGAAGAAGAATTAGCTATTGTATTAGAAAAGATTGAAAAGGATGAAATTTTACCTCCATTACTGGTTGTTCAAATTCTTGGTAAGAATGAAAAGACCAAACTCTATTCTGTAAAGGACTATCTGATTTCTAAAATTCAAAAAGAACAAGAAATGATAAGAGAAGATGTAGAAAAGATCAAGGAATTCCAAACTGAAACTGCTCAAATGAGAAAGGAAATTTACGATTTACAAACCAGTGCCAAAACTTTCCAAGCTACCACTTGTACTTTCTGTAATGCTCAATTGGACTTGCCTGCTGTACATTTCATGTGTAATCACTCATACCATCAAAGATGTCTCCTTGTTGGTAATGAAGGTGAATGTAGAGTTTGTTCTGATAAGCACAGAGATATTCTCCAAAGAAAGAGAAAATTCGAAGAGTCGAGTGAACAACACGAATCCTTCTTTAAGCAACTTAATACCAAGAAGTTGGATGGTTATTCTCTGGTTTGTGAATATTTTGGACGTGGTATTGGTACAGTTTTCACTAAAGCTAAATTATTGGCAGATATTGAGGAAGTGTCAATACCAGCAATAGCTGATGAGGATGAAGAGGAAGATGAGGATGATGTTAGCAATTTTACAAGTGATGATGAGGATGATGATATCGATAGAAGAAGAAGACTTTTAGAATAAATTATTAAATTATTATTTGGATGAGATATCTTCATTCAACTTGATATCCCTCACAATTTAGTCTTTTTGTGTTGTGGAGAACAATCATCTTCTTCCTCAACTTTAACTATTCCAAAATTTCTTTTTCTATCGCACGACTTGAATCTAATTGAACCGTCTTGAATCTCAACCAGTATCTTTTTATAAAATTCGCTGTCGGTCATGGCTAGATTTCTTGCACGGTTCAATTAGATTCGGATCAAGAAATTGGAAAATGTTGTCAAATATAACTTCTTCCTTTACAACTTCAATTTGCTCCTTAGAGAATGGTTAGTATTTAAGGGTTTTTTTTACTTTTTTTAACAAGGTTTTTTGTTTCCAATCTCTTCGAATCCTGTTACGCTTAATTACAGTGAATTGTTGAGCTTGTCTTGATCATTTTTCCAATGTAGGGAGAATTGTCGTATGGTGGGGTTTTGTTGTTTCAATCGATGATACACTTCCATCAGAGTGAGCATTGATTCTACCAAGATTGAATCGAATAAATCCCTGGTAAATCTATTAGATTCAAATTCTATACATGCAGCAATCTTGTTGGTCAATTCCAATTTCTTCATTTTCAAATTAGGAATATTCAATTCATTAACACTTCCTTCACATAAATAAACATGAACAATATTCTGAACGAAACGTGTAATTTTCACACGTAAATTCTTAATTGACTCAACATGTTGAAAAGCTCCATTTTCCATCATTTCAAGCTTTGCCACCAATTGTTTGTAATGTTGAATATCTTTGTAAAATAAAACACTTTCAGGGCTGTAACTTCTTCTTGAAAAATCAATTAAAATATTGAAAAGTTTTTGGTCATTTAAAACACATTCAATTTCTGATTGGTTGTATTTTGATTGGTATTTCATCTTATCTATACAATCTTTAATGGATGGAATGAGAATTGTGACAATTAGTTCAACAATACAGTTTAGGATAAATACATAAATAGAAGGAATGATTCTGCCAGTAGATCTTAAAACTGGAACTTGTGAAAATACAAGGTAAAATATACCACATAGTATTCTTACTACTGTCATGCCTAGATTTCCAATCTTGATGTTGAATGTGTCATTGTCAATTGTCAAACATATAATATTAATTATCAAGTCAATGATAAAATATAATCCAACAAACACAGCCATGGCAATCGAACTTCCAGTAGATGAATAACATCCTCCAACACTCAAAATACTGGCATTAGTCATGAAAAATCTGTGTTTCGAATAGAAACCATCTTCAATCAACCCAGAACATAACCAAATGCCCAAATGAAATATCAACAAGAATAAAGTAAAACACAAATGAAATATAGCACTCTGCAGTATTCTATTCAAAGTTGTCAATACTCGTACTGATCTAGTTTCCTTATATGAAGTTCCACATTCTGATTGAGTTTCAGTCTTCTCACTCACAACATCACTCTTAACATCCTGCACCTGTGTCGAATAATTATTCGAAAGATTACATCTAGAAATACTCTTAGCTCTCAATAAATTGACCTTATATTGAATAATCAGTTCAATTCCTCTAATAATTGACGGCACCACAAAACACGGTCCTAAAATAAAGTAAAATATCGAAAATAAAAAACATGGAAAATCAGTTTTTCCAACAATGCACCGAATTAATGCTAGGGAAACTAAGGTAAAATTTGCAACTAATCCAAAAGATAAAATGACGGGCGATCTGGCCTTGATAGTAGATGCCTTCCTCTTCCAAATTAGAAAAATTAAACAAATTAAAAATAATATTAAATAAGATCCATATAAAATTCCACTTGTTATTGGAACGAGAATTGTATCAGGACATTCCATATCGAGTGTATTGTTATTAGATAGAGTGGATGGGTCGACGAGGTGATAAGGAAACCAACTGGGACATGAAGAGAAGGCTGTATTGTTGTAGAGAAAGGTTTCGTTCATGATATAAGATTCGTTTTTTTTTCTAATGATACTAATGGACATTGACGGGTCGAGAGATGATATCCTGTGAGAGATACAGCTAGCTAAGATATAGATCACATGATAAATATCGAAGTAATTTGTCAATCATTTCTTATTTTTGGATAATTTGCACAAAAACTAATCCTTAATAGTTTTCCCGCCATTTTTCAAGTCTTTAATTTCCGCCTCTAAAAAGAAAAATTCACTATTGAAAACACTCCCCTAAATATTCCTTACAGAATAATTATCATCTCTAAATAATATCGTATAATACTTGTTGTAATCTTTCCTTAAATAAAATATTGAAATTAATTATTAAAAAAAAATGCAACAATTTCCAAAATGCACCATTAATAATTTCCGTTATGATAAAGAGAGTACTGGACCGAGTCAATATTGGCAATCACATCATTTCCATGAAAATCAATTTAAATTTCCCTTCTCAAGTGATGAATTAATTTATCATATTCGCAATTTTATTACAATTTCTGAAGAAGGCTTGTTGAAGGACAAGGTTTTATATCGTGATGATTCGATTAGAGGAATTTACGTGTTCGGATCAAGAGTTTCAAAAACCAATGTAAACGATTCTGATTTTGATTTAATAATGATTGTTGATGATTTTTACTCTCATTGTATTGATTATGAAACGAGATATTCTAATAATTTACAATATTTATTGAAAAGCTCTATTAAGTGTAATTGTGATGATGAGGAGGGTAAATTAGAAGAGAAGGAATACGATATGGAAGTGCACATTATGGAAACTTCATTCTTTGTGGACCATGTTTATTTACAATTGCCAATATTCATGCTATCTGTTCTGCAACCAAATTCATCATTTGTTCTGTTTGAGGATGAAAAGATGAAATTATGGAGGCATCATTGGAGTTTGTGGTTTTTGAGAATTTCTAGAACTAAAAATTCATTCCTTCACGAGCTTCATCATTGCTTTAATAAGGCATTTAGATTTTGGAATGTTTTGGAGAACAAACTTTGCAAGGATGAAAGTGAAAGGAAAAGTACTCTAAAGAAGGTGAAGAAAAACCTAGCTCATGGTATTAGATACTCGAAATATGCTTATCAATTTGTTAATTCAGGTATTATATATGATTATACCGAAACTAACAAACTCTATGACAGCATTGTATTTCATACTGATTCATTTAGTTCTTGGAATGAGTATAAACAAATTAGTGATGCACTCTATAAGACATGGAAGGAACAATTAAAAGATGATCTGAAGAATATTATCAAAGATGCCCTTTTCAAATGTAAAAACTCAGAAAGCAATAGTTCATTGGGTATTCAAAACTTCCTGAATACATATTCTTCAGGCTTTGAAAAGGATAATCCACTGTTTAGTGAATTAATAATGGTTGTAGAGCATAATTATGAACTAGACTTTTCACACCACTACAAATACGGTCCATACAGCTTGATGAGATTACTTTCAGTGAATGTGACACCAATTATTAGATCCAAAGAGGAGCATCTTAATCCTAATAGTTCTCAACTATTCAAGATAGATTGTGATATGGAATATATTTCCTTAGAATTGTGTAAACTTTTCTTAGAATGTAGGTCCTACTTGGAATGTAATGGAACAGTACTATCTTATAATATTGATGATAATGGAAAGATAGTTTACACTCCTGTATGTGTTCCTAGATTCTATGCTATGGATTATAATTTCATACTAGAAAAAGTTGGTAGTGACTATTTTTCAGATATTGACATGAGCTCAATTCAAATTCTAGAAAGGCCAGTTGGGATAAGGTGTTCGCTTTTCTTTTATTCTGGTGAGTGGAGGTTTGTCTTTGATGATGAAAAGGACAATTGGATTTCCAAATGGATTCTCAAGAATTTTGATATGAGTCAAACTGAACAGGAATTTGAAAATCTGTTTGAAAGAATTGGAATGAAGTATCCATCCCATGAAGATCAAATGTTGAACTTTTTCTTCATTTATCAGAAAAATAGTAATAGAATTATTTATTGTGGGAGTAGAAATCTAGAATCTATGATGGAATATGAAAATTGGATTGATTTTTCTACAAAATATAATTGGAACGACTTTGTTAAATCATATTCAGATATAGGATTTTTGGACCTTCAGGATTTTGTGAATGATTTTGAAAAGTTCTCACCCCTCGAATATGAAGGACTAGAGTTTGTCAATTTCAAACAACCATACAAATGTTTTATATTGAAGTCATCTCTTCACTCAAATATTCCCTCTCTCAGATTGTGTAATGTCAATTATTTAGTCTCAAAACTGGACAAGTATGTTCTAGAAAATCCTCCATACGAGTTGACCTCATCAAAATATAATGATACAAGAATAGTTTCATCCATCATGCAAAGTAAATTCTCTAATCAAGTGAATGAAGATCATTTAGTGAACAATCTCAATCCCCTCTTCACCAAACCATTTTCACAATTCAAAAATATATACATAGAACTCTGCCAATCCATCAACATTTTTTACAATGAGCAACTTTTATCTATTGAACAAGATATCAAACAATTCAATGAGACTGCAAAGAAATACCTTAGAGGGAATCTTGTTGGACTCTTCTATAATTTGAAAAAGTTTAGAAAGGAACAAAATTGTGCAGATGTTAATGTTGCAAATTATTGGAGAAATCTCTCATTTAGTAATCGTGAAAATCCATCAACTACTCACAACACTATCAACTTCCAAGAAGTTAGACAAGTTTTAGAACTAATCTCTATCTATAAGAATCACATTAACAACCTGTCTGGAAATTGAGAATTGTTTTTTGTCAAAACCATTCTTAATGCCAAGTCTGATATTGATTTTTAATTCTGAAATCATCCACACTATGAAGTTATTAGAAAGTGAAAAAGAAATAAATTCATTTACTATTTTTCTTCCTTTTTTAAATCATTATAGATTCTATAACAAGGACTACAACAATTTCCAAGATTAATGGAATTATCATCAAATACTTTTCTAAATATTGGTAGTTTGTTATAAGAAATACAAGCATGCACCTTCTTAATTTCGCATTGACAAACAGAACATTTAGAAAGGTGTTTTCTTACAAATTCCTTATCTTTTGATCCAATACTTGGAATAGATAGCTGCTTGCTACCAACATGTAATCCCTTTGCTTTTTCAACTCCAATTTCGTTTTCTAATTCTGCATATTTAATGGAAATACTTGAAAAACTGGATACAATACTCAAAGTATCATAATATACACCATACCATGTTCTTACTTCATCTTCTTTTGTTTTAAAAATTAGTTGAGCAGAATCATTAATGGAAATTCTTTCATTTCTTCCTTTTCTTTCAATTCGTGTAATAGTTTTAAAAAAGGATTTACCTTTAGTATAATAAATTCTAACTAATAAGAAATCATCTTCCAAATCCAACTTCATATAAAAGTGTAAATTGGTAGTAGTTTTAATGTGATTACAATCAAAACAAATGATTAAATTGGTAAATCTAATGAATTCAATAATTCCCACTTTTTCAAAATTTTCATAATCAATAGTTGATATTAATTTAGTATCAATGAGTGGACTAAACTTGATTAAAAATATTTCAGTATCTTGTTTAATATTCATGTCTAGTAAAACATTTCCCAATAACATTTTTTTTTCGACCCTTCCACTATTGCAATGGTCAAATAGCATGGCAGGTACATACTGCTCAATATTATTACTGTCATTATAACTAATAGATGATAATAAACAATCAATAGTAGTTGGTAGTGTTTGTTCATTCATTTCTGGTATTGATGATATTGAGGGTTCACTAAGTACTTGTTCACTAATAGATTTCTCCTTAAATATAATTGGAACATTACAATCGAGTTCATTTTGTGAAATTTTCATTAAAGAACAATTAATCATTTCTTCTGCACCTGATAGTAAAGCACTTTCACCTGTAGTTTCACATAAAAATTCAATAATAGGTATATCTCTATTCTTGAATTCTTCTTTTAAATATGGAAGTAGCTCATTCTTAATATTTTGTAAACGTACATAACTAATATTTTCTTGTAATTTTCTTTGAAAATAAGCAACTCGTGTAATAGCACCTGAAAAGTGAATAGAATCTACTTGCTTTTGTAATATCATCATACATAGAGGTTTTGTAATAGTTTTCAATGTTTCATCAATTTGATTTTTAAGAGGTAATAAAGATGGTGGTAATTCATTAGAATCATGATAATTATCAAATAAATTTTCCATTTCCTTAATTGAATCTAATCCATTATCTTTTAATAATTGATGTATGAGTGACATTCCACTAGATTCACCATTTTTAAATGTTACAATATATTCACCATCAATTAAATCCATCACAACGACATCAAGTGTTAAATGACCCAAATCAACAAACATTGTAGATGTTTTTTCTTGATTGTTGGCAAAATATTTCAATAATGTACATTCCTCAATAACATATATGTCATCTATTTGTAATGGATTATTTTCATTAATGTTTAAACTATTATATGCTTTAAATATACAATTTCTAAATATTAATTTAGTAAATACACTTGTTCCTGATGGACATGTAAATATCCATGCACCAATACCTTCCAAATAATTAGAATCTTGTTTTTTAGTTGTTAATAATTGAGATATTAAATCTCTAATCATTAAATAAATAATGTGAGATACTCTAAGTTTCTTCTTCTCAGATTTTAATCCAATTTCCAATAACTCACTCACCATGAATATCTTTTTCAAATTTTCCAATTCTTCCCATTCATTACTAACCTCAAATTTACCCATCTTCACTTGACCTTTTTGTAAATTGTAAAATGTTTGAGAAGGTAAAAATTGTGTCTTTTCCTTATGTCCAAATTTTAATATAGTTGGTTTGACTCTCTTTTCTAAAATATCAAACTTGTTACCCTTTGTAAATGAAGATCCTCTATCTATGCAATAAATCTTTTTACATTTACCTTTTTCTTTAGCTAAATATTTCTCAGCATTGAAATATTGTTGAAGTTCATGAGCTTCAACACTTTCCAATCCCAATTCATCCACTGTCGATGAATCATTAATAGGTGTTCTAATAATTGAATATTTGCTTGATGAATCCGAAACAGTCTCTGTTGATATTTCAATATCATCATCATGTGCTTGATCTCCATCAGCTGATAACAATAAATCCTCATTCTCACCATCATCACTAATAGTAATAGGAGAATTCAACGTTGTTTCGGATGATTTAGTTTTCTTCAAAGTGGGTTGAAATATTAATGGCTGTTGAATGGTTTTCCTTTTGGTTGGAGTGGATGATCTTGGCATTTTTTTTGATCTTGGAGAAACCATGACATAAATTTTTAGATGGATTTTTTTTACCCATCGATGATTGATCGAGATGGAAAATGATCGATTGAATGGATGAAACATAGAATTTTATCAATTAATTGATCGATCAATCGATCGATCTATCAATGTTTTCATCAGATATCTCGAAATCCTCATTGAACTGAGCTTGAGACTTTGATTTTGATGATTTCTTTTGTTCTTCCAGTTCAGGTTTGATTTTTTTCTTGCCTTTTTGAGAGTTGTTTTTTGGTTTTTCAATTATTTTTAGAGTCACAGATTTCATTCTCCCTTAATTAAATTATATCACTAAGCTTGGAAATGGCTTCTCCAAATTGCTCCTTTTTTCATTTTAAATCAACCCTTGGTTGGATGTCAGTATAGAGTGTCTTGAAAATCACCTTATTGGTATTACTTAATTCCATATCAAGTGGGGGTGGTATCGTGAACGATTCATTAAGTTTGAATGTTTTAATTTCTTTACAATGAATTCGACATTTTCGAAGAAATGCTGGGTTACAACTTAGATAGATTTGTATCTTACTGAATTACTAGTGGATCTTCTACTACATCAATCGAGTTTCTCAAGAACTTGACATGATAAATACAACACTTGAAAAAAGGTTTCCAGTATTCACTGCCTTAATTAATGACAAAGGGAGAGAATGAAAGCAAATTTGATAAGGTGTTCTTTGAACAAAACCACATGTTCAGGAGCAACAACGTCCAAACTTGTGTAAGCAATCATTAACCAAGAACCAACACTCTTATGTAATATTGCAATATCCATATCCCAAATTAAAATCAAGAGTGAGCACTTGACATATTCTTGGAAAAAGGGAGCAACCCTCTGTCATTGAGCTCAGAAAGGATTATAAGAAATTTATATTCAAATGCCACATCGGAGGAGATTGGCTTCTAACATGATTTTAAGCAACTTGGAAAAACAACTTTTTGTGTTTTAAAGTTCTTTATTTTGAAACATCACAAGAAATCAAACAACATCTTTTGATAATTAGTTGAAAATTGAGCCTTTTCAAATAACATCAAGTCTTTATTCAATATGATTGAAATTGTTGATTAATCATGATCGATTGTTTGATAGATTGATCAAAAAACAGATTGAATAGATGGATTTTAATCGATCAACATGGATGAGATGGAAAAATGATCGGTGTTGAGGTGAAAAAATTTATGTCATGGTTTCTGGAAAACTACAATATGTTGTTGGCAATAACTTCAAAAGTTGATCATCTCTTTTAAAAATTCACACCATTACAAATTCAAATTCAAAACCCCAACTCTCTCTATCATTCATTGTAAATTGTTTCACTTGTGTTCAACAATATTTCTCAATGTTGTTGAGTTCATCCCAAGCCTTTCAAAGCAGCAACTTTGGATTTAAAAATAAACTCAAGTTCTCTGCAAGTTTGATCAATTCAATACATAGAAAAAAAATGGCCAGCGTTGTAGATACATCATTCCCTCCTGAAATTGAAGCAGAAAGATGGAAAGATCTTGATTATATTTTGAAGAGATCAGGTCCATTTGCTCCAGCAGATTTCCAAGCTGGTGATGAAACTAAACAATTTTTACAAGATTCTTGCAAAGTTTTAATTATTGGAGCTGGTGGTCTTGGTTGCGATTTGGTGAAGAATTTGGCAATGAGTGGCTTCCGTAATATTGATATCATTGATATGGATACCATCAGTACAAGTAATTTGAATAGACAATTTTTGTTCCGTGATGGTGATGTTGGTAAGATGAAGGCTGAAGTTGCTGCTCGATTTGTCAATGAAAGAGTGCCAGGTGTTAAAGTTACAGCACACATTTGTGCAATCCAAGAAAAGTCTGTTGATTTCTATAGATCATTTGGAATTATTATTGCTGGTTTGGATTCTATTCCAGCTCGTCGTTGGATCAATAGTACTCTCCTCTCTTTGATTCAATATGTTGATGATGAAAAGACTGAAGTTGATATGAGTTCCATGATTTCCTTGGTTGATGGTGGTACTGAAGGCTTTAAAGGACAATCTAGAGTTATCTTGCCAGGTGTTACATCTTGTTATGAATGTACTTTGGATTTATTCCCTACTGATGAAACAAATTATCCAATGTGTACTTTAAAGACAACTCCACGTCTTCCTGAACATTGTATTCAATATTGTTATATTGAAGAATGGCGTAATTGTAAAGGAAAGGAAGGTATTCCTGATGATGAACAAGTTGATGGTGATAATCCAAGACACGTTCAATGGATCTATGAAAAGTCTTTGGAACGTGCCAAGAACTTTGGTATTGCTGGTGTTACATTCCGTTTAACACAAGGTGTCATCAAGGGTATCATTCCTGCTATTGCCTCCACCAATGCTATTATTGCTTCATCATGTACAAATGAAGCATTCAAATTGGCTACTTTCTGTACTCCATTCTTGGATGATTACATGATGTTTAACGGAAGTGAAGGTATTTATACATTCACTTATAAGAATGAAAGAAAGCCAGATTGTTTGCAATGTGGTCCTGCTGGTGTTTCAAAGACAATTACTTGTTCATCAGATATTACTTTGGATGAATTTAGAGATATTTTGAGAACCGACAAGTCAATTCAATTCAACAATGCTTCATTACGTAATTTGACTAGTGACCAAACTTTGTATTTGACTAAACCTGCAACTCTCAGACAAATGACTGAACCAAACTTGAAGAAGAAGGTCAAGGAATTATTCCATACAGGAACTGAACTTTATGCTACTGATACTGAAGTTATTGCCGATCGTGGTGTTAATATTATTGTTCAATTCAACGATTAATTTAACACACCATTATATTTCTTTGCTGTACAACAATCACACCACACTCTGTATTTATTAAATTAATTTGTAAAATTTTAAATTTTAAAAAAAATTGTTTTAATTCAAACACATTGAAGAAATTGATTGTTTTTAAAATCCAATCAATTTCCGATTCTACTGTAGAAACAATTTGAATCTTTTGAGAATAAATTTTTGAAAAACAAACAACAATGGGAATTAATTCATTCTACAAAACTTTATCAATTCTCTTCGGAGAATCTTTCATCATCACAAAAGATGAATTAAATAATACGAGGAGGAATAATTCAATTAAACCAGAGGATGTTTATGATAATATTTATTTTGATTTTAATACTCTGCTGTATAAATCAACACATGGTTCTAGAAAGATAATGAATAGGATGAAATACCATCAAAATGTAATGAATCAAGGAAAGGAATCAATTTTGGAACAAGATTCAACAACAGAAAAGGATAATGGTACAAAGATAGAAGGAGAAGATGAAGAAATTCCACAAGATACTAGAATGGTTTTTCATTCTGTTGTTTTGGAGGGAGTAATGAGATATTTGAATCATTTTGATGCTAGAGAAAGTTTATTCTTTTCTGTGGATGGTCCTGCACCTAGAAGTAAATTAATTACACAAAAAGTTAGAAGATATTTGAATAGTGCAATGACAAATACTGGAAATACGTTTGTTTCATTTATTAATTTATCAGATATGGATGAAGAGATTGTTCTCACTGAAGTGCAAAAGATTTACCTGAAACTCATTCAGAAAAATGTAATTAATGAAAGAAATGAAAAGAAGGCAATTAGTTCTGTTTGGTTTGTTCCAGGAACAAATTTAATGCAAGAAGTTTCACTAGTTATTTGGCAATTGGGTGCATTGGTGCTAACAAATCCTACTTTTAATAATAATCTTGCATTCTATCATTCACCTGCTGGGAGAGAAGGTGAGGGAGAGTTTAAAATCCTTGAACATATTTATTCATCAGAGAAAAACAATCACAAAAAGGAGGAGAAGAGAGATTTGATTGTTTCTGGAGATTCAGATTTTGTTTTATATGCTCTCAATTTACCACGCAATAGACATATTACTCTTGTGAAAGATATGCCTGGTTTTTATCAATTATATGATGTTACCAAACTAAAGGAACAAATTGCTCGTCGATGTAGAACTAAATCAGATGAAGATTTATCGAGAATTATTACAGATATGACCTTTTTATTTATTCTATGTGGAAATGATTATATTTCTAAACCGAGAAGATTTGATATTAAATTATTTATGGATAGATATATTGCTCACCAAAAGTATTCAGAAAATAGAGAGTATTTAATACATTATGATTTGAAACAGCCAAGTGAAATGAAAATCAATGTCAAGTTCCTATCTTCATTATATTCTGATTATATTAAGGATTTCAAGCAAGGTGAAAATGAAGATACTGAAACATCCAATTCAAAGAAGAAAGCTGAAATGGAAAATGGATTTCCAAAGATTAACATTGATAATATTCCAACAAAGGAAGCAATGGTATTTCTTATTACCTTATTAAATCTTGGAAAGAGAGAATTTCTATGTGAGGAATATGAAATTATTGATGCAGAACCAAAACCACATTTCCAAGTCGTGGTCAAAATTGGAGAATCCTACATTACAACAGCAAGAGGTAAATCAAAGAAGGATGCTTTCAATAATGCATTCAAGAATATTTTCTTAAATTTTGATTATGGAGAACTTCACAGAGAAGCCAAAGTTAAAACTGGACTTTTTGAGACTAGAGAACAATTTAATGAGTTTTTATCATTTTTCTATCAGGAACAAATTGAAAAGTATGCAAATTCAATAAGGAAACTCCAACAAAAGATTGCAGAAGTATCCTATCAACCAATTGTGAAGGATTATTTGGTGATGTGTGCCTGGTTTATGAGTTATATTCAGGGAAAGAATTTGGGATATTCACAATATTACAAACCTAAATCAATTCCATCAATTGATGAATTAGTTTTATATTGTGAGAAGGAAGTGGAAGGTAAACCAGATTCATTCTTGACAATTAATGTGCCAGCTTCTGATAATTTCATTTTGAATCCACTAGAATTTTGTGTATCTTCATGTGTTTCTGCAAAGTAAGTAGATTGTCAATATTAGATTTCATCATCTATTTCACATAGACACAAGTATATTGTTCCAATACCTGAGGTTAGACAAGTATTTGAAAATTCTCCAGTTCAACACTTATTTGATCATCGTGAAGATTTTATTCATGTTCTTTCAAACTGGTTAAAAGAAGATACATTGAAAAGGATTCGTTCTGCTATTTCAGAAAAATTGGAAGCAGTTCCAAATAAGGATGATTATTCCTTCTTCCTCCAACATCAAGAAACCACCAAAATGACTCTTACCAAATTCCCTCAAAATCAATTAAATTCACTACCTGCCAAGGACATTCTTCCAAATTATAGTTTCCTCAATCCTAACCGTCCTAACCATCTACTGAAAAATATCAAAGTTCAAACTGAAGTTGTAAAACCTCACAAAGTTTACAAAGATTCAAACGTTATTAATGACATGCTGAAAAAGAAACAAAACCTCAAAATATTTAATGAGAATCAAACAAGAACATTCAAAACGGTATTAAAACTCTTTAAATAAATGGTTTATTTACAAATCTCACCTCTTTCTTCTTTGTCTATCATTATGATTAATGTATGGATATTGAGGATATGGATTGTGATAGTGATGTGGTGGCATATAAGGAGGTACTATTGGAGGTGCACACATATTAGGTGGATGATGTGGAGGTGGAGGAGGTTGTTGGTACCTAGAATGATTGTGATATGAATGCCTTTGTTGTGAATTATTCATCATCATACTATTTGATGCATTAACGTGAGGACTGTGAGATGGTAAACTAGATGAAGGTGGATAGTATGGAGGTGGTGGAGAATGGTCGGGTATTTCTTTGATTTGAAGACTAGATTGATTACTTAGAGAGGAGGATGGGGTTGTACTTCCTTGTTGATGTGAAGGTGGTGGTTGAGTTGGTTGAACACTATTCGTTGTAGAATTTGAAGCAGAATCTGGTGAAATAAGTGGTGGTTGATGATTTGTTGTCATGTTACTAGTGCCAATAATAGGAGGATTAGTATTCATAGCTGATTGATTATTAGCCATTGGAGGAGGTTTAGCAGCGAATGGTGAAGGAATATTACTATTTGTTGTTGTTGAATTATTAGGTAACTCCCTTTGTTCCATCGCTGTTGTTGTAATATTATTAGCATTAGCATTGGTAGCAGTTGAACTTGTTTGACGAGGAGGTGGTGTAGAAACAGCTGTTGCTGTTGTTGGTTGAAGAGGCAATGGATCAACTTCTGGTTTGATCATTGTAGGTTTTGTTTGCTCTAACAATTCCGCCAAAGATGATAATGTTTTCCTAGAGGACTGAAGTAAAGAGGAAAGATGATTAACTTCCTTTTCTTTTAGACGTTGTTGTATTTCATACTCCTCAGAAAGGCGATCTTTTAGTCGTTGCTCCTTGTCTTCAGCTTGGACTTGTTCAGCCAAGTGATTTAATTCCTCTTGCGAAATTATCCATTGTGAAGCAAAGTTACTTATCGATTCATAGTATTTTGTGTTTTCATAGACATCTAATCCACCTGGTGATGATGGATTTTTAGTTTCAACTATTTCCTCTTCATCAATTCTCTTCTTCTTTTTCTGCGTTCTACGTTTTGAAGAATTTGAAATATCAGTGAATTTTCCATCGGTCAGATAATTGCAAATATTATTAATCTGCTCCTTCTCGATCTTGAATCTCTTCCTCCACACCACTTGCTTTTCAATTCCGCCAGCGTTTCTCTTGTTCATCATGGTGTTGGACGTGATGATATTTTTTTTCTTCTAATTTTAAACTCCCGCGTTGCTGTTCTTCTTGTTTGTTCAAATATTCTTCAAGTCAACCAGATAGTACAGATTCAATAACGAATTAAATAAACATGTTTGCAGATAAAAACATTAAATTGATTTACAGTAAGCTTTGCAGTGTAAAACAATTTTGTTTTTCTTCATCAAATTGTTTTTCGTATTAAATTTTAAAAAACAAGCAAAATCGCGCCAAAACGAAGCGATAATATATTTTGATTGAAGGCTGATGATCAATAGCAGAGGAGGTAGAGATGATGTATGTTACGCATTTCATGAATTATTTTAAATTCAAGGCTTCGACACTCCAAAGCCTTCCGATCAATCAACCATCCTTAATTGTATTCAAGAGCAAACACAACATGATTTTTTTTACGCCTTTTTTGACCAATTTGTTACAAAATTGTTTGTGGTCCCCATGAACAAGTCAAACCTAAATTGCAATGCCAAAAATAATTAGAAAAAATACCTAATGTCCCTATTCAATTGGAATGATGAAACACTCATGCCTGGATGGGTAAAGACCCAATGTTGGTTTCAGATTTTTTGTTGATTTCTTCGAGCTTAAGTTCCAAATTAGTTTTAGATCATTTCAATTTACAAAAAAATGAAAAGAAGAATTAACGAAGGTTTTCTTTCAAGCTTGAAAGTTTTGGTTGTATTGGTTGCTGTATTATTTATTGCAATACAAGGAACGTTGGCTAATAATAATATCGTCACTAAATTATTGAGTCAAGTTGATCGATTGATTCATTCCGATTCTAGTAGAAGTATTCAACAATCGGGTACAGTAATACTTTCTCCTGAAGGACAGGTAGTTTCTGGCTCTGTTTCATATGGATCATTTGATCTATATTCAATTACAATGCCACCTTACAGTACATTGATTCTTTCATTCAAACTTCCTTCCTCATCATCCTCTGTAACTGTTTATGCTAAAGAAGGATCAATGCCAACACCTTATCATTACGATTACAAAATTGCATCTCAATATTCTTCTCAAACAATTGATAATTCTACTTTGCCTATTTATATTACTGTTTATGGAGAGAGTACAAATACTAATGATTATGTTTTGACAGCTTCTGTTACATCAATACTTCCTAATTGGATTATTGGAGTTATTGTTGCCTCAGTAATTATTGGACTTTTGATTTTGGTTGCCTCATTCCTCATTCCAGTACTTATTTGTCTTGGTGTTTGTGGATGTGTTTGTTGTGCAGCAGCTTCAGCAAATAGACCAATTACCACAACTGAAAATCCAGTCAATTATTATCAACAAACTCCAACCTATCAAAAACTCGAATAAACCAAATTAATATTTATTATTCCTGTAAAATGTTTAATCACTAAGGAATGGGTCCAAATATTGTAACGGATAATTATTAGAGCTAGAAAGGTTTCTGCTGTTTCAACATATTAATGGCTCGTTTAAGGAAGACTAATTGTCCCTCAAACTTTCCTCCTTATAATCGGAATTCATGGTAATTTTTTTGAATAATGTAAATAATCCAAATACTAAATTTTAAAATATTCCATCTCTTATATCAAGTCCTTAGAAGAAAGATCAAGGTTACTATCATCGAAATCGTCAAGAATTTCGTCTCCGTAACACTTGTATTCAGTTATGATATCATTAAGATTATGTTGTGCCTCTGAAAATTCCATTTCATCCATTCCTTCATAACACAAGTTGTGAAGATACGCTTTCCTTTTGAATAAGTTATCGAATCGATTTTCAATATTGGTGAGCAAGAATCGAATAGATGTGGAGTTTGCAATGAGAGTAGCCGACTCAAAATCACCTGATTTCTTCTTACAAACATTTGATTTTAAATTGGGTGGCATCCAATCAACCCAATTAGAAGAATTCTTATTGGAAACAGATGAAGCAACATCATTCACTTCTTTCAATGTCATAGAGCCTCTGAATAAAGCAATGGCAGCCATATACCGACCACTTCTAGGATCACAGCCACACATGACATTATTTGGAGATGTCAAATTTTGGAATAGTTCTGATATATTCTTTGAGGAATTATTACTATCAGCACTAATTGGAGTGTGTGAAATTGTTGCAAAGTGGAGTCTAGGAAAAGGTATCAAATTGGTGGCAAGCTTTCTTAAATTATACCCTAAATGGGAAGGAAACCGAAATGAACAGGTTACATCAGACATAACCTTTGCAATTATTCTATTAATTGCACTAAAACCTTCATTGGTTAGATTCAATTTTGATTGTATTTCAATCAGAGCTTCATTATCAAAACATGATACGAAATCTGTATTCTCAATCAATTGGTGAAAAGCCAAAACACAATTATAGGCCTCAACAGGATTTGTAGATGATGCTTTCAAAGAAGGAAAAACAGAACAACTAGAAACAATCTTATCAGGATACTCCTCTCTCAGTTTAGATATCACCAGAGTACCCCAACCTGATCCTGATCCTCCTCCCAACGAATGCATCAATTGAAATCCTTGTAAGTTCCCACAATTTTCAGCTTGTTTCCTCACTACCTCCATAACATTATCCACACATTCAGCTCCAATCGTATAGTGCCCTTTTGCCCAATTTCCTCCAGCACCATACTGATAAATTGCATTATATTCGCTCTTAAATATTCTTCCATATTCTAATTGTTGTATTTGATCTATGGAATAAGGCTCCAAATCTGCTAAAACAGCCCTCGGAGACCATCGACCACTCTTACTCTCTTCAAAGAATACATTTGTATAGTAATTTTCTTCATCAATATCAGTGTAAATATTTTCATGATTACGAGTTAGGCTTTTTTCACCATTGGGAAGAATTGAATGTTCATGTTTGGCAATTCTTTCATAAAATTGATAACCAATATGATTGCCACACCCTCCAACTTGTACATGAATCACTTCACCCATTTTTTTTTAAATTTTGATCATCAAATATTTAAATACTTTACAATAAATTCTTCTTTTATTAAAGAGTTTAGAAAATATTTAAAATTGAACATCAGTAAAACAACAAGTCATATTTTCATGTCCTCTAGAAAATACCATTTGCATTGTTCCATAACTCATATCAATAAAAGGAAACAATTGACTATTAATTACAATTGTAAAATGAAACCAAATTTGTTTTCCTTCACTAAATTGTAATTCAATACTTTCAATCCATCTAAATAATTGTGAAACTGTAATTTTATAATAAAATAAATCATCAAAAATAGCATCAATTTTAGATTCATCATCATTTAAATTATCCAAATTAGTTGGCCATTCAATAGATCTAATATTCTTATTGTAATAATCAATTATTTTTGCCATCATGTAATAAATGGGTTCAAAATCTAAAAATGTTATTTCATCATCTGTAAAATTAATTGTAAAATTAATCATTTTATGAGTTTGACTAAAATTATAAGGTCTTTCATTTATAGTAATAATTTTATCATTATTTTCCGCTTTTGGAATATGATATTTTAAATTGTCTTTTAAAAATTTAGGAATACTTTTAATAATATTTTTATCATAATTGTTTTTTTCTAAATATAGACATTCATGATAAGCTTCTTTATATTTATGATCAATTAATCTAGCACTTGCACATGATAATATATATGTTTTTAATTCTTCATTAATTATTAAATTATAATCTTTAATTTCATCTTCTTGTTTAATTATTTGATTATTAATTTTAATTTCTTTTAAAAATTGTGGAATTTTAGAAATATCTGTTTTAAAAAATAAATTTCTAATAATCCATTCAATTAATACTTCAATATCAAAAGTTGATAATTTTGGTAATAATCCTTTAATTTGACTAATTAAAATTATTTTTTCTTCTTGTAATTGTAATTTATTTACAATAAAATCTAAAATATTTCCATTTATATTACCATCTATTTTTAGAATTTCAATAACTTCTGGTAATAATCTACTAAATGGTAAAATAGAAAGAGTATATTCATGTGACCATTCACGATAATTAAAATATAACAAATTATCAATAAACCAATAATCAACTTCATGTAAACATTTTGGATTCCTATTAGTAAAATTAATTGAATTGAATATTTCTTGTTTGTGAATATTTTCTTGTTCTGATTTTATACTTGTTTTATAATTATCCAATTCTTCACTATTAAAATAGATTGTACTTTTATTACTTAATAGAAATTCTAACTCATCACAAGTTTCAAAATCTCTAACACATTTCATATTAGAAGGATCAAATAGATCATAAAGATCTTGTGATAATTGTTTAATAGTATTATTAAGGTTGTTCTTCAAATTAGTAGTAGTAGTAGTATTATGGGTTTTATTCTTCAAAGGAGAAGAACGAAAGAGTTTGAACGAAAGTCCTGCTAGTGGATGAACATATTTCAGTGGTTTAAACATTTTTTAAGAGTTTCAATTCCTGGTAGTGTTTAGTGGGTGTTCAAATTTAAATAAATGTGATGAACAGTAATTAGAGTTTTTTACGATCGTAAAAACAATACAATTACCATCCAATCAATTTTAATCTTAATATTGGCGTATTAATCAATCAATTAAGGAAATTATTAAATAGTAACGAACTCAATAGTTTAATTCAAAGAGTAGCTTGTTAAATGATATTCTTGGGATTGATTAGATTATTTATTTTCAGATATTGATCCTTTTTAGGATTTCTTTTTATTTAATTATTTTTTAAATTAAAAAAAATGGAAGTGAATTAGAAACCAATTATTACAATAAATCATCACAGCTGTCCACATTACTATCAAAATCAATTCAAAAAAAAATATGGAAACACATCAGTATGAAAATCTCTACTACGGAGATTCTTCTCCAATCGTCCATCGATTATTACATCCAAATGGATTACTCCCAATTCTCAATTTAATTACAAGAAGCCAAGTTCCACCCTCTCCCTATATTAAGAGATTAGAAAAATATGATCGATCATTTCACTTGTTTTTAACTTTGATAATTTTGAGTGTTGCATCTTTGGTATTTGTTGTTACACTCCGATGGGATGTGATGAATTCTTATGGAGTGGATGAAGTGAAGGGAATGAGAAATTGCATGATGAATAACTGTTCAGTAATGATTCGGCCAAATATTGTTCGATATGAAGATGGATATTCAGTTCCATTGCTAAATGTTACAATTCATCGTGTTTATTGGCATCAAATTTCGAAATACTCTCATGAAACATGGAATTTCTATTATGGAAATGTGTCATGTAATGATTTTTGTTATTCAGAGAGTGAGGAAATGACATTGAAATGTTTCAGATTATCATTTCCAAATAATGGGACTAGTGGAACATTGTATTATTTAACAGAGAAGAGTCCATTTCTCAATAATTTGACACTTGGTAGAGATAGAGTTTTCATGATTGATAATCAGGAATATCAATTCAAGCTTGTTTCTCCAATGTATTATGATAATGCAGTATTTACCTCGAATATGGCATCAATTATTACTTCTATTATCATTTTACCATGCTTAGCAATTGGATTTGTCATTGCTGTGTTTGTAATGAAGAAGAGATTCGCACTTTCTAAAGAAGAGGCTGAACTATTAAGGCAAAATCAAGAAATTGTAAACTCTTTCAGAAAAAGAGTAGTTTTACAGGAATTGTATGTAGCCAATGGTGGAAAACATGAATACACTCCAGAGCAGGAATCTCTCTTTAAACATGTGAACGGACAAGTGGAAATTAATGGAAAGGTTGGAGAAAAGGAAAGAGAATTACTTGCAACTGTATTACAGTCCGATGAGGAGATTGTTTCATATGAATTGTTGAGTTATAACTTTGTAGCAACAATTACTGGGACCTCATATTCAAAATGGTTAATCTTTTTATTTGTGATACCTTTTATAACATTTGTTCCTGGTTTAGTTATTGGTCTAGTTGGAGGGATTGTCTTTCAAACAATTTCGTTGATAACACTATGTCCCATTGGAATGTTGATTTTTATGCTTGTAGCATTTAGTTTTAAATTACCAGCAGTAGCTCACTACATTCTTACCAACAGGCGGATAATTATCATGGAAAGAGGAGGACTTTTTCTTGATGTGTTCAGTATTTCATTGGGGGACATTTCAAATATTTGGACAAGATCAGTAATTTGGGAGGGTAATGGATTGAATAAGTACAGAGCTGAACTGATGGTAAAGTTAGGAGATGGTGATGAATTTTACAATTCAGGTGTATTAATTGTGAATGTCACTAATCCTCAGTATTATATTGATTCTATCCAAGAATTGAGACAAAATCTGTTGCAATAACGTGGCCAGCAATTTTTGGGTCGTAATCTTTCTATCCCATAAGAATGTTTACATGAAACTCAATTCCTTTTTCGTGGCATAATGAGTTGTTAAAATATGGGAATTTTTGATTATTATAGATTAGTGGTTGTTGTCTTTTTCAAATTATCTATAAATTTTTTCATTTCACTGTAAATATCTGAAGGTTCTTCATATAGCAGATTAATAAAATGTTGAATGTCGTTGTTGTTGTTGTTAGTATTTCTAATCATTGATTCTTTTCCATTATTCATGATAAAATCATTCACCTCTTCAAATATTTTGTGAACATACGGATATCTCTTACTCAATTGTTTCAAAGTATTCAATTCAATCATCATAACACTATGATAGTCAACTGTTTCCATAGAAGGTTCAATACTTCCATCTTCTCTCATAATAATCGTATTTTGATTATTTTTTCTATCACCCTTAACAATAGATTTGAAAATTTCAAAATTTAACTTTGTGGCTGTGACTATAAAAGAAGTGACATATGGTGGCACTACCACTGACGCTGGATCTTGACATAACTTTGTAATTTCATAGGCATAATATTCCATTATTTTGGTATTCTCGTCCAATAAACTAGGTTCTGAATATTTGGATCCATTAATAATTGCCCTAACAATATTCAATCCATTAACAAATATTTTGAGACATATATCGAGAATATGGGTTGAAAGTTCTGATTTAGGTCTTTCTGATGTTTCATTAATTGCCATAGCAACAAATAACGTCATACCCTCAATCCTCTTTTCAAGTGAAGAATCTAAATTGTAAACTAACTGGCTAACATCTGAAATGGCACCATATAACTTTTTCAGGGAAACAATATCTGGTATAGGGTATGAATCAGAACAGTTGATCTCAACTAATGCTGAAAAAGCTTTGAAAGAAATTGGATCAACCTTACAATTATACTTTTCTATTAATACGTGTCTGGTAGAATCCTGTTCTAGTTTTGAGCAAAAATGTTCTATTATTGCCAAGTATCCTTTTGCCATCTCTACATTTCCAATGACAGAATAAAACGATGACAAATTAAGGAATGAAGAAGCAACAAACGGATTTCCAAAATCCTCATAAACAATCCTTAGTACATCCCTTGATTTTTCAGCAGTTCTCTGAGCAGCTGGGAGAAATCCCCACATATTCTCACACAAGCACTGAATTGACAATAGCAATGCAAGAATATCCTTCCTAGTTTCATTCATTTCCTTCACAGACATCCTCAACATGTTGGCATAATCTTCATTTGAGAAGCAAGGAACTCCCACATAGATAACCTCCTTATATATTCTAATAGTTTCCTCCGTCATTGAATGTTGAATCCAATTTTCATTCACCTCCACCACCTGATTGTCAACAATATTCATTCCATCCTGATGATTAAACTCAACATTTGAATTTCCAACATCATTATTCAATTCATTCATTACCTCAACTGGTTTAAACCTCCGATCTATTTGATCATAATTACATGACCATCCCTTTGAAGAACATCTAGCACATGAAGGTAATTTTCTATCACATTTTTTATGAGCACGACGACAGGCCAAACATGCAACTTTACTCTCCACACCATTACCTCTCCCCTTCTCTTTTGGCATTTTTTTATTGTGATTGAGAAAAAATCACAATATTGATTGGTTTTGGTGGTCAATTAAGCATCTATCATTCCCGATCATTTCCGCCATTAGAAAATCAAAAGCTCATAGTGATTTTTAGAACATGTAATAATTTGGATAAATTTACAGTACAAAAATTAATTCTTATTTTTCCTTTTAGGCAGCGGTTTGACCTTTTCAACAAAAATAGCATCATTAAGGGAAATTCCCATCTTTTTAGATTCGTTTGTAAATTTGTAAGAATTAATATGCAATACAATGTAATTATCAACTGGATTAACAAATGCAATCCATTCAACTTCAGTTGCTTGCTTAATAAATGGGAAAGATCCAAATGATGCACTAACTGTCTTGACACCCTGTTGTTTTGTCAAAATGTTGAAAGTAAAGTATTTTCCTTGTGTAATTCCTAATTTCTCAAAGTCTTTTTCTGTGAAATTGATACAAAATGATCCATAGATGTATAATTGGTTGACTTTACCCCAAGCTCCTTCTTTTGAAGATGGGTCCGAGTCAGTAAATTCTACTTCAGAGTTTGGAATAGCTACTGGAAGTGTACAAGCCTCATTGACTTTCATTGTTATATTACTTTTGAATCGTATCCAAGAAATTAGGGCTTGGAATGCGGACATTCTCTCGAGCTCTGTAACTAAATTATGTCCCTCTCTAAAGACTGTCCATAAGCTAGGGGTTATGATATCTTGTTCTTTAAGGGAATTATTCTTTGCCCTTTCAATATAGTTCGAAGGTTCTCCTAATTCACTAATATTTGTCAAATACTATAAACATTAGAACCTTAAAGTTGCAACTTCACTTACAATAATTGGAAATTTAGGAGTGTTTTGTAAAACAAGATGAGGAAGAGGTTCTTCTTTCTGGTCTACTCTCAGTGCAGCACCAATACAAACAGCTCCATCATATAAATGTGGATGGAGTTCACTAATAAATGTCACGATTGCTCCTCCCATTGATCTTCCTTCCAGAATACAACATTTAATTTGTCCATGTTTTTCCTCCACATAATTTCTCAAATTATTAACATCCAAAATTGCATCTTTCAATATTATTCCTTCTCTTCTATATGAAGTCATTGAAACAATCCAGCCTTGGCTAATCAATTCTCTGAAAGTGTTTGGCATGTTATCATGATTCAAATCTGCCTGAAGAGGAATTCCCTTAGCTCTATGTCCATGACAATGAATTAATAATCCACCATTCCACTCTCTGTTAGGAATGCAAACAGCAATCTTTGCCTGTTCAATCACATCATATTCAATTTCATAATCTCTGAATGAATTTAATTGATGAAAATAATTTTGTTGATGTTGTTGAGAAATCTCAGCTTCCTGTTGTTGATCCAAATCAATAAATTCATCATCTGCCTGTCCACTATATAATTCATGTAAATAAGGACTCCTAAATAGAGGAACACAATTATTATAGAACATGTCTTGAATTTTAACCGATGAATAATCTCTCTTCTCATGATCGGGAACAGTTTTTAAACCATCCTTGTTATCAGGATTATTTAAATTCTCCAGTAAAGATGATGGGAGAGGTTGGTTCATAGATAATTGATGTAGATGTAGCTAATTTTTTCAAGTTGTTTCCAAGTTCATTCTTCATGTTTTCTTTAATATCACAGACTGATTTCCAAGTTCCGTACTAAGGTGACTAATGTTCAGAGCACTCCTCTCAACGTATTGAATTATCCAAACTTTTTCAATTCTTGATGATTCTGATTGAGAAACTAATGCTAGAGTTTGGACCTTTGAATACAACTTTTCAGAATCGGAAGTTGGTATCCAAAAGCAGCGGCAATTGAGGGCAGCACCTTTAAAAAAAATCATTCGAAAAATTTACTGAGGATTTTGTTGCATTGAGGATTTTAGTACTGTATCAAAGGCTAATCGGAAGGATGTCTGCGAATTTGAGGCAAGTGCAAAACGTTAGAGTTGTTGCTCGTTTTAGACCAATAACAACTAAGGAAAAACAAGAGAAAACTTCATACAAATTAACATACGATTTTGAAGGAGACCATACTTTTAAGGTATCAACTGATAATCAAGCCATTGGAAATAATTCCTTCATTGTTGATAAAGTGTTTAAGAACGATACAAAACAGGAGGAATTATATGAAGACGTGTGTAAACCACTTGTAAAAGATGTTATTAAAGGCTTTAATGTAACAATGATGGCATACGGACAGACAGGAGCAGGAAAAACATATACAATGACTGGATCACTTGACAAGGAAGAATTATTTGGATTAATTCCAAGAACTGCAAAGGAAATGTTTGAAATTATTAGAAGTGGAGATGAGAATATTGAATATAAGATTGGTTGTTCCTTCCTCGAAATTTATAATGAAAAAATCAATGATTTATTTGATAAGGAAAAGAGAGATTTAACTATAATTGATTCCCCAAAGAGAGGAGTTTACGTTGATAGATTAACAGAAGAATATGTCACAACCGAAGATGAAATGCTTGATATAATCAAAATAGGAAACAATAATAGGCTCTCACTGTCAACAAGAACAAATCAAGATCCTGCTCAATCACATTCTATCTTCATCATTAGAGTTGAAAGTCTTAGCAAGGATAGTTCTTCGACTGTAGGTCAATTGTTATTCGTTGATATGGCAGGAAGTGAAAAGAGAACAGTGGAGGACGAACAAAAGAATCTTGTATTGTCTTTATCAAATCTAGGAGTTTGTGTTGATTCCATCCTCGATAAGAAGTCTGATATACCATTTGAAGATTCGAAGCTAACAAAAATTTTGAAAGAAACTCTTGGGGGAAACTCTAAGGCTACCCTTATTTGTAATCTTTCACCAACTCCTTTGTGTGGAGAAGAATCTGTTTCAAGTCTGAAGTTCGGATTGAAAATGAAGAACATCAAGTGTGTAGCAAAACAAAACACTTACAAAAGCCCAACAGAATTAATGCAAATCATTAAAAAACTTGAGGAACAAATAGCAATACTCAAATCAAGCAAAGATGGCGATAACTCTCTTTCAAAAGCCGAATTGGCTCACAAGTTGGATGAATTGGAATGTAAATATAAGGAAGAAACATCTTCTTACAAACAAACCATCAAGGAACTTACAAATGAAAATACTACCCTTAAGAGTTCTATCAAAAAGCTGAAAGAAACAAATGAAAAACTTGAAGATGAGCTTGACATTGTAAATGAAAAAATTGAATCGTCAGAAAAACAAAAAGAAGATATTAGAAATGAATGCAAGTTTAAAGTTGATGAACTCTCTTTGGAAGTCAAAGCACTCAAAGATCAAATCCTTGATGAAGAAAAGAAGAGATTAGATTTGATGAAGGAATTAGAAAATGCAAAGGAAGATGCCAAACATAATGCAATCCAGCTGATTGAAATGGCTCAAAATATCTCTGACAGTGAGGCTAGAGCCAAAACCATTTCATCCATTGAAAGTTTGACAGAGAGTAATAAGATGTACAGAAAGTTGAACACTCAACTCAATGAAAGAATTTTTGATTTAGAATGCAAACACGAAGATGAGAAAAGAAAAACCGCAAGCGTTGAAGCTGAATTAGGAAGTGTAGAGGAATTTAATAAGAGAGAAATTTCAAGATTAGAAAAAGAAAACAAGAAACTTTCTCAGAAGGTAAAGAAGCTTGAAAAAGAAGTATTCAATCTTGAAGACGAATGTGTAGATATAGAAACTGAACTTAATGAGTATCTTGGGCAATTAGATGCTGCTGAAGACTCAGTTGATGAATTGAAAGATAAATTAAAGAAGTTGGAAAAAGAAAATCTTAGTCTAGAGGAAGAAATTGTCATGTTGAAAACTCAAGTTAAGAAGGCAGAGTTGACCAAAAAGGGAAGTACAGAAATTGATGAAGATTTGGAAGATTTCATAATTGACGAATACACTACAAAAGTGAAAAAGGTGAAAGACTCGGCTGCATCAGTTGAAAGTAAGAAGGATAAGTTAATAGAAAAATTAAAGGCAGAGCTTAAAGAAGAAAAGAAAAATTCTGCAACTATTGAGAAAGATCTTAATAAGAAACTTGATAGAGCCGAAGATGATCTCGATGCTGAGAAGGATAAAACTGAAGAGCTTGAAGGAGAACTTCAAGATGTTGAGGAAGATACCGATAAAATCAAAGATGAAATCAAACAATTAAAGAAAGATGTGAAAGCATTAGAGGAATTAATGGAGGACAAGACCGAATCCTATGAAAAAATCAAAGAAGAATACGAGGAGCAAATCAAATCAAAGGAGAAGGACTTGAAGCAATTAACACTCCAAAAAGAAAATCTTAAGCAAGAATTAGCGGAATTGCAAATGGAGATGGAGAAAGGCTCCGCCAAACCAAGCACTCCAACCAACCAACAGCAGCAAAAGTTGGGAAGAAACTGGGCAAATGATTTGTTCGAATTGAGAAACAGATTGGAAAAGATTCAAGATGAGAAGGAGAAACTTCAAACAGAAGCAAATCACTCAAGACAACAAATTCAAAGTGAAAGATCCAAACTTCAATCAGCCAATAAGAAAATTGAACTCCAAAATAACAGAATTATTGAGCTTCAAAATGAATTGGATACTTTGAGAGCTCAAAAGAGTGCAACCCAAGAAGAAAAGGAAAAACAAAAGCAAAAGAAACAAGTTTTAGTTGATGAAATTGAAAAGCTTAAACAAGCTTTATCCTCATCAGAACAAATTATTCAACAACAAAAGAAAAAGAAGTCAGGTCTCTTTAAACCAGTCAAAGCTGTCTCAAGCACAAATGAACTCAGCAAAGTATTCGAACAAAGAGCAAAGAAGCAATAAATCTTTTACCTCAAACCTGTACAAAAACGAAGGTGATTAGAAGCTAGTCAATTCTAAGAATTCTCATTTTAGGAGTTTAACAAGTTAAATAATGATTCTTTCTCAGAAAACAGGGACTTCATTCATCTCCTTCACAGAAAGTGCAAGTTCAACCTGGACAAAGAATCAACACGTAATATTGGCTGCCCAACAACTTGTCACTGCATTGCGTAACTCGAAAGGAGTTATTGTTCACCATTTCATCCTGATCAACAAAAAAAGTCAACCCAAATTATATCAATTTAATTTTTTCATTCAAAGATCAAAAGCAATTTGTTCTTCCTTCTTTGTATTGTGTGGTTGCTCAAAAGAAAAAACATCTCTCTCCTTTCACCACATAACACGTTGCAGAGAAAAGGAATAATAATAATAACCTCATCACACCACTAGAACAACACAAAATTCTCTCATCGAATCTTTTGCGTCTTCCGTGTAGAGTCAGCCTGCGCAGTCGTCAACCTTCATCACCATCCAAGATTGGCTTTTCATCAACAAAAAACAAAGAAGTAGCACACACATTTAAGAATCGTTTGTGCTTCCTCTCTTCAATCCTCCACCTTCAATCCTCTCCAACTACTACCACTAGTTAATAATAATTATTAGAGAGGGCAAAAAGGAATATTATTAGAACAAGACGCACCTTTGAAATATTACCACTGACCAGACTACTTCCTTATTCTCTCCTACTGTTGGAAAACAAATACAAAATTTAAAGACAACTCAGCCTTCTTCACCCCCACCAAAATAACAACAACCTCAACTAATCATCATGAGTTATCTTTATTCAACGCCTGCGAAGGATGATAAAACACCTCTCACCAACAAAACAGCACCTTCCAGAGTAGTAGGAATTGATTCAACACCTACAGGCCTCATGCATAATGATGGAAAGGTATTAAACAAAATAGAAGAGGCTGGTAATAATTTGAGAGAAATAACACCTCAACCAACAGACCGTTCTAATTTGCTCTATTATCCCTATTCAAATCCAAACACAAATGTATGTATTATTAGTTATTGAAAAAGAAATTAATTGTTCATAATATGAATATTATTTAGTATTATAATAACCAGACGACATCAAACAAACAACAACATTATACTCTTCCATACTCTACAATTAACCCATCAAATTCTCTTAACATGCCTTCAATGTCTTCTTATTCGCCAGTAATGCACAATAATAATAGTTTATCATCAATCATGTTTCAACAAGGTAGTAACTATCTTCCCTCTGTAAATTACAACACGCCAACTACACCAACTTCTTCTTCAATTAATAATCAACGTAGAATGGTTGGAACTACAACTACAGGTACTCCAGGAAATCCTTCTTATACTTCACCTTCATATTATAATACAACAAATTATCATGCAAATACGAGCCGTAGTCCAACCAATCCACAACAACAACATGTAGATTCAACTCCATACATTACTCAACAACCTCAACACCAACCACCAGAAGGCTCAGGTTCAGCATATGTTGATTCTTTATTAACAACATTTAGACAAACAGATAGTCAACAAGCCATCACTCCAACATCAAAACAAACTCAAAGAGGTTATAATACCAATAGTTATTATGATCTTTTATATACAGGAACAAATAATCAATTAGCCGTAAATTCATCAAATCAATATCAAAGACCATCGAGTAGTTTAAGTAATCAAATTCCAACATCAACAGGAAGTTCTCAACACCAACAAAATTTGATGTATAATTATCCAAATAATGTTAATCAAAATAATTACTATTACTCAAATATTCCAAATTATGTTTCTAGCAGTGGAAAAGGAACTTCTCTATCTCGAGTAAATAGCAATTCTTTATTGCCTCCACAACAACCAGGATCTACAATTAATTGTCCAATAGTTGTTGCAGATGAACAAATAGTACAAAGATCATATCAAAATAACATTAACACTAGAAGTTATTCACCTGCATATAATGGAAATCAAGCACATGCTTATCAGAATACTGCTTATCCTTCTTCAATGCCAAATAATCAAACCCAAATGCCTCCTCCACAACAACCAGTAACACAAGTTCAACCTACTAACAATCCACCACAACAACCAGTAACTCAAACGACACAACAACCTTCTTCATCTAACAGTAATTATCCAGTAGGTTTGATTGTTGGTAGTAAGTATAGATTGATGAGCAAGCTTGGTAATGGTGCATTTGGTGAAGTATTCTTGTGCCAAAATATAGAACAACGAGAAGAATATTATGCAGTCAAATTAGAAACACTACCAACTCCACAAAATGGCCAAGCTAATAGTGGAAAACAACAATTAATTTATGAAGCAAAAGTAATTTCATACCTTATGAATGCACAACCAAATAGTACTACTAGTAGTAATAGCACAACCAATTCATCCAATAATCAGATAATGAGTATTTGTCATGGTATACCTCGTGTGTTTTGGTTCGGAACTGAGGGAGTATACAATATTATGGTTCTTGAACTACTTGGTCAAAGCTTGGAAAGCTTATTCAAAAAATGTAGTCGTAAATTCAGCTTAAAGACAGTTCTTATGTTAGCTGATCAAATGATCCAGAGAATTGAATATACACACAAAAGAAATTTCGTGCACCGTGACATTAAACCAGATAACTTTTTGATGGGAAGAAAGGTTCCTGGTAATAGCCCTACAGGGTTGTTAAACCTTCTTAATGCTCCTTATCAAACCAATGCTTCTTTGCCTTCCCCAGGTAGTGAAAATATAGTATATCTCATTGATTTTGGGTTATCAAAAATGTACATGACAGACAAGGGTCATATTACTTTAAGAAAAGACAAACATTTGACAGGTACTGCTCGTTATGCAAGTTTAAATAATCACAAAGGATACGAACAATCGAGAAGAGATGATCTTGAGTCTCTTGGTTATGTTTTATTGTATTTCTTGAAAGGAACTCTTCCTTGGCAAGGTTTGACAGGTAACACAAAGGAAGACCACTATAACAATATTTATCAAAAGAAAAAGAATATCAAGATTGTAAATCTTTGTAGAGGTTTCCCTGTTGAATTTGCCACTTATTTAAATTATACTAGAGCTCTGAAATTTTGCCAAGAACCAGACTATACCTATATTAGAAACCTTTTCTTAAATTTATTTATTAGAGAAAAATATTCTTTGGATTATGAATGGGATTGGGTTGTTTTAGAAAAGAAGCAACGCAACAACTAACTCAATAAATCAAAGATTTTAAATCATCTTATTTTGGAAGTTTCCAAATTAAAAAAAAATGTCTCAAAATATTACAGATCCACTCTTGCTCAACAACATGGCTGACTCCTTCTTTCTAATGCACGAAAGTAATGGAGATATTGTGAATGCGTTTGTCACCAATTCAGCAAAGTTATTTGGCCAGTTGGGAAATTATAGTGTCGAGGAGAACAAGGAAGAAAATTTTACAAAGCTTGCTGGTCTTTTCTCAATCTCTTCACAATCATTCCATCGAACAATAGGTAGTTAAGATGTGCGATTCATAATGTTTAGAATATATAGATCAATGTGATGTTTCGTATAATGTTGTTGTTACAATATTACGTACAGTATCCCAAACAGATAATGTTATGTTATTTCCCTTGTGTTTGACATTTGTATCGTAATTTTCAAAAACTGTTGGAATGTATTCTTCTGGAAATTCATTATTTACCTATGTTATTCGAAACAAAATTTTGATGAAATATTATTGGTAAAATAGGAAAATTATGATGATACAGATGAAGTGTGATATTCCGAACATTAAAATACAACATCATAGAAATGGCGTATTCGGACAAGTTTCCACAAGAATCGAATAAAATCATTGAAGAAAGCAAAACAATAACACCTACATAAACCATCAATAAACATGTTTTGCCGACAGCACCATCTCCTACGGCAACTACCTAGTACACAATTCGAATAATTAAAGATTAGTTTGACATTTTCTACTACATCAACCTACTTTCACTTTCGAATCCTTCTTACCCATTTTTTTAATTGTTTTGATGATTCTCAACATAACAATATCCAACCATTCCTTAATGAAAATACATTACTCTCGATTGGACAATCTCTTGATGAAGCTTGTGATACCACTGATTCTGAAACATACGTTCATTTCCATTATCTTCAAACAATAATTAATATTTTATTTGATCACTTTATAGAGTATTATATTGATGGAGTTTACAATAGTATTAATGATACAATTGGTTTTTTACATGGTCGTATTAAGGAAATTATTTGGAAGACAAACAAGGCAACACTCTTCTCAAAATGTCTTTCACTCTTGAATGGTTATTGTGATAAATGTGAAATTAGAAATGACTTTTTCACATGTAAAGATTTTGACTTGTTAATTTCTGTAAGTAGTATATTTACATATTTGGGATATTTAACTGACTAACAATAGAGTATGATTACAGGAGATCCAACTACACTCAAATTAAGTTCAGATCTCCTTTTCAAATACAAACAATCCAATATAATATCAGAGGAACAACAGATTCGTATTGTACATGCACTATTTTCCTATAACTTGGTTTGTTTTAATAGAAATCAAAAAGATCATATTGAGAAATATAGTATTAAATGTTTGATAGAATGGGCAATAGTTGATAAAATATTTGAAGAATTAGTGAAATTTGGAGTTGAAGAACCATTTGAAATTGATTCATATAACAGTGCTGTTAATTCAATTAGAAAAGATCAAATGAAATTTAAATATCACTATTCAATTGTTAAGGATTTGTAAAATTTGATTCATTCATCACTTTCTAATAAATTAGATAATCTTTCTACAACTTGTTTAGAAGAGAGTCTTTCTGAAACATCCTCTTTCCACATATCTTCAATGAGTGATATGAAATTTCTACATTGATTAGTTATATCACAACCCTTTTGTTCCAATATTTCAATAATATTCATACGATATGGTATATTATCAGTATTATTGATTTGATTATCAGAATTAGTATTATCAGTATTATTATTATTGGCTGGATTAGAAATGATAGGTCTCTCTAATTTTTCCTTAACATCTAAAACATTTAATCCAGGATAAGGTTTACCTAAAATTAATAATTCAGTAAAAACTATTGATAAAGCATAAATATCTGATTTTTGACAAAATACATTTTGTTTAACAATTTCAGGAGCCATCCAATATATTGTACCATGTGGTTGAAATGGAGTGAGATAATGTTCTCTTGATTCATCTACTAGTTTAGCATCACACCAATCTCCAACTCTTATTTGTAAATTTTCATCTACAAGAATATTCAATGATTTCACATCTAGATGAGCATAACGTGTTAATGAATGTAGTTCATCAATACATTTAGCAATATCTAGAGCTAATTTAATTTTAACATTCATATCATTATGAATTAATTCAATTAATTTTGAATATTCATTTCTAATACGTTCTAATCCATAATGATGACTCTTTAAAGTTTGTTCTTTACAATGAATAATTGAATATAAATCTCCAACATTGATAAATTCAGTTACAATCCAATAATTTTGATTTTCCTTATCAAAACAATAACCAACAAGTTTTAATACTCTTGAACATCCTAATTGAAAAATCCTATTCATCTTGACTAATTCATTAGCAAATTTATCAACATTTCTTTGTATTTGTGATCTACTTTTTAACATTCTCTTTCCTGCATAAATAGTTGAATGAATTTGAATTTTAAAAACTTCTGCAAATCCACCTGATGCAATTTTATCTATTATTATAATATCATCGGGTGAAAATTGTTTAATATTTATCATATCTTTACTTAATTCATCACTAGTAGGTGATGGTGAATAATTATATGATAATGATGATTTTATCTTTGTTTTAATTTCAAGTGGTTTTAAAATTGATGGTGTTTTACAACTGCTCTCAATATCACCACCACCACAGAAAGTAAAACTTTGAGGAGAAGAACTTCCGCCCCCACTACTCGATCGTTTTCTCATTTTTTTCTATTGTATAATTATTATTCAAAAAGTTCACCAGTTCAACAGTTGCAAGAGTTGTGAGAGTCCACTAGAATCTAATATTAAGATTGGTAGAATTAAAAAGGAAAGTATAAGATTGAAAAATTTGATAAAAGGTTTTTTATTTACACATAGAGTTGAAAGATTTATCCTTTCTTTGGTTTGACAACAAATACGAGAATGAGGTAGGCCATAAAACGATAAACTAAAAAGAAGGCCCACAATAAACCAAGATTGAACCAAATGTTTGAGTATGGCTTATTCATAGCATTTCTACTAATAACATCTTCACCAGTTCTATAGGTACATGCAGATGGAGATGGTGGACATTCAAAAGTAGCACCACCAAATTCATTCAATACCAATGCTTCATAACCAAAGTGGAAAATAGATAACCAATAAATCCAAATAAAGTATGGTGGAATATTATCAACATTCATGTACAAACCACCAAACAACATCAAAACTGTTAACAATACAGGTGCAATAGCAGTTGCAAATTCCATTGAAGGTGCACATACAGCTAACACCATACCAAGAGCTTGAGCAGCTAAAGCCATTGAAACTAAAATTAAAAGGAAAACAAAGAATCGATCTGCACCTGGATTCAAATTACACATCCAATAAACAATTGTACCAAATAGGATTGGGAAGAAGATAATATTTGGCAATTCACTGATACTTCTACCAAGATAATAGGCACTCACTTTGTACATTTTAGAACCTCGTTCTCTTAAAAATACTTTCTTTTCTTCTAAAAGGAAAACTGTTAATGAACCAAAAATGGAATTCATAGATTGGTTAACTAAACAAAAGAAGAGAACACCATTTCTATCTTGAACAGATTGCTGATCATAACCAATTTGTAAAAAGATCAAACCGACTAGAATAGCCATCGCTAAATTCTGGAATAATCTTGAAAATGTTAAAATCTTGTCACGTAAAATATTAACAAATGCTCTTGCCATCACAACGAAGAATTGAGTAAACCAATTGGCATTATACTTGGCTTTCTTAATATCAGTCTTCAAGTGATCAACTGATGGAGCAACTTCAGTGTGATTATAATTTGTAAGAATCTTTTCAATACGTTCATTATCTTCTTGTTTCAATTTTTTACCTTCACCAGTGTCACTAGTAGATTCAGTAATTAGATCAATAAAGTGATCAGCTGGGTTATATTGTTTTGGACATGGATAACCAACATTTCCGAAATATGTAGTGGCATCTTTAGCTGGACCGAAATAAGCAATCTTACCACGAGCTAAAAGAAGTAACTTATCAAAAAGTTCATAAATATTGGAACGAGGTTGATGGATAGTTAAAATGACAGCTCTACCACCCTTTGAAATTTTGATAATTGTTTTCATGACACTGTAAGCTGTAGCAGCATCCAAACCACTTGTAGGTTCATCCAAGAATAAAATACTTGGTTGTGTCAATAATTCAATGGCAATACTCAAACGTTTTCTTTCACCTCCTGAAATACCCTTAGTTAAACCAGGTGTACCAACTTTAGTATTAGCACTCTTTAAGAGACCCAATTCATCCATAATTGATTCAACACGTTCCATCTTTTCCTTCCATGAAATTGTCTTTGGTAAACGTAAAAGAGCTGCATAACGTAATGTTTCTCTAACACTCAAATTACCCATAAGAACGTCATCTTGTTGAACGAATGCAGACAAAGAACGGAAACTACTACTAATCTTGACACCATTTACAGTGATATCACCAGATGTTTCCTTAACACGTTGAGCAAGAATATTCACTTAAATACATATGATGTTTAGAATGGATTGAAATCATGATAATACTTACAGAGAGATGTTTTACCAGCACCACTAGGACCCTATTATATCACAATGATCATATTCATCATATGAAAATTATGATTCATATTGTCACAATATTTCAATTACAAAGTTCAACTATTAAAAACATACCATAATAGCAAGAGTACTTCCAGGACTTACAAATCCAGACATTTCGTGCAAAATAACCTTTTCCTTCTTTTTGAACATATTCTTCAGTTTAAATCCAATCTTTTGAGGAACACTCAAATGAGCAGGAGCATCAATTGGTTGTTTAACTTTGTAACTAAGATCTTTCCATTCAAGTTGTAAAGGTGGAGAATCACTCTGATATTTAGGAACATAAACTTCTTCTTCATCATCATCAGCTCCTCCGATGATATATTCTCCTTTTGGTTTTGTAGTATCAATTTCTTGTTCCTTCTTTGTATTTACACTTGTTGATTGAACATTTTGAACATTGTTATCAGTATTTGTATGGTTATTAGAGGAAGGAACATTCTCTTCATTTGTTGTATTCGATGAAGATGAAGATGAGGTATTGTTTTGTGCTTCATCTTCGGCAACAAGGCTTGTTTGTTGTTGTTGTTGTTGTGATTCTTCTTGTTGTGTTGGTTGTTGAACATTAATTTCAGAGGTGAGTACTGGAGATTCAATCATTGCTTCATCTCCACCACCAGTCGTTTGATTATTATTATCAATCATATCAGATGATGTTTCTTGTTGACTCATTTTGTTTGATAATTATTGTCGACTATTATACGCTATTGTTGCGCTTCTTATTGATGAAGCCAATATTCTGAGTTGAAACGTTATGCATAAAGGTTCGACGCTGTTTTTAAAATGGTCCGTCAATGAAATAAGACCGCCAAATCAAGTACATTTGTAAATATCCACTTTATGGTTATTGTCTACTGACACTTGTTGATTGAGCTCAACAATTGTTGATGGAGTTTTTGCTTAATAAATTGGAATGGATCGGATGTTTTGGCTGAGATTTGTCCTTCATTCTTGATGTAGATTTATGCAGATTTCAATTATGATACGAATTCATCTTGCGTACGTTTGATTTCATCCCCTTGTTAATCAAAAACCAAAATCAATCAATTTCTAGCTTCAAAATTCCTTCTGCAGTTGTAATTAAAATAAGTTTCATTAACAAGCAAACCTCGTGATCAATTTATCCATACGACATCAATATTTCACTATTCAAAGTATAATTTATTTACAATAATTGAGAGAATCTACGATACTATGTTGTTTAACCTCCTCTCAATCTCAATACTAAATGCACAGTTGAATCCTTTTGAAGATTGTAATCATTAATAGTTCTGCCATCTTCTAATTGTTTACCGGCATAAATCAAACGTTGTTGATCTGAAGGAATACCTTCCTTATCAAATATCTTTTGTTTCATATTCTCAACAGTGTCGTTTGATTCCATTTCGATAGTAATGGTCTTTCCAGTTAAGGTTTTTACGAAGAGTTGCATTCCTCCTCTTAATCTCAATACCAAATGAAGTGTTGAATCTTTTTGAATGTTGTAATCATTAATAGTTCTGCCATCTTCCAATTGTTTACCAGCAAAGATGAGTCTTTGTTGATCTGGTGAAATTCCTTCCTTATCTTGTACCTTTCTTTTCACATTTTCAATTGAATCATTAGATTCAACTTCCAAAGTGATAGTTCTTCCAGTGAGTGTCTTGACAAATAATTGCATTATAATTGTTGTTTTGTTTTTTCTTGTTGTTTTTCTTATATTCAAAACATTCTTTTCTTTTTAACCTGTTTTAAGATGTATGTATTTTTAGAGAGTAGTTCTTGACGGCAAAGAAATTCTTGCATGGCCTGATTTTTGTTTCTGGACACAAATTTGGTTCATATTTTGTAATAATTGAGCAACTATGTTACTCCATGAATGCAACTTCATTGATTTTGAAAAAAGTTGTTTTAATGGTTTGATTAACAAGGGATGAAATCAAAAAGACTACAGCACCACAGGTTCCCAAGTTGTCTCCAACCTCAGTACTGATGTGGCTCGACGATACTTAACTTCTCAAATCGGACGGGATGAGGTGCATTCATCGTGATATGGCCGTAGCCATCAACAACCATAATTTCTGAAATATAAATCTACTTCAAAAAGAAGCTCTACTGCGAATCAATTCCAATAGCTAATATATAATAAAGAAGGTGACTACCAAGAGTTTTTTGGAGTGTATCAATTTCTCAAGTACTAAAAGTCTTGATTGCATAATTTAACTTTAATCAAATTATCATTCAATAACCTTTAGGGCTTTAACCAATCTCCGGAGGTTCAATTCATTCAAATCTTCATCAATGTATTTGGTACCAATGATGACAACAACTCAGTAATCATTATCTATGTCCGCAGAAAATAAATGGCTTCGTAGCCATTCATTACCTTAACTTGAGTAATATAAACCCATTTGATCATTTTTATTAGGTAAATGATTGGAATTGAAATTGATATGAAATCACGTTTTAATATTAAAGAAAATGTCACTAACATCTTCTCTCATTATTAATAACCTGCCAACAGAAATGTTGGTTGAAATCTTTTCCTTTCTCCACTCCAAATTCATTCTCCAAATAATTTCTCACACTTGTAAGAAGTGGAAATTCGCATCAACTTTTTCCAAACTTGAAATTGAAATTAAAAAGAAACACAAATTATTTTCAAGATTTTCATCACGTAAAGATCATCATTGTGATCCAATCAATAATTTTATAACTGCTATTCAAAATAATAGATTGTTTTATAGGATTTCAAGTTTAACAGGTTCATTTTCAAATGCTGATTTGGAAATTATGAAAAATTTTAAATTTTATGAAAATTTAAAAAGTTTAACATTGAAAGAAAATAGTGGATTGGATTATTATGGATTAAATATTATTATTACATATTTTTACAAGTTGAAATCTTTGGATATTTCATCACTGTTTAGTATTGATGATAAAATATATAGTGAATAGATGAATAGTAGAATGACATTACCTAATTTGGTCAATTTGGCAATTGATGTAAAATTTAATTCAGCAGTTGAAGTAATTGGTCAATCTATCAAACATCAAATTTATTCATTAGTAATTTGCTGTAAAAACAATTCAACAATAGAATTATATCATTTGGATTATACTAATTTGAGAAAACTGAAATTAGTTGGAGTTACTATAAATAGTAATGTAATTCCATTGACAGTGAAATCACTTTCTCTAATAGACAGTACTGTAAATTTCAAAGAAATTTCAAGAATTTCTAATAATTTGGAAGAATTGAATATTATAAATGGAAATACAGAAAACTTTTCAGAATTGTTAAAATGTGAATTGACTAATTTGGTAAAACTTTCCATTTCAGGTGATACTATTTGGAAATTTAGAAACCCCAACACAGAATTTAAACCATTCAAATTGAAAAGTTTAAAATTAAGATCTCAAACTTCCAATTCATTCAAATTAATTGAGAATATTTGTGATTGTGAAAGTTTAACTAATTTGGAAATTCCAGATTGTTCAGTTTATTCTAAAGATTTTATTCAATTATTTACAAAATTCAATTGTAATAACTTGACAAAATTAGATCTATCTAATAATTACCTAAATGGAAATGTAATTCCAATTATAAGTTCATTTCCTAAATTGAAATATTTAAACATGAAATATAACAAGACATTATCAAGAAATGATAGAAATATTTTATGTGGACTTGTCAATAATAATCAAATTAGTTATGTGAATTGTAATTGTCTTTTAGAAAATGAAAGAGAATTGACTGAAAGTAATATTTCATTTCTTGATTCAATTTTTGAAAAGAAATTTGAAATGAATAATGAAAAATTGATAGATAATAATATTGTATCATCATCATCATTTGATTTTAATAAGAGAATGAGTGTTGTGATAAAACAAGTTCATGGACTTTCATTTAGGGATTTGTTATTCGAATATGGAAATTTCACTTCCTTTTCAATTGAATGTTCAATAATTTCAAATGAAAAGAAAAATGAAATTCACGACACTAAAATCATTCCTCTCCAAAATATAGAAATACCACTCGAATGGAATGAAGAAATTATATTCGAAACTCAAATTTCACAATTTTCATGTGACTATTCTATCAAATTTTCACTTGTTTGTTATAGAGAAGATTTAGAGACTGGAATTCTTAAAAGAATTGAGATTATGAAACCCAACTATTTTGAATGTTCAGTGTTTGATTCAAATTTGGAATTAATTCAAGGAAATGTTAAACTTTTACAAAATACAAAAAATTCAGAACTTTCTCTTGAAATTGAATTTCCTACTCATGATTGTATTGTAAAGTATTATTTAGATAGAAAACCAAATTTAATTGAAGATGAAAATGATTTGAAATTGGAGACTATTTTAGAAAATAACAAGTGGAATGTAAATGATTCTTCACATTTTGTTCCATTTCTGCTTGGAATTTCATTCGAAACTCCAATGGTACTATTTAGAGCTAATCAAATCATGGAAAAATGGAAGAAACCAAATAATGTGATGGAACTATTCACGTTATTCTCTTCTAAAATTGGCATATTTTCAAAATTAACACTACTCAAATATTTAGACGAAACTAAGGACGAAATATTTTCTTATATTTTACCGTTTCTCATTCAATGTATTAAATATGAGAATGAAAATGGATTGTTATCAGAATATCTTATCACTAGATGTATAAAATCTAAAGTATTTGGAAATCAATTATTTTGGTTACTCAAATCAGAATCTCATTACCTTATTTGTAAATTAGTGTTAATGAAATTTGTGAAAATGATGAATATGAATGAAATTGAAATTATTAGAAATCAATGTTTATTTTTGGATTATTTTTATGATATGAAACAAAATTATTTGAATATTGAAAATCAAATATTCATGCCATTTACAATGAAAGAAATTAAACAAGGAATTCACCAAATTAGTAGAAATGTGAATTTTATAAATTTGGAAATTAAACTTTGTAATGGAGAGGAAATAATAATGCGTTTTTTCACCTACAAAAATCAAAGAACTGTTCATAATTCATTATTATTTAATAATTTTATGGAAATTTCAAAATTATTTAATGATACAACTGATAACAATTTTCCAAATATGGAAGATGATTCATGTAAAATTAAATATTATCCAATTGGAATAGAAAGTGGTTTTATAACTATTCCAAAATCATTGAATGAAATTTCAATATCATCCATTCAAGAATTTACTCTTTTAAAATCTCAACAATTTAAGAATAATTTACTAAATAGTATTTTATATGATAATTTTATTAGATGTATATTAGAAGTTAAAGAAAATAAGAGTAATATTTATATAGATCAGAATGGATATTCTTCACGATGTGGGTTTTCACTCGATGATGAAATGATTGATAGAGCTTTGATTTTTTCATCTATTACGGCATTACAACCACCTAAAAAGGAAAGTTTAATTGGTACACATTTAGCACAATATTTGAAAACAAATAATCTAATGGATCAAGCCAAGAATATCATTAATAATTTTTCAGTAATATTCAAAAATAATAGTAACACAATGCGTAGATATTTTGAACCATTTTTAGTAAAAACAATTATATCAGAAGCAATTACCAATTTGGATAAAAAAGTAAATATGGAAATTAAAAGCTTTGATAGATAAAATAAACAATTTATTTTCCTAAAAATGATGGTTTTGGAGTAATAGATTGATAACAAACAGACATGGCAACAGTAACAGAATCACGACATTGTGCACAATGACATTGATAATTAAAACAATTTCCAGAATGATTTTCACTTTTTCCATCTATAGTAATTCCTTTAAATCTTAAACCACTAAGTGCACCTCCTCCAGTAACATTATCACCACATTGAATTGATCCTTCAATAGAGAATGTTCCATTAAAAGAATTTGGTGTAATTGCAACACTCATCAATGCAAAAGGAAAAGTATTAGAAACAAAATTAGTATTAGCAGAAAGATGACCTCTATAAATGATTGGATCAAATCCTTGAATTGGAATTGATAATTCACCATAAAATGGATTGGTAATTCCTTGAAGATTAGATCCAACCCAATTCCAATGTTGATTTCTGACATCAGGTGTGAAATAACCAGTGTAAAGATATGGTGTTTGAGAGATGGAAGTCATGGAGAGAATAACTCTTTGAGAAGAGACATGTTCAGCAATCATTATCATAATCAATAAACAACCAATGATCATCAATAACAAATTGACATTATTAATTTGTTGTTTCATTTTTTTTTGATTGTAATTTCGGAATATTATTGGAGTTTTTTCAAGTGGAAGAAGATAACAATGAGGATTACCTTGGGAGATGTCACACTGATAGGGTAACACTCTAAAAAAACAACAGGTTCAGTTATTGGAAGAACATAAAAAACCAAATGTGACTCAATCGTGAGGGTGTAATTACATTTCAAATAAATAGACTCACTCATGAACATTGTATTTATTTACGTAAATTCTCTATGAAATGAATGCTTTTCAATGGAAATTATTCCTTCATCCTCTTCTGAATGGTTCACAATATTGTTTTGAAATATTCAGATCAACTATTTGATTATTTTAATGAACTCAGTTCTTCCTTACTTCAGTTGTATGATTGTATAGAAATAATCATTTTGCTATTGGACTAAACTCTTCAAGAAATTCCTAATATATTCACTCCCTTATCAAGCAATTGTTATACACCTTTTAAAAAAAAATGTTAATACCCTCCTCTTCTTCCTCACCAACCAAATCAGCTGTGAGTACCAGCAACAGTAGTATTAGACAATGCAAATCAAGTATGGGTAAATCAACACGTTTCGTGGGTGAGGACATTCCAAGAACATTTGAAGATTTCCTTAATCAACGTGATGACTCTGATGATGACGATGAAAATAATAATACTATTAAATCTTCATCTTTAAAAAGAAGAGAAAAAACCTCAAAAACTAATATATTGAATCAAGATGTTGATTCAAAATTACCTCAATTAAGTAATAGTGCTCACCTAGGTTCATCATCAACCTCTCCGAATAATAATTCAGCCACATCATCAAATGTAAATATTAAATTTTGGGATCGTAAAACTAAAAGTTTTGCCAATATGGAAAATGCAGCAACAAATTCATTACATATACCAGAGAGAACAGCCAATACTCCTACTACTAATAATACTACTAACCTTAATAACATAACAAGTAATTTAAAAGGATCTAAAGTATTAGAAATTAAACATTCACTTGAATTGTTAATTCATGATTTGGATGAAGTTTCATATTTTGAATCACAAAAGGAAAGAGAAAATGTTCTTTTAAAGGCTAAAATATCAGAATTGGAAAAATTACAACATTCAACGTTGGTGAGTAGAATTTCACTCACTAGAGATGAAATTAGAAAATTAAATTTATCAGATTTACAAATATTAAAATTAAATACAGAGAATACACTAGCCTTAATAGAAGAAATTATCAATGAAAAGAATTATTTGTAAATTAACCAAATTTATTAGATGTAATTTCCTTGACTATCAGAATATTGAATCAAAATGATTTTATTAGTTTAGAGAATAATCGGCATTATTCTTTAGCAAGATTTATTAATATCCAGAACTATTATAATGAGTTTTAACACTGTTTCTTTCTCCTTATAGGTTCCTAGGGCCTGATGATTGTGTAGAAAAGATATGTGTGTAGGTGTTTCAATTATTTCTCCTCTCTTCTCTGTGAGAAATAAGGAATCAGAGAATGGATTTAGTTTCAAACACAACAATACCATCACAAACTTACTAGTACCACTGCAACTATTCACTCTGTTTTCAGTAAGAAATAATAAATGAAAATTTACAATTTCTCTTCCATTAATCTAACAGTAGTATTAATGATATTATTTCTTCAAAGGATACAGATATGGAGCTAGTTTGGCTATTGTATAGCAATGGGAATTATTAGAGATAAAGCAGAGCTTATTATTGCTATATTTAGAAGGAGAGTTCTAGAACACAAATTTCAAATATCATTATCATTTAGAGTTTGAGATATTAATAATGAATAAATTGATTGATGTTGATAGTAATAGTTAGAAACTACAACAACAACATTGTAAAACAATCAAGAGAGATGACAGACATTGATGTTCATTCATTGTGTCCACTACAACATTTCAATGAACATTTAGAAATTTAAGCAATCATTTAATATCTTTTTCATAATTAAAAAAAATGACTCTAAAGAAATATGAATCCAATACGAATAATAATAATAATGGAAATGAGAATGATGCAACTATAACTAATCAAATTGATGAAGAGAATGAAACACTTTTATCAAATAATAATGGTAGAAAATCATTTCTATCTAAATTTCTATCATTAAGACTTGTTATTATAATATTAATTGTTCTATTAATATTAATTTGTTGTTCAATGGTTTGGTTAGCTTCTTTTATTGGTTCATCAAATGCTATTAATTATTTAACAAGAGAATTACTATCAAGTATGTTTTATTATTTTTTTGTAATATTTTTATTGTAAACTATTGTAACCTTTTATTAATAGACGCAAAATATAAAGTAATTCAATTTATTGATAATCAATTAATACCATATCAACAAATAGGTAAAACATTAGCAGATGAATATAATAATGATTTATTACCATTTTCTAATTTAACATTTATGAAAGAATATTTATATTCCAAATATGTAAATTATAAACCTACTTCAATTGGATATTATTTAGCATTTCCATATTCATCTATTAATACTTATATTGAAAGAGGTACTGGTTCAAAAATAGATTTATTATATGGTCAACAAGTTAATAATTGGCCAGGTTATAATTTATATTTAATGAATAAAACAAGTAATTCCTTTATTTGGCAAAATCCAAATGCATACATTCCATATAATGTTAAATCACTTGATTATTGGAATACTTCTATTAATTTATTTAATCAATTTAATACAAATGAAATATTTGCACCTCCTTATTTAACATTGGTATGTTTTTAATTAATATATTATTGTTTTAATATATTTTATTTGTAAATTTTATTTAATTTTAATAGATGGGTGATATTGCATTATTTTATGCAATTAAAGTATATACACCATCATTATATAGAAATGGTATTAAAGAATTAAATGGAATTGTAAAATTAAAT